AAAAAAAAAAAAACAAATTAACTAACTCCTTGTTTTTAAATAATAATAGGCCTTACTATCCCTCCTCAATATAGTAACAACAGGAGTAGCAAAATGCTGTGGAGCACTAAACGCCAAATTCGCGCTAGCATTCGACGTCCTAATCCTCGCCGCATGGACCGTTGCTTTCGCTTTACTCCATCGCGCAATGCACGGTCTCATCTTTTCCGATTGCACAGACGGTCATTGGGGTGCCGCTGAGGGTAATGGTGTTTACGTCTGCAGACTTTATAAGGCTACTTGGGCTTTCGCTGTTGCTGCTATGTAAGTTCTTTTCTTCTTCTGATTTTTTTTTTTTCCTCCTCGGAGAATATGATTGTTGTAAGGTGGAGCTTGGAGGCTAATTGGATGATTTTTTTAAACAGTGCCTTTTACCTCGGTTCCGTTATCTTGGACATCATCGTTGTCAGACGGGTCGGTAACCATAAGTATGTGGTTGCCAACCCAAAGAGCATGCAGCAAACGAAACAGTATGCTCCGAATTACCAGCAGGATACTAGCTACGGAAGCGGTGGATTGCCATCGCACGGTTAAAGTCCCTTTGTTTCATTTCATAAAGAGCTAGGATGGATGTTAGTTTGATGAAGGGTATATATAAAGGTTCAAGGAGGTTTATAGTTAGTAGGAGCAAAGGGGTGGTAGTAGTAGTTAAGCAAGCGAGGGGGTTGGTTGTAAGATGAAGTTAAAGTCCCAGGGGAAGAAAAGGGAAAGGTTAGGAAGTAGTTTTTTTTATCATCTATCATCATCTATCATCATTATCATTTATTTCAAAAAACGTGGGACCTCACTATCGCGCGGGTGTGGCATCGGTTTTTCTTTTTTTTTTCTTCCTTTAGCATATTTCCTTATTTTCCCCTTTCCTTTATCTGGCAGAAAAAAAAACCTACAATCGATCTTACACGTGGGCGTTCGCGTTCTTTTGTCCTTTTTTTCTTTTCTTCTCTTTGTTCCTCCATTCCTTTTGTCTTTGTCTCCCTTTTATACAGTGTGGTTTTTATTTTATAGCTTAGTCTCTCTGGTTGGAAGGAATGGTCTTTTTTTTTATTTTTGTCGAAAGCAATTATATACACCGTGTGCAAAGCATTTTGCAGCGCAGCGCAGCTGGGGAAGGGATAAAATGCAATGATAATGTCTTTTTTACTTTCCTCACTTTCTCATCTTCCTTCCTTCTTCCTTCTTCCTCTTCTTTTTCTTGTTATTATCATCAAGAAGACGAGAATCATCTCTAGAAGAGAAAGAGATCATATCAAGCTCATAGCAGCTATCGAAAACCATAAGAATGGTGTGAAAAGTAAGAAAAAGCCAAGAGATGTCAGCACATAATCAAATAATTCTAATTCCTCTAACCGTCCCCCCGCCCGTCATCATCATCATCAGCAGCAGCAAGCAGCAAGCAAGCAGCAGCTACCTAGCTAAGCTACTTAACTGGGCAGCTTGGCCGCAAACAAACACCCCTCAGCCGCTTACAATCCAGCATTAATCAGGGGTCATATCTCATTCATACATGACAAATTCATAAATACGATCCGTGGAACCCTTCCCCCTCCCCGCGCCTCCCTCGACTTCCTCATATTTTTGAAGAAGAGTTCGAGGGGGAACAAAAAAAAGAAGGGTAGTTGGGGCCAATTCCCTTCGCCAGAGCCAAGCCAGTAACCAAACGAGGAAACCAAAAAAAAAGACAAAAGCCGGTTTAGTAAACACCGATTCTGAACCACATGTAACAATAATAGAAAAAAAAAAGAAGCTTTAAAAAAGTACCCATGATAAAAAGAGGGTATTTATACAATGAGGGTGAAGAAATAGAAATATATAAAAGAAAGAGAGGTGGAAAAGATGAATATCGATAGTCGGGCAGTGGGTGATCGATCACTGGAGAAGTGGATCCTATAAGACAAAATTATATTAGCATCCTGCTGGTTTTTGTGTTGTCGAGATAGTGAAGAAGCAGAAAGAAGGAACATACCCGATAATGCTTCTGTTTGTTGGCTTGTTTCTCAATCTTGGCATGGAATCTGTCTCTACCCCGCTGTTCGAACGCTTTATCATTCTTTTCCATCTTCTTTGCTCGTTCTTTAGCAGTTTTACTGGCCAATGCTAGTCCTTGACCCCCATTTCCTCGGCTGATAAGCGCAGCTTTGTTGGCCCGTCGTTGAGCTTGTGTTAACCTTGTATCCGTTCCTTCTTCAGTTTCCCCTTCGTCAGCAGCTTCCTCTGCATCGCCGTCTTCGATGGCTAGTGCATCCCGCTCCTGTTCGCCGTATGATGGATGATCACGCAGGTTTTGACGGTAGTATCTAGCCAAACTTCTATGACCCACGCTACGGCCGTTACCAAGGTGCATTTCCGTCTCCGTTACATACACAGCTTGCATATGATGATGCGGAAGGTGAGAAGCGTGTGTATGGCTGTGGCTATGAGCATGGGAATGCCATCCATCTTCCAAGTGGTGAGAACTGCTGGTTCTGTGGTGAGATAGTTTTCGACCTTTACCGGGTCCTCCGGCCTCCCCTAGTACCGAAGCTACCTTTAAGGAACCGATTTCAGCAGAATCGCAGGAGGAAGCGTCGGAGTCTGTTTCCCAGGATTTGTCGGCTGCTGTTTTATTACCCATTTCGTCTTCCCATGTTTCTTGTCCCTCACCTTCCTCTCCATCTTCATCGGATTCCCATTCGTCTTCTTCGTCATCTGGGTTGTAGGTCGACCTGAAATCGTAGAATTCACCTATTTCTAGCATTTCGGCTTCGGTTTCGAAGGCGATCATACAGTGACCTTTATCTCGCATATGGGTTCTTATGCCGTCCAATCCACCCTTTGATTTGTTGCAATAGAGACATGTGTGGCCTACAAAGATTTTCTGACCGAGGTAGCGGATTAGACCTTCTAGATTAACAAGGAATGGTTGTTCGGGGATGAAGAGGCCGTGAAGTTTTGACATATGGGTGAGATTTTGTTGAAGAGTTGGAGATGGTTGAGCACAGAAGAGACATTCCGTTATCGGCAGGGAAGGGAGACTTTCGTCGTCTTCCTCATCATCTTCCTTTCCTTTATCGATTTGCGAGTTTGGTGGTTGTTTGGAAGAGTTTGATATAGAGAGGTTGGAGACTAAAGAAGACAGCTCAGCTTTGGCAGCAGCAGCATCCTCCTCCTTGACAGCAGAAGAAGCAGGAGGAACAGGCGTAGAAGTCCCATCCTCGGTGTCGTCCATAGAAAAAGTAGAACTCATAACACTTTCAGTTCCATCATTAATCAAACCAGACCTCGTAAGAGCATGAACTCTCTGCCTATGCTTCTGAGAGTTGACATGATTGTTATATGCGTTTTGAGAGTAATAGACTTTCCCACAGGGCTGACATGGTTTTTCAAAGCTTGCACGATCACGAGCAGCTCGATCAGCGGCTTGAGAGGTCAAGACCTTCTCGGCGAAGAGTTCGGAGGTTATTGGAGGTAATTCTGCGATTCTTCTTTTTAGATTATATCGGCTGGATTATAACGTTTATATGTCAGTAACTAGACTTGGGAGTTAAGTTTGAAACTGGGGAAGAAGAGATCTTGGAGAGAGAGAGAGAGAGAGAGAGAGAGAGAGGAACATACTGCCAGTCGGTGTGCATGTGGTTTCGCTGGCCATCGGACGACTTGAAGGCGACCTGGCAGGTGTTGCAGGTGTAGGGGTGCGATGTCGTCGTGGGGGGGTGCGGTGTCGGGGAGGCTACTAGTGTCGTCATGGTGATGGATAGAATGGAACCAAATCGAATACGCTATTAAAGTTGGGTATCTAAAGTAGGTCGGATAGAAGTATAACGACGATGGGAAGGTTATCGATCGATGGATGACGAAGATGAGGTTGTGGAGTAAGATGACGACGGTGATGGTGATGGTGATGGTGAAGATGCAGGAGGGGTCGATGTTTTTATACAAGCTAAGAATTAAGACGTTGATGGACCAGAAGCTGTAGAAATAAATCGGAGCTCGTTGGATTTCCAGAACCGAAAGAAAAAAAAAAAAAAAAAAGAGGAACGGAAGGTTTAACAACCGACCTAACTACCTAGTTACTTAGCTACCTACAAGCTGTCTCAATTTTTTAATTTTTTTTTAATTTTTTTATTTGTGTGTGTTTTCCTCCCAAAAGAAAAAAAAAACGAAAGATGTAAAGAAGAAGAGGGAAGGTTATTACTAAAGCCAAATGACCAAAGATACCCAGATATACTTGGTGTAAGGTAAGAGGAAAGAAATTTTATAGAAGAGACAAAGAGGTCGAGCTAAATATTAGGTGATGGACTGACCCGAACTGGGTTAGAAGGGGTTGGCAATGAGTAACAAACAGTTAAAACAACTTGAATGGCCGGGGCAAAAAAAGCTTGGTGTTTGGGGAATCAATATTAATCATACTTCCGTCTACTTTCTAGAAAGTCGAACAAGTCGGCCGGGTGTTCCGGGATACTTTTTTTACTTTCGAAGGGGCCGTTACGTTATGTTTATGGTCATCTGTCTAGGTCTAAGAAGTATTACATATAAGAAGTGGAGAGGCCTTGAATGCAGAGGTCTCGGATGTCATGGCATGACTAAGATGTATTATATATTATAAAATATACGGCATGACGTCGAAGTTAAAAAGAAATCCAGGTCGATCTAATCTGATTCACTGATGGTGATTAGATTAGATTAGATGGGATCCAGTCAGATTAGATTGACTGGATTAGATTAGATTAGATCCAACACAATTCGCTGGCTCTCCTCGAGTATATGGAGGAGTTCATTCAACGGGCTTCAACAGTCTTACCCCAGACATCGCTCCCATTAGTAAGAGGATTAAAAATAATAAAAAATCTAGAACCAGTATTGACTCGATCCGGTATCCTTATCTTTTTTTAAACTTCATGGCTGTTCTGAATCATATGCAGGGTTACCATACTTCTATATAACTATTAGGTAGTGGAGGGAAGATAAGGTATGGCGCTTGAGGCTTAATGAGCTTTCGGTTGCGAGACCCCAAAATACAATCAATGCGGATTAAAGTACCGCGCATTTCTACCGTATTTTCTAGATCGAATAGTAGACAATCCGACGGATAAATATTCCTTTTCGTTAGCAGTCAATACGGTATGTTCCTGCGTGTATTCAATCTGGTAATCGGATACCATTATTGGGTAGTTGCCGGTACCGGTATCTACTATACTTATCCATATATCATATATGTTATATCCCTCGAGACCAAGATACTGACTAAACTACTTACTAAACTACTTATATCCACCCTGACATAGTAGTAGACTAGATTGAGAAGCAAGGCTGGGGATTTTGAGACAAAGACAGGGGGTGGTGTTCCTATACAGGTGCGAGAGCGACAACCAGAGGGAGGACAAGTGTGACTGGTCGATATTCAACAGAGCTGAACTGGAGAGAAAGAACTATATAATATTAGTCTCGGGAATCCCCTTAAATACAAATTCACCATCTTCTTTCCATTTCATTCAATTCAATTTCCATATCTTCTATATACTTATTTGTATACTATTTATACGTATACATTTTATATTATACTGTAGTCGTGAGAGTGTGTGATTTGAGTCAATGTTAGTAAGATCAAAAAGGTGAAGATGTGTACCGGCCCTGACGTTGAGCCATTCTTTGGCTCTCCTCTTAACGCTTCCACTTCCACTTCCACTTCCACTTCCACTTCCACCTCTCCTTCCTTGCCTCGATCAACAACCTCAACATCAACTTCATACTCGGCATCGACATCAACATCACCTTCAACTTCATACTCAACATCACCATCGTCTTTATCATCAGTATCTTCAAATCCCCCCCGGGACAATGGTGGCCGGCTATTCTCGCCCAAGTCGGACAGACCCAGCTTCAAATCCAATCATGTTCACTCCCATTCGCTGTCATGCGACACTAGCCGTAATACCGATGGCAGTACCAATACCAATACCAATAATACCACCCTCCCGGCCTCTTCTACATCTCCATTAGCTTCTCCGACTACTTCAACTTCAACTTCAACTTCTCCTCAATCCTCATTGAGATCATCCATTTCTTCCATACGCCCATCCATAATACCCGTTCCTTCAACGAGGAAATACCGTGCTCAATCGTCCTTCTCTCATGATACTCGCGATTCGCCAACTTCGTCCGTACGCTCGGGCAACATGACGTTTTCCATGCAGACATCGTCTTTCTCCTCGTCGCTGCCTCTTCCCTTCTCCTCAAAATGGTCCTCGCCGCCTAGTCGCTCTTCCACACCTCTTCACCGTTCCGGTCAGTTAGTTTACTTTTACCTCTTATATATTTATTCCCTCATACTATTTTCTTCTTCTATTATTTGCCAATATCCAGTATCATCCCGTTATCGCTGTCGCATATATGTCCTGTCGAATATACCTCAATTCCGTCATCGAGATTGAAGTCTGCAAGATCAGATGGAATGCTTTGATGGAATGCCGGTCGGAGGATTGCATGATAACGCCATTTCGCGCCCTGCTTTCCCAATTGTTTAACCGAATCTCTTAATTGGTTCCTGCTTGTTGCTGTTGTCCCACCCCAACACCATCTATCTTTAAGCTCTTTCTTCCAACTTTCTCCGTTCCGTCCGATGCAGATGCGTAAAAGTGAAAATGTGGAACCACTCGGACCTTCTCTTGCTAAACTCTAGCCCTGCAGCTTCCGCCTCAGTCGCCGTCGTCGATACCAATGAACAAACTCCACTCCATCGCGTTCACTGTGGCGGTAGCGTCCTTGCTATCGCCGTGTCGTCCGACCACATCTATGCTGGTACACAGGGCGGCGATATCATGGTATGCATACCCATACATCCCTTCCCTGAAATCTCTTGGCGTTTCTCATCGCATTACTCATCAACTCACCTTCTATCCACAGGTCTTCTCCCTTGACACATATGACCACGTACGAGACCTGAAAGGACACTCCGGTTGCATCCTCGCTTTGGTCCTCTCTCCAGACGAAAGTTTACTCGTTAGCAGTGCCGGTGATGCGATTATCAATGTAATTCTCCTCATCCCACTCCATGCTGCCGCGAGATTTGATTTCTAAAGACAAAAATAGATCTGGCGAACAAAAACATTCGAGAACGTCCATCGCATATACTCAACTTTCGACATCGGCGATATCTTCTGCGTGGCTTATTCCTCCAAACTTTCCTCCCTCTACCTCGGCGCCCAGAACACTTCGATTCAATGGTACGACTTTCGGTCAACGGACAAACGACCCCGGGCATCCTTAAAATCCCATCCCTCGAGACGTTCCCACCGATTCTTCGATTCCCTCGGACCCGGTGGATCCGCGACCCCCCAGCCACCCGTAGACTCCTCGGATGTTCTCGAATCCTGCCATGAATCACAATTAGTCGAGATTGACCCGTTGAATATTGTTCAATACGCCCATTTTGGATATGTGTACTGCATGCTCCTCCTCCAATCCTTCACCAAAGAAGGCGAGGAAATTTTGGTGTCGGGAGGTGGTGATGGATCAATCAAGATATGGGAAATCGACTCGGAAACCTCGGCCATCAAGCCGGAGACGTCGAAGTCATTGACTTCCGGTGATTCCGGTGTGTTGTGTATGGCTACTAGGGACCAATTCCTTTACTGTGGTTTGACGGATGGCGAGATCAGCATCTGGGACTTGGACGGCCAAGCCTTAATCCGAAGCATCAAGGGACACCAGGACGATGTCTTGACAATGACTGTCAGGGACAACTGTATCTGGAGTGGGAGTGCTAGTGGATATGTCAGGGTAAGTTTTTATCCAACTCACTCTCCAAGAACCTTTCTAATAGTAGTAGAAATGGAGTCAACGCTTCGAATTACTAGGACGCTGGAAGGCACACGATGGTCTTATCCTCGCATCTGATCTCAAGTCAGTCAAGGGTAGAGATTTGTATCTCTCAGGCGGTAATGATGATTGCATATCCGTATGGGACGTTTCTTGTCATGAAGATGACTTCCCGTCTGCATATAGAACTACCGAAGGTGAGACCACACCCCTCTTCTCGCCCATCTTTTTAGAAGCTGCTAATAATTTCAGACGAGCTCTTGTCTACCCTACGAAAGTTGGTCGGCTACCGAACTGTCGCCAATGACCCCAAGTTCAGCGAAGACTGTCGTCAAGGTGCTTCCCTCCTCAAATCCATCTTTCGTCAATTCGGCGCCCAGTCCTTCCTAATCCCCACCGACAACTGCAACCCCATCGTTTTTGGTCGCTTCACACCTCCGGAAACCCCCGGAGTGGAATCTAATAGACAAACAATTCTCTTCTATGGCCACTATGATGTCATCTCTGCTGGGGAGGGAACCGCGAACAATCAATGGATCACGGAACCCTTTGAAATGACAGGGATGAATTCGTACTTGTACGGCAGGGGTGTGTCCGATAACAAAGGCCCGGTTCTAGCCGCCATCTTCGCTGCCGGTGAACTTGCTCAAAATAACCAACTGTCCTGCAACATCATCTTCCTGATAGAAGGCGAGGAAGAAGCCGGAAGCCGTGGTTTCAAAGAAGCAGTTAAAAAATACAAGGACTTCATCGGCCCAATCGACTGGATCCTCCTCGCGAACAGTTACTGGCTGGACGACGAAGCTCCATGCGTAACATACGGCCTACGTGGTGTCGTCCACGCTAGTGTTGAAATTCAATCAGATAGACCGGATCTCCACAGTGGTGTCGATGGCAGTCGTGAGAGTCGGGAGCCGGTGATTGATATGGTAAATCTTCTCGCAAAGCTTACCAGCGACGGTGGAAAAATCATGATTCCTGGTTTTCATGAGATGGTTCGGGCCATCACCCCGGCTGAAGAGGCGATGTACACCGAGATTGAGAATGAGTTTTCGGCAAGGCTGTTCAGAGGGTCTATTCCTTCAGGTCGTTTGAAAGAGCATTTAATGTCGAGGTGGCGATACCCCTCACTTACAATCCACAGGGTTAACGTCTCCGGTCCTACAAATGCAACCATCATCCCTCGTTCAGCATCCGCTGCTATTTCGTTACGCATCGTACCCGATCAAAAACTATCAACAGTAACCGAAAATCTTACGGCATTCCTCTATAACCAATTCTCAACGTTCTCGTCCCCCAATCAACTCAAGATTAGCATAGACCATGTCTCTGAGTGGTGGCTTGGTGATCCGCTTAACAAAGCTTTTAAAACTTTGGCACGGGTTGTGGAGGAAGTTTGGGAGAAGAAACCGTTGTTTATCAGAGAGGGTGGGAGTATTCCAGCGGTCAGATTTTTGGAAATGGAATTTGGAGCTAGTGCAGCCCATTTACCATGTGGGCAGGCGAGTGACGCAGCACATTTGGATAATGAGCGGATGAGGGTTGCGAATTTATACAAGGTATGTTTCTTCTTTTTGTTACTCCCCTCAAGAAAATTTCGGAGACTGGAGGCCTAATTTATTTTCGGGGGCGAATAGAGTAAGACCATTATGAAAAAAGTGTTTAGGGAGTTGCCGTTGGATGATGATGAAATTGGTGTTTAAGGTGGATTTGGGATAGCGACAGGACATGTATTATATATAGATTATTATTGTTTTTGGCTTAGCACTTATGATCTCCCCATGGCAGTTACTTATTATCATTTACCAACGACTTTTCATTGACAATATTGGAAGGGGAGGAAAGGCCGGGTCAATAAAATATAAATTTCATCGTCAGTTGCCATTCTTTCTTTATTTATATTACGACACAATAATGGATATGTCAAATATTGGTCTCGTTCAAGCGAAGATCGAATCCCTTCATTACAGAGAGTCAGGGAATTCGGCTTGTTAAAAATGCATTGCGGGTATAAGTTCCTAGTTGGTACACCATCCAGATTATAAAATTATGTTGAAAGCGGGTGAAGTCTTTTGCATCTAGATAGCTACCTACTACCTATTATGTACAGTGCAGCAGAGGTATATACAAGTATATATAAGTATTTATTTCTTTGCCTAGTTAAGTTGGCTATGGCAATGACCTAACACTTTACAGCCTGATCATAGTTCTGGATGAGTTAAGATATTGTCTAGCCCCGAGACAATAGATGATACCCATGGCCAAGCAGCCAATTCATCGGGTTTCTCTGGCCAATCTGCATTCTTGTTCAACAATTCTTCTAGAGGTATTGCCAGCTTTTTTTGATCAATAGTAACTCTTAAAATGCTTCCATTCAAAAGTTTCATGACTATTTGATCGCCTCTTATGTCACAAGACGTTACGGGTTCTCGATAGGGCCCCTTAGATTTTGGCATATCTCGACTATACAGAAAAGGTATTCGAAGTACCTCTTCTGTCCCATAGCACAGCCAATCTCCACGAACACCAAAATGTTGAAAACTCCTATAGATAGGGGCATAGGTTGATAACGGAGGTTTCCCTCTCGCGGGAATTCTTTTGACTCTGATATGGCCGACGTTGGTTATTAGGTACTCTCCATCGTGTGAGAATATCACGTAGTTAATAAGATACCCGTATAACGATCTGACTTCTTTCACAGTGAACGAATCGACAAAGCCCACGACTCCGCTCAAATGAACATTGAACATCTTCCCAATACCCGAGAATGCCGGGGTATCCCATACGTGGAATTCACCATAGCAGTCGCCGGCGGCGATATGCTTGCCGCTTGGCGAAAATGCAACGGTGGTAACTGGATATACAGTATCAAATTGTCTTTGAAATTCCCCGGTGGTGGAATTCCAGACTTTAACATGCCCGTCGTAGGATCCGGATACAATGTATTTACCGTTCGGTGAGAAGGAGACGGTGGATATTCTCGAGTGTGCCTTGATAGTTGTTTCGGAAGTACCGGCTTTTGTATCCCATATCTGAAGATTTCCATAATCAGAAGCTGATGCGATTTTATCCCCATCTGGTGAAAATGCTACAGCTCTGATGTATAAATCGGTGTTGGAGCTATCGCACAGAGTTATCTGAAGCTCGCCGCTGACTGTATCCCACACCTTGATATTTTCAGAGCCCGAAGCAATCAGCTTCCCGTCAGATGAGTAGGCAATAGTCTTTACTGGATATAAATGCCCAACCAGAGATTTATGCGGCCCCCCGGTTAGGCTATCCCAGAGCTGAACCACAGTTTTATTACTCAAGGCTCTTGACGCGATTTGTTTACCATCTGGCGAGAATCTAACGACTTTGTGAACATCGCGAGGTTGTCCCACTTCAAATTTCGGTTGGTGATCGGCACCTAGTGTCTCGCGATTTTTTCTCCACGTATGATCGAGTTTTTGCTTACGGAACCGTTGGCTGCGGGGTTGGAGGGATACGTATTCATGGTTTCGTTGAAGTTGGGGAAGGGTTCCTAGCCATGTGGGGGCTTTGTCAAGATTTCGGCCTCGGAGTAGACTGGTTTCCGGGGTGAAAGCCATTGCGTAGGCATAAACTTGTAGAGGGTAGTCCTGGATGAAGGGACCGTATTTTGAGATGAAAGAACGAGTGTCGTGTATAAATCTCACGAAGAGTGGTACTCTTGACTCGAATCTGGAAATCTTGATGCGTACATGTATGGTCGTTAGTTTACTAAATTTGGATTATTGGATAGCTTGCAATTGGGGTATGAGGTGCTCGAGGCGTGATTCGAATGCGTGGCCGGCCGGCTCCAGTAAATGTACATACCGGGTATCTTTCCGCCAAGGTATCTAGTATCCCAGAAACATATGTTACTCGGGCCACAATACACATGCATTCTAACCACTGAAGCAGTTTATTGTGGCAGAATGAGCTGAATTCCCCATCTGACCGGCTAAAGGTCACTTGTGCCAGTGTCGTTTCGTCAAGTTCTGCGAGGTGATGAACCCAAGTTCTAGCCGCATACTGACTAGTTTTAACTCCCGCCAATCTATCTTCAAGCTTTCCCGGCTGCAGTAAAGGTCGTAGTTCTTTGAATTTGGCCAGGTCGACGACATTGATTTTAAGATTCCGGGATAAATATGATAGTGAGGTCAGCACGATTTCCCGATGTCCATATGCTCCGTTACCCTCTAGGATTAACCGTGCCTCTTCGGTATTTAAATAATCCCGAGCTGACTGATGAACAAACCCAATCAACTTATTCTCTTGATCGCGAAGGCTGAGGAATGAAGTACACATATCAAGCAGCATTGTGATAGTGATCCGTTCACCCGATAAATCCAAACCTGAAACGCTCTCTACTTCGTCCACCGATAGAACACTAAAAGTTAATGCTGCTACTCTAAGAAGACGTATACAACTCCTCGTGATCATTGAATCACGGCCAGAGCCGAGCTGTTTCAAGGCCCGGTTGTAAAAAGGGAATAATCCTGGAGGCGAGTCCTCAATTGTTGCAAGTGCTTCATCTGGACTTACACCTTCCAGTCTTTTGCATACTAAGCTGACCCACATGTATATACCCTTTGCTCTCGCCGTTAGTTGCTTTTCTATCTCTTGACGCAATGTTTGGCCGTAGTGATGACGTCTATCCAACTCGGCCACCTTTTCGATAATATAGATCGCTACGCCCGCAGAAACGTGTTCGAAGTTGAGTTCTAAGCTGACCAGCTCCTGGTCAGATCCGGCCAGTAATTCCTGGTTAGCGATATGAAATGGTCGACTCGTTAGAAGCCATTTGATCTTTGAAGGGTTATCGAGACCCGTTCGGACAAGAAGTTGTAAGAACTCGGCCATATCACCCTCTTGGCATTCGTCGAGGGCATCAATGACCAAATATACTCTAGGAGACTTCGTTTGGAGTAACATTTCCAAGAATATATCCCATAGAGTCTGCCATGTGGGGACACCGTCGATGAAACAATCATTTTGTGAATCCCAGAGACGTCGTAATATCATCATAGCTTCGTTCCGTTGATTCACAAAACATCGAATTAGGCCCTTGATAATTGCTTCGACTGTATTTAGCTCGTAATTTGAGTCCTGGCAGAAGGAGTACGCAACTATTGAGCCGTTGCTACGAGAAAGTTCTTCGATAAGTCCAATTGCTGTCATTGTTTTTCCCTTCCCCGCACCTCCCTTGATCCAGAGCAGGCTGAGTTCGTCACCAGCTTTCCAACGGAGGAATTGGGGGTCTGTTAGAATCCAGTCCATTGATCCTATGACTAGCTTGTCCTTGGTCATCTTGAGTCGATTCTTAATAGCGGGGGTATCTGGGCACTTTAAGGAACTCAGGCACAATTGGTTTATTTCTTCTGGTGTAAGGGGTTTTGTTCCTAACATACAAGAGAAAAGTAACAGGCGTTTTATTAGCGGCCTAGACACGAAGCATAGAAAAAAACTATGAGAAAAAGACAACATGCTGTTGAAAAGGTGTATTACCCCCTCCTTAGCTTACTTACCCGCGTGGTAATCACCCCTGACTTCAAAATACTGGGACCTATCTTGTAGGTTATTCTGTCTTGAACTTTCTCCCTGAACGACAAAATTTCCACTACCAGAGACGTTCATATTATACCCTCCCTCCTCAAACACGCTATCCGGCAACGAGGGTTCCCAACCAGTCACATCCGCAATATGTCTATCAAGTTTCTTCTTATCCGCCTCAGAAGCAATCGCCTCCTCCCTCCCATTCTCCGTCATAATCTTAAACGTAGCCAACAACTGTACATTCTCCAACAAATTCTTCATCAGCGTCTCAACCTTCCCACCTTTCCCCAACGTCCTAGCGGCCTTAGTATATCTCTCCATCCTAGAACTCTTATCCTCAGGTACCACTTTATTAAATAATTCTTTGAGTTTATTCCAATCTTCTTCACATCTATCTATTGTCTTTTTCGCCGCGCTGTCGATTTGTGATGAGTTATGCGATTCTAGTGTTGTTCTTGTTGCATCTAGGATGTCGCTGATTATCTCCAGCTTTTGGGAGGCACGACGGAACGCTTTGGGGAGACCTTCGGCGTCTAGTGCGGCTTCGACGACTTTGGCCATACCGTCGATTATGGCGATTATGGAGGAGGCGACGGCCGCGACTGCTACGAACTCGGCGCCAGACATTTTGGTGGGTTTAGGAGAGACTTGTGAGGGTTTGGAAATGGGGGTTCTAGATGTACTGGGATCAGTTAGTATTCCATTGCATTGCCAATGCGTATTAATTCCGACTCGCGTTTGAAGATTGTACTTACAGAATATATATAGATCTTGTATTCTTCAGATCTAACTGTAATATAACACCTAACCCAAGTGAGGGATATGATAACTTTTATCTTCCTTGGGTCCAGGACTAACGTTGTCTGATTTCTATGATCAAGCACCCAAGAAAACAAACTATTTTCCTCAAGAGTTGATAAAAAAACCTCCTTTATTTTCTTAAAAAGAATAATACTACTTTTCCAGACGAAGTTGCGGGTCGCGGTCGCCGATATTTATAACGACCCTTAACCCTTGTGTTGGCCTACCTCTCAGTGTCTGGGAACCCATACCGACTAAATCTGCATGAGCTTGCAAGGTAAATTCTTAGTAGCCTTGTTTAGAAATGCGGGGCTGTTTTTCTCTCTCGTTACCAGCAGCCTTGTACAGCCTCTTATGCATGCAGGGTGTCATGCACTGCGACGAACTAGGTCAAAACTTCGACGATCGGTCCCGTCTGTCATGATAATTGGGGAAAATATTCAGCCTTGTGGTGATTTTTCGGGAACGAGGGTATATATACACATATAGTCGACTTCATATCTGGCTTGTTACGCTATGGTTATCAATTTCTAAGCTTAAGGCTGATGTCGGGCTTCTGTAGATAAGATGTGAGTTAAATTCAATGAGATCTATACATGAAAGAATTTAGATAATTTGATGCGTAAATAACTCGTGCGATCTGGCTAACTACTTAGTAATAATATTGCAAATAGATCTTGAATCGGCCCCACTTTCATTCCTTGGTTTCTAGACTAACCTTGTTTTTCCTCCGCTAAGCCATTAGGTCGGGCGCCTATCTAGAGGCCTTGGAAGGATCTATATTTACTTACAGCTCTAATTGCAACGAAGGATCTAAGGTAAACGTACTAATAGATAACCACCTTTCCTCGGCTCTGCGAGTGGATATCCAAGGTTTTTGATATATATGGCGATGCATCCGATCCGCCTGGTAAAACAATTTGGCTAGACCATTGACAAAGCGCTTCCATATTGTGTGTTTCGGAGGGTGATACAAAAGTATCTTGCAGATTAGCCCCGTAATAGCTTGCTGTATTGATTATCTTATGAATGATTTAGTCGAATCTTCAATTCAATATCTATGTTTTACTTTCTCAAATCTTCTTTTGCTTCAAACCCAAAAAGTACCGTTACTATTAACCACTAGCAGTATATGTACGAGAACTAACTACTAAACCCTTTTTTAATATATTCTTTTCCCCTTTGCGCTTTTTTTGTCAAGTGGCAGGTACATGATAAATATATGCATTAGTAGAAGGTATTGCAATAGTCAAATGCAAAGAATAAAAAAAATAAAAAATCTAAGATAAGAACAAGAAAGAAGGAGGAATGGTGATAAGAAGAAGCAGTTGAAATGTGTACCGGATGTACCATATCGCTATTCACCACATTTTGTGTATGTGGAGAGCGAGGGAGATCTCGAGAATACAAAACGGAAGGGAGAAAGGATAAAGATGGATATGGTGGTTGGTAGTATATTGGCGTCAGCCCGTCAAACCTTTCCGATTGACATGATCTACTACTAACGTGCCGGAGTATTGTAGTGAGGGCGAAGATTATTTGAACGTGCCTATAGGAAAGGAATGACTGATGAATGCTGACGCAGATTTTCCGATTTACGTCGGTAATCCCGGCATTGGAAGAGAATCCTTATTTCTATCGGCATTGTCGGTAGCGTTCTTAGGGCGACTTAGGAATAGACCAGGTATCAGGTTCGTGACACGCCTCTTCATTTTTTGAAGATTTTCTTTACCACGTTTTCGGAAAGGCGAAACTGGCCTAGATTCTGCGGCCTGTCCCTCGCCGGGTGCCATAGGTTGCTCTTGGGCCACTGATCTTGCTGCAATTGCTTGTTCTTCCGCAAGCTGCTCTGCCTTAATATCCATGGCAATCTTACACATAGTTTCGTGTATACCGAAGAATTGCCGCGTCGGATGGTTTTCCTCATCATGAGGGATCGTTACGGTGGTGAAGCCGTTCAACATATCGAAGATATCAATGGACGGGTCGGAACGGATATCGTAAACATCATACAAATAACGCTTGTAGATGTAACGCGAGCTCCGGTCGATATGAAAACTCCTACCTGCCGCTACCATAGCCGGAGAATAATCAAGGTCTACTTCTGGGTTTATTGTTTTCGTGCCCTGGAGGGCATAATGGAGCTCCCTCACCCGCCGACGTATTTCCGTTTCAATAGCTGGGTCTCTTTCGTGGAGTGTCGTGAATCCTTGGTGCTCATTACCATCTTTGTCGGTGGGAATTGGAAAGACAATCTCACGCGTGCCAGCCCACTCCAACCACATCTCGAATTTCTTGAAGTGTGCACCTAAGTCTTTGGACATATTTATGAAGTTTGAAATGTTCTGGGATATATATTGAAGTTCAAGCTGCTGTTTCAAGCCGGGTGTTTGCTTTTCAAGGCGAGGTAGAAATTTGCTTCGCTATCGTTTTTTAAAAGAAGAGTATATTAGTTTTCATTTTGCTTTGGTCTTTTGAGGTTGGTTTCGAGACGGAACTAAATTTCTTTCTTTCTTTGCTTATGTTCTTTCTTTCTTACTTCTTGTTGGGAGGGAGGGAGGAGGGGCCTACAAGTGATAGAATTCGTTCGGTGTCAATAGCAGGGTCTGGTGTACGGAAGAGACTGGGTGGCACTATGGGTATCACTGAACATGCGGTACGCGGGTTATGTTCTTTATTTTGGCGGGGGCCGGTGTATAGCAGCGGGCCTAACGTAAAGGTGGAGACGGGTCCCCGAGGCTCAGTGATCCTGCATGCATGATTATCACGGCGGCGAACCTTATCATTTGCGGAAACTTTTGTTAGTACTGAGCTTTGGTCACAATGATTTTGACTCGGGTTGGGATAAGTTGTGCAAGGGATTTAGATCGAATAAGGATACCACTGAATCGGATAACGTACTAAGTAATCGAAGTCTATGTATGCCATATTTTTATGAGCTAAAGGATTGGCTGGGAATATCATCCTACTGCGGGCGGTTGCCAATCCTCAGGTTAATTAAGTAGGTTAAGTGGCTCTCGGTTTGAATTTAGTGGGAATCGATTAGCAAGGTTAATGCGGAGAAGGAGGAACAAAAAAGAAATTTACGCCATTGTGCACTGTTATTGGGTAAATGGTGGGTGAAAGGTGGATAAAGGAAAGAGGGTGGACAAAGTCCTCTTGGGGGCTTCGGTGTTATGATTATTTCAGTCTTTTACACGTGTAATACTCAATGATTCTCATGTTGAGCTTAGGGTTAAAAGTTTTACTGTACGGCCCCATGAACGCCCTTTAAGAAGGTATTTTGACGAGTGATAATTGGCAAGAGCCGAGGTAGATTATAAAACTTGCTTGCATTTCCTATAGTTTATCGTCTACGATCGGAATGATGAGTTAGGATATATATATATATATCGCGATATTTACGCTGTGTTGAGGAAATCTATCTTATATTGGAGGTCCTAAATTGGCTTGGACTGCTGAACTAATATTGACATAGGCTTTTAAAGATTCAAAATATTGCAAACGCTAGAGCCGATATAATTAACATGGACCCCCCTCCCATATAAAAAAAAATAAAAAGCGACGGATAGGTTGTATGCATGTCAGTTCGCGCGGGCAGTTCAGGCTCGGGACTACCCAGTGATATTTGGCGAGGTGATTACCGTAAAGATCGGAGGCGATGGCCTATGTCAAATAAATCGGATCCGCGGATCTAGATATCTTAAAGTTGCACAGTAGCGGATCAATGATTTGGTTTGATCGTTGCAATAATAGAAGATTGCTGTGACTAGTCCATCATGTGAAGGAAGATCAGGACGAACATCCCGTGCAGATGCGTTGGTTTTGTTGGATTATCGTGGAATATTATGATTGGGTGATAGCTTTCGAGGTCCTCGCTAATAGGCCCCACGTTCTGACGTTTGTTTCGAAGTTACAGCTCTGCAGTCTTGTACAGGTATAAAAGATGTATCGATACAGCGAGGCCATCCGTACACCGGCCAAGATAGTAGAGATGCAGTTCTTCGGAACCAGTCGGCTAATTCGGTAGACGAATAATGGTGTTTGTGAGTATTTAGCCATAGAATCATGTCAGAAAGATTCTGGAATGAATAGAATAGACGTAAAAATGTGAGTACGAGTCCGCAAATGGACGAGTGACAGCTATGGAATCGATCACGAGATTGCCCCCACAGCACCAGTGCAGAGTGAGGTGGCCGGGATCCGAAAGAACCCACCCCGAACGTCTTAGACTTGGATAATAGCGTGGACCCAGTTTCGTCCTTTCAACAATTTTTAGCGATTGGAGTAGATGCTTATTCTGATGCTGGTGTCTTATTGTCCTGTATCCTCCTTTTATTTCTTTCTTCTTCTCCTCCTCTTCTCCTCTTCTTCTTTTTTCTCTATTTCTTTTCGTACTTCCTCTGCGACGACTCGACGCTGCTGTTCTGAAGCCTAAGCTGGTTGTGACGTTCCTGAATTCCCCACAAGGCGAACTAACATTCCAACCGGTTGCCCTTTTCGAAATCCGGATATCCTGCCGAAATTGCACGGAATATTTATTAGTACTGAATTCTGCGCTAGGCAGCGTATATTTGAGTCCTAGGAACATCGTCATATTACATCAACAGCCTCGAACCAGCTCCAAGGCAAACAGGACGCGGTTGGGATCGTAGCCTTTATTGATATTTTTGTAGCGCCCTGAAGTTCGTTTCCCAATTTTTCTCTTCCTCGGATACTGTCGAATATCGTTTATTAGCCGATTTGCGCTCGTTGGGAGTAAAAATATTATAAAAAATAAAAGGATATTTTAATCTTCGAATTCGTAAGTCGTTATCTTCCCTTTTCGTCCTTTTGCATTGCATTCGCGTCGTCGTCTGTTTGCCTCTTACATCTTCAAAGAAAGAGCAGATTGGGCGAGCGAGGGCAAGAAGGTCTCCACTTCGGCCGTCGGCTCTTGTCCAATGCATGGATGGAATAATATTAATACCCCGCGAGACCCCATCCATCTCGGAATCATGGTTCCGAGAGTCCCCTATCACACTCGAGACACAACTTTCCTCGTATCTGTGACGATTGTTGGACGTCTGGATATCCCATGCAAACAAGCATGTTCCTAAAAGTCTTGTCCTTTTGCACAGCCTCTCTGTCGACATCATGTCTAGACTCTTGGTCTGCCAGGCTCCCTCGTATTTTACATCGCTTGCGTCTTCGGTCAGGTGCTCGCCAGCACGAGTGAGCTCGAACGGAGTTTTGGAAGACCGACGTCTTAAGTCTCTGTTTGAGTGGTCCACGCTAGCTCGAGCAGGGAACACGGCGCCCAATCATAGCTGCTGTTGGGGACAAGGCTTGCCGGTTGTGCCATGCTTTGCAGATGCTTGAAAGTTTGTGCAATTGGGGTTTTCTTCTCGATGCCTTCGTTGGTGCCTTTGCAAGCCCAAGAGAGACAAGTGCTTGTGTAGGTACTTAGTTGCTTAGGTAGTTGATCGTGATATTGATGAACTACCCAAATAACACACATGCAGCACCATCACCACCATCAATCTACAATCATCAGCTTGGTATTTCTTGTACTGACATCCGTCCCCAACTATCGCCTTCCCTATCAGTTTCCCTCTTGTCCACCTGATTTCTCCGTCTTGTCGTTCCTCCATCTTAGCTTTGCTTTAGAGCCCTTGTCAGCCGGTGGTTGGGTCGGGTTTTAGCGTCTTGTCACTGTACGTTTTGGTTTCTTGGAAACCCCTGTTCCTTTACTAGCTTCTCGCCTCCCTCGGGCCCCAGATTACCACTGCAATTATCATCCTGCATGTTCTTTGTGTGCATTTACATGTACCTGGTACCTGCCTGACTTCTCTTCTTCGTCCGGTTGAACTTGTAGCTGATTCTCGTCGACGTCCACCTTTGCCATCAGGATATCCTCGGATTCTCCTCTTCAGCAGCGGCAGCAGTCCCCTCGATTCGGCCGTTCCGCACCCTGTCTTTGGCCTGCCCATAAAGAGCACTGCTACGTAACTGAGTACTAGCATACTTACACCGCCTCTTTCCACCGACCGATTCTCCAATCGACAGAAAGAGCTTACGAATCAGAGCCCGAGCTGCTTTTAATTCTTCCAGATTTCCACTGCCACCTTTGGGCAAAGAGAGAACAGCAAAAGATAGGCCTTCTAGGGTTTTACGTCCAGCAAAGTTCACTTCTCAAGTTCAGCTTCCCTGTTTCAGCTGTCGAAAAGTCTGTTGAGTAAAGAATAAATAGGGCTCTGAGTTTGCTGGAATCTTGGAAAGAATCTTTTCTTCCCTCTCTTCCCCTTCTCTTCCCTTTTTTACTTTCTCTTCTTCTTCTTCCTTATTGGAATTCTTTGACGAACTCCTCGTCAGTTCGATAGCTTGATGCGTAAGTTCTACTTCTTTCCCCCCTGCTTCTCTTTTGGTGCTGGTTAGGTGGCGATTTCTAGTTGTCCTGAGGTGGCTGTCGCCTCTATCGGATCCCTAAAACGGTTCTGCAGGAGGTCACATGGCCTGGGATCACCATTCACCACGAGGCAACATATCAATCGCTGATATTACATTGATATCTCCACAACAAATATACTGACATTGGATTTTGAACTTTTAGACAAAGTTAAATCTTTTGCCCGATCCAAAGCGCATGCTCACGGATTCAATCCCTGGTCGAACGAAGCGGGCCAGCAAACCCCTGGTGCCGTAGAACTATCCCAAACTCAAAGTCCGACAACGGCAGCCGCTCGACGCGGCAGCACAGTAGCAGGACCATCATCCGACCCCAACGATCTCCTAAATGTTGTCTCTGAGCCGACGGGACGCCGGGGGGCGTCCCCAGATACTCGTCGCTCGAGTGCCATCTCCAGAAAGTCTCGTACAGAACCGAAGGAGCCCGAAATCATCACCGCCCCAACTATCGACACTATTAATACCGAACGTTCAGTGCACTTCACAACCGGCGACGGAAGGAATAATACCGAAAACGTCGGGGAACCACCCGACAACCCTCAAGAAGGAAAGGAGCAGAGTCTCTTGAAACGATTCAATAAGACGTTCTTTCAAATTCTTTTTCATTCATGGATCAACATTCTTCTGGTGTTTGTTCCTATCGGTATTGCCGTCGAAATCGCGCACTTGGACCCTACTATCGTCTTTGCGATGAACTGCATTGCCTTGGTTCCTCTAGCCGGGATGTTAAGCTATGCGACGGAGAGCGTCGCGCACCGCCTCGGCGATACTATTGGTGCTTTGATGAACGTAACTTTTGGAAATGCGGTTGAACTTATCGTTTTGTAAGTTTTTGCGTATATGATCTCTATTTAGGATTCTTAGCTAACTTGGATTTGATTTAGTATGTGAGTATTCGCTATTTTGGGGTTCTCTAGAGTACGAGTGTGCTAACTTAGACTTCCTTTCTACTAGTATCGCACTTGCTAAGGTTAGTCACAGATGCCTGATGGCGTATATGAGAATACTAGCTGATAATCATATAGGATGAAATATCCGTCGTACAAGCATCCATAATTGGCAGCATTTTGTCCAATCTCCTTTTGATTCTTGGAATGAGTTTTCTCCTTGGTGGTCTCCGTTTCCGAGAACAGATCTACAATAGCACTGTCACGCAAATGAGCGCTTGCTTACTGAGCATCAGCGCCCTCAGTCTGCTGCTTCCGGTATGCAACATCCTTGCGGTCGCCATTTTAACTACTACTAACATGTGTATAGACGGCCTTCCACGCTTCTTTCTCCAACGCCGATCTTGCGGATATCGCAACCTTGCGAATCAGCCGTGGTACCAGTGTGATCTTATTATTGATCTATATCATCTACCTGCTATTCCAACTTCGGTCTCATGCTTACTTGTATGCATCGATACCTCAACATGTTATCGACGAGGAATCCCACCCTGGTATCCTTCATCATCTTGGTAGCTCGTCATCATCATCGTCGTCTTCGTCTCGACGCAGTTCAATGTCTTCGAGCTCCTCTAGTTCGTCTGGTGGCTTTGCTCGCTCTATTCGTGACAGGATTCGTCGGATGAGCCACCCAGACCAAGAAGGCAGAAATAGCACGCGCTCGTCAGCAGCGTCTCACCCGTCTCACCCCTCATCCCCAGAACACGACTTAGAGCGTAGGGGTCGCCCTATTTTCACCTCCGAGAAGCCTGCTCTCCCATCGTTCAGTTACTCAAATACAGCCGGCCAAGATGTTGCTATTTTCGATGGCGAAGATCGTCAACAGAACGCCGACGGTCCTTCAGACCACGGTAACCGAGAATCGAGAGAGGAAAATCCTGAGCTGACTAAAGCGAAGCACTCATTACGTGCGATGGCTCCTAAGTTGTTTTCGAGATCTGGTGCCTCACCTTCTCCTACACCTACGCCTATCGCCATTGCTCCGGGATTGGTAGCGGAACAAATCCGGCCTCTTGCCCGTAGGGCTACTTCCCTTCCACCCCGTCTCACTGAGGAAGTTTCTGCGCGTGACATGTTACCGTACATGATACCTTTGAATGTCTCGGATGATTCCCTCGACGACTCCAAGGAAAAACAGGTTATCAGTCGTACATCTGCTATCATTCTACTGCTAGGTTCTACTGGTCTTGTGGCCGTATGCGCCGAGTTCATGGTTTCCAGTATCGACTCTGTTATCATTTCGACAGGTATCTCTGAAGCATTCGTTGGTTTGATCCTTCTTCCGATTGTGGGTAATGCCGCAGAGCACGTAACCGCCGTCACCGTGGCCGCAAAAAATAAAATGGACTTGGCCATTGGCGTTGCGGTTGGTAGTAGTATCCAAATTGGTAGGTTTTCCCTTCTAAAATCATTTTCTTCAACATTAATTAACAGCTTGTTTATAGCACTTTTCGTCACTCCACTTGTTGTACTTCTTGGTTGGATCTTGGATAAGGATATGGGTCTTTATTTCAACATTTTCGAAACCGTTGCACTATTTACTAGCTGCTTCGTTGTTAACTTCTTAGTGTTGGATGGACGAAGTAATTATCTCGAGGGCGCACTGCTCTGTGCGTCGTACATAATCATTGCGTATGTAACCTCCTCTTGATGCCCTAGGATTTATTTGGAGACTAATAAAGCTTTAGGGTCGCTGCATTTTTCTACCCCAACGAAGAGCAACGTTCGCCAATCGGCGCGGGGCCAAATTAGGTATCGATCTCGCGAGACAACGATCTGGTGAGAGTTATCTAGTTATGGTAACCTAGCAACCCTTTAATAACGTCTCTACGACAAGGTAACAGGTCTGGGATTGGATCCCAATGGCAAACATCAAAAAGTAGTAATTTCGCCGCGAGAACTGCATTTCATTCAACTCTGCCTTTTCCTTATCCCACTGCGCACAAAAATACCACTGTCTTCTTCCTATTATTATTCTTTTTTTCCCAATTGTTAATGTTTCTAATGATATCACATCTGCATTGATTGTCCTTTCCGAAATTGTTTTATAATGAAGTGGTTGGGCGACGGCGGCAGCGAGGCTCTTTTTCTTTCCTTTCCTTCTCTCACTCCCTTTTCTCGATACTGAGATTTATGATTCTTATGATGGACATTATAACGACCAACTCGGATAATTCCTATTTGCAACTTTCGTTCGTTGAACTGGAGGTTGTGGCTTAACCCTTTTTCTTCGCTGTGCATCTACTACTAGGTCTCGTACGTGTACTCGTGACTTTTGGATACCGAGTGTATCATTCATAGCCACAAAGTAAAAGCGAGCATGGGTGGGGTCAAGCCTGATCCGATCGACCAGAAATCAAAGTGGCGTAATGATTGCATACTACTATTGATTGATAGATCCGATTCCGAAACAGAGTGACGTGACTGTTGACGTTGTTAGACCCGGATGTGGGAGGTTTCGACTGTAATCTCAATTGATACCTCTTTTACCCCGCTCGAGAAACTTGATGTTAAGACAAATACGACGGTTCTCTTAGTCTGGCCTGGCCTGCTAAAAATGGGTGGTGTCGACGATCCCTGCCCGAGGATATACCTGTTGCGGACGACTTCCGATTTTGGATGTTTGTGACATCGGTCGCAACGCAGAGAGGTGTTGGATTTTGACTTATGTCATTCGGCCTCACATTTCGAGATAAGAACTACCCGTGAATTTGATGAAAAGTTGTTCAAAGAGATGGAGGTATATTTGAGGATATTATCGGCAGTACATTGAAGCTGCTTTGAGATTTAGGAACTTTGGGGCATGTCGTTATCTCCTTGAACATATAACATATAAACTTGTAGGCGAGTATATATACGTATAGTGCTCGGCTCAGCGAGCTGGCGTTGAGGAAACACATGTGTGCATTCCCAAAACATCACAACAGCTACAGTCACAGAACTAGCTTCACCAAGGAATGGGGACGCGTCGGCCTGATATTATCACCAGATTCTATATTAAACATAGGGTCCCTAACAAAAATAATTTTTTTAAATACCCCGCCAAATTTCAGAATTCTAGTTTCTTTAGAATCGTTAGAGTCCGAAGTTTCACAGTGTATAGCAGTTTTGTGATATAGATGATTCGTTCTTGCAGAATATGTGGCCAAAGTTGATGCTTCCATCAATTTAAAATCACTAGTTTTGAACTCCAAAATGGTCATGTGACCGGGATTTTGTGATTGACGTAATCTATAAGAGAGGCCAGCATGGGCTCGGCGCAACTTTATGTCTTCTCTGCCAGACTAGTGTCAATATACCTATGTGTACGCCAGCTAGGACGTCTATGCCAACGAGACTAAGTTTATGTATTCTCTATTTAGAAACGTCAACGTTTTTAGCCATACTAGAAGTCGACGCTAATGGAACATCAGCCTCCGAAGGAGCCTGAATCACCAACTGCCAGCTATCAGCGCTCCCCGCACTAGAATAGCTCTCAGGTGTACCATCGCTCCCATCTCCATCCATCTTTTTCTTTTTCTGCTTATTCTTTTTTCTCTCTTCCTCCTTTTGCTTCCTAAAATCTTCCTGAATTTTTGCTTCGCATTGATCACAGTATCTTGAGTATTTGGTACGGATGCGTCTCCACCCGGGACATAAGCCTAATGGTAGTCTGTCCTTTGATGTGAAGTATCCTGTTGGATCGGCTTCGACCATGTTTGCGTAGATATTACAAATGGTTACCACGAGGGCGCTGCCGTGACCACATCTTAGGAAGTGGTTGGTTTCTTCGAGGCACATTTTTTGAGTGTATATAATATTCGTAGCTAGTAGGCACTGGATCAGAGGGTTTAATAAGTTAAATGGATGAATGGGTTTGATCAAAGGTTGTCATCTAAAGCTTCTGGTCTACAGAATTTTGGGTGCTTCGCTCGAAACGTTTGTAGGTATAGGTGCCTACAACTACATGGTAGCTACTTGTTTTGCAAATTTTCAGGTGTCCTTTTTTTGCTAAGTGTTCGACTTATTCAAGCTCTGGTTTCTACGTCTTAAGTTGCGCCGAGATTGGATAGTTAAGACATATACACACCTAGGAATTATTGAGCAGTAATGGAGCGCTGTAGTAGCTTTCTCGACTTGGCAAGAATACATCTAATTATTCGAGGTTGAAGGTTTGATATTATGTATCATAAGCCCTCCGCCTCGAGCGCCTGGATTCGAGGCTATCATAAGCCTAGCTTTAGCTCACCACCTACTTGAATCTCATGCAAGCTATTTTATGAGCTTGGCATGTATATACATATAGGCGTTAGCAATAACCAAATGAAGGCTTGCCATAAAGCTAAACAGGAGGTAGTCTTGTGCACAGGAGGATAAAATGGCTATAAGTTCTAAAAACTCGGCATATAGACAGTGGGCCAAGTTTGTATCCGTATATATCACATCGGCGGAAAATCACGTTATCCAAAAAGGTCCTGTAGTTCAACTGGTAGAATGCCTTGGGGCTCTGTATTCCCTGGAGATGATGAGAGGGGAGCAGGTCAAACACGGGTACGGGGACGTGCGTACCCGATCCCAAGGAGAAGACCGTTCGAGTCGGCCCTTGACCATTCAAATACTTTTTTTTCATCATATGATCATCGATCCTTATGTTAAAGAAAAGGCAGGCGTTGAGGTGACTAGTGTTGAGGTGAACAGTATACTGGTGTGGTATAAAGTCTTTTTTTTAGTCCTTAAAAGGAGTCGGAAGGTTGAAGTAGTAACAAAAATAGGTCCTGTAGTTTAACGGGTAGAACACCAGCGTCGTTATTCCGGGAGACCGGGGTAGCGGGGTACGGAGGGTAGTGTCCACCGGGTGGGCTCATCCTCTTACGCTGCGTCTGGAGGAGACCGTTCGAGTCGGCCCTTGACCATAACTTTTATTTTTTGCAATTTTGGGCTATTTTTTGTCTCTTTTGGGGGTTTCTGCGGCGGGTTCGAAGTGTAGGGATTGGACGGGGTGTGAAGGGGAGTTACTCCGTTATGATTTGTTTTTCAATATAACGTCTCTCCGGAGCTTCATCAATGGTGGGGGAGTTAGGGTGTCAGGGTAAGTTTTGATATCTACTTAAGCAATTGCTTAGTTACAGTCTTGAGATAATTAGAATTAGTTGTTCTCGCAAGGAAAGGACAGTTCACTAGATTAGACTCTGAGTCTTGATAGACAAGCTTCGATTCGAGACCTGTTTTTCATTACAAATTATTAGACGTCGATGAAGGCTATCAAAAGCATAAATCAGCCCGAATTTAGGCCCGAAATCGAGATTCGAGTCTGGAAATGTGTATCGAAGTGGTTTTGCAAATTACAGATTGTAAATACTCAAATCTAAAGTTCAAGGCGTAGTTCCATATCCAGAGACTTAAACTAGTATATGAAAGTTACAATAGCGTCCTCCCCCTTCTCCTCTAATGGGATCCCCTTTCCGGTGCGATATTCACATACGCGGCATTGTTCCTCATTAACATCATATCCCTCCTTAACTTTATAATCCGGACAGTCCTTAATCTTTTTAATCGATTGATTTCCTGTTTCTGGATTTCTATCCTCAATCACTTGAAAACAGATACCGAATTGAATCCCGACGTGGGCGTATGGACAGTTCATGAAGAAGAGTTCTTGAGAGAGACACATGGCCACTATTCGACACTCGTTGTGTTGGTGTATTCGAATTCTAGGTTTGTTGGTATCTTGGAGGATAGCTATATATATAGTAGGGCAGTTTGCTGTTGGGCAAATAAGTGAGTTGGTTGGGGATCTTGTCGTTGTCTCAAATCAGACTTCCCAAACAATGATATTGCGTACTGGCTTTATAATTTAGTATTATTTGTGGTAGTTAACGTTATAGAGTTAAATTTACGGGGACTTTAGTGATGACAGAAACTAGAACTCCGAGAAAGAAAATGTTTTAATCTCTTTTAACACAATAACAATGGGTTTTTTTTATTTCGGCAGCTTGGATCTATCCAACTACGAATTCATGACGCGAGATATTATATTGCTACGGTGGTACATCGTTATTAATTTGACAAGTCTTAGCTAGTAACTGTATTTTGTTTGACTGGAATATACAAAGACACTTATCACTATATATAAGCTCAAATATGAGGTTTTGACACTTCCCAGGGCGATTAACACATATGCATAGTCTCGAGTTAATTAAACGCTAGTATCCTCTCTTTAGAGCGATAATCATATATGTATACGGCATTGTTCTTCATTAACATTATACCATAAGACATATACTAATGTGGTGACTCTTCGCGTACCTAGCCCTCAAAGTAGAATCAAAACAAGAGCTTCTTAATTGAGTTTTATAAAAAGTACAGTGTGTAAAAGATAGCTACAGGGACTCATTTCTGCTTCTCCAAAGAAAAAAGAAAAAGGGATTTCCAGCTTGATCATTCAAGGTAGGTGAAATCTAGCATATCTGCCCCTGTCGAATTTAAAGGCGGCGGGGTTTAAAAGACCTCCCGCCGCTTCTTGGGTAGTCAGCCATGTATCAAACTGAATCCTAGGCAAGGGAACGGGTGAATTCGGTGTTGCAAGAGGCCAAAGCTGATTTCTTCTAAGTCGCATGTTGAAGGCCGTATTGACAGACCATTGGGCCATCTTTGTTTCGACGTCAATCATAATGGCGGAGATATAGTTATGGAATCTGAAAGCCCAACTATCCGGAAATCCTGCAGGGATATTGACATCTGCTTCACAAAAGGAACCCGGGGTAGATCTCGGTGGGTGAAGCGATCCATAAGGATCACGATCAAATGCATCACTATGAAAACCGTTAGTTGTGAAACATAAATCAAAATCTAATTGCAAGTGTAATATCTTACAATTCAGCTTCGAGTCGATTGAAAACGCGAACCCATGTCGCGGAGACGATTGGATCGTTGAGGTACTGGAAGACGCCCTGTATTCTGGCGATTTGCTCTATGAACCTGTTCAAACTTAATCCAGCACCCCATTGGTTAGGGTTAGTAGTTCCAGTTAATATTTTGTTTTTGGCGTTGTTGGCACGCTTTTCGAGGAGTACGAAGTCTTCCAGGAACCCATGGCCCACAGCTATGTTGTAAAAAGACATATGGCCGACCATCCACCTCGAGAAATCTTCACCAGTGTTCTGATTGTATCTGGAGTTTTGTACGTTGTTTGTTCTGAAAAACATTTCTGCAAGACCAGGACCGTTCACATCGGCGGCGCAGGGGGCGCACCCAATTTGGCGCATCCGATCAAAGAAGCCTTTCAAGAAATTGTTTTCAAAAGGATGTTCCTAGATTTTCTTAGTTTCAAAGCAAACTAAATATTGAGGATCAGAGTTATGGGCAGTTAAGCGGCTTACAGTTTGGTAGGAGGCTGCGCCTGCAGCTGGTAATCCTGGATATTTAAGTTGCGGTGCTGGGAACTCATCGATATACCACCAACACTGGGTCTGTCCCTGGGGTGTCCAGAAAGCCAAATCGTAGTAAGGTATAGTTTGGGCCAGACCGTTGTTAATCATGTTGGTGTAGATTGCAATAAATTCTGACGAGGATGGATAATCCAATGTTGTATAGGTCAAGGCTGGGCACAAGCTCAGTCTATAGAGAGTACCGGCTATGCGCTTTTCGAGTCGTTTGGGTGCTGATTGCATGGGTTCCGATCTAGCCAATTTTAGACCGGGATTAATGCAGCCGCCCAAGCCACACGGGCAAGGCTCTAGCGCCTCGGGGTCTTGTGGACCATCTGGGTCATCATCTGGGTCATCATCTGGCGGATCAGTCGGCTGAACGGGACCCGCCGGCCCACCATATGTTTGGATGTCCCGGTGCCAAGTTATTACGCTGTATAGGTCGACAGCTATAATCCAATGTCAGTTTTTATAGTGAATCTGATATTAGAAGCAATGGTACCGACCAGCTTTCGCAACCGCCTATGTAGTTTCAGGCAACAGTTAGTGGGTTTGCCACGGTCCCATGAAGATTGTTTATATCAAGGGTATTTATAAATTCAATGTGGCCTTTGACTTACATTTACCAGAACGCCTGCTGCTATTCCTTGCCCAGCCGTTGTTGCATCTATAGCCAAAATTTCACCTCCTCGCTGGGCGATAACTGCACCTGTAGGTTAATTATCAACTATTAGCGTTTGATATTCTAGCTGTATACTTCCCTGGACTAGACGAGAAAAAGCGAACGGGGAAAAACCCGGAAACTTAATCGACACACCTACCTTGCCTTTGTGCTGGAACCAGCGCTTGCATTTCGAATTGTTGTGGTGCTTGCTAAATAGTACGTTCCTTTAGCCGTATGAAACTAGTTGATGTATGTGTATTTTTGAAGCTAAAGCTTACTGGCCGATTCAGGAGATATCTATCGAGATAGGCTCCGATTTTTCTCCGAGCCTGTTGCATCCTTGCTTGGAAGCGTATATTAACACCGACTGTGTTCAGAAAGCCATAATTAGTACTATTTTTCTCGATAAGCATAGATAAGATTCCCTGAAATGTTTTGGCTGTAAACATGTATTCGATTTCACTTACGAACTCTCTCCGTCCTTAGCCTAGCCTGTACCCAGCTGCCAGCAAGTCGAGCTACCCATGCGATGGGTATGAACCTCTTATGCTTGTTTCCACCCTGCTGACTTTCATCCTCTGCTTGTAGCCTTTGACTTTCATATTCCGCCAAGTTACGTTCCATTAGCCTTTCACCTTGATAGAGCTCCTCCATCAAAGCAATCATCCCAGGTACATCGATATCGTCGAAATCGGTATTCGAGTACAGGGCATTTTTCAAAGATCCACCGCAAGCTTGGTCAGATTTGCCCGCACAGGGGGTATTGCACTGGTCAATGTTTGCATCTTGATTAGAGCTTCCAAGCTCATCGCCCCAGTAGCAGGTGTTACCACCTTGTACTGCAGCATATCTGTAACTGAAGGCGAGTTCGAAACACTTTTCAACCGTCATAGCACTATCCACTTTGGAGTTATCGAGAGCTCGGCTACTCGCACTATCGGTTCTGCAACCGACGAGTGACCAGGCATCATTACCTTCGTGAACACTCGGTAAGTCCGGTTCTGTTGGTTCTTGTGGTTCATGATAGTCTCCATTGGTATAGAGGGAGAGCCGGTTTCCACCACCACATATTTGAGAATTGTCTCCCGCACACGCAGCATTACAATCTCCTGAAGCTGCTGGCGCAGAGGAGCTCTTCAAGGCGTTGCCCCAGAAACATTCATTGTGGTACTGCACTGCGGCGTACTTGAAGCCCGAGGCAAGCTGCAAACATTTTTGGATGGTCATTGCAGAGTCAGTGCTACTGTGGTCCAAACCTCTTGACTCTACACTATCGGTGTAGCAACCGTTAGACGTCCATGCCCCCAGGTTTGGAGTGTTTGGAGGTTGAAACGAAGGATTTTTATCTTAAGTTGAACGTATCAATCAGTATCTGCAGATCCGCTTCAAGATGTGCTATTATAGGCCGACTTACATAGCTGGATTCTATTACCACCACCACATAATTCGTTTGCTTTCCCAGGACATGGCATGTTACAGCCGCTGGACTCACTCTGACTGCCGCTTAGAGTATTTCCGTACCAACATTCCTGGCCGTATTCCACACCAGCGAAATTATAACCAGCGGCTCTAGCCATGCATGCAGCGATTGTCATGTCGTTAGCATCGACGTATTGATTACTTAGGACCCTCGAATTCACATCATCAGAATAGCAACCATAGTATGTGAATCCATTTGTGCCGGCGTTAATAGTTGGGGTTGCTGCGCCCGTCGTAGTTGTTGTCGTCCGACTAGTAGTCGTAGTGCTCGTTGTCCCTATGATATATTAGCACTCCCCTGGAATCATAACCTACTATTTCCATGTTGACAGAAAGTTGAAAATGGCAACTTACCTTGTGGGACTTGATTAATGGCCTTAGAAAAGCAATCCGTACTCGTAGCTCTATTAGATATTAAAATACCAAAGCCACAATTGCTATTCGTAGAAGAAGCAACCCCGCCGCATCGATTTGCGCACGAGAGTATCTTTCGAAAGTTACCTCTAATAGCAGAACCCTCCAATTTAGGTGGTGGTGTTCCGTCATTGCAGGTATATGAAATCATAGCAAGAGCGCTGTCCCCAGATTTAAGGGCAGAAGAGAAAATGACGGGCTCGTTGCCACCGCCATAGAATAGGCCGGTTTGAAACCTATTAATGGCATTGATGACAGCTTCTTCATGAAGGCTACTGGAATCGCAACCATCACCGACAGTGATACATTGAACGGTTTGCCCATTGAGACCTGGACAGGCCGATAGCCCGGCGAGGACTAAGAAAATGCCTTTGAGACGCATTTTCACAAAATTTTGACGACTTGCCGCCTAAAGATGAAAAGCTGCTTGGAGAAAGTATATGAACTGGTCGGCTTCTATAGCTATTCATAAATATAAAAACGATGCTACCGTATACCCCACGAACACGAACTAGCGGCTAGCGGATGTAGTACGGTGTGTAAGAATATGGATAAGTGTGCCCGATCTCGAAGGAGCTCTGAATTTGGCCCTGGCCTCCTCTAGCGTGTATCTAGGCCGGGCTTTTGCACCGATGTAGGCTCAGCTCATTCGATTACTTCATATGAACACTTCGTGGCTGATATAACAAGACAAAGAGCGAACATGAAGTAATAATTGAGTTAGCGAATTGAGCAGGGAAGGTGCCCCACAGGACGGGTCGGAACCTGCGCCAGCGCGTATTCCATCCGAAAATTTTGCGAAAAGACCCAGTTCTGGAATGCTGGAAGTCTGCTACCTTCGATTACTGATCAAAACATATGCAGGACAGCTAAAACTACCTATATAATTGTTCAGCAGATCCAGCCACGCGGTAGGGTGATATCGGGGAAGGTTTATGCATATGCTGACATGGGATCTTGGCGCAGGGCCGCAGTCGGTGTAGCCCGAGGTGAGTAGTTTTCGGCGAGTGACTAGGACACAACCTGGCTATAACCGAGAGCTTAACTGGACTGCAAAGCCCGTGCCTTGCCCTTTGTGCACATAAAACAGCCAATCTTGATCTTGTAGCTTCATTATAATATTATCAGGCGTACTTACTTGTCCCTGAAGCTGATGCAGGTTTTATATAATTATAACAGTAGCACAGTACAAGTTGATACGTAACCCTACCGGCTATATATCCGTACATACTTCGTACTAGTCTGGAGGCAAGACAGGTGCGAGTTCAACTTCATACATAAATTTTCAAGCGCAATTCTAGTCGTTCAAGTCGAAGAATTAGTTTTCGCCGTATGCATGGGAACCCCGCTCTATTGTGAAGAAAAATAACAGGATGCAGATGTTTGTTTGCCATCGTAAAATCGAGATTCTTGACCCACTTTCCTATGCGCCAGGGCCAGGTTCGGTTGGCTGGCACCAATCGGTCGGGCCAAACTGCCAACGTTAACGTTAGTTAACCCACTCCGGTTTTGCCTGTGATCCGATCCTTTTAGATACTTTTAAATTTACCCACACCGCAGTTTAATAAAGTTCTCTTTCGCACTTTCGCAATTTGGAGATGTAAGCTGAGACACTGCAGGCATACAGAAAATCTCGATTGATGCAAGGTCGTGATACTCGAGTTCTCGAGGATATGGCTGCGGTCCGAGACCATGCAGTCATGGTTGCGCGCAAGTCGGAGCTCGACGCCATGCAGCAGGCCCGTTATGAGGGGGCATTGTTGCGGTATTTTGCCGGTGAGGAGTGATAGCTAGCAGAGTAAACCGCCCCACAGATAGGTGACCAGGGTCGGCTCTCGACCTCAATTGAACAGCTCTTCATACAGCACTAGCATCTACCCATAAGACAGGAAGAAAAATGATCCCGCTATTAGCGCTGAAGTGAACATAGTTATATTAGGACCGATTCTTGCAAAATGGGCGATTTTGTTCACGTACCTGGCAGCAGCTCCACGGCTTCCTGGCTATATTATCAAAAATGCTGGGTGATTCAATTTCAAAAACCATTGTGGCCCTTTGCGTCCTCAGCATATCCAGTTCGACGGTGCTTGCATATCCCTACAAAGATGGCACCGGGTTACGGTACAATCTGAGGAAAAGAGGACCGGAGCTTTGTCCTGCACGGTACCAAGCCGGACTGGTTCCTTTCTTCGCTTTCCCCCAGTCGGTCTTTGTCGCGATTACCACCACTGCTCCTACCACCACGGCTAGCAGGTAAGCCAGAATTTGAACCTTCTACATGTTGTAGATCAGTTACATATTGGGTAATTTCTAACGTCGTATGAAGAACACCTACAACAACGAGCTCTGTTAGCTCGAGCGCTCAAACCACAACCACCACAGGGCCGGCGACTACACCAAGCACCACTGCAATTACTACCACCAGAACAACTACTAGCTCGACAACTACTCCTTTCCAAGTAGTTTGTCCGAGCTCACCACCTTCATGCCAAGCGAGCGATTGTTCCGGCACAGTGGTTGGCGGCACTGCCGCCTGTCGGTCCACAAATCTCGCACAATGTAGCTGTATTCCGTCCGTGAATACGCCTGGCTATACTTGCCCCAATCAGAGCTGTAGCGCAAATAACTGCAACGGCAGCTTCGACAATAATGGTGCAGGTTCAACTTGCAAAAACTATGGAGCGGGTTGTCCCTGCACGCCAACCACAGCCATGTGTGGTACAACTCAAAGTTGTGACGCTGGTGGATGCGCAGGAACATTTGATTCTGGAACAGTAGCTACTTGTAAAGCGAACTGGGCTACTTGTCGGTGCGATCCGAGCCCCAATACTTGTGGAACACCTCGAGATTGTGATGCAAACGGTTGTGCTGGAACATTTGATCCAGACGGGGTCGCCACTTGTAAAGCTAACTACGCTACCTGCCGCTGCAACCCGACATCTAATAATTGTGGAAATGCTGCATCGTGTGATGCCGGTGGGTGCGCTGGAAGTTTTGATTCCAATGGAATCGCTACCTGCAAGGGTGCTTACGCCACCTGCCCCTGTAACCCAACGCCAAATACTTGTGGAAACATTCAAACTTGTGATACCGATGGATGCGCTGGATCATTTAATTCCGATGGTAGAGCTACTTGCGTAAGTCACTCAACCAAATATCATTAATTCGCTGCATACCAATACTAACGTCTTTCTAGAAAGGGAGGTATGCGACCTGCCCATGTACTCCCACCCAAGGTAGTGGAGGAACCTGTGGGAACCGCGCAGGCTGCGATTCTGGCAATTGCGCCGGTAGTTTCGCTGGCCTTGGTAATGTCCCATACCCGCGATGCACCAATGCTTATGCGGGTTGTAACTGCAACCCAACAGATAATACATGTGGTACCCCGAGGAGCTGTGCAGACAATGGATGCAATGGAGCATGGGATGGAAATACAGGTATAGCCCGCTGCACCGGTAATTTTATAGGGTGCAGGTGTATTCCGACACAAGGCAGTGGAGGCACTTGCGGAAACCGCGCAGGTTGTGATTCTAATAATTGCGCTGGTAGCTTCTCTGGCCTTGGTAATGTCCCATACCCGCGGTGTACCAACGCTTATGCGGGCTGTAACTGCGACCCAACAGATAATACATGTGGCACCCCGAGGAGCTGTGGAGACAACGGGTGCAATGGTGCCTGGGATGGAAATACGGGTATCGCCCGCTGCACCGGCAATTTCATCGGATGCAGGTGTATTCCTACACAAGGCAGTGGTGGCACTTGCGGAAACCGCGCAGGCTGCGATTCTAACAATTGCGCCGGTAGTTTTGCTGGTCTTGGTAATGTTCAATACCCGCGATGCACCAATGCTTATGCGGGTTGTAATTGCAACCCAACAGATAATACCTGTGGCACCCCGAGGAGCTGTGGAGATAATGGGTGCAACGGTGCATGGGATGGAGATAGCGGCATTGCGAGGTGTACTGGTAACTTTATAGGCTGTAGATGCAACCCTACGTCAGCCACTTGCGGTGCAAGAGCTAGTTGTTTCAGTGGTGGGTGTGCCGGGCGAAGAGGGGGTGATGGTGTTTGGCGGTGTACACAGAAGTATGCACCATGCGGTTGCTACTACAATTCCTTCTGGGGATTCCTCGATAGAGATGCAGGGTACACTGGAGGCAGATACGAGCTTAGATCGAACGACAACGAGTGCAGTAAGTGATAGACATGCAATCCCCCAATTTTGAAGCCGTAAACTTTGGTTCTGTATACTGACTTGATCATCTTCTAGCGAATTTGCCGTCGAACTGGAATGACGTCGCCAGCTCGATTTCGGTCATTTCTTGGGTTGTAAACTGTCAGTTTTATGAGTATGTTCTCCCCATATTGTTGGGAATCTAGCCCCTCAAATAAGAACACTTGACTAATCGATATGGCGTTCTAGGAATATAAACTGTGGTGGGCTTAGTATTTATGGTACTTCGCAGCGTAACGCCGGGAATAACCCTTGGGACCTCCAAGGCGCAAACTCTTACTTCAACGACAAGATTTCTTCTTATAAGTGTTGGCTTGATCCTCTGACTTGGTGTGGGGATACACCTTGCCATGGATAATAGAGATGTTAATGTATCTTTTTATAAATTTTGTTGCAAATTTTGTCATACATGGAAATTTGTATTCATATGTGCGCAAATAGCTCTAAATCTCCCGCACGGAGTCCCACCCTTCTGAAGGGTGGATATATAAATATGTGACTGAGCCTATTCTAGAAAAGATTTTGAAATTGGCTTGGGGTTGGACATCCCTTTCAAGCTTTAAAGACTAGTTAGCGCCTGTACGCCGTATAAAATTCATGCTCGTATTCGAATCTTAATTGGAAGTCGATTCGTTGACTTTTAAGTTCGAATCTATAGACTGAAATCCTGGGCCTTGCGATCCATGTGCTCGAGGCTTCCAGACAAAATCTGGAGCAGGGGCAGGAATCAATGGTTGTGCCGCTAAGTTAACCCTCTTTCGGAACTGGAGAAAGAAAATGACTAAAATAACGAGTAGAAACCCTCCTCCGCCCCCTGCACCAGCTGCGGCCGCTATTATAATTTTCTTCTTCCGTTTGCTATTGGCTGGTTCGTCCCCAGCTATTTCGTCAAGCTTAGGGCTCTTAGGGCCCCCTAATTCGATAATTTCTTGTTCGGTTGCGTTTATATTTGCAATTGCAATTGCTGTAATGGTCTCTGATTGGCTCTCGCTAGGTTTCATGACAACATGGGCACGACTGCTCGAGTTTATTTCCGTTAGAAAAATCAATGGCATATGTATAATAAGCCGCAATCTAGGTAGATACTTTCCTCAAAAATGGCCCCCCAAGAATAAATGAATATCCCTCAATATCGTCTGTCGAAGAGATCGATAGAATACAAATATTGGAATAGTTGGCGACGATGCCACCGATACTACTGTAGACCCGCGGCGGTGCTACAGTTTTCAGGTCCTCGAGGGGTATTCTGATTACCACGGTCTGGAAATCAAATTCGATGGCAACACTAGGGTCGATGGTGCCATCGCATGTAGTATATAAATATTTTTTTATGTCGCTACTTCCAATGGGAAATGCTATTGGTACTGCGAAACGAAGGCTTTCGAGTACATCGGAAGGGACAACGATGAACCTGTATATTCCGTTTTTATACATAGATCAACGATTAGTGAGAAATGATGGGGAGTGGCAGATTTTGGATATAGATATATGCTCACGGTGTTCCTGGAGAAATCAATGCGGTGGCTTTCCTTGGCTGGACGAATTTATTATATAGCTCTTCAAAGCCATCACTTGCGACGACTTTAACCTTGGGAGTTGGAACCTCCCCTAGAGCGCCAATGCCTTTCCAGTAAGTGAAGCCTCCATAAAGTTTCTTTCTATCAACCCCTCCAATTACAATTTGACCTCCAGTTCCGCGTGGATTTCTGATATCATAGAAACTGATGTATGGCTCAAAGATCTTGCCTTGTTCGACAAGCGCTGCTGTATAGCTCATAGAACTTGAAAAATTCTCTCGTGGTGTTGCGATCCCGAGTCCAAGAAATGGTGGTACGTCCCAAGTATCACCAACTCCAAAACGTAGATTGACAGATACTCCATTTGTGGTCACAACATCATCGTAAAAATAACCTCGTATCTGGGATAACGAACGTAAGTTAGACAAGAAGCGATTGCGATCATTTTAGTGCTAGGACTAGATCAATAAGTTGTACCAAATCACTCGTGGAACTTCCTGAGCGCAGAGTAAAAGGAATATTAGTAGAGTTGCCGTTCGGAGAGTCTATTTGGGAAAAATACAGTCATTGGGTATACTGAATATTATCGATAATGAAATGGGGAACGGGACTGGGTCACACATACAATATCCACTAATCCGGGCTAAATTGCAAGTTTTCGTATTGACCGATTGGTCGCCGCAAAACCTTTCTTTAGACTCTATGTCTGGGACCCATGTTTCATGTCGAGCAGATAATCCAAGGTTGAGGGGCTGACTATCTATTTTCGATGATGGTGGTCAATTCTCTTTAGATTCCATCATGGTATTTTAAAGGTTCAAAAAATTGCCAGTTTTCCTACTAGGGCCAAAGTTGAGTCTGGTAAAAACGGCTAGATCGAGCTCTCCGTCTTCAGTGTAGTTCTAGTCGGCAATTGACTAACTGTCAGCTACTAGCTTCCCTCATAGCTCATTAAAGTAGCTTGGCTAATAAATATACGACTATAAAAGAGATGCATAGCGAAAACAGGTCACTTACACGGAATGTCGGAAGTATAACATGTCTTTGCGCAATTGGTGCTTGTCGTGGCTGCTTCAGCGAAGCTACATTCCCCGGTTTTCGCCAATAAAATGATGTAGGCCGTACTGTGTTGAAATCATGAAGGTCGGAGAAGCACCACGCCGAAAGCAAAAGACTAAGAGTAATGGAGATGGCGGTTAATCGGGCAATAGCCAGAGCTAGGTACGGAAAACGTTGTTTTGTTGTCATTCCCAGGCTTGTGGTCGATGTACGATAACGAACTGAGTTATTGAAAACCGGACACACGTAAGTGCATGGACGCATTATAAAGAGAAAACCACCCGAACTTTATGTGGACCGAAAAGGTCAATCTCCATCGATGGCGACAGCCAATCGGCGTGCGACAGAACTTCCCCTCCTTGTAGTGTTAATTTCAGCCTCACGATGGCGTTGGGATTTTGCATGCTGCACCTTGGCTTTCGGTCGATTTGGCGAGAAAGTTGCCGCCAAGCTTGAGCGCTCACTTTGCTTGAAGGCTACGATTGTTCTAAATCTGTACTGCTATAGCGATTGCGATCTCCGTGAACTCGGAGATATTTATGAGCTTTTCTTTACTGTGATAGTTCAACCGATCCCTTCATCGAAAGTGCTTGGTACTAATGTACTGATGGCTAGTATAGTATCCTAGCCTAGGCTCTCGGATCGCGGAGTGCGCAAGAAACACGCTGATGATACGCCCTCCTCTCTCGAAGTATTGTGTTGGATGTTGTATTTTTAAACATCCTGATTGGCCAAGATTGCCAAGTAGTATGACCAAAAAGAGCGTCAGAACAGCGAAAGATAGCTTTGGTCCTCAGGCACGAACATCAGGCGCGGGGTATGACTACAGGCTCAACTGCTGGACATCACACGACGACAATTGATTATCACAGTTGACTTAAGTACGCGCAGGCGCAGGCCAATTGGCCATAAACGCTGGCCGAAGGGTCCACCCCGCCGCCAGGATGTCTCCCTCCGTCAGCGCCTTCTCCTTGAGAATGCTCAGACGTCGGTTGATTACACCAGTTAATCGACTTATTTACCGTTTCACGATGAATCCCAATCCAAGGTCTTCTCCGGCTTTTACGTCGCAAACCATCACTCTGCCTCATCTACCAGAGCTTTATAAGCCCAACTTTTTGGATATACTGCTCCCGGCGCCTGCAAAGGATCCGGTGGCTGCTATCAAGAATGCACCTGCTTCGGAGAACCCGATGATGTCAGCGCTGGAAGATATTGGCAATCAAGTTCGGACGGAGAATGATGCTCCGGCATTACGCTCTACAAAGAGCCCACTTTTGGATGCATTCCACCGCCCTACAGCTTACCAACCATCGGCTGAAATAGGAAAGCTCTTCGAAGCAGCATGGGAAGAAGACCCTGAGATAACTTTGAGAATAATTTTCTACCTAAGGAGTATCCATGACGGTAAAAACGACCGAAAGCTTTTCTATAAAGCATGGAGCTGGCTGTACGCTAACCATCCTCGCACTGCTATTGGTAATCTACACAAGCTGGTGGAACCGGTATGCGAACGAAAGCTACGGAAAGGCGACGAAAGGAAACTACCTGGCATGTCGCATGGATATTGGAAAGACCTATTGAATATTTTGTGCCTGGTTGCCACGAATAGGTTGGGCTTGTCAGTTCACTACAATCATGGTTGGGGGTCTAGAGCCTGGAAGCTTAGCAATGTTCCTTGCCGACAGGACCAACAGAACGATCGATACCAATATCTATGTAAAAAGCTTTCTGAGGACCCAAAATTCAAAGCTCTCTACATCGCCGTCGCTCGTCTTTTCGTTAATCAACTTGTATCTGACGCGAGTCTACAGGATAAGCTCGAAAGTACGACAGATCCTAACGTTCGCTCAGAGCTGAACTGGCAAATAAGTCTTGCTGGAAAATGGGCTCCAACTCCGGGTTGCTCTCATGATCGGATAACTAATATCTCGACAGCTATTGCTCAACTACTTCACTCCGGTCGTGAGCCCCAGCCTTGGATATACCCGTCATCTCTCTCCAACTTTGACCATACTGAGCCACTTTCAGTCGAGCAAGCTAGGACTCTCCGCTCATACCTCCAACGCTGGTTTCTTCAACCCCTTCGTGCCCAAAGCAAATGTCCCGAGCCCCTCATGTCCGCCAACAAATGGTCCTCAATCAACTACTCACACGTTCCCTCGGTCTGCATGTCCAATAACTCGAAAAGGTTCATGAAACACGACTATGAACGTTTCTCAACGTACATGTTTAATGTCTCCATCGGAAAGAAGACCATTGCAGGAGCCACATTGTTACCTCATGAAATTCTCATGCGATTGATGGAATACGATATAGACCTTAACCTAGTCGATAAGGAGAAGGCGGAAAAGGAAGATGGTGTTGATAGGTTGACGAAAAAGTTTTTGGAAACCCAAATTGCAGTGGCAAGTGCACAATGGAACACATTAGTGGATCGACTGAGACAATCTGGGAGCATTGAAAACTCCATTGCGATATGTGACGTCAGCGGCAGTATGGGTTTATTGAACGAGTACAAGGAACGCAAGGATCCCAAGCCTCTCTTCCCGGCCCTCGCAATGTCTATTTTACTCGCGACCCTCGCTAAGCCGCCCTTCGACAAAGGTTTCATCACGTTCTCTGCAAATCCCGAATATGTGAAACTCAACGAATTGGCCGGGATGGCGAATAATATGAGAAAGATGGTGGGTACTTCTTGGAGTATGAATACTGATTTGCAAAAGGTATTCACCGAGCTACTTCTTCCTCTTGCGAAGAAACATAATGTGAAGAAAGAGGATATGATCAAGCGACTTTTCGTGTTTTCGGACATGCAGTTCGATGCGGGAACGGTGGATTACTATAACAAACTCGCGGCCAAGAAGTGGGGAACAACGTACGACGCCATCAAGAAGGAATATGAAGCAGCGGGTTATGACGTACCCGAAATTGTCTACTGGGACCTAGGAAAGGCAGATACGGTTGAAGTAAATGCTGATCGGGAAGGGGTTGCGATGATGAAAGGGTTTTCCGCCGGGATGATGAAGGTTTTCCTCGGGGAACGGGAAGGAGAGGAAGATGCAATGTTGGTTGATATTGATTCTAAAGAGGAAGGGGATTTGGTGGTTGTTGGAGGGATGGAAGCCAAGAAAGAGGCCATGACACCAATCGGTATCATGAAAAAGGCTGTGATGAACAAGAGTTTTGATGGGTTGGTGTTACTAGATTAGATGAGGCCTGGAATCGTTCGAATGGATTATGGGTTAATTTGGAGTAGCTGGTGATCAGGTGAGATCTTTGGGATGGGGTTTGGGACACATGTGCAAGGTTATTGTCATGTAATTGTACGATTGTATACAAGACGCTGGCGTGCGTGGGATATCCGGATGGTTTTGTATAATAGGATTGGTATACGGTAGTCGAGTCTCTACTTTTCTTGTACACTTGACGCCACTGAGATATGTATGATATGGATATCACTTCTCCAAAAAATAAGGTGGAAAAGGGGAAGCCAAAAAAAAAAAAAAACTCTAGATCTAGAAAGTAAACTCCGTATAAAACTTGTCTTCGGAGCTTTTCAAATATCCCGTCGTCGTGATTATAATTACTTAAGTAATAGCATACATGTACAGGCTCCATGGTATCATGCGTATGTGCTACGTGGTACGAGCCTCTCCGAGAACTTATGCAGGCTGCTGACGGCTCGGCTCCATACTCCGTCGCCCTGGCCGAATGCAGAACCTGGACGCCGCCTCAACGCAAAGAAGTTTAAATGTTAACTTTCCTGTCGTTCAGAAGAACTCAACAAGTTTGTCCGAGATGTCGCATTTTGGACGAATAGATGTCCCGTTTCGTATCCCGTCGGCTGGATTAGGTTTTAAGATACGACAGCCCCCACAAGATTGAGCCGAGGCTTTTCCTTTTTTATCAAACATACCCTTGCCAAACGTCCGGGCTAAACCTCCTCGGCCTTAGGCGAGAGGGAAGCATCATCTCCCGTCGATAACATGCATCCAAAAAATCTTGCACTGCGCATGAACGGAGATTGTCGGTGTTCCATAGTTAGCCTGGATTGATCATTTGAACGGGATGAATAATAATGGGATGCTGATTTGGCCGAAGAAAGACACCTTGGTTTACCCTAAGCTAAGACCGATTTGGTCGCAAATCTCGGAATTTGAGTGCCGTTTTGACTCTTCCTCCCCCTAACTAACTAGTTCGACTTTGAATGCCATGATATAATCCGCTACAGAATAACGTTTTACGTTCTCGATCTCGGGGCAGATTTGGTTCCCGAACTTGCGCATACGCGTATTGACAGGGTATACGTACTAGAGTAAGACTCAGCTGTACCGACCCCGCGAGCCCCGCAATGCAATAACATAAGAAACAAGCCGGCGGTTCTTTAAAAAGACACTGTGTTCGCTCTTGCCTTGAAGTTTTCAGTATCTCAGTATAATATCTTCCTGCGAGTGCGAACATCTTAGATCCTTAGCCCCGATACATAAAATCCGTCGAATGGTTATATAATTGGAGGGCTTGCTTGCACATTTGAGGCTCTGTTGGACTTCTAGACGACACTTAGTTTAACTTTTGGACTCGTTACGTTACCCCTTATCGACAAGATTGCAAGCTCTCGTGGAAGAAACCTCTCATTATAAACTTTTATTAAATTCAATCGATTCAATCATAAGCAGGGGATCGAAACATACAGCTAGGATACGTTACCCGAATTCCTTTAACATTCGACCATCGCGCCGTACCTGCATTTGCAGGGCTCCTCAGCTAGCTTGAATCTTGATAGCTTAGCTAATCGACGTCAACATATCCCCGATAATACGCCAACCAAGCCTCTGTCCCGGCGAGAGGGCTTCCGGATAAGCAATGGCGATAATAGAAATATTACTAACTTCGCTGGCTGGATCTTATGTATTGGTGCATCTATCCTATCTTTCGGCGGTTGCAAAATCGCCGATTGCGCAATACGCAATCGGTTTCCCGGGGTTGGCAATCCTCCAGGGTTTGGTATACACAATTTATCATTGGTTGATATATCCGCATTTTGTCAGCCCTTTGAGAAAAATACCTGGACCAAAGGTTAGTAAATAATTCAAGGGATTATATATGTTTATTCTGAGAATGTGCATATATGACACATAAGGCCTGAAACTAAACTAACGAGGTATGTTTACGGTAGGAACCTAGCTTTTGGAACGGCCATGGAAAGCAAATTGTAGCGACACAGACTGGAGAGCCGCATAAACTTTGGATAAAGGCCATGCCAAAAGAAGGATTAATTTACTACAAAGTATGCTTCGGTTTTAAAAACCTGCAAATTACAATAAATTCATGTCGGCATTATGATGCATACTAATTAGTTTCAATTCAGGGTCTCCTAAACCGTGAAAGAGTTCTACCAACCACCCCGAAGGTCCTCGCGGAGGTCCTTAATAGCCAGTCCTACATCTTCGTAAAACCTCAGTTTTTTCGATTCTCCCTTCGCCTGCTTGGAAATGGCATTCTCATGGCTGAAGGCGACGAGCACAAGCGACAGCGAAAGATTCTTACCCCGGCCTTTCACCCTCGTCATCTGCGCTCACTCTTCCCTCTTTTCTGGTCCAAAACCCAGGAGATGGTAGACTTGATCACAGCTGAAATCCAATCCTCTGACGCTCCAGATCCAATCATCAACTTCAACAGCTGGGGGTCACGATGTACTCTTGATATCATTGGGAAAGCCGGCGCAGGAATAGATTTCAACGCCATGAAAGATCCAGACAATGACCTCTTCAAGATATACCAGAAGGTTTTCACACCAACTACAGGACAGTTATGGATGGCTATCTTGAATCTTATTATGCCGCTCTGGTTCATGCAGAATCTACCTGTCAAGGGTGTTAGAGAAGTTTCACAAGCTAAGGATTTTATCATGAAGGTTTGCTTGGATATGATTAAGACTAAGAGGGCACAAATGGCGGAGAAGAAGCCGATGCATCCAGGTATGTGCGAACCTCCAGCCATACAGCCATTTGAAACATGAACTATATAGAAAACTAACATATTGTTCTAACAACTGCTATAGATATCCTTTCTATCATGATCGAAGAAGGCTCCCTATCCGATGAAGAAATGCAAAATCAACTCATGACCTTCATGGCCGCCGGCCACGAAACCACCGCTGCAGCTGTCTCATGGTCCGTCTGGGAACTCTCCCGCCGCCCCGAAGTTGCAGAACGACTAAGGAATGAAATCCGTGCCGCCATACCTGTCTTTGATTCCGACTCAGTCACAATGGAACAAATTGAGAGCATCCGCTACCTCCGCAACTTCACCAACGAAATCCTAAGATTCCACCCTCCAGTCCCAGTTACGATCCGTGAAGCCGAAAGAGACACAACACTGAACGGTGCCTTCATTCCGAAGGGTACAACAGTAATGCTTATGCCAGCTGTAATAAACCACTCGGAGGAACTCTGGGGACCTGACGCCGCGGAGTTCATTCCGGAAAGATGGGATAAGCCAGGTGGAAACGGCGGAGCCGCCAGCAACTACGCCAACTTGACGTTTTTAATGGGTCCCAGAAGCTGCATTGGACAGAAATTTTCAGTTGAAGAATTCAAGGCTATCATAGTTGGATTGGCCGGGAGATTCGCTTTTGAAGAGAAGACAAAGGATATGGAACTGAACGTTAGAGGTGGAATCACGCAACGACCAACGCACGAAGGAATCTTGCCACTGAGAACGAGGGTTGTGCCAGGCTGGTAGACGGTTTTGTTTCCACTTCGCTTCTGAATATTCAAGTGGAAAACGATAACGGTTAAGATATGAGGAGTCGAAGTTATTCTCTTATCATAAGGTTTACTAATCTTGCGGATATTTGATTTGCATCGGCGTATATTAAGGCTCTTGTATGGATTGTAATCTAGATGACGACTCATGATCAGGCGGTATGAGTAGCTTATCTCATCCCTTCACTCCGAATGGTATCATTCGCATAATACAGTTTGCTATATTTAATTTAATCTAATTAACGAAGTTTTTGAACACAATGTATCATTGCAAAAGTTTTGTATATAAAGCCTCCAAAGCAGTGGTAAGTAGGTATATGGTAGAGGGTATCATCTATGTACATGTCTACAGTTTCATTTTGTATATTCACAACCCCAACAGCAGGTATTCTTAAATCGCCATATCTGACTTTTCAACCTTCTTCCCCGCCGTCTTAGTACCCCTGCCCATTAATGCAACGCGTTTCTCGGCTACCTTCAACAGGGCCCGGGGAACCCAAACTCTGCTCCCAAGTACCAAACAACCAGTCAACAGCGCCAAACTATTCGCCTGATGCAAGCTTGCAAGCGAATGTGGGACAAAGTAAATCAGCGTCGCAATCCCCAATGCAACTTGCATGCTGACGAGGTGAACTAGACCCAAGATCCCTTTCTTCGCTTCTGGAGTAAGGACTTTCGCCCTTCGCAAGCGTCCACCGTATGCCCATAATGCCAAGACCGTGAAAAATGAGGTGGTAGCTAGGATCCTATGATCCAACTGTACAGTTGTAGGATTTTCAAGCATGTTCCTCCATACGAGGTCGTTGTGCGGAGGCGGTTCTCTGGAATAGAATGGATCCAATAACTCCGACACTGGTGGAGCAAGACCAGTACCCATCATCGGGAACTCGTTATAAACGAGCCCAGCGTCCAGTCCTGCTACTAGCGCCCCAGACATAGCCGTTGTGAATATCAACAAACTGACGAATCCGACAAATATCCTCAGCGGGACCAATGCACCAATCCTTCGCTTCGTCAAAAGCTCGACGGCCTTCTTGGGATCCTTCAGCAGTCGGTTTTCGCGAAAAACGCTGACCCCAGCATATAGCATGGCGCTATAAACCGCGAAGGCGGCGCCCAAGTGCGCTGTTAACCTGTATTGACTAACTCTCGGATGTGACCCCGGTTTCTGGAATAGGTCGTCCTGCAGCCCGCTCTTCACCATCCACCATCCGATGAAACCTTGGAATCCAATACCTAGCGCGATACCGCCCAGCTTCAATGCCATTGATTTGGAAACCTTTCGGCGAGCGACAAAATAAATAGCTGGAAGAACGAACGAGAGACCAATGACTCTTCCAAGAAGTCTGTGTGTCCATTCCATGTAGTAGATAAACTTGTATTCTTCGAGGTTCATGGTCGGGTTTAAGATTCGGAATTCGGGCGAGTTACGGTACTTTGAGAATTCGGATTCCCAATCAGCATCCGAGAGGGGTGGTAACGAGCCGGTTACGGGTTTCCATTCTGTGATCGAAAGACTATGTGGAGGATTCTATGTTAGCAAGGAACCATCGAGCTGCATTCAAAACTCCTAGATGTCTTACCCCGATTCCGTTAAACGAGTCAAACCGCCTAGAACTACGATACCAAAGACAAGACCAGCCGATCCAAGCAACCAGTAACCGACGGATTTCTCAGATATATCAGGGAAGCTACTCGATTTCGTCTTCGTCGTGGCTGTGGTGGCGGCATCGCTTCCAACTGCAGATGTAGCTAACCGGCGGTACGCGGACTTTACAGTGCCAATGCTTTCAAGAACGGACGACTTGGTTTTCGAAAGAAGAATGGTTCCGGATTTCGAGCTCTTGAGAAGAATAGATTGAAGTTTTGAAGGTGTTCGTGATGTACTGTATTGGGCGGAATGTAGCGGGGTGCGTAGGGTAGGTGTCAGTCGGATTCTTTGGCATTGTCGACAGGTTAATGCAGGCGCTGAGAGCAGCCTGGCTCTCACCGCACTGCCGATAGTGGCGGAAGCCATTGTTAGCCCTTACGGGAGGTAAAACGAGTGTAGATGTCTCGACGTTGAAGGTTCATGAAGACCGGGGACTGAAGTGGTGGGGGGTTTTGAAACGGACAATTTCTAATTGGTGGTCTGAGGATGGTGCGCAACGCAGAAATTACAACAGTTGCTCTTGGCCATTTGGTTCCAAGTCTACGAGACTGATTTGGTTCAGCCGATTGTCAAGGCATACCCCGTGCGAGAGTCTACTGGATTTAAACTGTTGGACTCGAACAAATTTTTTGAATCTTTATGATTATTATTGATGCTGGCTATCTGATAAGTAAAATCTTGAGCTTCATATATACATTGCAATATTAAGTTTAACTGTTTCGGTGACATATAAAAGAATGAACAAATCCGACCGGTACCATATAAATTCCAGCTAGGAAGCAACGAAAATGAAACGCCATTGATGATGCAAGTGAGTGACAAGAAGTATAAAAACGAACGAGTGTATCTGGTATCGTAAAACATTGCAGAGCCCCGGTGGTATGTAATGAAAGACAGAAGCCGAACTCCGAAAACCGAACATGAAAAAAAGAACAAAAGCGACAGTATGTAATATTATTAGAATCGTTGCCAATGGGGTATATGGTCTTGGGTTTCTGTATTTATTTTTTTTGATTGCAAAGAAGAAGTGCGGTTTATACCATATCTTCGCCCTTGACTGGTTTTTCGTCTAAAGATAGGTCGGAGTTCTCGGAGAATCCACTCGATGGTCTCTCCTCCAAGTATCCTTTTTCGAGGTCGTGCTCCAAGTTCTTCTCAAGATCGTTTGTGCCGGAGCCTGCAAGGAGTGCAGGTCTCTTATCTGGATCTTCGAGCTCATCCAATGTTGCGATCCTGCCAAAGCTTGGACCAGTGCCATCTAGAGGGGTAGGTGGGATGACAACAGTAGTTGGAACCTGCATGGTATTGCCATCCTTTCCAAATCGGGAAACGTCATAGGATGGACGCTTCTCATCAGCTGGTCCCTCAACAACGGTGGTGATCTGTGGTTGGATAGGTCCGAGTTTAGATACGATCATTGAGTCAATGCGCTCCGATGTCTGGGACATGAGAACACTTTTGTTGATCGATCCAAGGCCACTCTGTGGAGCAGGGCTGCGAGCACGAGAACCCTTTCCGTATGGCATGGAGGAAGCACCGCTCTTGTAGTCGCTTTCGCGTTCGGTGCTGCCGAAGGGCTTGAACTTCTTTCCGGTAAACTTGCAGAAGATTTGTTCCCAGAGAAGCTTGGAAGGTGGGATACAGGCGCAGATGATACCAATGGTAAGTTCAAGAAGACCCCACATGCCTGGCTCGTAGATAACCCATGTGAAGTCAAATCCGTTGAGAAGAGTGGAGAGAGTGACGATTCTCATGATAGCGCAGATACATCCAATAGCACCGATGACAAAGAGAGAAAGGGTGCTGATCTTGCGCTTGACGGGCATTTGGAGCTCCCAGATAACCCTGATGGGCAGGATAAGTAGCGAGAGGTCGACAAAAATATGGATGATACCGAAAGAATAAAGCATAGGCTTGAGAGGAATACACTTTGGTGACTTATAGATTCGGTAGTTGAAGTCGAGAGCTCCCTCGATCGGGTTGCATTGGAAGATGAAAGTCAATTCGCAGGCGAAGAAGTAGACGATTTGAAAAATCATGAACCCTGTGAGAACCTTGCGCATCGAGTGGGTCTTTGGGATGATTCGCTCGTAAAGGAAGAGAATAGACATCTTGATCAAGGTTATGGACCAAGTATATCCAATCAAGTGGAAGTAGATGAACTTGAAGCAGTAGTTGAGTTGCTCCGGAGTAACATCCCAGATGTGGTATCCGACACCGCCATATATTAAGACTTTTGAAGCATTAGAGTGTGTTCATCATGCATACCAATCCTCCAGTGAGAAAACTTACAGCAAAACTGCAAGGCAGTGAAGCCTGCAACACTAATGAGAGCCATAACTATACACCAGTCATCGAGACCAAATCTTCTAACAATGAAGACTCTTGTGTATATTCTCATCATGACCATGACGACAGCCAAAATAAAGAATACGATATCGATGATATACATCGACAATTGTCTATTATGTTCAACATAATCTGAAGTTTATAAATATTAGCCAAGTCTATCATGATATCGATTCTCTGTGAAACCATGAGCGTACCTGATTGTAATAACCATGGTGGGTAAAACCCTTGTGGAACCGGTCCATTTACCCCAGCTTCGTGTGCCAACGTTGCCACCTCTTGTAACCATAAAGCATGCTTTATCTCGGCATCAGTGGCGTTGGCCTTCATTTTGATTTGTTTGAATTCCGAACCAGTCGTAAAAAGAATGAATATAAAAGGATAGAAACGAAATAAAGAATGAAATATATAAAAAGAAAAAGAAAGTATTGTTGAACAAAAAATGAATGAATGAATGAATGACCACAGTCGGTGTATAGACTCTCCTCTAATCTTCCAAAATCCCAGCAGTCGAGGGAGGGTGGAATCGAGGGTGCTTTTATGTATGTCGACTGCTTGGGAAGCAACTATTCCGTTTTCTGTGCTGCGCAGCCTTGGTTATGCGGCGTTTTAGTGCGGTGGTGTTGGCGTGTATGAGAATGGCCCCTGTTCTGATGGTGCAGTCGCTTTAGACCGTTAACCCCGATTTGGTACTTCTACCCAGCAAAATCTAGTACCCTTCGCACGGTGGAGGGATATTCTATGGGAAGAATAGCCCGAGAGGAAAAAATATTTCTCTGAGGTCAGAGGGAGCAGCCAGTCGGGACTTGACCGTAAGTGGTTACGAGGCCGAGTGGTAAATTTTTTTAAAACGTCAAAACGAAAAAAATAGGCGGTCTTGGTCCGATCGAATTCATGAAGCACAGCCGTTGACATCAGCGAGGATTTGACGCCGTTTCTAATATGCGCTTGAGGGCCTGGCGTTAACGGTCGGGGTACGTACCTCTTTCGAATCTTAAGAAAACGAAAGAAAGAAAGGGATAAGGCCTCGGGACAGGATGGGGAGTCTCTCAGTAGTTATATTATAAAATACTACACACTTTCGAAGCAGCCATAATTCCAAAATAACACCATAGGTATCATACGCTGGAACCCATACAAAATGCAAGGGACGGCATTCGAGTTCTCCATAGTTTCAAAGGGTCATAAAAGCAAAAACTGTAAATACTAGAAATGATATGCATAGGAAAGGCGAGAATGTATGCACCGAATCATGTCCGCGCTACTAGAGCGATTGAGACCATGGAGGAGTGGGGAAATTGTATGCGGGCATTGTCATGTTCAACACCACATCGAGATCTCGACTTCATCCGACCATCCAATTCAGTCCAGCACACTCACAGACGCTTATCATATCCAATATAAAAGTTTCGCAGGTTAAAAAAGAAACTGCGGTGATCCTTGCCTCAACATCACAAGATATCCTGCGCTGCTGTACCATCCGTAAAATCCAAAGGATAGATGTGCCGGCGAAGTGCGCAACAGATACGTCGATGGATTCATTAAATCCTGGTTCGATACCTTGCAATTTCGCAATTGCTAGGGATCTTCGAAAACGTGTTCGATAAAATATGATTAAAAGCTTGTATATATATGTGTGAACTCAATGCTATCAATGCGCCACTGTTCACGGTAGTCCCCGTTTCGTCTTCGCATAATGGTCTAAATTGTGGTAATTTCGCTACTCGTCATTTCGGGGTGAGCTGGGTGCGATCACTCCATAAGCTCTGATACATTATCAAAGAGGTGGTAGGATATAAACGCTTGAAAAGGCAGCTCTTAAAGTCGCCATTCCCTCCAGATATATTAAAACTTTAAAGACGAATTTAGTGAATGGCAGTTGGTGTTATCTTAGAAATTGTTCGAAGATACATGGCAATTGTTGGTAAGTATTTGTGTACTACCTGGGTGAATCGAGGACAGCGGGAACCGAGTCGATAGAAACATGCATACTCGATTGCTTCCCATGGCACATACGAATATTGCCTGTCAAAAGACCGATTCAGACAAGAACGAAATAGCGACCGGGTTTCGGACCTGCCAATCTCTCATCGCAAAATCTCGTGTTTCTCAAGAGACATTCATTTCTAGGAGGCCTCATAAAATCAATTGTTGCAATGTGAAAGAGCTCTAGAATTGTACATATGCTACAATTAACTGTTCATTAGTATAGCCGTACGGCTCGCCAAAAAAAGATGAAAATGGGATAGAGCTCATTGTCACTACTTGTATAGGTTTTCCTTTCCAGCCTCTTGATTGAATAGAATCATCAAGGTACCATCGTTTTTTAGGTGCCTTCGCCGGGATGTTCATGATTGACGATGCGGACGAGTTTCGGGTGGCCTGAAATGGCAACCATCTTGAGAAAATTCGGCATCTTGCAGCTGTGTCGCCCAGCATGTGTTGCACTGCAAGTAGGTACAGGCAGCCACAAAACTTTGACTGCTTCATATCCATAGGTTTGTAGCTTAATCCTGTGAGAATGGAGGTGGAGTGGCTACGTTGCTTATCTTCCTTTGGTGAATTGCCTTGTGCCCGAACCATGGAAGCTGATGTTAGGCCACAAAGGGTGCCCGTCCTGGGGAATTGATATGGTTCAGATCATTTGCGATAGGCAAGACCATTATCTGTACCTATTTCTATCATAGTTAAGGGAACCATGCTTGTTTCATGGTTGTCCACGTTTTTCTTTGTCCAGGTTTAGTCCTAGGACCGCCCATGTCAAGATCAAGAACCTCGTCAAAAACATCTTCTGATTTCGCCGTTTCATGAAACATAGGATCGGCCATTTCTGGTGATTCAACAATTACTTCACGAATTCATGCTGAGGCGTATACGCAATCCAGATTGGTGATAATGCGTGAAGACGCTTTAGGGACAAAGATGCCCATCATCCGTAGGTGATCAATTAGGTGGCGGCCTGGCAATCCACTTCGGAAAGGGGACCTCTCTTCGGCGGGATGAGCTCCGCACGTTCCGATTCTGAATGCCGCACAAAACATCTATCCGTTTGGTTGTGGAAAGCTGTTGCGAGGTCAAGATCCATAGAAAATTCGAGCGAAGTTCGTGCCTTCGTCTTGTCTTCTGACATCGAATTCATTCTCCAGATTCTAAAATTAATTAGCTGGATACCTAGGTATATTAGCTTGGTTTATGTTTCTTCGAAAAAAGGGAAGGAGGTTGCCCAAAGCTAATCTTCGTGTCAAACATTAGGGCATCGGATGCCGATATTGACCCTAAGTTTAGACGGCTCGTCGGTCGGCTGAACCCCTGTGACGAACCGAATATCGATATTCGACCATTTGGATACTATGTAGGCTATAGGACTTCGTTTTTTCAAAGTGTTTCTTTCTGAAACCGCAGATATGTATCTACGGGCGATAAACGAGGCGCCGAAATGGGTGGGAGGCTGTGTCATCCTGTTCATGCAACTAGGCTGGCGAAATGTCTGGACCCCAAACCGCACTAGTAGAACTGCCGCACAAAATATTGTGCGATAACTCATTTGCTTCATGAAATTGATGCACAAGGATGCGGTCTTATGATGAATGTGGGCTGATATGAGCTGGAATGCTCAAGCTCTGGCGAAGACATCATGTGTCATTTTCTGTCGCGTCGGCAAGCCACACAGGCCCACACAAGCTCAAAGCTTGAGTTAAGCTGTCCAGACTCGACCTTCAGATCCGGAGACCCCGCCGAATCTTTCCCTCGGAGACGTCTCAGGACGAGACTTCCAGGTATTGGTTTGTAAGACAACAGCATCATGATCTTAAGGCTTCACCTAAATGATTTCGATTATGAGAATGAGTATTATAATCATAGTTTAATTATATTAATTTATTTAACTATATCACAACAGAAAGTTCGAAAATAGATGATCAATAAGAATGATATCGAGGTTCAGAGCAAGCTCATGTCGCACAAGGATGAGTTGATGTCGCCGAAAAGGGAAAAGTTCTCGAGTTGGAAGGTGATCACAACACATTTCGTATTCCCTGCTCCTAAACGACAAGTTCGAGTTCACTATCATCAGGCCCTCCAGTGGTTATTCCGAAGGCTTCTTCTTCAAGATCATCTTCCTCCTCTAGGTCGGCGGAAAGTATCTCTTCCTCCGTATCCATGTCCATGCCACGGTCTTCTGTGAATGTCTTCCAATAATTCGTTGAATCTAACATTGATCCAGGAGTGCCATTTCGAAGTGATGTGATGCTCACTCTACGAAAGCAGATAGCATATATCCGCTCTCCTGTAGTTTCGTATCTGTAGTTCTCGCGGGGCCCAGGATGTGATCGACTCTGCCGTGCTTTTTGATTCACTTTCAGATCTGTTGCCACAAATTGGGCATTTACGAGTGTTCGGTAACCGACGATGAAGTAGATGTCTTCATCGGAATTCACGTAATAATCCGTCAACCAGTCTCTGACCGACTGTCGCCCTGATAGCTGTTTAAAAATTTCCCGTGGCTGCCGCATCATATAAACACGGCTTTCTTCTGCCAGAATCTGTACATCGCCACCGACCTCCTTGACGGTCGGCGATAGGAATATTTTACTAAGGGCCCGCTTGAAACTGGAATTGGACTTCGCGTTCGATTTGACAAAGTCGCTGAAATTCCGGTCTATAGATACCGAATAATCCTTCCATTCTTCTAGTTGGATTTCTGCTAAAGCGTCTTGATTTGGGTACCGCCGATCTGGTATTAGGCTGGCAAGAGAGATGTCTTCTTTAGCATAGAGCCTGCTTGATAATTCAAACACCGAGGACGGCAGTGCATCCATATTAATATTTTCTAAGGCAATAGTCGGCCGCCGACTAAGGCTAGACCCAGACCCTATAGAACTCCCAGTATTGGATCGTGCTTTATGAGAAATAAAGGTTTAGTCCAGTTCCTACTCTGATATAAAATGATGGAGGCCATCACTCACCTCGGAGCCCATCTATCATCCACAGATCCTCGTCGTCATCGTAACTGGCAGGAATTGTACATAATAGTTCTTTTGCGTAGGCTGCAGCAGTAGCTGCGGCGTATTCCTGCCACCTCTTGTTTTTATGTGAATCTGCATAATCGCAGATCCCTCTGATAACAAGACAAGGGAAGTGGTCCATCAAGCCGGCTGCTTCCATTTCAAAACATAAAATATCTTTCTCGCTAGCAAGTTTATCTCTAGTAATTCCGTCTTTCATTACCTGGTTTCCAGACCCAATTGTCCCGTAGAAGATCGCAGGGTTCAACGAGATTCGTGGCGCTCGAATAATTTGTTGTTTAGGATCGCATTGCACGCAATGAGGCCCAGTTGCATGCTTATAATCGGCAGCATAGAGTATATCGTTCTCCGGTCCTTGGTGTTTGAAGTGTTGCTGCATATGTGGGTGTTTATATAGCATCTTACTAATATGACCACTTATACCATTCCCGCGCCGCAAATGGTCAGCCTCAAGGCTAGACATTGCTGTCAACAATGTCTTCGGTGGCTTGTTCAAGGATCCATCCATTATCAGCTGTCCGTTTTCAACTGCTTTCCCATAGTCGTATTGAATAACTCCGCTCGAAGTTCCCCGTGGCTTACTGACGACGACATCGCCAAGCCTGATATCGTGTAGGCGAGAAGGGACTCCGCCACCGACTCCAATCATCAGGCCGAACCGAATACATCTGAAACTGGATCTCATCTGTACACCCAAGGCGGCAGCTGAAGTTGTGCCAACCACACCGTCAGGCAAACAGGCTATGACAACATTGTGCTGTCCTATCTTCCCAAGAGTGTATGTGTACTTGTCGTGGGAATCCTGTTGCGTTGGTTTGCCGTGTTCTTCGTCGAGCATGGCTGTTGCGGCTGCCATCTCGACGGGCAGGGCGCAAATCCACCCCACCGTATAGTTTCGGCTGTCTAGAGGAGTCATTTGTACTCGCCCGATCTCAATGGCGAGGCGGCGATGTCAATTTTGTGAATTCAAGGTTAATTGCCTGAACTAATTGCTGTTTTCAGTCCGGACGTCGACCATTTGCAAATATCATGTTGGAGTAATCAAACTCGAGGAATTTATCGGTTTCTGTGAATGCATGAATAGGTGGTGATAAATTCTAGATACTCTTCAAAAATAGTCGTCTTGAAAGCCCGACTTATCAATATTAGGAGGAGGAGCGCAATAATGAGGCCCTAACCCCTCCTACTTTCACAGCAGTGCAGCCAACAATCTAACATGCGGGGCTGACGTGGTCGAGTCTGCATACTGCCGGCCAACTAGCCCGCGGCAACATACAAAATTAATTACCACATTAGGGGCATGCTAACACAACGCCTAATTTCATTGACACTGGTCTAATACCCTTGGATGGGCGTTCATACATTCTTTGACGGCCAGGTTCGATTCAAGACTGCAGTACTGACCAGGGGCTGCTAATTGGGGTGAGAAGGATCCTGCGCATGATGAATGGCTTTGCAGACACCCGCAGCAGTTGGCATACCCCAAGGTTGTCAACACAAAGCTATTCAAAATTACAACATCGTATTTACGAGAACATCCGAAGCTAAGGCACAGCATCAGGCCAGACGCCCTATAGGCCTACATGTACAGCGTTTCGTATGAATGAATGAACGCGAGATTGAGCGCAGACTATTCGCTCCAAGGATTCGCAATTAGATATATAACAGTTGCAGTCTATCTAACTAATGGTATACGTAGCCAATAGCGTTTCCGATCTTTAGTTCGAAAACCACTAGTACCAAAGCCCGTAGTACGAAAACCCATAAACACTATCTAAAAGTTTTGGCAGAGAACATTCTATCGTCCTAAAAGATATTGTCATCCTGAAGTCAATATTGCAACCTAATACTTTTCGACCTAATAACTTCCAATCTCCTAATTTTCGACCTAATTATTTCCACCCTAATAGCATCCAACCTAAAGGGCTATTTGGCTAAATTGCGACTTAAAGACCATATAAACCTCTGAATCATCTTAAGATTATCAAAAGGTCGGATGAGAAGGCATTGTTTAGAAAACACAGTACACGTTTCCGAGCTCGAGGGTGACTAGTAAGTTTGCGTACCTAGAGAGAAGGTATTGAGAGAAACCTCAGCTGGCGGTAAGGCTAAGCGTGTATGGCTAACTTGGTTTCACCTGATAGTTTAAGGAACCGTGAAGAAGGCATAGTATCTGGACTTGGCCCTTCAACCCCGAAGCATTTATCGGAAGAAAAAAGAACCCTTGGACGCCGTACAAAAGCCCAGGAAAGCCACTATGTCGAAGATGCATCAACGACCTATCTCGATAATGCGGAACCTGACAACCAGCAGTTTGCTGATATCGATCTGGACTGCGGCCTTCGATTATCCGGCTGGGTGAATGAAGTCGAGACAGTTAGTAGTCACCTGTCTAGTAACCTAGAACCGATACTCCTTAAGTATGGGGAAACAACCAAGGGCGCTAGTAAACACAGCCATACTACAACGCAATGCGAAAATACTAAGGCACACGCACCAGAATCATTACAGGTTCTGTTTATGGAAGATTCCAGAGAGCAGTATAATCCTGATGAATCTGTTCCTCCTACATCCAATGCAGACATAGAAGACATCGATATCTATACTGCCGAAGCTAGACTATATTTACCGCCCGGCAATGGCCCGAGTATGGATCGAGCAGAAAAAATTGATGAACTTGGGGAACTCTTCCTAACTCGCTGGAATCTGGGAGGAGATATCGAGGATATTAAATCAGCTATAGATATGGAACATTCGGCTCAGGATTTGGCTAATCATAGTTGCTCTGGAAAGGGTAAATATCTCCTAAGGCTCCAAATTATGCTTATGGAGAAATTTCAGGCAACTGATCAACTGATCTATATTGACCGGGCCATTCAGGTGGGTAGCGAGCTTGTAGATTTTTCTACAACAAATAAGTGTGAGATTACTCAATTTACGGCGCTACATGACTTAGCCACCTGTTTACAAGCACGCTACGAAAAGGGGAAAGATATAGAAGATATGACTAAGGCAATCAACGCTATGGAGGAGGCGCTAGCGTTGAGTCCCACTGCCACTGAACAACAACTATGTCTTGAAGGTCTTGGTCGACTTTGGCTATTAAAATACGATCGAACCCAAAGCGTGGGTGACTTGGATAAGGCAATCGGGTGGTTTGAGTTATTTACGATCCTAGGTATTACGACTGAATATCTCAAATCAGGATACCACTATCTAGGAGTTTGTTACCAGGCTCGATACCGCTCGACCGGATTCAGTGGCGACATACACCAAGCCACTAAGATGGCAAAGGCTGTACTTAGATTATCCTCAACCTCACAGGATCTGGATTCGTCTAAGCTTATTGCCTATTTGTTTAATCTAGGCTCATACACCTACCAACACTTCGTTCATACAGCAGATAAAAGCGACTTGCGAATAGCCATCGATTCTTTCGAGAAGGCACTGAGAATCCCAGGTCTGAGTCCCGACCAAAAATGTACAGTTCTTTGCCAGCTCGGGGATAGCCTGGTTATGAGATATAAGAACTTATCGAAAGCAGAATTAGTTCTGAGGGAAGCTGTTGAAACACAAGACGCCTCTTCTGTAAACCGGGCTTCTGCAGCAAAAAGTCTTGCATACAAACTTGCGTACTGGGGTAGATGGGAAGAGTCTCTAGCTGTCTTTCAAGAGGGGGTATCTCTTCTCCCTACTTTCGACCCGAAAGCAGCGGAAGAAAAACTGCAATCGAATATCGAGGCTTTTTCCGGGCTATCCCGTGATGCAGCTGCAGTTGCTCTAAATGCTGGTAGAACTCCACTAGAAGCTTTATCCCTTCTAGAAAAAGGTCGTGGTATTTTATCTAATTCGCTCCGGACGAAAAATACTACATCGCTTGTGGGAGTAGGCACAGTGACAGATTCTGTTTTCCCATACAGCTCAGATGAAATATTGAGCGCTGTTGGCAAAGATAGACTCGCTGTCATCAATATTAGCAAGTTCAGGTGCGATGCAATTTTAGTAGGGGAGGGCCGAATAGAGGTAGTCCCTCTAATCCACTTGGATCATGAAGTTATTGACGAAAAGGCTAGGCTCGTTCGTAACAGTGGAGATGGTTCTTGGGGTGCCCTCGAGTGGCTGTGGGAAACTGTAGCTCTTCCAGTTCTCAAAAGATTTGAAATCTACAAACCATTGCCAAAAGATCAAGCAGAGAGATTCAGCTCGCAGGACAAGGAGAAATCACAATGGCGAAGGGGAAAGACGCTAATCGCAGACGACTGCCTTCCTCATATTTGGTGGATAACGACCGGACAATTGGCTCAAATACCTATTCACGCCGCTGGAAACCACTTCAAACACTCCAGAGAAACCGTTTTAGACTGTGCGATTTCGTCATACGCCGTATCGGTTAAGAGTTTCATAGAGAGCCGCCGGGAAGCCACTGAGCGAAGTCATAATAATTTTGGGAAAGCTCTTATCGTTTCAATGCCGAAAACACCAGGCCGCTCCCCTCTTCACTTTGCAGACAGAGAGGCTGATGTTGTTTCGAAAATTTGTCAGTCACTAAACCTCAGTATTGAAATCCCGAATTTGCCGTACGGAAAGGAGGAAATATTGAAGCAGCTTCAAGACTGTCAAATCTTCCATTTTGCTGGCCATGGCCTATCAGACCCAACTAACCCATCACGAAGTCATCTTCTGTTGGATGATTGGATGAAATCGCCGCTCACAGTTGAAGACCTTCAATCGCTCAACCTACACAACAATCCGCCTTTTCTCGCATACCTATCCGCTTGCTCGACCGGTTTAAATCAAGTTATGACATTGTGTGACGAAAATATCAACTTGATTAGTGCTTCTCAGTTGGCAGGAATCCGACATGTCATTGGCTCGCTTTGGGAAGTTAACGACCGACAATGTGTTAGTGTGGCAAAGACAGTCTACGAAACTATCGCAGAGAAGGGGTTAACAAACCATGCTGTGGCACTTGGATTACACCGCGCGAGCGTTCTACTTCGAGATGAAGCGGTCAGCAAAGAATCTGGATTCCAAGCTTATAATCAGAGCCGCCGGGAGAAATTAATATTATCTCAACACAATGCGCTCAGGCTATCGAGCCCAGAAGATTTTGAATCATGTGCATACGTCGTCAAGGAGTTTCCGAACTGGCTGAATGCCGAATTGAAAAGCTACCGGTCGGTCCCGCTACGCCAAGTAGACTATCGAAATCCTGCAAAATCTGCCGACACAATTTTTTCATTACCAGTCGAGGTAGCAATGTTCCGACAGGTACCTTTACAGTCTGAGGCCGACAACTGGCCTAGATATACCAATGGAGGCCGAAACGGGCTAAATGAGAGAGAAGACACTAGTGCAGGAGGCAGAATTGAGACTGATATCTCGTGGGAAAATGCACATGAAGCTGTTCTAAGGAATCCAGCTAGAGCGAAACCCAAGAAGCCACATATTCATTGGGCTCCATATGTTCACTTTGGGATCTAATTCAAAATACCAACTAAGAAGGTAAAGGCGTCAAAGGCTATCATGAAATTGTATATAGGCATAAGGTTATAGCAATTAACTTGAAATTAATGTTGTTTCAAAGGATGACTTTTATGTTCGAATTCAAAGAGGCTAGCCACCGAGAACTCAAAGATAGATCCATCAATAGCCATCAACTCTGTAGACATGTACATACATAAAGCTTTCTTAATTATTGCGCATCTTAACCACCATCCGATGCCAATATTTCTCCCAAAATAAAACACTAAAATTCTCAAAAAGTAAACTCCATGGGTATCGAAAAACAAGAGCCAAACACCAATATTGCTTATACACATCGAAATGCAAGGACAAAGGGGATCTTTACTAAAGAAGTGCAGAAACATAGCTAGACCAGCGCCAAAAAAAGGAAACAGGAGTGTATTATATATGGCGCCTGTGACATTAAACTTTTGTTATATGCAGATTAAAACGAAGTGCTCGAGCCGTTCGCCGTCCAGAATCCAGAGCTCAGCTTTTAGGGAATGTAGTGACCTTCAAGTCCATGAAGCCCCAAACGTTTCTCGGCTGTGACTGTGCATGTGGCGTCCGCTTCACTACTGGTTTGCGTTTAGGATTTCTGGAATCGAATTTATCGTCGTCTTCAGCTGAGGACAGGTCGAAAAGAGATTGGGAGACTTCCGGCCCTCGTTCCGTAGTTTCAGCATCCAGCTCATCCGAAGGAACAGTAACGATAACTGGGGGGACGGTGCAGGCATGACTTGGAAGTTCCGGAAGGGTAATATCCTCCCAATTTGTCCTGGTCGTGCTAATGAAAACCCTTACGGTATCGACTATTTCTTCGGGATCCTGTTGTGTGCATTTCTCCGGAATCATCATTTGAATTGTAAAGTGCACCGGAGTTTGCTTTGTCACCTCGTGGACCTGGCCAGGCCCTGGTTCCAGCTTAGAGATTCCCCAAGACGCATCAAAGTCGTAAAAGCTGACAAAAACGGACTGGTATTTGCAGTCATTATTCATTTTGAATGAAAACCGAAGGTTTGTATCTTCAGACGCTCTCAATGCGGTTGGGTCTTTCGGGTCCTTTTCAAAGTCGTCTCCGTAGCCCTCGTCATCAGGCTCGACGGAAAACGAAAACCATTCTGGGTTTAATGGGGTGTCTATTCTCTTGCTGTCGATAGACCGGACGTCTCGAAATCTTGCTAGGTGTCTGAGAATATAGGCGATTTTGAAGTCCCAGTCACTGTCGCTAAAGGGAACTGGAGTAACCCTCGGTATTGTTGTATATTTTCCGTTCTCGAATAGGAGTACCTCGAAGCAATTGTCTTTATTGAGTGCAACTTGGAAGTCACATTCTTGATCCTCGGGTTTCTCTACATCGGACCCTAAGAAAAGTCCAGGGGTTTGCTTGATATGGGACCCCAAGCCTTCAATCTGATCTTCAGATAGGTGTTGGTGCAGCGAAGAGATATCGACAAAAGCATCTAAATGAAGGGACCAGGTTTGTAATATCACGACACTCCCTGGCTTTACCTGTGCGGCTGTACTTGAGTCCTCCGGGTCGTATAGAAGGATAGCCCTGGACCGAAAGGGGCTGTTGTCAGGAACTTCTGTAACTTGTGCCTTCACTTTAGAGATTGAACCTGTCGTAACATTGTCCCTCTCAAGGAAGACATCGTAGATGGCTCCCTTTGCCACTCCGTGAGCCCAACCAATATCCAGCTCAACTGTATCGGTATTGGGCCTCCTTTCCCTAACATGTCCCACAGGCTTTTCAACAACTTGTTCTTGTCCGAGAAATACATGATCAGTATCCCCCAAAAGCACTGGGGACTGCTTCTTTGCCGAATGTACGCGGTCAATGTTGTTCGCAATGTAGTCCCTGACTTTGTTATAGCTAGGACGGCAAGTTTCAGGGTTCTCCGACAAGAGTTTCAACATCCAGTATGTTAGAATCCCGTGCTTTTCGCCCTCGAAGGTGTACTCGCCTGCAGTTTCGTTACTTTCGCAAGCAGTAAGAACGGTGCACCCTGTGGGATCTGATAACCAAGATCGAATCGTCATCCCGTTTCTCGTTCCATCAGTGTACTCTTCATCCGTATCGAGAAGTCTAGCGGCACCCTCCGCCTCCTGATCGCTTTGTAAAAATTCCAGGTCAATGCAATCATCCCCACGTCTGGATGTGTACCCCTCCTCTTCAGACTCCGCACTCCTAAACCCTCGGCCAGAAAAACAGCTATCAAGAACAACCGTTACACGGAGCTGCTTCTCGAAAACCATTCGTTTGATGTATACCCCAAGCTGATACCCCGTAAGGTATGCACCTCCTTCCATAACATCGGCAAGAGCCAAGGCGGTCCCTGAGATATGGTCCCCTTCCACAGCCCCAATCTCATCAGCATCTCGCCTAATCCCGTGCCCAGAGTAATGGAAATACACAAGGTCGCCTGGACGAGAGTCTTCAATAACCCGCTCCAGCTCACGGATGATATTTGGGTGTGTTGGTAGTTGTGATTCGTCTTCCTCGGGGCGGCCGTTGCAGCCTTTCGTCGAGGTTAGGGTTGTAATGTGTCGTACATTTCGTTTTTCTAGATAACTCTGGAGGGCCATAACGTCTTTGACACACCCACTGAGGTCGCCGTATTTCACCCTGCGCTTATTTCCAGGCAGATAGTGGTTTACACCGACTAAGAGCCCCCATATTTCAGGCTTGGACGTCATTTTCTTTTCTTTCTCCCGCCTAATCAAATCAGTCAACGACCTGTAATTTCCCGCCTCAAAGGGAGAAAGGTTATATACCTATATTCTAAAGACTAAGCTAAGATTGTGGTTGGGCAAGGCTCTAGTACAATTCAGCACGCCCGAGGATTAATATTCCCGGTTCGCGCGGGTCGCTCTGTGCCAAGCCTAGTACAGCAGCCCAGGCAATAGTCAAATGATGATGCCCTTTAAATTGAATATCAATATAGAGGAAAGTTCGAGTTGTTTGGGTAGATAAAGAACGTTAACAGAGAATGAGTCTTGAGATGCTTAGGTGAATGGAGGAAAAAATGGCATTCCTAAAACTACGAGCATGGAGGGTTTTCTCCCAACTTTATATATTTAGGGATTTCCCGATGTTTACTGAATCGATGTCGATGTCCTCAGTTGATCGAAGACCTGTTTTCTTTTCTTTTCATGATGGGGGGTGGGCCGCTCTGACCTTAATTAAATCTCGCGGAGCGAGGCTGAGAGTTCCCGCTTTTGACTCATCGGCTTGACCAACTTGGGATGAATTTGACTCCGCGAAGCTAAGTTCGCGGGCCTTCTTCAACTTCAGTCCTGTCTGTAGCGCGCGGAAAAACATCGTGACCCGGGTTCACAGCTTCTCGTCCATGTTCTTTTGGGATTACTAACCGATACTCTTGTTCCGTTTAATGAGACTCTTTAAACTTGATCCTTCTTATAGGGCTGACGTATCTCTAAAAAGTCTACATATTTTGTGCATATCGATAGACGCACCGACACCGAGCGGGGTATCGCCCAATGCAAAGTCAAGTACTTGTTCATGTCGGTCCGAATCCTTCTTAGAATGCGTCGGAATCCTACCATCTTGCCCTAGGATTTGTCAGGCCGAAGAGCAGTCCAAGTTCCTACAATTTCCGAACCACGCAATTATTGGCACTTTGCGGTTCAATTTTCCTTTCCCTTTTCCTTTTCCTTTTTTTTTTCCGCTTCAGTTTCTTATCTCAGGATGCCACTGACGTCTACAAAAATGTTTGAACCAGCTATGCCGCGGGCTCGAGGGTTCTACCCCTCCCGCTTTTTGGGAAACGGCACAGGCCGTGCCCTCGCTTGTTAATAAGTACACCAACACTTTTCCCCACTATCACGATCAGGATAGCTGCCTGAGAAGGAGGGTATATCAGGCCAAGTTAAATATAAATTGTTAATCTATCTGAGGGTGTGGTTGCATATTCTTGTTTTCCAAGCGGGATAATGAAATGCGCTTTTGATCAATCGTGCCCAAAATATCAAATGATAAAAATTCTGAAAGTGCCGAAAAATACACGCGTACGCGGGGAAATAATATCTTAGGAACAAGGAATTAAGAGATCTCGAGATGGAGATAAATCGTGCTTGTATAAGTATAGTACAGTCTAGGTTATGTTCGCGTCTGCAGGTCCCAGTATTAGGATGCCTATTGAAAATTGAACTCCGTGGTAACCTAGTTAGAGAGCCCCGAAACTAAAGTACTTACATTCACAATAAGGTAATTTGGTTTTCAGGCCACCTACATGCAGATCGAGCAGTTCAAGGGTGTCTTCGAAGAAGCTTCGAGCAAGCCAACCTGGCCAGCTGGCTTGTGTAACACCAGCTGCAAACACCACGATCAACCAAACAAAAAAATTTCATGTTAATTAACCATCCATCTCAACATACACATACACCCTTTTTCCACTCTGGTTTTTTTTTCTTCTTTTCTTTTTGCCTGCAGATGCAATACGCAAGGTCGACGCGGCCGATGTCAGCGGACTCAAGTGAGCAACATGACTCGACTCGAGGTCCTGTTGATAATTCGAAAGTCTCATATAATCAACAGCGCCATTATCTCACATCCGTAGACCGTCTCGGTCGATACGCGCCTGCATAAACCCGGGTTATTTCCAATGGATCGTGCATGTATCGTATGATATTTTTCCCTCTGAAATTTCGATCCTTCTAAGGCAGCTTCGTTTTTTGTGTTTGCTTCACGCCAATTTTCTCTCTTAGTTTAAGTGTCGAGCTAGGATCGATATATTACATATGCGCATCTCGCGATGGCGGATTGCCGGAATCTTAGGCACGATCACTATAAACGACTACTACAATTTCTTTCTATTGACCTTTAGGAAGCCAATATCCTGATAAATATCTCGTAACATTTTCTTGGTATAATGAAGCGGGCGACTACCCTGTCATGATAGGATTCTAACAAGGAATCCTAGCGGGAATTCAGTTCTGCATCAAACATTCATACAGTCTTCACCACAGGTATACGTCGCCTCGAATCCAGGCGCTCAAGGCGCAAGTACACGTAAGATATAACTCAGGCTCCAGCATGCACTGACGTGCTGGCAAATATCTAGAAATGACTTCTTCAGTTTGTGAATCTATCAAGGCCCAGACCTAGATCCAGAAGCCATCGATCAAACTTCTAGACTTTTTATAGAACTTTTATAGGCTAGTTGTGTGCACGTATGCAAATATCTTGTGAAGGATATATGATGCGCTTCTTTCGAATCTTCAACTGAAAAATTTTCAAATCGACGCATACACACCACGTTCATCCGCTAGACGGTAAAACCGAAGGTTCTAGACTTCGGCATTAATATATTGAAAGAAAGTGTGTGAAACATTTCTAATCGCGCGAGATACATATTTATGCGCTTGAGCATATGGTGAATGTAGTACGGACCGGCTGCAGCTTGTGATTTCGTTCGTCGCTTCATCATCCAGATAAGGTTCCGCCCACCCAGGATTTATCGATCTTTACATTATATCCAGTGCAAATGTACTTTTCAAACTGAAACATAATTTCTAAATATCACAAAAAAGATCTAACTTATAAATCCAATTTTCAATAGAATGTCGAAAGATAATTTTAACCCCAAAATTACATCACCGCCAAAACGGCAGATGCAATGGATCCTTCCTTGGCATTTCGGTTTATGGTGCTGGAACAAACACCAGGCCTGGACCATCCATCTTCATACCTGTCTCCCACCACCACGGCTCCGGCGCCGAACCCCTGTCCTGTCCCTTCGTCATCCATTCAATGGCTCGACAGACTATCATGCAGCGCCTATATCGCTCAAATCGGCTCCAATGGAGGTAGGCATATGCTATAACCTCGGGGATTCCATGGCGCATAACTTTCAACGCAGGTTGGGTTGTTGTGGAGTTCCTGCGAGTGTGGTAGGTTCGATCGGGCAGCCAAGGTCCGGCACATGCCATGTTGGAGAAGGCTTTTGAGGGTTCTTTTTATTCTCTACTTTCTAAGCTAAGCTTGTGCGAGAATATGATAAGATCGTGAAATATGCTTAATGAGGTGGACTTGGGGCCGAAGTAGATTTTATTGTTCTATAGGAAATCTTCAACTTCTCGGATAAACAGATAAAGAAATTCAGGGTGTCTGCCAACGAACTTCAGACGTGTTTAGTCATCAGCGGAAGATCCCGTGCGCCACCGGCCTTAGCTATGGTGGTCTACGACCAATGGCATCTTTTGGTAGTACGAAAACTGCAAGTATCAACTTCTCGGCGTCCACGGAATATACACATGTATGAATACTGATTTGTATATATTTAAGTGATTAGGCTATATTTCAATTTGAAATTTCAATTTACAGGCTTTGGGGAGTGCATACATACAATTCCATGCATGTGGGAATGTTTGCATATCACTCAGGAACCAACTTTCTTAATGATGCTAGTATGCAGAAAGAGGAAATAATAACAAGCTTAAGGTGTGATCTATTAAGATTTGGGGGGACCAACCTAATCTTTTGATTCGGCGAACTTAACAAGCTGATTCGATCTGCTGCTTTTGTATACAATCGCACAAATATGCTGATAGGTACCGAAGACACAGGTGACTTGTTTGATAAACTTATAGCAGTTTTACAAAAGAATCAAGCCGCTCTAGGTCAAGATGTGTGACTGACTAGACCTCAAAATATTCGATTCACCCTTCAAACAATTATAGTTACTATCTATGAATGTTTCCCCAAGCCTGGAAATTTGCCTTGGTTAGTATCACAAAAAAAACATATATATTATGAAAGAAGAAAAAGGTCAGCAAAAGAAATACCATATCTCCCGTAAACATTCTTCCCGTATGACGTGATGTATATCTAGCACATATTCAACTTCCGGATAGTAACTTTCAGCTAGCTCGGACGAACCGTGGGTCTTCCATTTGAGACGAAATGTCGCTATCGGTTCGCAATCGAATTGATCGCGATATCGGCATTTGCGATGGGAGGCTTTTCCGATTTGCGCAAGTCGACATCGGATTCACGGTTATTCGGAGTCACTTTCATCCTGAGTGACTTAAGGGTTGAAGCGTTTAAGATAATCAACCTCGTTAACCACCAACTATTGAGCCTCTCGGATTTCTGAGGGACTTTCCACCTAAGTATATGTGAGTTCAGCTGCTTCAAATAGCGGGATCGATATCTATCAAGAAAAAAGTGGGCGCGGATGCTCACATGATATTTGAAATTTTTAATGGAACCCCCCAAGCCCGCGGTAAATCGACAGAACATAGTGTCGATTTGGGTTCAGGTGTGATTCTAGTCCAAAAGATCCGCGGAGGAAGCTCTTCTTGAAAGTCACTAAAATCGACATAAACTGTTTCTATGTAAGAAAGTAGTTGAGTTGGGTTATGATACAATGTGTCAAGTTCGAGAGGTACTTCGTCGTCACTTTCTGTATGGATCTGGAGTTCTCGATATAGTATTGGAGTAACTACATCGTTCAGCCGCTTTGAAGAGCGGGCTATAGCGCATAATAAGGAGCGGGAGCAAGAATCAGGATTCTGTGCATCTACGGCCTAAATACAAGCCCCGTTCTACAATTAGTTCTGATATTCTATTGAAGTAATGATGTCTACTGAATATATATAAACACAAGCTTACAAGCAAACAAAATTTACTGAGAATTTCGGTTGGAAGAGTGTTGATATTAGACATGCTCAGGGCTGAAATCTAGTTGTTCCTGGGTTCTACCAGTGGTAGGGCGGCAGGGTAGGTCGATGATATACGCTACTATCCCGGCATTTGCGGGCGACTAGTCCGGGGGGGTTCTAATCCCTTGCTTGTCCCGGAGAGAAATCGGGCTCGTGCCTCTTGAAATTATCTTTCCTCGAGACGCCCACAAGCTGAGACCCTGAGGCGGAGACGATAATATCGGATGACTCCAAAGTACGTATTTCCTAGGAGCAAGTTGTCTCGAGGCTAGCAATTATCCCGTGGTTCGGTTCCTGCATGCATGCACATGTATGTACCTCGTTCCGCACATGCGTTCCAGCCCTACTCTTTCCTTGCGCCTGGTCTCGAGGCTAGCGTTCCAGCCTCTACAACGTGTCTACCGCCCTAAACCTAACCGACTGACCAATTGACTAGCTAATGCGTCGGATTCTTTTCCATCCACGTCAGTTCAGCGCACCACGGGTAAAGCGGCCGTCTCTCGACCAGAGAAATCTGCGCAGATGCATTTGGTCCCATCAATGACGCGAAGAACCTCCACAGGATAAGTGTTGACTTGGCACGTTCCTCGTCATAGCCACGAAACATGAGAAACTTGGTGTCGTTGTCGGCATCAGAAGAAGGCGTGTGGTAAGTATAATCTGCGATTTGGGGGCCACCGCAAGGCATCGTTGAAGTCTTGAAGTGAGTATACAAGAGTATGTAAGTGTTCTGAGTTTTACTTTCGATCAGGATGTTGTTTTTGAATGCAAATTAATGGGATGGGTCGTTCATGATTGATTGATTGTTTGATTGATTGAAATAATTAATAGGAGTGGGTCCGCCCGACCCGCACGCGTACGACTCCGGGTCGCAAGCGTATGAGTACCAGACTAACTACCCGGTGTCTGTTTAGGTCAAAAGAATGCCAAAAGTTTTTGATGACAACACACAGTAATTTCTGTTGACTTCTTAGCTTTCCTTGAAGAAACTCTCTTAATTCTGAAATTTAGAAAGACTATAGTTTGTTCATACGATAGGGATATGCACATTTGGAGCATAGATGAGAACCACAAGTCGTGTTTATAATTGAACAATTGCACGACCACTAATTATAACGAAGGCGCTCCTATACAGGAAGTTCTTTAACTTCTTCAAGTGCCACAAGAGTCCCGTCATGATATCATCTCCCGTAGGCTCATCCCCCCCGGTCCTGAATCCAAGGTTACGGCTCAAGCCATCATTAACAGCGCTAGAAATGATAATGCAGGTCATAACGCCCTCATCATCTAGCATCTTAAGGCTGGTCATCGGATTGTGATTTCTGGTACTCGGCGAAAAAGGTCTGGCCCGTGTTGGCAACAACCTCCAAAAGCTGAGCGTAGGAGGTTGACATCCCCGTCTGGATCTTATTGAGCCACGGCCACGTATCGACGAGGATGGTGAGGGTGCCGAGGAAGATACCCCAGAATGACTGCGAGGCTGCGATTAGCACGTTTACGGGATTAGTCACGAGACTTGGATGCTTACCATGTCGAACGTCTTGCCGGTCGCCGGCGTCACGGGCTCATCGTCGCTGATAACCGGCAGGCCCGGAATGGCCACGGGCGTTGGCGCGGTCGTAGCATCGTTGAACTTGCCTGTCTCGCTTAAAGCTTTGACGTTGGTGTAAATGTAGTTGGAGAGGTGTCCTACGCCGTTCTTGAAGGCTGTGATGAAGGCGTTGAGGTACTTCTTGAGGGCTGCACTGCCCTTGTTTTTGACAGTGTCAATAAGACGCCGTAGTACCTTGTACACCAGGCTGAAGATGCCCGTGAGTTTGGTTCCACAGCGGTAACAGTCGCCAAGGTTGATTGTAGGGTCGCTCTCAAGGCCGTGCCCGTTCAGCCATTCTATTCTTTTATCGTAGGGTAAATTGGCAAAGTCGGCTGGCGGGGCCTCAACCGGAAAGGTAGGTTTGGGGGTCGGATCTGGCATGATGGGTCTAAAATAGCTAAAGATTGGTTTATGTTAAAGAAGTACGAGCCTTTAGCTAGATAATCAGACACTTGAAGGTGTGAACGCTCAATTGAATATATATATCTAACAGCGGGGTATGTTGCAAATGCATAACCTGAGCTCAAGCGTGCAGGTCTATTTGGTGGCGTATTGGTTACCTCTTATATACATGCAGGACGAGGCTTTCCAGAGTCGATTCACTGCGGGGACCGTTTAACGGCCGCTGCATTAGACGTGCACGTGCACCACATTGAGTAGCGCCATCTTATTAATTTCAATTCTAGGCGCCATCTGTGGGGGCTCTGGAACAATTAAGGCTGGCATAGCTTTGTTAGGATATCAGTAGTCATTTCACTAGTTTTTTTGTAATATGTGAATATAATAATATTTAACGTCAATATACTTGGATCGATTATGGTGCTGTGTATTCTCTGCTAATTTAATTGCGCCTTGGTTGTCTTTATATAAGTATATAGAGGATCTTGCAGTTGTCTGGCCTATGCGCAATATCGATAATATATAGATATCCTTCATGATCAGAAGCAGGTTGTCTGCTCCCACTGCACTGCTTCGTTTTTGTATTTCGAATGCTTGCTGCTGCGCCTGGCGCCATAGGTGTACTATTAGCTATGCTATGCTAGTCTGCAGTCCTTGTCGGCAGAGAAGTACTAGCTGCTTCTACCGTGGCGGCTGCTACAGTGGCTCCGTCGCAATGACTCCAATCATCCCCTGCATGTCGTGCCACTCCACAGTAAACTACGGTAGTGAGATAGCCGCCGGCTGTTTGCAACCTCGTCTGTCTATAGAAAACTCTCGCCAGACCCGGATCATCTTTGCTGTACAGTTCTTTATTCGCTAGCACTGGAAACTCTTGGACATCTACGGCTGCCGCCTGCCCGCCACATCTCCATACGGGTGGGTTCTGATTATAATAGCCGTGGGGGTAATGCGTCGCACTGTTTGTGCAAGTATTACCACCAATGCGTTCGACACAATCATAAGCCTGCCACAGAGCGTTTACAATATCACCCCTGCTCCAAGTGTAGTCTTCATAGAGAATTTAAATTGTTAGCGGTACTAGTACTTCAACATGGATAGCTATAGCGGGTACAAAATACCTTGGAGGTTGCATATGACATTTGCTGCTGGAAGATTTGACATGATGGTTTCATCATCAACAACGGCGGTAGCCAGAGGCTCAGACGGAGCAGTAGTAATAGTATTAATAGGAATGGGCAAAATTGCTTGTTGAGCTCTCACAATAGTGAGTGAGGAGAGGAAAGAATAGAGTAGATGCCACAAGAACATTTTGGTAGATTTAAATAGAGCCTCGTTCGTAATTGGAGATTGGATGGTATGAACTTGGATCGCAGTATATATAGCGGAAGGACTAGTTATCTAAGCCATCGATATCTATTCAGCCGTAGCTGAATCTTCTATCAGGATCAATGTTTGTCTCGATGCAGTGGTGTAGTCTTCGGCGACCACAAACTTACGGAATCAATCACCAAACTATACCCTTGTAGAGAGTCATCTGCAATGTGCATCGCAAACAGGAGCGCAAACAGGAATGAGAGACAAACACCCCTTGTAGCTTTGGGCCAATAGATGCATCGATGGCCGAATCTTCGGGTTTGAGGCTTGATTTGTCGCTTTCGGACTCCTGTTTGCGACGTGGCCGCGGTCGGAGCTAGCTAAAATGCTCCACAATTGTACTCTTCGACTGGCCGTTATATTATAATATTACTTATATATTTCATGTGCCGTAGTGCAATTGACATGATACTAACATCGTCTACACTTATGGATATGATATCAGACAGGTAAGAGTCTCGCTCCCTCCACTTCAAGACAAAAGGATCTCATCATGTTACCACGACAGACTTTGAGAGTATGCTCAAAATCTCCAGTACTGGTACTAGTACTGGTATCTCTCCAGGAAGTCGCCTTGGCTTCGAGTCAATCTACTGTTAATGCGCGATCATCTTTTAATTTACAATTTTATAATTATATAAAACTGAATATAAAACCAAAATACAATACAAAATATGGATAAAAATGAATTAACTATAAATTACATTAAGATTAGTCTAGAACTAGGATAATTAAGTAAATATGTATATATAAATGGGTATGTATATATGTGCATCGGGCATCCAGTTCGCATCTGATATAACCCCTAGAGTTATAACTCATATTCCATTCTATATATCATACCTACCTAAGTAAGTACTTGTCTCCAAGTTTCATTTTTTGTCACCGATATTATATATATATACCGCAACAGAAACTGCCTCGTTTGGGGAAAAAGCAGATTGCCGTACTCTCGGTCTGAAGCTATTGGCGGGTCAGGTTCAATTTTTGAATTCGCCATTACAAAATTGAGAAAATTGGCCCTAATAACCTATAATACTGGTGATAGTGGACCACTATGGAGCCGATGTTATGGCCGACTATTACTACTACTACTACTACTATAGTCTGGTCATCAGATGTGCCCTTTGATATTCCTAGCACCTTAGCTATCCGCCCCGTAACCATCTATTTGTAAATCCCAGAATAAACATGAGCTTAACATGCTGCTGCCATGACACCTCACTTAGAATCTCATCATAGTTACCAGTGCGTATATTTAAACAGTAACAGTTGGAGTTACCGAGTCCGAGACTACCTACCTACGTAGTTAGTTGAAAGTGAAACATAAACAATGATCGTCTATATAAAAAAACATTTAATATTTCATAAATCATTCACGTCTGTCACACACGCTCACCTGACTGCCTACATAGGAGGTATATAAACGTCTCCCTCCCCGCTCTCTTAGATAAAACCTTTCTTCACTCTCCTTCTTCTCTACATCCTCCACCTTCTTCACCCATCTACTTCCTTCTTCACCCGCCTCGCACTCCCCTCCCATCAACCCACCACCACCACCACCACCCACACATCAGAGCAGCCATGGCGTGCCTCCGCGAGAGGTTTCGAAGATTTGTTCGTGCCGAGGCCGAACAAATCTTCCGGGCACAAGGTGCCCAAGGAGAAGAAGGACGAAGAAGAAGACGAGGAAGGCACGACGCGGCCTCCGACTCTGACTCGTCCTCGTCGGACCCCTCATCCTCTCATGGGGATGAAGGTGAGGTACGTGTCACCCTTTTCTTCCTGTTATCTCCTTTATAGAATATACCCTTATCTTTCGATGACATCACTGCGCGTGCTAATACGAAAATTTATTCTTGTGTTAAAAATAGTCCGACGAGGAGTGTTATTGTCGGGGCCGTTGTCGGTGCCAGAGAGAACGCTCTCTGGAGCGTGAAATCCTCCGCGAAGTATCGCGGGAGGTTCGACGGCTCACTCGTGAGCATCGAACCCGTCGTGCCGCTGATGCGGCCGACGATAGGGGGAGCCGTGCCACTAATGCCGGCGGAGTACGAGGAAGAGGAGGAAGACGAGGACTCCGCCGTGCCACTAACGCCGGCGTGGAGGGTTGTGGTGATGGCCGACGCCAGCCACACGCAGTGCCGTTCCCGCCTGGGGAAGCCACGGTTCGTCTGAACATGGAGTTCAGATACCGCGGCAGGACCCGGGGGACGGTACCTGTGAGCCAACCGATGGCTACACTCCGATACCTACCGGTGCAAAGAGGGGATGGACGCTCCATGGAGTGGTTGTACCACCATGGAGGTTATTATAACTTCGTCCATGAGAACCACGACCCCGAGTTGGTCCGTGGGGATCGGCGGTTGACACGGAGAATTGTATTCTCCGCTGGCACCCGCCCCCCTGTCACCGGTGTGGAAGTGCCCTTCCCCGGGGGGGTTTGGAGGGTCGAGAGGTTCATCTTTGATGGGCCTCAAGGCCAAGGGGGTGGTTATAGGGGGTTTGAGACCCTCTACTTCTTGGATGAGCGTTGAGGGGAGGAGGGGGGTGGTTTTGTGTTTTCCTTGTTGTATTTTTGGGGGAGGGCCATTCGTTTTCCTTTGTTCTCTTACCTTTGGTCTTGCTTTTAGTTTTTTGTTTTTTGTTCTTGCTTTTCTGCTTCTGTTTTTGTTTTTTGTTTTGCTGTTGCTTTCGTTTTTTTCCCCCATTCTACTTCATGTATTCTTTTCAGTTTTCATGTATGTAATTTTTGGTTTTCATGTATCCTTTTTAGTCTTCATGTACATAGTTTTCGTTTTTCAGTTTGGTTTTTTTAGTTTTTACCTTTAATTTTTGATTTTTGATTTGAAGATGTCTTTGATTCTGTTAAGGAGTCTGGGGTAACAATAGGAGGCATTTACATCGTCAAAAAGTCGTTCAGATTGTCGATATCGTGAAGCTAAATCGTGGTGTAGTAACTAACACTCGATCAGTTTCACCAGCAATGCATCAATGATTCGACTCTTGAATTTCCTCGGGTTTCTGAACCGTGCACGTGTGCCCAGGAGACTTATCTACTATCCATTTTACCGTATTCTGGCGTCTGGGCCTCGAGATTAATCATTTTAATGAACAAATAGGATCTAACTATTCGTCTCCTCAAATATTACTTATTAATAGTCAAAACCGACCAACCTGTAAGCATCGTACCCCCGTACCCCGCACATCGTACATCGTATATAAAACTCCCTTTTTTTGGTTCATATAAATATTAAATAGGACCACTATACATACCGTACAGCCGTTAAACAGAAACGATGGACTATTTGATAGTAAACATACAAGTGAGATAAATTAGAAAAAAAGAAGAAAAGCAAAGTTAACAGATGAGAAAAAAAAAGTAAAGACATTCAGTATTCATCCCGTCATATTACAATAGATTTTGTTTGAGCTCGCTCGACCCTACCTTTTTTGATTTTTTGGTTCTTTCCAGGGATGAAATAACAAACGAATGTAAGTGTTTCTTCAGCCAGAACCGTCCCCCCCCTTTTTTTTTTGTTATCGTAGAAAGAACATTGCAAGTAGAAAATATATGCAATTTGACGTTGTCCTTTCTATCTCCTCCTTGGCCGTCATATTCCGCTCTTGATGATAATACTCCACCTAAAATAACAGGCATAAAATAAAAGGACTAATAAAACTAAAGGAGAAGATAAACTCCTTTATTTTAGAACCAAAAGAGAAGAAGAAGAAGAAGAAGAAGGAGAAGAAGAAATATTCCATGCCATCAATGCATCTCATACTCCACCGAATCCCTGCCCCTCGCCTCCTCTTTCCCCAAATTCTGCCTTCTCCCCTTATAATACCACCACATACTAACCCACGTCATCCAAAAGCCTACCCAGCTATAAATCTGCATCTTGAAATAACTCAATAGCGCAGTCGTACTAGCAGCCCTAGGTCCGTTTGCCACAATTGCTGTCAACGGACTGGTCAATCGTATCATCCCCAACATGAAGATAAAACACAATAATCCCAATAATCCCGATAGCCACAACATAAACCAAAAGTAACCGGCATCCAGGAAGTAGCATGTTCGATAAACTTCATGCCAGGATCCTGTGATTATTGATAATGGAACGATGAACATTAGGGAGAATGTATTGATGTACCAGAGCAATCTCCAGAATGCACGCTGGTGGTCTTCGTAACTTGGGTTGTTGTTACTGCCGGGGGATGTGGGTCCCGTGTTTAGATTTTCGAGCATGATGTTATAGGCTTGTAGGAGGGTGAAGGGGTGGAGAGCTGTAAAGAAGCTGGAGAAAAGACCGGCGATGAAGCCTTCTGGTGCGAATCGGACGTGACGGAGGGAGGTCATGAAGAGGCCGAAGGTTATGGAGAGGGCGGAGGACATGGTTGTGACTGGGAGTGTTTGTGATTGGAGGTGGGTGGCGAAGAAGAGGGCGAATGGGATGGTGAGGATTCGTGACATTTGGTATACAGGAAATTGGCCATATCTATGAAGACTTTCTGTCAGTATTTATGATCTTGTAATGATCCTGAAATCATATACAATGGACCCGCCAGCCGGCCAAGATTGGTTATGACATACGCAAAAGCAAAATTCGAGATTAAGATCTTCAACGAGAAGACAGCTGAAGCAAATATAAACTTCCTCCCGGTCTTCCATTCGAATTCCAAAACACTACCGCGAGCTCCCCAACCCCACCCTTGGGTCTTCTGGTATACCGGTGGGTCGGGAGGGGCTACGACAAAGTTGAATTGGATCAAGTTGAACGCTGGCGTGATCAGTCTGGTCAAGTATGCCCAGAATACCAGCATAACCTGGGCTGTTATCAGCTGCGCCGCAGTAACGAACATGGGGTAGTTGAATCTGCCGAAAGCTCCGATGGTTAGCGCTCAGCCCCATTCCATATCCTCTATATTGTTATCCAAAGGGAAACTCTATTTCGACGTACTTGTAGACACCGGCTAAACAAATTGTTAAAAGAAAATCCAGATATTAGCGAATTGAAATCCGACTTGACCCATTGTTCAATTGGGAAAGAGGGAGAAGAAGTAGAAATCTACATACTCCAAAGTAAGACATGTTCTTGGAACACCATTCCGCCACCAAGTCCGAAGTAGAAAAATATTATTAATCCTACAAAGACTTTCTGGCCCCGTGGTGTATCCCAGATCTGCCAGACCCGGCCTGCTTGCCGTTTCGACGATGAGCCCCCAAGCGAGCCATTGGATGTCGATAGTGGGAGAAGAGAGTTTGAAGGTTTGTGAGTTGGAGAATCGGCGTCATCCCATGGCGGAGACTTTGATCGCGAGCTCGACCCGTTGCGGGAGTGGTGAGGCATCTCGAGGAGAAGAAGAGAGAGGTCGGGAGAGGGAGAGGAAGAGAGAGTAGGAGAAAGTGGTGGCCACCGTTCGGACCGTCTGGAGAAAGGCTAACTCCCCAGGTGGCTAGGTAACGAGGTAACTAGCAGCTTTTCCAGCGCGACGTGGTCGTTTGGAGGGTGCCTTGGCGATTGTGTTGTTCCTTTTTTACTTCTGGGCGGCCGTTCAAGTTCACTGCTGCATCGTGAAGTCGGAATTAAAACGTTATCGAATATAAAATATAAGGATAAAATCGATGGAAGAGGAAGAAAAGAAAGATGAAAAAAGTGGAAAGATGAAAGATGAAAGATGGGAAAGGAGTGGAGGTACAAACTACCGTTAACCCACTGGGTTAGTAACTTAACTAAAACGTCCATCGAATCCGAAGCTGACCGGGCCAGACTTTTTTTATCCCATGGGATTTCAGCCTCTGAAAACCGGTCAGGGGCCCGAGAGGTCGTCTAAGCCCTTGGCTTGCGCACTCCTAACCTTAAAACTACATCCCGGATCCCGGCTCGGTCGGGACATTTGGCGTGGACACCTTCCGGACTGAGATGTCATGAGAATTAACTAGCGTGGGCATCGTATGGATACGTAGCGTGGTTTCATGCATGCCAGATCGAAACAGTTGATTATATTACCTGTAGTCTAAAGTTAGATCACGTTACATTTCTAGACGGTTTACTCAGTGACAGATTTAATGTTTCTTAATTATATATTATATTTTGTAATGAACATATGACCAGTTGGATGTTTAGCTAGTTAAAACTCACTTTATAAACGTAGGTACGATATATCAATCTCGCGCTTGATGAAAGGAATAGAAAAGAATGTAGAGACTCTTTGAACGGACATTCGCTTTTTAAATACAAGTACCAATATATATAGTGGAACAAATGAAAGAAGTACCTGAGTCTATATAGTATGGGTGCGAGATAACGCGATCTTAAGTACTTAGAAGAAGAGGGGGGTAATTATAAAAGAACAAATACAAACAAAGTACAGGAGTCAGCAGCGTGCCAAAGCATTTTAATACAAGACTAGCACAGGGGGTGAATGAGGATCCTTGTATATACATATTAGGTACCTATATATATATATATCTATATAACGACTATCGTAGCGTGAGTAGTTTATATTTGATCCAATACAAGTTCATCTGTTGAATCAATGGAAGGCGTGACAATCAAATTATATGTATCAGAAGTAATTTTTATAATTATACGGGACAGAAGAACAGACATTGAATTTCCCATCCCTAAAGATAAACTTGTTAAATTTCATAGTTCGTAACGCCAGGAGGGGTAAAATTGTAGAAGAAAGAAGGAAGAGGGATTAAAATTAAAAGAAACTTACCTCTGCAAGTGCCCAAGCGGGATTAGTCTTGTCGTGAACATATACGTGAAGGCTACCATCGATATAATATTGCCACGAGACTCCCTTCGAAGGATCATCTCTACGAAGCCGACAATACGGATTCTTCTTTTGATCATAAATATACGCATCAACATCACTCCCATTTTCATCCGTATGCCACGCTAATTTCACTGCATTTGGTGGTCCCCAATAAAACTGAATATAATCCCTCATAGTAAACCGATCCCCAGTAACGGCCCCGTCATAGTCCTTCCATCCATCATCCCTTTTACCATGTTGCGGAGAAGCTCTCAATATAGGACGATCTTTGAGATGGGTCCAACATTGCCCTCGATCCGTAGCATCACAAGTGCTACTATACTCAGAATCCTGGGTTAGATCGATCCATTCGCCTTTCTCGTTGTCGATGTCAAAATTATCGAGAACAGCAGTCGCATCGTCCGGCCATCCGCTCCATCCAGCCTTTTGGTCGTCCTTGACCCAGACTTTCATCTGAACTTGGTCGTAAGGCCAAGAGAAAGTGGAGGATCGGCCGTCGGCTATCATGACCCAGTCGGCGGCGAGGCGGCAGAGTGGCGGCGCATTTGGATCCGGCGCGCGTGCGGCGAGCCGGCTATCGACAGAGGCATTAGCATCAGCGGCATTGGCGGTTACAGTAAGGCCGAGCAGGATGGAAAGAAGTGGGACGATATTTTGGGATAGCATTTTGAAGTATGGGAGAGCTGTGACTGTGCCTGAGTGCTCTTTTACTATATAGCAAGTTGATAATCCTGTGCGAAAAAAATACTTCGGGACTAATATAGATGATATAGGGATATAACTAAGCTTAAGATGATGAAGGAAAGTTTCTTATCCAAAAAGAAATGCGAAAAATATCATAGGCAGCAAATTGAGATCACTTGTTGAAGAGGCACACACTTGCTGCGATATTTATGCTCATGACTTGTACAATTATGTTTACCTGGTGTTGGCTAGGAATCTATATTTTTGTCTGTTAGAGTGATGAAACAAAGCTCAAATAACCTATTACTCGCTAACAATTGATGCAAGAGGGCTTCTATAGCTATAGGTGCCTGGATCCGTCTGTTAGGGAGGCAATGCAACCACTCGTCGCAAGATACAGTTTTTACACATCAGACTGAGGGTTATATATATATACTGACTAAGATTTAACACTAGGGCTCTTCCAGGTCTGGGTACGAGACAAGCTAGGACTGGGACTCCGTATAAACCAGTATTTCCACCCCCAGAAAAAACTTTGTATTGGAACTATTAAAAATCCTAGATGCTACAAATTTCTAACGGTTCGTTTCATGTTTAAGTTGGTTGTTCTACGGCGTCTACCCAGTCGACTAGTCTAAGTTGAAAATGTCGTTTCCGATGTTAATACTCAGGACGTTAATATTATGACTCCAGAAACATCAAAAAATAAACAGGCACAGCAAAAAACATTTAAAACAGCGCATAATTTCCAACTATCTCTAGCGCTTTCACCTGAACAATTGAAACGAGGCCTCGACATTCCAACATTCTAAGACTAGATCGATGCGTTGTTAATGTTGCATTGCCGAAAGAGTGATAGTTGAATTGAATCGACTTAATTTAGAATTTTAGAAGATTCGCCAGGCTATTCTGATACAGACCGGGCCATGCCATGGCCATTGCCAGGAGGAGGGTTCTGTTACATTACAGGATGGGGGGGAGGTTATGTTATTAATGCTAATTCCGCTCGACGCGTTATGCCGTCATCCCTTCCCACCGGTCCTTTATTCCCTTCCAATTCGCTATTCCTGTCGGCATCGATATCCCGAAAGTTTTCTTTCCCCTTATTAAGCACCTACTTACTTACCTGCTTACCTGCTTACCTACTCTTCCCAAAAGCTGCTAGTGAGGAGACAAACCTGCAGAAAAGAAAGGAACTCCAAAGGGCTGCATGCGCGCATGTGATTCGAATAAAAAGTGTACAGGAAGAGAGACAGAAGGGAAAGAAAGAATGGTAGTCCTGGCGCTCCCGCTCCCAAGAACCCGAACTCTGGATTTGGACCGTTGGGCAGATGTTATACGGGAGCGCCTCAACATCCCTTCCGTACAGGACGGCGCAGGAAGCACAGCAATCCCCAGTGATGATGATGATAATAATCTCCAACGATCCTCCGTTCCATTACTATTTACCCTCCCCGCCGAAATCTTCAGTTTGATCCTGAACCGGCTGACCTTCCGTGATATTGTCGCTTTGTCGCTGACCAGTCGTGCGCTGCGGGATATCTACTCGCCTCCCGAGGATCTCAAACGTCGACGGTGCGCGCAGAAGATCCATTCGGTGTTTTTGCTGCCGCATGTGAGCCCCTTCGAGCATAGCCATAACCATAACCACTATCACTATCACCAACCATATAATAAGAACAGCAGTAACGTTAACAGTTATAACAACCACGGCGTTTCAATTCATGCCTCCAATTCAAACTTCAATCCCAATCCCAACAGCGGCGCCTGCTATAAATGTCCTTACTGCGCTCATCCGCTGTGCCCGCCAACATGTAGCACTGCCTTACTCCTAGACAGCAACACAGGAATCTTCTTCCCCGCCTCCTTATGGCCCGATTGCGCCCGTGCCAGGTTCCTCTACACCCACAAACCCCACCCGTCTAAAGAACATGTCGACTGTCGGCAACCGCCCTCCACAGGTGGCGAATACTCCACAATATGGTGTTCACATCATCGATGTCCTAGAGATCTGTTTAGCATTAAACACATCCACAAACGTTCCGGACCAGAGAGTTTTCTCGCAGAGTACCGTACGAGACGTGGATGGAAATTAGCAAGAAAATCCAGAGGACAGGCGCCGAAACTTGCGAGGTGGTTTGTAGGGTATAAAACAAAATCGCAGGAAGAGGCCCTTTCGATCTCGAAAGAACATCCGGATAAAGCCGGCCGAGTAGGGTGTTTTGAAAAGGTGTTTTACGAAACTTTTTGTCGACATTGTTTACGCCCCATTGAACATGTCGGAGTTAAGCTATACCCTCGACCACTGGGGAGTGCCTCTTGTTCTTCTTGTAGTAATGCCCCGTGGGGTAGATGGAATAGAGGGTGTTTGGACTGTGGAATTGTGAGTGTGAAAATTAGGATGATTGATGTTTTTGATGAGAAATGGTCTGGATCGAAGATATTCTCAAAATCGAAAAAGAGAGATGGAAGTCTATCCAATGATTTATCTTGGCAAGAACATGACGGCTATTGGTTATTCCTTGCCACAGAGTGCAGGATAGTCAGTACCATCGGGGCGGTGGAAAGAAGAAGGTTGGTCCCCGTTAATTCTGAGAAGGCGGAGGATGCATTAAATATTGTACGAGGTAGGTCGATACACAATATCGAGAAGTCCAAGGTAGGGATTGAACATCTGCCTTATAAGATTTTATCACAGATTTTGGGATACCTCCAAGAAGATTGGGAGGATCCGTCGTGGTATAGTGCTTTGACAGCGAGTTATTGTTTTTTGAAGGCGTCACAGAGGATGCATCCCTTTGTAGGGAGGCCATATACCGCTGAAGAGGTTTGGAGGGATTCTTACAGGTTACATAGTATTTGGTGACAATTCCTATCTAGATACTCGAATACAATGAAATATAATATAATTATACAAAGTGTTCGGTACGAAAGTATTCACAAGCCCGATATTCCATGACAATATATATTCGGTTTCAAATATTTACAACAAACAATCGATCCGGGTAACTATCCCTCGAGCAGTCATTTTAGTGCCGACAACTCCACAATCTAGGCAAAGTGGGGATATGGTGGTAGCTATTTTAGTACTTGGTGCATACAATTGCCGAGAAACTTCAAAGAGAATCATTAGCGAGTTGAGCCTTGTCGCTGGTGAATAACCACGATTTCTCCGTAGATCCAGACAAAGTTGGATACAATTCAAACTTGGCAAAACTAATTTATCATGCGATACCCTAACCCCTCACTTGGCATTCAGGGATCCTAACCAGTGCATGCACATGGGCACCGGCTATGAGGCTGTTGAGTTACTTCAAGTTCTCAAACGGATCCTCGTGTAGCCTGTCTTTAAATTGGCGGCATCTACTTTGAAGCTTCTTTACCACCTTTAGTTTATCGAAGCATTATTTTTTCATGAATTCGCATACTATTCATGGAATAGTCAATTCTGTTATATCGATATATGCCTGATCAATTGACTATAAGCATTCAATTCAGACAATATGCCCGCTCTAGAGTGCCCCCATTGCGACCAAACGTTCCGCCGCCCCAGGGCCCGGGATAACCATCTAGACGCATTCGGCCACTGGCTCGAATGCGACTTCTGCGACGACCAGTTCTCCAGTTACAAATCCCTCGACCAGCACTGCAACGCTAAGAACCACTGGCACATATGCAACAGCTGCGGTTACAAATACTACAACGACGAAGACCTTAAATATCACCAGATTGAAATGGAGCACTTCCTCAATTGCAGCTATTGCGACAAGAAGTTTACCACCTGGAAAGCCCTGGGTCAGCACTGTGATGCCAAAGATCATTGGGCACGGTGTTTCCAGTGTTTTAACGACTTTCACAATTTTGATTCGAGAAAGAGTCATATGGATCAGCAAGGGCATTGGTTTTATTGTGCTTCTTGTCCGATGGGGTTTCATCATCCTAATAACCGACAGAGGCATCAAGTAGAGAATAATCATTGGGGGAATTGGAGGTTTCACGACCCTAAGCATTATCCTCCCTATATTAGCGCTGGCGAACAGCAGTATCATTTGGTGCGCGATGGCTGAGAACCTTTTTAATTGCTCCCTACTTTTGACCTGTATTACAATAGGAATTGGTGTAAAATAGTTTTAGATGGAGCATACGCCCTCATGTAGTTATATGTGATCTACACATGTCTTTACTATTGTGAACGTCAAAACTCTAAATGTAGTTTTTGCGTAGCTTATATCACTTGGAGTATAGTAATCTTCAATCAAACTTATATACTTAATCAGCCTGCATTAAGTTATAAATCACGCATGACGATCTGGTACGCATTCCCCAGAGCCCGTTGTTACTGGTTGACCATATAGCTCCACTGGGTGATCACAATCCCCTGGCAATTCTTGGATACTGTAACCAATGAGAACACCAGCCGATAATGCGAACTGGCTGCAACGGCAGAGCAACGGACGCCTCGAAATGCGCCAAGAGTTAACTGAATTGCTAATAAGTTTAGAAGGTCATGAAATCAAGGATTCAAATGTATCTTGGCATTGAAGTTTTATATTAAAATGTTTTTGGCCGTAAAACCTTCGCAAAAGTGGAGGGGCTGCTTTGTCGGTATTATATATTCATACATACAATATATGCGTATGTATATGTGAAGATATTATTTAGAGGCGTCGGGTATAGTCTCCTTGTATGCAATTAGTAGCTTAATTCCATGCATATCCATGTGCCATCCCAATGGAAAAATGCTTAATTCAAATTTACCGCTCGCGTATAGGATCCATGCTGAGGATCAGTACTCTTACTGTAATGTATTGGGGGAGCATGGGGGAGAGATTAGGTTTGGGCTAATTAAGATTCGCTTGTTTAGGTTCTCGCCTGTTTCTCAGCCAGGATGAAAGCCGACTGTAATTCTTGTCCCTAAGTTTTACATGTATAAGAAGCTAATTTCTTGGACTGGCATAGAAATATTGAACCGGAATTTTACTATATTTCGATACGTGTATATTCAAGATTTACATTTGGAGGGGTCGGATAGAGTTACATGACTAGGCTCCGCCTAGAAAATGTCAAGTTTTCATTTTTTCTATGTCGGTATATCTAAGTTAAGTTAGCCAGCAATAGTAAATATCAACTATCTGAAATTGGGGTACATGGAAGAAACCCAAATACAAAGTGATAGATGAAGTATTTTTTCGAAAGAAAACGAAAGACGACTCGCTATATATATATACATTTAAATCTTGTTACGATATATACACCCGAATCTGATATCCTTCTCCATACCTCACACAAGTCTTATTTCTCCTAGCCTTCGCCACACCCAAAAGTTGTACTTCCTCCCCCCAAAAAAAACCAAATCTGGCCCTTTGCACCATATAACGTATCTAGAGATAGCAATGGTAGACAGGTGGTCCCGGGTTAACATAAGAAATCGCACCGGGCGCCCAGATGTTAAGCTTGATACCTGGATCAGTGGCATTATATGCACCAGGGAAGGATACCAAAGTAGGTGGGGTGCTGGGTGTAGCACCAACCCAACCACCCGTGACATTAAGCTGGGCGCAACCAAGGAAGAACTGGGCGCCGCCGGTTTGGTAGGCGTTGTGCAATGCAATATGCTCCACGCGCAAGAGGTACTCGCCGTCAGGGAGACAGCGTGGGATTTTGACGTAGACTTCGGTTATATCTATACATTGTGACATTGTTAGTGAACGAGAACCTATAGGCGCGTCCGGGAGCGAAGTGTTAAATTTACCTTCTGGCCACCAAATGCCATTCGAAGTATCTGCAGGCTGGTCCTCGTGGACTTTGAACCAGACAGTACCTTCGCCGTCAAAATCGGCGGCGGTCTTATCGTCAGGGACTCTAGCCATGTAGAACAAGAGAGGGCCTGGGTGTGAGATGCGACTCGCAACAGTGAATCCGACCAAATTGCCAGCCTCAACATTGGCAGTTGCCGCCTTAGGGGCTGTTGGATCATTGTAGCATCGCAGAGAGTCGGAGTTAATGTCTTCAATGGGTCCACGGCCGTTAATGTTGGCGGCCTTCTTGACGTATTGCCAATCACCAGTGGCCTGGCCGTTGAGGATAAGAGCTGGGAAGATATCTAGTATTTATGTCGTGTCAGTGTATCTAATACTCTGGCTCAAAATGTAGGAGCGGGATAACTCATACAGTGCGCGGAGGCCAAGCTGGCGCTCAAGAGGAGAATAGTGCTTGTCAATTGCATTTTGATTAGAATCTCTCAGAGAATAGTGTATTGGTATCTTTATTGCTTGGTGAGTCTGTTCGATGCTGTCGAATTGATTCTGACTTGAAGGGAGCCATTCCAGCTGGTATTTATAGGTGAGTTTATAACGTTGATAAGCCTATGATGCTTGCATGTCAGCAAGATGCATCTCATCGGCCTGGTTTGCTGTTCGAATTCCGTCACTACAAGATCGGATGTCGGATGATTCTTAATAATAGGTTCTCGATTGTGTATGTCGTTTGTATTCCCTCATAACGATACGGACTATCTCGGAAAACCCGAGTTATACGCTGCAATGAATCGAATGCTGGATATGAGTATGTATATGTATGTTGAGGCCAGTTTAGTTGGTAGCCTCGAAATGGGAGCATATGTACCTAGATGATATGACCAAAATCGACTGCCGGCATGCCTTTTTCCGTGTATATAATATAATTGGGAAATCCTAGTCTCGAGGCCAGCGAATTCCGTCGGTGGCGTTGGCGGCTGCATCCGACGGCTAAATTCTCCGCATTTTCCAAACGTGGTCATCCCGGTAGACGAGAGCTCTAGTTTCATATATATCAATCGTTAAACACTAGGAGCCTAGAAATTTCTGTTTCTCTTTGCTAATAAAGAGTCTACACGCGCAATGAGTGAGAAATATAAAATTTTGATTAAGCAGAAGATTATTAGGAAATTGACGGTCAAGTTAACCCCAAGTTTGGGTAAGCCTACACACGTGCACACGGTTAAAGCAACTAAGTACGTTAAGATATACCTCGGACGGATATCTAAGCCATATTCCGAGCCGTAGTTTTATTAAGATCTTCCTTTTGTAAGCCCCAAGTTTTAAATTTAGCGCCTCGCCTGACCGTTTTATAATTTAAAACTCCTGACCTGGCCCTGGTTACCGTTGCATTGCATCATACTACTTTATGGTTATTACCGGGTAGTTGTAAGCTAAGAGATCTAGCGAATGGAAAGCTTAGCAGAGCCGGGGAATTTTCGGACATATTTAAACAACGAAGTCCCGAATTATATAGATTATAAAATACCTCCTCTGGCATGCATTTTTTAGTAAAGTACGTACGTTTGTCTCTTTGCAAATATGCAAGTTCCTGGAGTACTTAGCCGATTAGGCAGGCTACTGGGAAGACAACATTAACAGGATATCGGGCCGTGTATTACTAGCTATTCAAGTATTTCTTGGTTTCAAGTCCAGATAGCTTTGAGCAACTGGGGGTCTAGATAATTGTAATGGATGTTTGCCCATGCTAGATTAGACTGATAGATACAAACTAACCCGCAGTCGAGGAGCCTAGCGATGAACAAACTTCTAGCTAGCTCTCCATTCGAATATTGGCTGAAGAGCTTTTTTTGATGTTATGGAGCGAACTATCTTCATAATTATAAGATTATTAAATCCGGCTTCAATGTTTTTCTACTTTGGTAAAACCCCGAGTCTAGCGAACAAGTCTCAATCTTCCTCTCATGATAGAAGCTACTCTCTATATATATTATATACATTGATCAATATCCTAAATTGGGTATTTTACCCGATGGATACGTATAGGGGAAGGGTAAGAAATGTATTCAAAATCCTGGCATCTCGAGTTTAGGCAAGTCCGGCACGAAAATTATCATGGAGTGTACTTGGTAACTTTAAGGCGTGACCAGGACTAGTTAACTCCGAGACCCCTATAACGTTATTTAGAAGGTATATATATTATTATTTCTATCTGGGTTGCCATCACCTCATATTCCGTATTCTTCGGTGTAATGCGCCGGTACCTGGATTTAAATTAGTGAGCTTGATTGCATTGTCGATGACCAAGTTGGACATGGATTTGACTGCTCCAGCTTTAAATAGCTCAAGGGCGCTAGGCTATGATGATTTTGAAATTAATACAAGCTTGTACAATCACCCCGTATGAGGGTGAATTCGATTCCAGGCAGAGACGTGAGGTCAAGGCTGCAAAGGGATATAGCTTGCAGTAATTTGTCCCTGACTAATCTAGGAGGCATTGGCTTGATTATACCGACATGTAGCTCTGGCAACCTATCGATATTATAGCTGGTAGGAGAATGCTGCCCTTTCTAACGTCTGGGAATGAGACCATCGGAAGTGGGCTTTACCTTGCCGTAGGCTCGCACAGTCAGTAGTAACGCCCTGAATTGCCGTCGGTAGTTTGAAATCCAAAGGGGGGTTATGTCCTTCAAATTGCAAACAGTAATTGAGAGACTTTGTGATCAATGAGTGATAATTTAGTAGAGGACAATGCAATGCAATGCAAATGGCTGACCGAGCTTTAATTTACTAAGCAGGCTAGAAGAGTTAGGTTTTTTGTAAACAGAAAGTTTGAAATTTGAAAGGAAACTTTTCGGGTGGCCCCTGATCAACTGGGTGAACGGCGGGGCCATTTTGACTTCCGATTCCGTTAATATCGATGTATCCATTGCATTGGAATATCTGAAAAGTGTGTTGAATGCAACAAAGAGTCATGATATGATATCATCGTGATTTTAGTGGCGGAACGAGCTACGCTATTCCTAATACGGTAATTTCTGGGGATGAATCATTCTGAACTCGAAGCGACAAGAATTCAATTCAAACTCCATTGAATTTTTATCGCATTGGTCGAGATCTAATCTAGATTTAGTCCATATGCATCACGAGAGTGTAGATTCAAGAGAAAGAAAATATGTGTATATAAGAACGAGTAGCCAATTCGGATTCTAGACACTTTTTTGTTAATAATCATCACAACACAAGTCCTTTCATAGTTCATATCTACGTCTCGAGATCTCCGCATTGATTTAGATTCAACAACTTTCCTCGCATCAGGCCACAACCAAAACTATCTAGCTAGTCCATCTACAGCAAGAACTTAATAGAAACAATGCCGCCGGACACTGCCACAAACCTGGACGCCACTGCCGACACAAACACCGAATCTCTTCCCGCCGTCCCATCCACAAATTACCTGTGCACATCCTGTCAAATCTCATTTGGGACTAGCCAGGAACAGCGTACACACATGAAAGAACCATGGCAGTAAGTTCCAATGCGACGTCAAATTTGTGCTTAGAAATCTCAAGGACTAATTAGAATTGTGAATAATCAGCGTTTACAACATAAAACGGCGCATGGAATCATTACCACCGATTTCTCAGAATATCTTTGAAACACAGATCGAGAAAAAAGCCGACAGGAACAGCAGAAATAGTAGTAAAAGCAGAAGTAGGAGCCGAAGTGGCAGCGAAGAAGAAGAAGGAGAAGGAGAAGGAAATGAAGGGGACATCTCAGACAATGAAAGCGAGGAAATTGCATCACCTTTCGATTGTCTCTTCTGCAACCAGACCTTTTTTACCGAAGACGACCAAAACGCCGATGAAGCATTTGCAGCCAACCTTGAACATATGCGTACAGCACATGGAATGTCCATTCCAGATCCCGAAATGGTAGTGGACATCCAAAGTCTCGTTAGCTACCTAGCCACCGAGGTGAGAGTATGGCACGAATGTCTTTACTGTGGTGCTACAAAGCCTTCAACAATGAGCGTCCAAAGTCATATGAAGGATAAAGGCCACTGTCGTCTAAATTTCGATAGAGAACCGGAGCTACTGGAATTCTGGGAGAACCAGCGATTCGTCGAAGAAGACGGTGCTGCGGAATTAGAGCAAGAGCCCTCGACAAATAAGGCTTCCACAGAGATGAGAGTGGCTTCTGGAAAGCTTATCGGTACGAAAGAGGCTGCGACGGCATCTAAAAAGGCATCTAGGAAGCGAGCTCTTGCGGCAGCGGCAGAGATGAGAGCTTTACCACCGAGTTCGGGCTCCGAAGGGGTGGAAGTACCACCAGAACAGCTGTTTGAGAGGCCGCAGTTGTCAACCGGGCGGCAACTGGCTCGTCGTGATGAGATGAGTTTGATTGGTCTTTCTGTACAACAACGGCAGGCATTATTGTCGGCTGAGAAGAAGGCGCAGAGGAGCGAGGCAATGGCGAGGAGGGCAAGGGAATGGGTTTATGCAAAAGGAGCGAATTCGCAGAAGTTCGATCAGCTGGATAATCAGATGAAGTTTGGGAAGCAGAATCATAAACTGCTTCCTAGGTAGATATCTTGTTCTCTTGATGATGGGACTTATGAAACCCGCTGCATTACCGTTCAATGCTTTACGATTTCGAATATTTCTGGCTGTACATACTATTTCTTTTCTACGTTTTGTTTGGCTCATACATTTCATACCTATTATGCATTCGGGGAGCAGAGTCGGAAGGATTTGTTTTAAGGGGAGCTATAGCGAGTATTGTCATTAAAAAATGTTTTTTTGTTATCATAACTTAGGTACTGTATTCAGTCCCTCAATCAAAATAAATATCTAATAGTTGACAGTATTTAAATTACCACCAGACTGTAGGCTTATTATAAGTGTCTAAGTATCTATACTTCGTCTCTCCCTCTAGGCCAGATCATGTTTTGAAGCGAGACCAGCTGATAAGATGTGGAAGAATGGAAGGGACCTAGTTAGCTCTATCTACAGTTTGACGGTTCCCCACTGCTCCAAAGGCTCATCAGCATAGGCAGCGACTAGCACTCTGCCCTCAAGATCCACGGTCCCACGGAAACAGCCTCCACAATTCATCTCCATGATGACGCCCCCCTCCTCGTCAATACCGATGACAGCTCCATCGGCATTATTCCTCCCCTCCCCTGCCTCTTCCATCTCGCCACCGCGGCCACAAACTTCCCTTGCAGCTTGCTTTAGAGACTTACCACCAAACCGACACCTACTAGCTATGTTGTGGCAGGCAGCTAGTCGTAAGAAATAATCACCATTGCCAGTACCAGAGAGACCGACAGCTCTATGATGCCTTCTTGATTTGATTGGGGTGGAAGCGAACGGAAGACATGCCGCTAGAAGACTCTCGGCACGGGGTTGGTGCTTCCAGACCTCCCACTCTTCGGCCCAAAAACCGGCTCCCGGTGTGGGAGTATCTCCGATCCTTCCGGGGACCTTGTTGGTGAGACCCCCCGTTGATGTGGCAGCTGGGGGAGAATAAGTCGGTTAGCGAAATCTACTAGGGCTCCACAATTACTTAGGTAACGGGGGGGAAGACCATACCAGCGATGACTCCATTGCTATCGAGAGCTACGCATCCGACCGTTCCCTTAGGTAGATACTCATCCAGCTGGATGAGCGGCTCCTCTTCTTTCTCTCCTCCCTTTCTTTCCTCCTCTTTATCACCATAATCATAATCATCGCCCGCTCCGATATACATCTCAGCAAACACTTTCTCTCCATCAGCTTTCCCTCTCTCCAAGTCCTTCAAATGCTGCCTCCACCTTGTCTCCGTGAAGAAGTACTTCTGATCAACAATCTCCAAGCCCCACTTCTCAGCCAATTTCTCAGCATACTCTCCACTTAGACAGTTATGTTGTCTACCTCTCTCGACTGATGGATCGTCTCTCAGCAGCAACTCTTTGGCGAATAACACTGGGTTCTTAACATGCTTCAGGAGAATCCCGCTGGCAAATCGTTTGTGTTGTCCTCTCGAAACCATCACCGATGCTTCTAGTTCATTGGTGCCATCCAGGGTAAATACCGCACCTTTGCCCGCATTGAAGAGTGGATCATTTTCTAACAGTTGAACGGCCAGGACGGCGGCATCGAGGGCCGATAGTTGGCCTGATAGGAGTTGTGGATGGACTGTGGAGAGGATCCGGGAGAGAGATGTTAGGTATGCATGGCGGGATGGTGGTGAGAGGTTGTTGCGGTTTAAGTTTCCTGTTTGATGATTTTGGTGGTTAGTTGATGGTGGTTTTGGATGTCTGGAGAGCAGCTACGGCTGGTTGACGAAGAGGCCGTACCTGCTCCGCCGTGGATGACGATTCGAGGCCGGACCGGACCCGTTGGATTCATGCTTGGCTCTGCCGTTGTCTTACTTGGAGCGTAGTGGGGAGGTTGAGGCAGATGGGTATTTTGGTGAAAGAACAAAGGAGGTTGGTGGCGATGAGAGCTTCAGTTGAAATCGCCCTTCAATGGAGTGTTTAGGAAGCCGGCCAAGACCTTGCCTAGCCGCGACAGCTTCGGGATGACGTTACACAGAGACAGCACGCGACGTCTAACGACGTCCGCGACATCCCACGATGCACAGAACGAAGCCTACGTAACTCCGGCTCTGCACTCAAACCCGGCACGTGTCACCAAATCGTGAGGATCCACTAGAATGCTCAAATCGATGTCGATTTACGGATGGTTTCTTCTGCCTTGAGGTCGAACGTGGAGATTTGACTAACCAACTACCTAGGTACTATCAGCTACCGAAACTAGCTATAGACCGATATCGCGCAGATCTAGATAACAACTCAAATTGGGCTTCATGGCTACATTGAAAACCCCAGGCCTGCCAGCATTGCGAAATAAACTCGTCAATCGATCCTTAAAATTACAAACTGCAGATAACAAAAATTCGACCTCGAAAACCTTCAAACTTCAAAAAGTGAATTAAACTCTGTTTCTCCATGGCCAGACGTACAGATCAAATCTCGGCCTAAGCAATCAGTCTGCCTTGCCCTTAAAATACACCCGGCCTTTAACAACCCTCTCCCTGACCCAATCTCGAAAATCGTTGGCATTTTTGTCCAATAGCCATTTCCACCCCCATCTCGGGTCATCTGATGTTACATTTCTCGGAATTATAAACGGTCCAATTATTAGGAATGCGGGCGCGGCAAGGATTAAAAGAACGCCAGTGAGGATTAAACCCAGTCCGAGGAGTACGAAGGAGAGGCCGATGAGGAGGGGCGAGAAGAGCACTAGGAAGTAGTAGCCACGAGGGACGCGGAAGCCCTTGTGCGATTTGGGGTCTGCGCCCTTTGATTTGGGGGGCTCTTCGGTGTTTGACACTGTTGTGGTGGTTGAAGATGACATTTTCGGCCAATTCTCGATATTTCAATATCGAGACCTTTTTTGTGCAAGTTGAAGGGCCTTTTATTGAATAGGCGACGTAGTTTTTCCAAGTTCGGCTTGTAGAAAACCTTTGCAGCTTCTATCTTGATACTAAAAAAGCCTAATGAACAAACTTGCGAAAGAAAGAAAGATCGATACTCGGACGGCATTTTGATGGCATCGCTTTTGGATATATATGCGACCATGAATGTACCGTCGCGACCTCATCCCGACGTCATCATGCATGCAGACCTAAGGTCAGGGTACCCCTGCCGCTACAACACTCCCAAGTTCTACCGTAATGTGAACCAGCCAGCACTTATGAGCTAAGAGGGCCGTCTAGTATTTGGTAAACACCGTTCGAAAGTCTTTTTTTAACACCGAAAGATCAATCAGCTCAATATCACAATAATTCAAGACGAGTCTATGTATTTGCGCTTAATTGTGGCTATGTTATTTTGTAGTTGAGGGTATCTGAACAGTCCGTATCATCCACATTTTCTTCGAACATCAAAATTGAACAGCGGGCTTGTGATTAATAGAGTCCTGGAAACCTCATCATGCGATAGCGCTATAGCGTGAATTTCTCTGGAGTGCTGTAATCTTTTGTGCTGATGGCTTGTGATATGTTCATCTCGAAGGTTTTCAAGCTTCGAAAAAAGAGGATCTCTATCCAACCGTAGAATTTAGTCGGTGAACTGTTATTCAAACGATCTAAGTTTCACGCTCTACGCTCCATAATACAGCCAGAAAAGATACTCTAGTGCGAGCCATTCATTGGCCTGGCAGGTATGAACCAGACTAACCTAATACAACCGACTACCGTAAAAGTCTACAACACTAAAAATGCAACAGATGGAAAGTTGTTTTGGCCTGTTGAGGCCTGGTCTTTTTGTTACTAGGAGGTTCTTAAGGATTCTTTACAGGGCAATTCATTTTTATTCTCATAGATTATTACTTTAAGACTGTGTAATGAATATCCTAGATGTGTATGTTAGCTTCTGGAATAGTTCTCACTTTATACATATATACATTGTTTGTATTTAACCTATTCTCTTTGGGCATATCGTACTTACTTACCTGCTTCATACCTACTATTCATAGTATACCACCCCAAAAGCCTCAAGTTCTACAGGTCTTAGACCAACCCTTACTTACGCTGCAAGCTGGCCCTGAGACTTCTTCATAAAAAACTTAGAAGGAATTCCCGAAAGACATCGTATAGAGTCACTCGCCATGCACCTCCCGTCTCTTATGAAACTCCCTCTCGAGCTTCACTACGAAATCTTATCCCACCTGGATCTTGACGACCACCCTTCTGCAATTTGTGTCTGTCCACTCTGGAAGAACATCGTCTCCGGTAACACCTCGCAAGAACTACGACTTAACTCCTACAGTCGATCCGCATGCATTGGAAAATGGTTCATTGTCAATAGTATCCTACGAAGTGGAAAATTAAAGATCAAGCTGCACCTAACCCCTCAAGGCGTCAAAACCAATATTCGCTTCTTCTGGCAATTCAACACTCAAAAACAAAACAACAAAAACGAATGTTTCGAAATCACCGACTGCCCCATCCTCGATGAACCAGCGGTATCTTGGCCCCTAAACGACCTTGGAGAAAAATCTGGAGATGCGGTTATATACGGTGCTGTTCAGGAGTTAAAAATCGGTCGTCGCCATGTACGGAAATTAATGTTGTTTCAAGATCGGTCTTTTGAGAAGAACAATATTGTTAAGGTTAGGGATTTGGTTCTGGGTGGTGTTTGTGAGGCCGTTCTACCACTTCTTTCGGATTTGAAGGCGGTGCTGGGAAAGAGGTCTAGTAAGGTTGAGGCTTTGGTCCAGATTATTGATGCGAGGATCAAAGAGCCGGCGAATTGTTTGATTATTCATTCGAAGAATGGGGCGATGTAGAGGAGCTGGCTACTAAACTGGTCTGGGCGTGTCGTGTAGCGGGGTGGTTCTCTCTCTAATATCTGGCGTTGAAAACCGATCTCTTTTTTTTTTAGAGAGTGTTAAGATTTTGACACCATGTTTTGTAATCAGATTGTAGACCGATACTCATCAAAACTTTATCATTTAGAGTCACTAGAAAAGCCTACAATTCCCGTTTTGGTAAAGACTTATTTTTAATTATTAGATTACTATTACTGCAGTTAGAACTTTTAATTAAAGGCCTTCATGAACAATGAGAAGGGGTAGCGAGTAAGGTCCTTCACCAACGCCAAATATGTACCAAAATCTGCCCAGGGCTCTCTTCCGCTATAGCACTTACTAGATATGTTTATAAATCAAAAAAATCTAAAGATACCACTTGTTGCGCTTGATAATAGTACTTGCAACCTTATTGCGGCTTTCTAAGACGAAGAGACAAGTAGACAAAGGTGGTTATACCAAAAGCATCTGTCTTCACGCGCCAAGAGACAACCAGTTCCAGATGCAGATAAATAAGCTTAAAACTTTTAAACATGTATGGAAATTTGTATCTGTAGCATACAATAATAATAATGGGAATTGGAAAATCATCGATGCTCTAAACTATGTAAGCTGCCATCCATGTGGATACCCCGTTGTTCCACTTGAAATTTCCTCCTTCAAGTCTTACTGACGTATGAAAAATGGTCCTGATATTCACTTATTGACATCAAAAATTTCAAATTTCCGTCTTGTGTTTACTGAGAGCCCCGTAAGTAATAGCGCAGGGCTTAGGACCTTCTATGCGACGAACCGTGGGTTTATCATGTTAATCAAAAACAACCAGCGGAGCGTGCCAGAGTATTATCTGATATTTCAGTAGGATCCAAAGCGATATCTAGTAAGGTTGGAAGGTGCATGCGCGACTGGAATCCCAGTTTTCGCAGCACACGTATACGCGTATAAAAACGAGTTGAATCCTATTAAGATCTAGTAAAAAACATAAGCCATCCGTGTTCTTAGGCCCTCGGCGATCAGCGATGCATCATCATAGACGATGGATCTTTGCTCTTTTCACAATATTTTGCTCCTGGTGTCCCCAAGAGTAACGTCATGAATTCTAGAATTCTCGGCTCTGCAGTTGGAAATAGCTATACGAATAATAAATTTATATAAATATTTGTAGTATACATCTTATCAAAGAACATCGATGGTATGACCGTATACTGTGCATCTCCTTTAAATAGCGGAGATCTAAGTCTTGTGAGTATTAAGCAGACTTGGCATCTAGTTGCATCCGGATTTGCAAACTTTAGTGAAGCTATTTTATAGGATGACTACAAGACTCATAGTAAAGTACGCCCAACCTCGCTTGAGTCTAGTCCATTGTCGTCATGCAATGCATCGATGATGGCTCATACTATGCCCTTGACTTCCTTCTATTTTCCGTACATGATCATGAAGTTCTTCGTAGTTGCTAAGTCGTATTGGTACTTCCGCGAAGCATATTTTCAGCTGCAAGGTTCTGCCCGCTTAGTTTGTTTATTAGAAATGTTATTTTCACCTTAATATCTCAAATTGTCGCTGCATCCAGTCTTCTAGTTGTAGTCGGCTTCGAGTAGTCGGATGATTACCAAGCGCACGAACTTGATTTTTAAATATTCCATTATATTTCTTCCTTTTAGGGTGAATAGGCTCAACTAGCTATTTTATGTGGACTTCCTCGGCATACATGCTTTTGATAATTATTCAAATGTGCGAAAAGGCATTTGTATCATCAAGAGTGGCAACGGCTGTAAAGTTATGGCTATGGGCCGTCAGATTTGAATAGAGAAGGTCGGATCCGAAAGCAAGTTTGGACAATCAAGTTGACTAAAGTCTGTTGCATCAAGCGACTTCGCGTGTTGGTTTTGAACCGAGTTATAACCTTAAGATATATCGATATATATCCATGGCTTGGGAGTGGTGTAGTTGCGTGCCCCATAAAGGGTTTTTTGTGGTTTTGTATCTTCTGGGAGAATTCTCTTCACATGGGCTGACAAGATTTTTGGGCATCGCGACGATCGACCGAAGTGAAATTATATCGTATAATTGTTTATTCAAGTAGCCGTAGCGGAGGTCGAATCATTATCTCGTACTTTTTCAAGATTTAAAAGACTTGAATCATTCATTTGAAGTTATTTTATCCTGTTCAGACCGGTTGATTCTCGTATTTTCAAGATTTTGGAACTGAGCTAAGGGTAGCCTTTAGTTCTGCGAACTCAAGGCGGGAACCATAGGTGGTGGTAAAGTTTACAGTACCGGTAAGGACCGCAGCATGGAAATTGGCGTCCTCGATATAAACAACCAGTCGTGAAGCCATTGAACTATCACGCGTGTGGAAATAATCTTTTCGTTGAAAAGGATTCGTCGTTAATGTGCATGAAATAGAGCCATCTCTGGGATATCCGATAAAAAAGGATTTACGCTTAAGTTTAAATTGTATATTATCGATCCCAAAGTTTCGTAGTTATGATAAAGTGACGATTTTTATAAATCATAATATTGAAGAGATGACTAAGAGTTTTTATTGAACATAGTTTTGGTGGTTTTGCCTTGAATTTATTTTCGTTGAGACTATATTTGTTAGAGGCCTTGGTAGTTATATATATTCAATCGGTGGTTGTAAACCAAGGATAGAATCTTCCTTTGGGGATGCCATGTATTCGACTGTCTTCATATATATGTTATAATTGTGATCATTAGAGGTAAATAATTGAAATTTGGAGTAGATTTATCAAGTGGAAGACAAATTACTACGATCCTAATCGCCAGTAACAAAGCTATCGCATCATATATATATCAGCTAGCAACCTAAACAAGAGGGTTCGATATTTTAAGCACACACCATAATTCGACGGTCAAGATGCTCCAAACTTCGAACAACAGTACGTTATGAATATATCACCACCATAATTGTGATGGTCATAATAATCGATTCATGGAGATCGTGTGATGTCCATTAAGGGCAAGGGTAATACTACTATATCATTTTTTTCTCTGTAGCTCAAGTTGTCCCTTCTGGTTTTGATCCAAGTAATCCTTGATGTCCATCATAAATGAGGCCTCTTCTGGATCATATATCAATAAGTACCGGAGTATGCATGTTCTACTAGAATGTCGTGATAGTTGTACCTCGCGTCGGCTGATCGTATACCCCTACTATTTATGTCATGAGTGTCTCCATTACATGTTCATACACGTCAAAATGCTATTTCTATCGATAAGACCATGATTAAAGTGAGTGCTGACATTGAAACTCTATGGGCCATTCCTTCAATGCATCTGTGAAGCACCAATTTTCTTCATGCTAGCATTTCTAACATGAAAATCCATCATTAGCACGCGGAGGAGGTTAAAACGTGGCTTTATAGCGTTTCGGAACCTAAATTATTCCATCGAATTTCTCTAATGATCGAGTCTACGTGCCTCATATGTATTGTAGGGTTGGCATTTGTTGGTGTAGTATTAGGAAGGGCTAATGTGGTTGGTCCGACGGGTAAGATGGGTATGGATATTTTGTCGTACGTAGTACACTTTATTCTAGTATCCAGAAACCGAACTTGCAAGCTTCCTTGAATGATTGAACCGATTTTCTTTTGTAGGAGTATGTACGTACAGTTTTTTGAACCTTAGTCTCGTCCCTTCGCGAATCCTATAGAACCTTCATAAAACCTTTGTCATGATCAAACTAGTCGCAGTCACCACATTATAACCAGCTTCAAAGATGTATATACTGTTGTATTACAGGATCTAAAGTCTATATTAAGATCACTGGTTTGCAAGTTGGAGATCTAGAAGCGGTTGATTTATGGAATCCTATTTAAGGGGCTCATATTGCGCTCCAACGAACTAGACTGGGCGCCATAATATCCGTTGCAATCTCCCTGACAGGTTTTGTAGTGATTCGCCATGCTCCTCTATGGCAACATACTTCCTTTGCAGAATGCGGCGCCAGGTTCGGTTTTCTTTGATTAGCTTGACTGTTTTAGGATCATATATACTGAAAGAAACACAGGTATGAAGGGTTATTTATGATATTTTTGTGCGTAAAAATTGAATTCTGTCTTATTCAGCCCGCTCACAGTTATAAGTAGGGTTTGTATATAGTTACTGTATTACGTACGAGATATAGCACAGCGAATGGTATTCTCTTAGAGGCTCTGAAGCTTCTTCTTGTGGGCATCTCGATAAATCTCTTAGTTGGTTGCATAGATCATATCTTAATGCATGTGGTCATATAAATTAAAAGAAAAATGAGGGTGAATGCCTTTAGTAAGGGAGTGTGAAAAGAAGATGTATTAAGGAGGAGTGATGAAAAGATGGTTAGAAGGAGAAGTTGATGATCCCTGTCAAAAGAGGCCTTTTTATAGTCTCTTTACTGAAGATAGGAGCTCCATGACGGCTTCCGCTAGGACCCGCGTCCAAGATATTTCGACTATAAGCCTGTAGAATAGTCTAGCTTGGCCTTAAATTCGGGTGAGAACATTCTAGTTGTGTGAGTTTATAGACTAGGTATTTTAATTTGCCCAGCTTAACCCCAAGACTGTATAGCAGATCCCCATTTTGAAATATGAAGTTGTATACATGTATGCTCAAGGTACCTAATCTTTAGTCTCGGAGCCAGAGCTGCCCATCTCTATATTGGAGCGCCACTCAGCACTGTCCTCAAACCAGACTAGCTCAAGCTTAAGTTTTTAATGCTCCGCCTGTGGAAGTGTCGTACGTTGCGGGATATCGATGTATAGACTTATCTCGTACACAGACCCGAAGCTCCTCAACTGTGATTTTATCATACTTGATGCTAAGTTTCACATAGACGTCCACCAAACTAGATATGAGAGACACTGGGTATATAATATAGTCTCCAGAATGATGTTCAGTGCTCTAAAAACCAATATTTGTACGTTCACCGCGCGTGTATCGAGTGCATCCAAATAAAGTTCTCGAGTCGATAGCTAGATATACAAAACAATCGCTTCCTCTAATTAAGCGAATATTCGAGCGACCAGTATTAACGTATTGCCCGATGATACAGAATTTGTTGCATTTTTGTCCATGTGGGTCGAGCTCTTAATTAATGTTAACTAGCTACAGGGCTTAATTATCTTGCCTAAAGACGCACTTGCGTGTAATTGGCCCAGCTTACGTATGGCAGTATGGGTGAATGACGCCCATGGACAAGGGTATGAGATCAGGGCCCCAATAGAAATAAACTGATATCAGATGAAAGTAACTATGGTTCGTGCACTGAATACCGGGCTATGAGAACCCGACTCTCAGAAACCGCTAACCGTTGTTAACCGTGGCGTGATACAAGATAAGGAATTCCAGAAACATCTTAGTAAACATCTTACCCCATCCCTAGTAGCTGATAAGATGCTATGATCATATGAGAAGTTTTCCCGGTCTGCCTTATTCTCCGCCGAAGCAGCGGCGATATACTACTATAAGTTAGACAAACATTTACGCATCGAACACAGGCTTACAAACACTCAAAATGTTTCAAGTTTAACCGGTTTGAAGAGGCGTGCCCTGGGACTGGGCTGTCAATTAATCTTGTCCTACCAGCATCCCGGTCCTTCGAACCCTAGCTTCTCGCTTGGTTAAACCATCGCTAAAATCCAAAGTCTAAAACAAGTCGACAAGTTCCGACTTGGCAAGCAACTTGAAGCTCAAATATTCCCTGTCCGCAGATACGAATTACCACTTCTGCCCCAGAAAACCTCTTGGAAGTTGCGTTGCGGTTAAGATTGGCGGCCCGATCTTCCCTTCGGGACCGTACCACGTGCATCGATCGGATGTTAATGTAACATTCGGAGCCTAAGAAAACCCCCAGAAGTTGCGTATCGAGAGATGTATCACGCGCTAGTTAGATGAGAGTTATTCCTGTTATCGCTTATAATTTATGCGGGCGGTATACGTATAGTGCTTACGAGCTATACACCAGTGCTGCAGGGGGATAAGTCCGGTGGACATACCCTTGCATTACATGCATTGCATTTTCGTAAAGACCAAATTTTCTCAACGTGAATTCCAAGGTCGGACATCTACGATATGATATTTTTAGCCTGGGACGGGTTTTATTCCGTCCTTGACTCTTAATATCCCAAGATACCCCGGATCCGGCGAAACGTGGAGACCGACTGGTGATCTATAAGAAGGGTCAATCACCCCTTTCGATTATCATGGAAGTTTATACTGCAGGCTCCACCTCGGTACCACATCGGACAATTAAACACTTCTAAAGTAGCTTCGGATACTAGCTTAAGTTGATCAATTTCGAATTTCCCCACAATGTTGTCTAAAGTTTCGTTTGTCGTGGCCGCAGTCTATGCGGTGACTGGATACGCACAGACAACTACTCTCCGAACAACCTCATCATGCCAGGTCGTCTGTTATGATTACGTTAATGCTTGCGGCCAAGGTTACGGTGGATGCGTTCCTCGGTATGTCAATGAAACTAAAATCTTGCGAAATAATTCTATGGAAATATACAATTCTGACAGTAATTTGCATCTAGATGCCCTGGTGAGCCAATGCCAACATTCATAGCTCCAAGCTGCTCGAAGACCACAACCGGTCCAATTACCACGACCTCGTTCATCCCAACCACCACAAAGCCCACGACCAGCACGACCAGCTGTCCAACTATGTGTATCGACTATCTCAATACCTGTGGTGGTATGTGGGGAACATGTGTTCCAAGATGCCCAGGCTCGACTCTCCCAACTTTCACCCCACCACCATGCAAATCTCCTACCACCCCAGCAGTCACTACCACCCCACCACCAACCACTACCCCCAGATTAACGACTACTAGCACCACATCTTGTCCAACTCTTTGCGTGGATCAGCTGAATAGCTGCGGTGCTTGGTGGGGAACATGTATCCCAAGATGCCCTGGACAGACTATGACGGCCGTTACTCCACCGCCATGCACCGGCACCAGGACCACCGTCGTCAATCCACTCCCAACTCTTAGGCCATGGGAGCAGTGCGGTGGTACTACCTGGACCGGCCGTGGAGTTTGCTCAGATGGATATGTCTGCTCCGTTTTCAACGAGTGGTATAGCCAGTGTGTTCCAGCTTAATAGAGTTATTCGGAGGAGGATTGATATATCGAATGTAATGACAATGATATGTAAATATTTCTTTGGGGTCCGGTGTCGTAAAAATAAATAAATAATGAAAAGTTGTACTCGATGACCAAATATACAATAGCGATAGCTCCGAATGCCCTTCGACGTATTTTACGAGAGGGTCCGCTGACGGCATCTTCGTGTGCGAATGAGGTTTATTTTGAGAACTCTATAATGCTAGGAGGGTACAGGGGCTGGACGATTTCCTAAAGTCTGAGGTGTCTTCGGGAATTCACGGCATGTCCAACCGTGTCAGCCCCACCATCCGTCAATTCTTTACCACTTTGAGCCTCACCTCGCTCATTTATTGCCATCCGTAGGATGGTTTGAATTGCGAAGTTGCCCTTTTCGCCGGCCTCTTTCTCATATTTTGATAAATATTTCGAAGCTCCTGATCCCAAAAGAACTTTGCAGATATCTAGCCGGCCCAGAAAACTCGCGACACCCAATGGAGTTCTCTCCCGCCCATAATCGTGGTCGATATTCGTAAAGGGTAATATGTTAATGACTTTGTATAGGTTTCCGGCTACGATGGTAACGAGGAGTATAAGCTCAAAGTTCGTAGCTTCGTTGTGCATGTCCCCAACCGAAATCCAGTATTGTCCTACTATGAGGTCAAATGTTTCAGGTCTAGCGAACCATGCTGCTTCGTGAAGGATTTCACATGTAACTTTTAGCCCTTCGTGGCTTTTAAATATGACCTGTACGGTTTCGTACGCATCACAGTGGACGGCAAGTCGGAGGAGGGACAAGGCTCCAGTGCCAGTGAGTAGCGGTATTATCTCCATTGAGAGTGCACATTGCAGTTTCTGTTGCTTCAGAGGGGCATTCCAGCGAACAAAGTCCATGGCGTGCTCAAAATTTGTAGTATCCTCTTCCGGCAAGTTCCAATCTTGAAATACTATGCCTTCGACGATGCCTTCGGCATTCACACGCCATAACTTCCTAGATAACCGTTCTCGAGAGAAGGCCATCTCCAACTCGATTTTTGTTTGTGGATATTCCGTTTTATTACCATAGCGAATAGTGGACCCGGTTGTTTCGTCGAGCTTGTCGAAATCAAATAGGTTTTTGAGCTTTTCCAGGTCCGGTTCGTATCCCGGGTCCCAGGATGCCCTTAATTCAGTGGTCTGATTTTGGGGAGATGATTTTGTAGGCCATATATCATTGAACAATCGCGAAGTTCCCTCGAAATAAGATAAACTCTGGGAATCTCTCACGGGCCGTATTAAAATATGTACTGAATTCTGAGGAAATATATCGACTCCGAGATCCGTGCCCAAGCTGACGAATATATCCAGGCGCTTCGACAATTTGGATAAAATGGTGATCCGGTTTCGCAGTAGATCACGGTCACTGGGACAAAGGCTTTCGACCAAAACCTCTATAGCGGCTATACCACGGTCTATTTCAGTGTCCAGGGCAAAAATATGGACTGTAGTCTTTTCCCTTGAAGTTATCCGGGTGTTAAGGTCAGAGACTGGTCCAAATCTGCTACTTAAGGTCTTGTTTTCTGTTTGAGACTTTTCAAGACTTCTACCATGCTCACTATAATATCGCAGACCAATTCGTTCAATAAGGCCCTGGCGCCGAAGCCATAATAGTACGCACTCTGTATATTCGTACGGTCCCGAAGTGAACGCATCTCGAAAATCTGGAGAATGGATTGCGTGAAGATCCACGCCGCTTTGTAAAGGTAGTTTGGTGCGAGAAATATTGATTTTCTGGATTGATAATTGCAGAATGGAGTCGACCCTCGGATGATTGGCAAGTTCGCTGTCTAAGGATATGCGCTCCGCTATATACTCTGCTACCACAGGCGACCAATTAGCCATTGCGACCTTGAAAAGATGACAGAGTCCATTTGGCCCCTGAAGTTCGTGTCTTTTGTGGCCAAAAGTACTCGGCAGATCTAGAATCCCTGAAAAACATTTTACTCTATCCAGCCTTATGCTCAGCCGAAGTGCAGTCGTTGTTGGATACAACTTAGAGTCTGTGAGGTAGAATAACTTGTGTATATATTCACCCATGGTTTGATGCGTAGATACCCAGGAACCCGCGTATATGGCCCTCCTGCTACGTAAGAGCTCCTTTATATAATGACAGAGGGAGCTATTTCCAGCTGTACAGTCGAAGTCCTTGCGGATCTCAACAGTGGCATTGTAAACGTGCACTAGGTCCGAAACAAGGTCTGGAAAATCGAGGGCAACGGCGGTCCACAACAGAGAAGGGGAGAAATCGGAAATTGGGGGGACGTTCACATCAAATCCTTGTCGTAGGAGAAGATAACAGATATCAATATTTCCGTACTCTATCGCATATTGGATTGCCGTTGTGCCGACTTTGTCGTTTAAAGTCTCTCGTTGGCTCAAAGCCTCCTCTCCTGGGAAGCAAATTCGGAGCATTAAATTTACAATAAGTTGGTCTCCAGTCCGAGCAGCGCCATAGAGCAACTCTGTAGCAAAATTTTCAACAATGAGTTCAAATCCAGTCGAATAGTGATTTGGGTTATTGGCAAAAACTTCAGGTGACGTATTGATATGCCTTGATTTTCTCAAGCGAGCCTCCCGAAGTATCATTTCGATTGTCTTGATATGTTTCTGAATTATTCCAGACTTTAGTAATTGATTCATGATCATACGCCTTGTAGAGCCTCCGTCAATGTTGTTCGAAAGCCTAATCATATAAGCCTTCAAAAAGCATATTACCTCGATTGTTGATTGCGATGATTCGAGTAGATTGAGTCGCATTTTAAATAACCATTCTACGACATCGGTGATTGGTTTATGTGAGAGCACCTCCTCTATTACGGGATATTTCTTACTCGCTCTAACGAGCGACTCATATGATCCTAAATTCATGACGATTAGACACCGCAATAGGGTAAATTTGGGCTTCACTGTTTCATAATCGCCCAGGAGGTGCGAAAATACCTTCAAAAATCTCTTCGAGGTGATTTTCGAATAGAATCGAAAAGCCTACGCCCGGAGTTGTGTGGAATACATTGTTGTAGAGAGCAACAGGATGAAGATACTCTCGAACCTGTGAGGATATGATAACGCGTAATTGAGCCGCATCTGGCGAAAACTCGCGGGGTAAGAGTATGGCGTCTGACGATTCTCCTTCACTAGCGGGGTCCTCGAAACTTATATATGGTAGTAGCTCACTCGAAGAGCTAGAGGCAATAATTATCGAATTATTGGAGGGCGAACTTGGCAATGAGAATGAAGCGAGTTGAAGTGATACGCCTAATTTTGCAAGTTCTTTGATAGGTACTGGCGGGCACGGCAACGAAGTAACTGGGGTACCTGGCGAAGGGGAGTACTTCGATAGAGAGACCATAGAGTTTAGGAACAAACGACCTTGAGTTCCTGACGCCACCAAATCCGTGTTTTGGGGAGACGGTATCGATGGGGTTGGGGTAAAAATCTCCATTCCCTCGGGAGTTGCCGGTTCAATGTCTGCTTACCCCGAGCTCTTAGCACTATTTTCAGCATTTCCAATTAGGGTTATCTTACTTTTTTCATTTGGCTGTGCTGCAACCCGGCGCTGATGCTGCTCAATGACGGAAACGTGGTGTCGACCTCTCTTTCTCCGCAGTTCACTTTCGTCTAGTTGTCGATTGCCTAGTTTAACACCAGTTTTCTTGCCATCTCTTGCTCTTTTCCTCTCACGAGTATCTATGCAATCGAGGTCACTGCCTTTTATATTCTTTTTCAGGCGCCAAACTTCATTGACCATGCGAATATATTGGGCCTTACTATATACACCGATCAAATGCGTCAGTATTCTTCGATCGGTAGTGTTAACATAATATGAAAGATGCAAGTTATCTTACGTTGCGATGAACCCCAAACTTTCTTCCATTACCAATCGTACTTGGTCCAATGTTTTTCTTTCTTCTAAGTAGAGGCGACTGATATCGCTCTTGTACGATTCCCAAGTTTCTTGTGATATCTTGGCGACTCGAACCTTATTGGGCTGTACATGTTGTACCTGCTGGCTAGCCATGTCAAGATGTACGGAATCTTTCTTGAAAACTATACAGACTATCAATCTGTAAAGCAGTAATTACGATTGAAATTGTTAAAAAAATATTTCTATAATATAGAAGACACTAGTATCAAAGATAGGTGGAAGCTGTTATATTCGTCGTTGCTTGGTGTTGAATATGAAGCCCAGAAACAAGACGACGGAACGAGCCCTTATATAGACTCGATTTCCTGCGACTGGCAAATTAGCAGCCTTGACTCCTGATACTGCATTGGGCGAGTTGCATACCTTTTTACAGCGTCACTTCACAGGTTTGGACCTAGGTACCGTTTCCATGTGTGCAAACCGCCCTTTTATTCTATTGGCTCCGGACAAAATTCGTCTCTGTTTTATTGGATGGAAACAAAATTCGTCCCCGCCAGCCGAGACATGATTGGAGGAAGGGTCACGCAGCACCCAAAGTTACATGTAAATACATCTGATGCAGCCAACCTCTTCGGATCCTGTGTTGTGCTCACAAATTCCAACACCAGCCACGAAGGTCCCATCGAAACGCCCACCGAAAGTGGCTTCTGGTGTCGCACAGGACTAGCTACCAGGCTCACGTAACCTACATGTTACTGGTATACCTGATTGCATAGGCGGACATTACTATGCCCAACCTCAACGAATATAACAAGCTTCTAGATACGATACCTCACCGATAGCATCCCCAAATACTTCTCCACGATGTCATCTCCTCACCTCTTCTCCACTTCCGCCGACCCAGAGCTCGAACCACCATTGATCCAGCTACCCTTAGCTCAGGTCCCGGGTGTACCTCCACAGTCACCACCTCCAGCCCAAACAGCATCACCAAACGAGCCTCAAGGTTCTCTTACTCCTGTTCCCCTACCGGAACCAGATTCAGACGATGATGAGGCCTCTGCACCTCCGATAACACTCTCTGCGAGTGTGGTGCTCACAAACATACCACGTGATAGCAGGGTAGCTCTCGCGAATGCGTTTATGCCAAGCACGGCCAAAGGTGCCTATCTCGATATCTCTCTCGCTTCCTATATATAGAGTCAACTAGGAAACACATACTGACTTGGGGGGTTTTTTTTTGAAAAAAAAGTGACAATACGCCTCTTATCCATCGGCTCAGCACCTTCTCTCAAGAAGAAAGTATTTACCCTCACCGCCTCTAAAAAGTTCTCCGTTGTTGTGAACTTTCTTCGCAAAAATCTAGGACTCAATGGGCCACCTCCTGGTGCTTCACCCAGCAGTAGCGGGCATTTGACCACGCAAACCAATACCAACGGACAAAGTCTCTTTGTATATGTGAATAGCACATTTGCACCCGGTTTGGATGAAGAAGTGGGAAATCTATATAAATGTTTTAAGAGGGAAAACGAGTTGGTCGTGAATTATTGCTTGACACCGGCATTTGGGTAGTCGTTCTGGCATATGCTATTTCTAGTTTTACCACCTGGAGAATAGGAGTTTTGGGGATTATCTTTGTGTATGTTTAGAATTCCAGGGTCTTTTGATTTTCAAAGCGTTTTTCTGAATTTAAAGGACGATTTGCATACTTGATGGTGGTTGCGTATGGCTGTTTCCTCTCCCAATATTGCTATATAGCAAGTATTTCGTATTGTCTACAATAAATATCAACCATATCGCAATATTAAGTGCCTATATAAGCTCCGATATGGAGCTCGTAACTAAAATTTGACCATCTCTCTCTTGGTATCGAGCAGAGGAGATATCGCAGCTACTATAGGCTTTACCGCTTATCCGGACCGTTCGGTGCCGGAATAACGGTCCCGATATTGCGATCAGACATTGGGCATGATCATGAGGAGAACAATGGCATTCTTTCGAGCTACAACGATAGGAAAGTGACCATGTGAATAGCTGTGAGGGGTTCTCGTATGGCTGTGCCGCATTTGTGCGTCCTATCAAGTTGGTCACCGGGTTCTTTTTTTATACTGCGCTCACAAACCAAAAGATTCCTAATAATGCCCAGCTTTGAACAAATTTAAAATATCGGGTTGAAAATTCTACCGGGCTAAATTTCATTGATTTTGCTACGCTTATATTGCGATTTCGCTTGAGGTTAGGGTTATGCGTCATCAGGCTACCTGATCTAGACCTTGCGATATCTAACATCGATGTACATCGGCGGGCTAAAAGGAAAAACATATATCCCAGCTAGCTAAGGCCTCAGGGTCAAATAACTTAATATCGCAAAGATTATAACGATAGACAAGTATCTACCCTGCCTTGCGGGGATCAAGAATAAGAGTGCCAACCCAGCTCTCCGATAGAATATTATCCGGCAGGGCACTAGTTTTCATAGCCCAGAGATACCCCGCTTCAAAAACTCTTTTCCACCAACTTGACGCGTAACGTCTCTGCATTTATTCTCCTCTCCGTCGTCGATGTAGGCATATTTGCAACCGCTCTACTAATCTCGAAGGTACAGTCGACATTGTGATTCAGATCTTTGCTGACCTCATCTCGCGTACAATGGACGGTTTCCAATGCATCCATGCCATAGAGAGTCCATACCCTTATCAACTCTTCAACTATCGCGACGGCAAAGCGCTGATGGAAGGCAAATATTAAGCCATTTGGGAGATCATCGTGCCCCAGGTATTGTAACTCAACCCTCTTCACCTTTATCATCCGACTCCATTTCATGAATCTGTTCAGCTATACACCCGTGGTCGAGAATAAGGATGTTAGCGCTCTTGTAAAAAAAAATCCTATCAATAAGCTATAAAAAAGGGGGCTTCATACCACCCAAGCCTGTGATTTCCATCTCATAGAATGCAAAGAAGGTTCGCCAGAGACCTCTGTACTATCCAGCCATAACTCTTCGACACCTGGAAAACTTCTACTCAAATAGCAAGCGATTGGGTAATACTTATGATCTTCTTCAGACATTTGTGAGAACTTGAGTATCTTGAGGTTCGGAAAAACCACCGCCTCGCTATATTTACCATCCCAACCGTATATCTTCAGCTCCAATACTTTCAAAGTATCATAGGAATAAATTAGAATTTCAAACGGATCCAATCGAGGGGGTCGGAATCTCTCATATTCGTGTAGATCGAATCTGATACACTCCAAGTCCCGAGGATAGTTTATAGACATCTCACCGGTAGATGCTGCTGTATTTGGTAGTTCAGAATTGTTTAAAACCTCTATTGCAACCTTTCGAAGCGTAGCCGGTTGGTTTTTCGAAAGTGCGTTCATTACTTCGATATATTTATCCGAGTGACAATCATAGTATGCCATGCGAAAGGATTTAAGAACAGAGAAAGCTCCTGCTGTAATTCCATCAATGAGATTTCCAAGGGATCTTTCCATTAGTTCGGGACCCATGGAGTGACAACGGTCGGTATCTTCGTCTTCATTTTTATCCCCCGGAGCGTGAACCTCAATATGTCTTTTGAATAATTATAAGTTAGCATTATATACCACCATGCTCATTGACAAGTACAAATCCGGCCATGTATTGGAGTACTTAAAATCAATACTAAGGGCTTTTTACCTCACCGCAAGCAGATGTTCTGAAAACCTCTCCCGCATCTTAAAATCGAAGAATTGTCCAACATTCATTTCCTCCAGATATAAAGCGACACAGACTTCTCGAAATCGCTTACATGTTTTTGAAACCGACTCTAGAAGGAATCTTTTGGTGCAGAACGAAAATATGTTGCATAACAGTTCGGTTGGCATCCGTTGAAAGTGACATGCTTCCACTGTGGGAATTGTAGAAGCACGTCGAACGGGATATCGATCAGACTTGTCTAAGGCGCCTACCCCAAGAGTACCATCGTGACTTTCGAGAGCAGCCATTGTCATCCCATAGGTATTAAAGAGACCTTGAACCTTGGTAACTCGGAGGCTAAGAGATGATAGGACCAGTCGAAGGAGGCTTAAGGATCTGGAGCTTGAAGCTCAACACATCGAACCAAGGTCTTTGTTAGGATGTGATCTTTTGCTCGGCATTACTTGGCATGTCAGATCAATGAGCATACGAGTCGCCCTCTGCATGTATACATATGTGATATCGACGCGATAGATAGATTCTTTCTCATCAAGATATTCTTTCTCCCATACTTACCAACGCTCATTAACGCATGTGGATGGCCATAACCTGCTATAACTAAGTACCTATTTAATATTTGAGTTGTCTCATCGATCGCGATCGCCAGACTCCTCAACCGCCTTTCTTGATCTTGTACCTAAATCTATAGCCATACCTAGGCCTAAGTAGACTACCACCCAAGTTAGTCTCACTCAAGTTAAGTGTCGGGATTGGAACCAATAGCGCTATCACATGATCATTTTCAAGAACTTGTAGCCAATACAAATTTATATGTTATATACTAACTCCAATATTCTATTAGTTGTACATGAATATTCGGTCGAGATTGGTCCCGTAGTCGAGATGTATATACGTACTTAAGTAAGTATATATACATACCATCATGACCAATATATCAGTAGATTATAAACACCAGCCTATGAAAACAGACCTCCAATCGTATGAATAACTCCACCAGCCGCACGCCCCACAGTTTTCCCAGCGTCTTCTTTAAATTGACATTCCAAAAGTTAGTCTCCATATCAAGTACCAAAACAGAACCCAAAAAAGGTGAACAAGTTTTAACAAGGGAGGGTTTCAAAGATAAATATAAAAACTTACCGACTTCGTGCCAAATATTCCCTGCCGTACGTCCTCCAACCCTCCATACATCTCCTGCAGTGCGCGACCCAGTGTTCCAAACATCTTTAGCGACATCACCAATATTAAAAAAGGAAGAAGTTACACCAATCCCGGACACACCACTAAGATTCGAAGCCATTAGTCCGGCGTGAAGTCCTCCGACGCCTGGACCCGCCAGAGCATGCTGTTGTCCTAATTGCTGTTTATTAAAATCACCAGTGTCAAGTCTCTTTCCTGGACGGAAGGACTCGACTTCAATATTCTGGCCAGAAACATCCGTGGTTGTGAAGACAATGGTTAATACACCAGTAGCGTCCGTTCGGAGCCATATACCCGCCTGCGAAAGTTCAACCTCTTGTCCATTGACGAGACCTTTGATATACCCTGACGAGGATACGAGAAGCGAGCAATAAGGGATTATAGAAGGATCTTCGTCACTATCACTCCCTTCACTGCCTGGAGTGACTTGGATTCGGACAACATAGCCTTCGGTTTCAAGAGTACCACTGTCGGAGGCATGGTAGAAAGGATACCTATTCCATCGAGAATCGTGGGAGCTCTGCTGGAGTAAGGTAAGGTTCCCGTCTTCGTCAACAGACAGAAGAGTATTTAGTCTCGTCTTGCTGCCATTGGAATCTTCGGCCGCGGCCGAAATGCTAGAGAAACGAGTCGAATTTCCTTCCGTCAACAATGTTCCTGTTGAACCGTTGGAGAGGTCAGTTACAGTGGTGTCGTAGTATAAGAGACTTTCATCCGCAGTCGTATAGAAGATTCGAACATGTTCAGAATCCTGTACAATGTGCAAGTCCTTAACGCCGATGGCGCCTTCTGATTTTGAAGTGATGACCTGTCCCGCTTTTGCCGGCAACATGTATTCAGAGGATCTCAGTGCCGTTATAGTGCTGCCACCTGTAATAAGGACCGAATTCCTTTTCACGGCATCAAAAAAGGTAGAGATGCATTGCGTGTCTAGAAGTAACAATTAGTAATCAGGCGTCATAACATGGAGCAATCCAAATAAAGCCTCACCTTGAGGAATCTCTGGCTCAACTACAAAACCTTCGCTTCGGCCTCGAAAGATCTTGAATTGAACTTTTCTCTTTCCACCGATCTCATAAAGCACGAACAAGCCTTCACCAAGAGGCGATGTTCCAAAGGCAACATCGAATATCTTCTCGGAATTGGTATCCAAAGTCCATTTAGTATTCAAAGAGAGAGAACCATCCACAACATGAACAAAGCCGACTTGTTCCTCCTTTGTGATTCTTTCAAGAGGTTGGAAAGCAGCAAGTATCAAAGGGTATTCTGACTCGGACTCAGAGTCGCTCAGGAAGATGTGATGAACAGCCGGAACATCCGCTCCTCTAATAATGTTTGAAGTAGGTACTGGGTTAGATAAACCGCTGACATCAAGCTTATGAACAAGCAACAAGCTCGATTTATTATCACCACTATCAGTGGCAATGCAAATGTCCAAAGACAGATTTGGCGATTGTTGAACGTCAAAGGTCCGAATATCCGTCTCGATTCCAACTAATTTGCCGAAATTGATGAGAGTGTGAACTCCTTGGATATTAAGAATAAGATTCAACTTCTTCTCATCGCTGAGACTGAAGCAAGCCAATTTTGAATCTTTATCCTTGATTGCGACAAATCGGTTCCCGGCTTTAATTGGTTTCGCCGGAATAACGTCGGTCGTTAATTGGGAGTCGACTTTGATGTGGACCATTTTCGAGATATGTACATAAATAAGAATATATTTTGAGGTAAGTGAAATTGGAAAATTGTAATGGTGACTGGATTTCGGGGGAGTGAAGCTGGAAGAGAGATGTTGTCTATGTCGATATATCCCAACAAGAGGGACAGAAATCAGTCCCTTTATACCAATTTGCAATCCTTAAAAAAAAAATCAACTTGACGACAATTACAAACCCCGACTCCAAAGGTTATGGGTATCGTGATCCCATGTCACGGCTTTGGAATGCATCTGTCCATTGAATGGCGAAGTGAGGTTTTGTGTTGCGCCCGAGTTCACAGCAGCTGAAGCTGGCGTCATGTCGGATAGCTGCAGTGGTGCAGGCCAGAACATCTACCAGGGCTGGCCAGGGCTCACCATTCAATCCCTACTTTTTGTCAAAATGAAATTTCCCATCGATCGAAGTCGGAATTCGTCAGATACACTATCTGTTAACCGTTCGTATACCCCTAATTGCACGAGCATGTAGAAAGTGAATATTGTGAAGACTCGAAAATTCAAATTCAATATAAGTTTATAAACTTATATAAATTTAGGTATAAAATCCAAGCAACGTAGCCTCGAGAGAATTATAAACTGCGTCAGCATGCATGCATATGCACCAGCGAGTAAGCCAAAAAATTAGCTTAGCAATTTATCGGAATTGATCCGACGAAAATATTATCCGATATTTGTACGCTTTATGCAGCCGCATGCCAAACATATGTATATTTACTGCAGCTGTCCTAGCCTCGAGGCCAGCTGTCCAAGCCCATGGTGAAGTAGGATGGTGTCGCATTCGGAAAATAGAACCCTGCCGAAATCTCAATTAATCCTGGTCGAACATTGAACACCAAACTTCTTGCATAGATATGCATAATATACTGCTACATATATCGTCAGAGATCAATGAATTAAATGTACAGAAATACAGGCGATGCAACATATTTGAGTACTTTTATGTATACAAGAAATACATTTTTGAGATTTAGGATTGATACGGTCCGGATACTCTCGCTGGACCCACTTTGGTATTATTTGCGCCGCATTGATAGGCTCATATTCTAAGATATGTCAAAATACCTGAAGGCAAGAACGGGTTATTGTAAAGCTACTGCCGCTCGATAATTCTATATCAAATTTGGTCCGGATTGAGAAACCAATCCATGTTCCGATATACATTATGGATGACTTCATCCAGATCTTCCACCTCTATCCCTGGTTCCCGTTGCTTAACCTTATACGTAAGATGAAGTTCAAAGCACTTGTCCCAGTCATAAACACATAATTTCAGCAATTCCAAGTCCTTCAACCCGTCTGCGTACCATCTTTCTATTAGAGCTCGAGTGGAATCTTTTGCGGCTTCAACGCAATAGCTTAGATCTTCTTCGAAGATTTCATAGGCCTCCATTTGAACTTTGCGAAGCTTTTTCATGGCGCTCCATTCTCCATCTCGTTGAAAGTATACATATGGTCAGTGGTTTAAGCCCTCCAAATAATTTTCATCGTTTCAGAACTGGACGTAACACAAAGCTTACCGTAGAGGCGTACTCGAGTTCCAAGGCGTTTGGCATTTGGACCTCGAGGAGAAACAACTCCTCAACATTTGGGAAGAATTTACTGAAAGTTTCAGCAACTGGGGAATCTAGCGGGTGTCTCTCCAACCTCAGCACTCTCAAAGTTGGACAGACTAGGCCAGGGATATTCTTATGTCCTAAAGAGTGCCATGCCGGAATTTCTAAAGATGTGAGAGTGTTGAACGAAGCTTTTAAGAGATCCAGAGCCCGAAATCTAGCGATGTAACTCTTTGGGTGATAGCTAATGTAGTCTAGACCTTTGGGGAACCGTATTTCCCCTCGGTCTTCCGGTTTCATCCATACTGCTTCGTGAGTAACGAGCTCAAATGAACGAATGTTGAGAATCCGAAGGGTTGTCGGTTGGAATTTTGAAAGCCGATTTACGAACTCCCGAAAAGATTTTATATCTTTAGCGTGGTATTCAATATTGATTCGGGTAACATTGTCGAAAAAGCCCTTTGAAATAGCACCTAGGACTTTGCGATGATTGAAGGGTTTTGGGGGACGCTTTAGCTCGACCCTTCGTCCCTCGAACGTGATTTCAGTTCCTTCAGATCGTATTTTCGTTACAGTACCATCTTCTAGAGTAAGATCGTCACTGTCTTCGTCATCTGTACCGTAATAATCAATTGGGTCCCATAATTTAGGCGTTGCCCATTTATCTTTACCAGACTTGAAAATATCAATTTTTAAGTATCTACCCCAAGAACAGCGTTAGAACTCCTATATAGCTGGCCCTACCTCAAATAAAGCCCGAAAGAAAAAAAGTGGAAAGATACCTAACAGCCAATCTGATATCCGGGTACCTCTCCAGGAGCTTCAAGCAGCCACCTCGATTTGACGTCCGAATATGAACTTCCTTGATACAATGTCTCAAACATATCGAACGAAAATCTTTGCAGGTTGTAGAAATCTTTAGCAGTTGCCATCTTGGAAAGTACGATAGAATCTCTGTTTTTAATTCAACAGGGAGCTTCGCGAAGTAACACTTGCTATCTAGGGTATCCATTTCGTGCGTTTCTGTTAGTCGCTGAGCGGCCAACTTCGATGTGGTGTTTGGCCCGGTATCTTGCTTCATGGTGATAGTAGGAGGATTTCGAGATATGGTATAGTCCTAGTCGAACGAGGGAGGTATGGCGAAATAGATGCTCAATGAGGAGAAGAAGGAATTCTTCGAACAATGAGGATGAAAGGTATTATGACGAGACGCGACGAGAGCTGGACCCTTTGATCTTGTTGGTCATGCAAGACCTAATAGAATCGAAGAAGGTATCGTAGAGTAGACACTTCGTAAGAATGATACAAAGTGTTTTGATAGTGGAAGCCGAAATCTTAGAGGACCACCAATGTGATGGAAGCTTTCGATGGTCAACAATACTCAAATGAGGTCGATGAAAGGGTAAGGTGTGTTGGGGCGGTGCGGGATGGCTGAGGTATAGTTGGTGGACTAGACAGTGATCTGCTTACTAAGGGACTACCAAGTAGCTTATGCTCTATAGACTATAACTCAGTATCTGCCAGTGTATTTAGCACCGTCTCAGTCTTGTATTAAAACGCTTCAGCACGCACCCGTCTAACAACTAGGCTAGCCAGCGTATATATCCGTAGGGCTCTAAATATAATAGGCATATACAAAGGTATATAAAACAGTTGACGCAACTGAGAGACAAAATGCAGAAAAGGAAAAAGACAAAGAAAAAGAAAAAGAAGAGGAGGAAGAGGAGGATGAAGAAGGAGAAGAGGAAGAAGAAAAAGAAGAAAAAGACAAACGACGACCATTTCTCATCATGATATCATACATCTAGAAAAAATACATATATGGAAAACATCTAAACTACAATCAACATCCGCTATAATCCCAAACATTCAAATCAACAAGTCTAATCTCCCACATAACCACATATCTACTCTTTTCAGTGGTGCTCATGAAGACTCTTTGATCGTACGGCCACTTCCGACTGCAGCGTAAAACTTCCAGATTCGACATTCCATCTCTCTTCCACAAGCTCCTCAGGTATTCCAACCTCTGTAAGAGAAGATCGTGATGGAATTGTAGGTTCATGGGCAGAGTGTACCTATCGTCGTTTTGAATCTCAATGGTTTTGACGTTCTTCATAGCTGTCCATTGAAGTAGCCACGGGTCAGGCTATTTTTTTACCGAAAAAATATGTTAGAGATTCATAGCCAAGTGAAGTTGCTTCCAAAAAGCGAGAGGAGAGAATGACCAAGGAAGGCATGAGAGCCTTAACTTACCCATACGTAATCAGCGGTAACCCAAGCGCTCCCATAGATAACCATTTTTGGATTCAAATACAGCGTATCCACATTCGGGAACATCCTGACGAAAATCTCCACGCGCGATTGGCCATAGTAGAGATCCTTCGTGACCTTCAAAACCTTGACATTCGGACAGACCACCAACTGACCAAAGTCACATCGTTCCCTCAAGTAACAAGTCGTAATATCCACCGTAGTCAGAGTATCAGTAGACAATCCGAGGACAACGAGCATATTAAACGGCCTTAAGCAGTCGCTAACATGCATCTGCAAGCGTGTTAGGCCTCCGGGGTATCGAATGAGTCCCAACTCCGATTGAGTTAATTCCATGTCTCCTTGGTCCCAGGTATCTCCGAGCTTGATAGAAAAGCTTCGGAGCCTCAGAGGCCTGTGGTCGGATAAACAGTTTATGATCTCAATGAAGGACCTTAAATGATCAACGTCGCCCTTGATTTCAATATGGCGTACGTTATCAAAAAAGTGTTTGGAGATGGCATTTTGGACTTCAGGCTTGTTGAAAGGTGGAAGGAGGCACCAGAAGATATAGCAGGGAAGAAGCTGGCTGTTGACGTAAGGAAGGTATTCATTTTGGTTCCTTATAAGGGGCCAGCTATCCGGTGGTTCGATTACGATTCTCAGATTCCTGACCGAAAATCCAACCAAAGTTTAGTTAGAAACTCGATCGTCAATCTAGAGCATACGCAGTGTAACGCTAGATAATGGAGGGAGTATGGGGACTCACCGTACAGCAGCTCTTAGATCCTCTCGCTCCTCCAATATCTTCAATAAAACAGAATCTTTTGATGTATAAATAGAAAAAGACTTTAAACGTTCTCGCAAGCAAATTTGATAAAAATGGTGACAAGTTTGTCCAACAGTAACAAGAAAACAATCGGGAAAATATGAGAAAATCATCGTCGTAAGTTCAACGGGTAAATTTGTAATCCGACGAGGAACTGGGGGGATTTCGGCCTCAGGATTGCCTGTGTCCAAGTCTGGTGTTTCTGCAGAATTAACGATAGTTTCCGTTTCTTCGCAGACTGAATCTGGTTCCACTTGGCAAGGTGGTTCGACGAGGACGAGAGGCTCAGGGCTTTCATGTTCTAGCTCTACTCCGGATGCGCCCAGACCAGGGAGAGTCAGCCATAGGCTTCCGGATTCCTCGCTCCCTCTCTGAGATAATCTCCTTCTTCTGTAGAACAGAGGAGCAAAAGGGAGTGGTATCAGAGCTCTGATGTCTTTCAATTTGTTCATGATTCTCGTACGGAGACGCATTATGAGAGATCGTGGCCGTCGGCGTTAGTATACAAGTTACAATGGGTGTTTAGCTGGGGGCTACTAGAAAATCGACCAGGGGTAGGGGTTAGAGATATTAAGAATCTCAAAAATATTAAAAGTTAAACATTAATATGGGGGATTCGGATTGAAGTCACAATTGAAGATGGTTGGAAAGCTGTGAAGGTGCTAGCTAGGACATTCTCGCCGATTTATAAATTTATAGAGGGGGCGCACATATGTAAGATATAATAGCCCACTTGAGTAGGGAATATAATAATATTTTAATATTAGAGCCGCGGATCTGGATATCCGACGGTTAACTTCATTCACATCACGTATATTGGCCTCGTATTGCTCAGGTTTATGAGTCAAGTGAATTGCTGAAATTATTCTGCGTCCGCATCGTCATGGCCGGTTGTCCCTATAAATTTCAAAGTATTGAGGTATCAAAGGAAAACATGGATCCCACGTGCTCGACTGACACAGCGCGGTTTGATATATTCCCTCACTGATTAGAGGTAGTTGATGATTTACCTGTTATCTCTGCGGCGATCGTGTATGATAAATATATAGAGGATTGGGACTAAGCCCTAACTTATGACGTAGGCCGGTACGCACATGTATATTAGAGTAAGTATGGCCTCGTGGCCGGTCTCGTAAACAGAGAACCATTTAAACCACGAGCTTAACGCTCCTGGCTAATCTAGATACTAGCTAGAACAAACTACTACATAATTGCGTGCAAATCGATCTCGTGTCCGTTAAATCGGACCACTCTCCGCTCGAGGTTTAATTGGATGTGGTCCATGCTTTAAATATGCATATGCACGTCGTAAAATCCAATATTGTGAATATGTATATATATATCTTCGATCAGTTGTTGTAAATAGAATGGCTGAATATATAGATCGTATACAATTACATTAAATCTACTCTAGATATATCCGACGAACAATAAAAATTAGAAAGTACTAAAAATACAAGAAACCTCGCTTTGCTATCTTCCTCATACCCGTTGCATAAATACTACATCATTGCAGAAATAGATCTATATATAATCTAGAACCTCTTCACAGCCAGTCCCTCTACTAGCCGAACCACAATATCATCAACCTCAACCTGTGCCACAAACCCACCACTCCCGCACTCCACACTAACAGACAAGCTTCCGCTCGCCCCTTCTTCGATAGTAAACGGCACACTCTTGACATCTTGCCAAACGTTAGGACACCCACTCAATGGTGTCCTAGCAATAAGACTTCCACCATACCTAACACCCACAAAACATCCATTACTCTTTGCAGACTTCACTTTAGTCTGCAACACCCATTGGTCACCACCACCGGGGAAACTTGAGAGACTAGCTGTAAGAGTGTAGGTCACAGCTTCGGAGGTAAAAGGTACTGGTCCAAATTGAATATCTCTCGAACTAACGCCTTCGATAATTCCAGCGGAGTAGCCAAGGGTTCCGGCGTCGATGGGGGTTATAGATTCAAGAACGCTACTGACGTATTGAACACCTTCTGAAAAATCCCCACCACTCTTGAAGTTTACTAGTAAAACCTCTTGGCCAAGCGTAGGTGGTGTAAAAGTCGCAGCTGAGATTGGACGAATATCAACAGCGTCTAGGATTACTTCTGCATCTTCGGACCCGGGGATGGCAACTACCAGAGTTATCGAATCAACAGACGGTGTTATAATAATCTGTTTTGGAGTGAAAGAATTCGAGACCGGAATGATATCAGTAGCAGAGCTATCGGAAATAGCAGCAATTGATAGGAGGATATCAGGGGTATAAGTATTCCAAGTGATGGAATAAGTAAGACCTGGGGTAACCGGGATGATTCGTGATAATCTCACGCTGCTTGCGCCAGTGAACAAAACTTGTAAAGCGGAGGGATTGATATCACCGTTTACGAAGTATGCGTCAATAGAAGTCGATACACCTGTAGCAATCCATTGTGAAAGTGCATCATCGGATGTGAAATGAAAGTTGTAGCCGGTGGAAGGACTCCATTCTACAGGGTTACAGATACCAGTTGGTGTCGTGAATGATGCGCTTCCAAATGTAGTGGCGGTTGAAGTACTGCTAGTCGTTGACGGCGTTGTGGTCGTGGTAGTGCTCGAGGAGGTTGTAGTTGGAACGGGAACCCCTGAAGAGTAGAGTTCAATGTATCCTCCTGCACCGCAAGTCTGGCTGTTATCGCCTGAGCAACGGACGTTACAGCTTGATGGAGAAGAAGCCGGAGTTGCAGCTGGGTTCAAAGTGTTTCCGCACCAACCTAAGTTAAATCAGCATCCACTTTCTATTATATCAAAATGTATTATATTCATGGGAAACAAAACTTACACTCGCTTCCATATTCCACACCGGCAAACTTCGCCTGTCCAAAACTCCAGCAGTAATACTGACAAAGTTCATGCGTCATACTTTTGGACGAGAAAACCTTCGACAAGGCCTTGCCTGACGACGGTTCTTGGTAACAACCCATAGAGGTATACTCAATATCATCATTATGAATATCCGGCTCTGGCCTCCCTTCAATGCTGGTATCAAAAGTATAGATATTGATTCTATCGCCTGCACCACACTTTAGAGTAGCGTCTCCAGCGCAAGCCATATTACATTCTTCAGACAGGACTTGGAAGGAAGCAGGGTTGATACTGTTGTCGCAGTAGCATTCACGGCCGTATTCAACACCGTAGTAGGTATAACCCTTAGAGGAACAGGTGCTAGCGCAGAGAGAAGGGGTTAAAGCGTTGTCTGGGAATTGATAACGGAGGGCTTTCCCGGAAAGGCCATCGATGTAGCAGCCTAGGTGAACGGTTGGAGTACCCGTTTGGCTGGTTGTTGTGCTACTAGTGGTTGTGGTTGTGGTTGTAGATGTAGTTGTCGACGCCGGGTCACCATTTGGAGATGGTTCTTTTGACGTGGTAGGCTCTGGTTCTTCAGATGTAGTAGGCTCTGGCTCTAGCTCCTCGGAGGTAGTGGGTTCGGGCTGAGGCTCTTCAGTGGTGGTGGAAGTGGTGCTTGATGTGGTAGTATCTTCAGGCTCTTCACTGGTGGTGGTACTGGTAGTAGTGGTGGTAGTGGTGGTAGTCGAGCTGGTTGTCTCTGGTTCTTCGCTAGTGGTAGTTGGGGTGGTTGTAGTGGAGCTAGTAGTTTCTGGCTCCTCACTAGTGGTGGTGGCGCTAGTAGTAGAAGAAGTAGTGCTATCTTCTTCTTCACTAGTAGTAGAAGCAGTGGTGGAAGATGTAGTGGAAGATGTAGTAGAAGATGTAGTAGGCTCTGGCTCCTCGCTAGTGGTACTACTCGTAGTGCTAGTAGTAGTAGTGGAAGAAGTGGTACTGTCCTCCTCCTCCTGGCTAGTCGTAGTACTGGTAGTAGTAGAAGAAGTAGTAGAGGAAGCGGTCGTTTCGGGTTCCTCACTAGAGGTAGTACTAGCGGTGGTGGTAGTAGAAGCAGTAGTAGTAGCCTCCGGTTCTTCACTAGTAGTAGCACTAGAAGAAGTAGTCTCAGGTTCCTCACTAGTAGTACTGCTAGAAGAAGTAGTCTCAGGCTCCTCACTAGTGGTACTGCTAGAAGTGGTAGCGCTAGAAGTAGTCGTACTCTCTGGCTCATCCTCCTCCTCGCTACTGCTACTCATAGTAGTAGTAGATGAACTAGTAGTCGTAGTAATTGCCGTCGTAGTTTTACAAGATGTCTTCGTCGTAACACTTTCCGTCTGCACCGTCGTCTCCGTCACAAACTTCGTAATAAAAACCGTCGTACTAACTTCCGGCAAAGTCAAGCATTTGCAAGCACTAGTGACTCTACTAGCCGGATACGTTGTCGCCAACCAACTCGGAAACGGTATTTCGCTGCCCTCTGCCCTTCTCCTAAGCATGTCTTCATAGCTGTCTTGTTCGGGATTATAGGAACCATAAGAACCATCATCCCTTTTGTAGAATACTGTTGTAACAGCTGTTTCGGTGGAGACTAAAGTCGTAGGGACGGAGATCGTGGTGGTCGAGGTTACGGATATGTAGGCACCGCAGAAAGTTTTGGCTTCAGCAAGATTTACGGTGTTACGTAGAGCGCGAAGAAGGTTATCAGCATTACAAGCGTGTGTCGAAGTTGTAGTTGTGGCTTGACGACGGTAGAGGTTTGGCTTGACGTCCCCGTTTTGGTGTAGAGGCGAGGAGAGGGAGAAGGGAAGGAGAGGGAGGAGGACGGGAAGGACGCTTGATAGACGCATTTTTAAAAATACTATATACTTGTAAAAACAAGAGATAAGGGATAGTGACAGTCAGAAGCCTAGATTTAGAATCTAGAGCTCCAAATAGAGCGAACGGTTAAACGAATGGACAGTTTATCTTCGTCGTCGTCCTGAAGCCTTTCGAACGTGGCCCCGATATATCGACAGATATGGTCGAAAAGGCAATGACTGCGTTGGCCCTGTTGGATTTTCAACTCAGCCTTCCCAATTCGAATACTGGACTCCCTTGGATTGAAGCTTGAAGGATGTCAATCGAATCCTGAGCTTCCAAACCCTGGATTGCACTCAAAAGCAAAGGAACTGGCTAAAAGAATGAAAACGAAATAAAAACTAAAAGGAAAGACACCGATCGTCAGGTACGGTAGCGCCAGGGGGGCTGACCGCCTTATATATGTATGTACAACGTTCGTGCAATACGGGTTCAATTTGCCATCCACGATAGCGGCAACAACGGCAATGGCTTCCAAGCCAAACCCAAGCCCACGGGGCGTTCTCCACCGTTTTACCTGGCACGTCCATGTTACCTAAACGTTTATAGAACTAGCATGACGAGACGGAACAAAATTTTAATTTTTTTGTTAGTCTACACATGCACGGCGGTTGTGACTTGAGGATACCCTAAGCCTGTTACCCAAAATCCTCCTATTTCCGCTTCCTCATTCCGCTCGATTCAACGGTGATTACGGTGATATCGATTCTTGTGTATATACACTCGAAGATGAGACCTGATCGGAGTTCGAATTCTTATCATCTGCAGGTCGAAAGACAAGAATGGAAGTCAAGAGGAACACATCACAAAAGTTCAGCTCCAGCGCCTAGATATCTTCCTGCATATTTATGTCCTTGGCGAAACCATTATCTCACTCGCGATATCGAAGGATTTTATACAAAAACCAGGGGTTCAAGGAGAACGCGAGCTAACCAAACCAATGCCGCACAAAGTGGGTCCCCATGACAAAAACAGAAGCCCAGAGAAACGCCACGTGAAAACCGGTGGGGCGGCCTACGGACGCCACCAAATTTAATCTGTAGGGAAAATTGCTGCATATTGGACGGAGCAATTCTTCCATTCGCTACACATTGACGACGCGTCGTCACTCCTTCAGCCGTAACGCAAGTCTGGTGGTGGTCTGACCTCGTCATTGTCGGATGTCGGATCTGATAATAACATTTCAGATAATATCGAGTTCGGAACGATTGTGCCGTGTGGAGCTGCACAGCCCAAGGGGGACAGCTTTAACTTCAAGAACTTTCCGAAAACAAAACCTAAATAATAGAGATAGCAGAGTATATTCCAATTGCTCATACCATATAGCTATAATACTGGGGATAAAATCCAAAAGTTCAAATAAATAACCACAACCGCCCAAGCCTGGATGTATGCAAAAAAAAATATGACGCTTGAAAAAAAGAATACAAAATCTCAATTCTTCTCCCTTCTGAAAAACTATAGATCAATCAAATTCTCCGCTACGACAGGTGGCGAATGCACTGGCTGCTGTTCTATTGGTTTCTGCGCTGGTGGTTGGTAATACGCATGCGGGGGTACCTGCTGCTGCTGCTGCGGCTGAGGGGGGTATGAATTGTAAAAATCGGTTGATACCGATTCTTGCACCTGTGTCTGTGGTTGCTGCTGCAGGGGTTGGTTCTGTGGCGCTTGTGTCTGTGGCGGTGGCTGCCATTGTTGTGCGGGTGGTGAATTGACCGACTGTGGCGGATAGGAGGGTGTAGATGTTGCTTCTTGCGCGGGCTGCTGATGTTGAGAATATTGCCAATACTGCTGCTGCTGCTGCTGTGGTGGTTGTGGTTGCTGCGATTGTTCTTGAGGGGGGTATGAGGGTTGGGACTGTGGTAACTGCTGAGGGGCTTGGTATTGTTGATAAGGATCCTGGGGTGGATATGACTGCGTGGATTTCATTTGTGATTCAGATGGCTGTGAGGGTCCTGTAGGCTGTTGTGGAAGCTGTTGAGGTGGTGCATACTCTGTTCGCGGGGTTTGGGGGGGTATGGAAGAGTATGCGGAGGGCGGATAGTCCGATTGCGGAGTTTGATTGGGCTGTCGCTCTTGAACCTGTGGAGTCGATGCAGACTGGCCATTTGGTATTTGAGGCGGATATGCCTGTTGTTGCTGAGGAGGTGGGGAGGTCAAAGAGGGGTAAGCGCCAGGCGGTTGCTGCTGCTGCTGCTGTGATGGCATCGAGGGGTACATGTTGTATTTCTGGGACTCTTGGGATGTTACACCTGTCGGTTGTGCATACTGTACGGGCGGCGTAGGCTGGTATTGTGATTGCCGTTGTGATGGCAGAACTTGATATGTGGATTGCGGCCGGGAGTAAGGGGTCTCAACTGGGGCCGGGGTAGAGAACTGTGCGCCGTAGAAGCTTTCGGCGTTTTGAGGAACATTTGCATAAGATGGTCGGGCGGCGTAGGATGTGTTTCCGAGACCATGACGGGAGTAGGTATATGATAACCGGTCTTCTAGCATCTTATCGTAGTACCGTACCACCGTTGCAAGTTTCGCATGCAAGTCACAGAGCGCCTCTGCATCAAGTTTTCATTAGCCACCTTGCGATTGAATACGTAGACAGACAGACTTACCATATTTACTCATGGTCTCCCCGAACGTTCTAGCCAGTTTGGGTCTTAACTTTCCAATACTCTCGTATAGTTCCTGAATCGCAGGCTCCCGGAGAATTGTTCCAGGGGGCTGGCTTTGCAACTTATGGACCAGCGTGGAAAATAGGTTGATGTTCTCAGCCTCTGTCGGAGAAAGTTCGTAGTCTGGTCGTACAGCGGCAACGGTCGCAGGTTGGGCGCTAGCGGCAGCAGCAGGGTTATTCCAAGCAGATTTCTTCTTTTGCTCTTCCATATCGGCGAGCGAGGCAGCGATAGCTGCTTTTAATTCGTCGTCTTCTTCCTCCTCGGTCTGCTGCTTTGGCTGGGGCGCCGAGGAAGAGGCTTTGGTGTCGGATTGCTTGTTATTCTCGCCCATGGCTTTTAACTGAGACTGGGAGACGTAACCAGAGCTACCTTTCCCACCACGAGCTTCTTCTTCAGACATCTTGAGAGCCATCCTAAGGTCGGCGTCGAAACCGCTTTCATCTTGAACACGGGCATCTCTGGGCTGCATGTATCCTGGTCCGGAATAGTTACGGCCTTGGATTTGCTGATGGTGGTGCTGCTGCTGATGCAGGATGGGTTTGGATATTTCTTTTCGGGTGAGCTTGTTATGGCAGCCATCACAGACCCTAACTGCCTGAGGTATTCCGATATGTACGAGGGGTAGCGTTTTCGAGGAACATGTACCGCAGAAGACGTTTCCACAGTTTCGGCAGTGATGTTTGCGGTTCATCATAGTAAAGGAGTTCCGGCACCCGAGGCAGACATCCGAGTCCGCCCATTCCGGCGGCTTTTCAAGGATCAGTTAGCTTTCTTGATAAACAGTATATAAAGGAACGGCATAGAAGGGTGGAAGTACAGCAGAAGAGTCGACGAAGGCCTTAGAAATCTGAGAGGGCGGGGGAGGAAACTGGTAGCCATCGGCTTTGAGTAGACGATAGGTCTCGCCGACGTGAGATAGGGAAGGTTGGCCTTCAAAAGCGATCGTCCAGCCTTGGATTAGTTCGAGGATTTTAAATTTGACGTCGAGGTTAAGGGGTTGAGCGGAGGCGTTCATGAGCGAGACGAGGTTGTCGATGAACTCCCTGGAGGCGATTTCCTGCAGAAAGTGGGATCCTCCGTTCTTCACGCAGGCGTCCGTCAACTACCCACCGATACCATATCTTATTAGCATTCTCCCGAACACGCTATTCTTAACATAAAGGATGAAGTACCTGCAAAGCAGCGAGCTGGATGTTTGGATTCTTGTTGCCTATCCTCCGTTTGAGAGAGCGCATGGCTTCCTTGGGGGCAACCTGTTTGCTTCTGATGAGGTCGCATATTTCGAGGTTTGCCGCCATATCCTCCCTGGAGCCTCTGTTAATTATACTATTTTGTACATATCTGCTGAGAAGAAAAGGGGGGCATACAGAGCGGAGGAGGTGGCCTTCTCGATCTGTTCATCGAAGGCCGTTGTGCCGGACCCAAACCACCCCGCCATAATGCGTATCTCTCGGTTACTCTCTTAAACTTTCAGCCAGTGAAACAAACAGCGAAAAATAAAGACTACCGTATTGTTGCCGCTGGGATTCGGGTGTACTAGACTGTTATCGGGAGTGTTAGCGGAGGTTGGTAGTGCTGATGATGGTGATGGTGATGATGTTGTTTGGGGATGGTGGTGATGATGGGAGAAGGAAGTTGAGATGTGGAAGAGCAATATGACGTTGGTGAGGGAAGTAGGATTTGGCCCACTCAGCCTGGTGTTATACTGATGACAAAGCAATACAACTTAAATACACTTATTACTTTATACTAAGTACGTATCTAGTAAGTAATCCTACATTACAAACGCCCCATTTGTTCAAATCCCGATTTTTATTTTGTAAATAACCATCTGTATCCATTTTATTGTATTCACAGAGACGCCGCGTACGCAGTTGTACAGTGCATGATCGAAAGCTAGGAGGGAGTTTGAGGCCAAGAACGAGAAGCTGCGCAAGCTCGCCTAGCCTAATATCTCTTGGCATCTCTCTCTTCTAATTTTATTTGGACATCACCAGACACTGTCATGTCCCCATTCCAGAGATTCTTACTTTGCATGTATATTGTGCCCAATACCCAAGTAATACTAGAAATAGATCGATAGAGTCGGAGTTATGTGCTAAGTGTCCTTCTGCCATTCTATTAATTACTACTAAGTAATCAGCGCTGCGTTGCATTGGAGTTGCAAATTGTGTTGTTCCGACGTCTGGTGGTTACTGGGTCGGACTTGGCTGGTCCATGTGCTCCGCCGCCCGGTTACGTTACTTACGCCGTTCGATCTTTCTGATATCTCGAACCTCAACTTCTCTCCGAACATACATCTCATATATATAAAACTCAACTCCGGCTGACTGCGATTGAATTATTCAGCATTCGATAGACCTATATACTGTATATCCTCCATATATAGCTCGCATTCTACAGTAGATATCCAGCTAGTAGCATCTATAGACGCCGGTTTGAAGTTCGAAGTTTGTCAGCGGTGGCATCGTCAGCATTGATAGCAGTATCACCAGGATCATCGAGTAGCCTCAAACATCACCAACACCCGTCGAAAGTCGAGGCTTTGGGCCCCTTTACCACCCGTCCAGCAATTGTCATTTGCGATACAACTTGAAATAATCCAACTCTCCGACCGAAGAATCTAGCTAGGATTGTAATCCATCGTATTTCTCTCACGCCCCGGGGCCGGGTGGTGCAGTAATGCCTACCGCAGTGCCGTCGCCCTTCCCCTCCTTTTCTTCGACCATTATCGCCGGTGCCACTGCCACTACTACCACTTCTTCTAGTCCTCAGGGCTCTTCTAAGAGCTCTGTTGCCTCAGCAGACACCAGCATGACCTCCATCGGCTCCGGAGGTGCTGGTGGTAGTGGCAGTAATGGTGGTGCTGGCGGAAAGCGGGTCTTGAAGCATCTCGACGAGTTGAAATTGAAAATAGATGCTGAGAAGCCAAAACCCTCTCTCTCGGTAGGGCCCTCGTTCTTTCATCAATTTATATATTTTTTTGATTGCTTGTCTCTCTTCTTTCTGTTTCTGTTCTTCGCCAGAGTAGATGAACGGTTGTTGATATAATGTCGAATATAGATTGGAGCGCTGTTGATGCTTGCCCAGCGCCGGTTCAAAGCCGCCCTCATGAACATCGAATTCCAACGGTTGGACCTTGCATATGTCGACTTCAACGTCTCCATGGACATTCTCATCAATGTCATCCCCCACCATCGCGAGTTCCCCACGTGGATCAATCGCAACCTCAACAACAACGTCACCGAGTTCAAGGCTCTCAAACAGGTAGTCCTATTAATACTAGCGTTAATGAATACGTTGAGGTTGTCATGAGTGGACGGAATGGGCTGACAAAAGAGTGGTGGTTGCTGCCTCTAGGATATGAAGAAACACCTAGACCGGATGGATAACATAAAGCGAATCATCTCTGAAGACAACATCAAAAACAATACACAACCTCCTGTCGAAAACAATATACCCTCTTCTCCTCCTCTTCGTATTGCAACCACTACAAAGGATTCCCCTCCGACTCAGGACGCAGCAGGAGCAGCAGCAGCAGTAGTAACAGGAGCAGCTATGGCATCCAACGGACATTCTGCCGCTATATCGATAAAACAGCCCCCACCCCGTCCTGCTAAACCGAAAGATCTCAAAAACTATCATCACGGTACCCACTTCCCTTTTACTTTTATGTAGTCTGCACTTCTAGAAAATCTTTCCAGATGCTGATGGTTAGATGGATCGGTTTATTATAGACGCAAGAAAGTCGACAGACAGACCACCATCCCGAGGACTTCCCATCATCACGACTACCGCAACATCGGTTTCGAGGTCATCCCATGATCTTCTGAAGGAACGTTTTGAGAAACTCAGGGACTCAGCCAATGGCCCTCCGTCCAGTCATTCTCGAATATCAATAGCGGACCCAGCGGGCATGCGTCGACGTCTCCCTAGCATACCTGGCATGCCTAGCGTATCAACCGACGAATCCTCACTTCCTCGACCACCTTCACCAACTTACTCACCGGTACGACAGTATCCTGACGGTTCATCATATTTCCCTGTCCCTGGAGACTCGCAGGCTAGGCCCCTTGTTCGAGCTGCTTCCAACACTTCTCTCGACGGCTATGCTCGTCCCAGCAGCACAGCTTCTGCCCCAGTACCACTGCCCTCCACCACACCAACACCGATGCCCCCTAACAACACTGGTGACACCACAGTATCTGCTGAGAGGCTGTCCGAATGGCTCGTATCGCATAAGTCAGTCCTAGTCATCGATGTGCGGGAACGAACCGAGTTTGACGAAGGCCACATCTTTACCCGGGATATAGTTTGTATCGAACCTACGGCTTTGCGGGATAAGTACGCTCCCCTAAAGATAGAGACTCTGTAAGAGCCATGCGTATGCAATTGCTAATCTTATTCCTCGCAGTATGTCTGCGGATCAATTAGAAGATGCACTATCGATATCCCCAGACAAGGAGCAGCTCATGTTCAAAAAAAGGGATCAGTACGACTTCGTAGTATACCATGACCAGTCTTCCTCTGCTCTTACCACATACCAACGAGGCGCCGACAAGCAACTTCCTCAGCGAGCCCTCAAAGTACTATTTCAAGCAATTTATGAGCTAGCTTACGATAAGCGGCTAAAAAACCCACCCAAGCTGCTCGTCGGTGGTATCCATGCTTGGTCGGAATTTAACGGTCCAACATCACTCGTTCAAACAACCCAATCTACCCATAAGTCCACTCTGGTTCGAGCGGGCGCAAAAACCTCAACGACATCCCAGTCCTCTATTGCGGCGAGGAGAAAGGACAAGAATAGAATCACTTTGCTCGGCCAGGTATTGCCGGATGGGAAAAGATCAGAGTTGAGCGATGCCCAGCCTATCAACCAGGAGGAGGAGGCTGAATGGATTGCACGGTTGCGGAGGGAAAAGTACGTCTACCCATTGTGAAATCCTTTTTTAAAAACAAAGATCCTAACGAATTGAAGTAGCACAACCATCAGCGTGAAACGGCCGACGGGGCTCGATACTACCGACCCCAAGTCGCACAACAGAGCTGCTTCACTCGTTAGTATGGACTTCGAGCGATCCCCTGATATCGAGGAATTTGTGAGTACCCTCAACACCCCTTGCATCAATCCTCAGGCCCCTCGTAAATGATTTAGGCTATGCTGTAACAATTCTAACAATCCATAGTTCCAACGTTTCCCTGCGCTGGGCCAAAACCATATGGACTTGCCCGCGCCCCCCGCTAAAGTGCCATTATCACCACCCATTGAAGGCGCTAGCCAACAGGCGGCGGCATACCCTGTACTCCCTCCGCTGGGAAGTGCCAATAGGCCCAGCACCTCCCCAGCCCCCAGTATACACGAAGAGCAGCAGAACCACATGCCTCCTCCTACACGTGCACCGCCCCCACCCCCAATCCCCTTAAAAGAGAGCCTTGACACCAACTTGGCGCGAAGAAATACTATCATCGACCACGTCTTCCACGGCTTTACCGATGTACAAAACCCTTCCTTCCACCCTGTCACTCCATCCTCACCGTCCCGACCACCGCCAGCAGTTCCTAAAAAGAGCTACAGTGGTGTATCAGAGCACCACCAACCCCAAGCTCCGGCCCTTGATTCCATCAGTGTCCCATTCATCACGCCAGCCGGACCAACTGGTTTTGGTACCACCGGTCTTAAGAATCTCGGAAATACATGCTATATGAACTCTATCATTCAGTGCATGTCCGGTACCGTTCCGTTAGCTAGATACTTCCTGAGCGGCTTCTATAAAGGCCATCTCAATCGCGAAAATCGTCTGGGCTCACGCGGAATCTTCGCCGAAGCGTTCGCAAACCTCAATCGCAACCTCTGGGAGGAAACATACGCCTTCGTATCTCCCGTTACTATCAAGGATATATCAGGGCGTCTAAACTCCCAGTTCCGCGGTAAAGATCAGCAGGACGCGCAAGAGTACCTCGAATTCTTCCTAGATTATCTCCATGAAGATTTAAACGCCAATGCGGGAAAGCCAAGGCTTCGAGAGCTTACAGATGATGAAGAGAAGAGGCGTGAAGAGCTACCAGTCCAACTCGCCTCGTATTATGAGTGGGAGCGATATGTCCACACCAACCTCAGTATGATTGTGAAGTGGTTCCAAGGACAATTTCGTAGCCGGCTAAAGTGCCTGAAGTGTGGACACACCAGTACGACTTATTCTCCATTTATGTACCTTTCGCTTCCTATTCCTGCGAAGGCAGGACCAAACGGGTGTACGCTGAAAGATTGCATGGATGAGTTTACGAAGGAAGAGATTTTAGACGGCGATGACGCATGGCATTGTCCTGTTTGTAAGAAACCACGAAAGGCTAGTAAGCAGCTCAGCATCTCCAGGATGCCGGTGGTGCTCATCATCCATCTTAAAAGGTTTAGCAATCACGGAATGTGGAGGGATAAAGTCAACACGCTTGTCAATTTTGGAAAATCCGTGGATCTCACGAGATATGTACCACCACCGCTGGATCCTAAGGATGTACCGGGCGGTATGGGGCTACCGATGGGCTCCGAAGTTACTCCTCCGTTCTATTATAGCCTTTATGCGGTCACAAACCATTATGGAAGCTTGACAAGCGGGCACTACACTGCTTTTGTGAGAGTTGGAGGGGGCACAGGAGGTAGGGAAGGGGGTGTTTGGCATAGGTTCGACGACACGAAGGCGACAAAAATGGAAACAGATGATGTTGTGGTAAGTTCATTTAATCTCTATCCTTTAGATTTCCCTCTGTGAAGCCGAATACTGATAGATCTCCTTTTTTTTTAGAATCGCAATGCGTACATATTGTTCTGGGTTAGGAATGGAGTTATGTAACGATTGTGATGCCCGTTTTTTCGTTCTGGCAACCCCGGGGGAAAACTTGAAATGTTCAAGGTTGGTATCTAGCTTTCAGCCATTCATCTTGCTTTCTTTGTGAGGATTGGAATGATTATGATATTTGCATTACTTCTTCTTCTTCCCGGTCCTTTTTCTTTTTCTTTCTTTCTTTCTTTTTTTAATGAGGTGACGATAGATGCAGCACAATTCATGTTCATACGATATGATTGGATCCATTTTGATATTGGTTTGCTTCGTCTTGATGACCAAGCTTATACAGTTTACAACTAATCGGTGGCAAGACTTTGATTATCGATAGTTTTTATATTCTTTCATCCGCGTGTTTTAGTCGATGTCACTTTCAGCGATGATGGATTAGCATTTACTTCGTTTTATATATCATATTTTGTTTCTTTTCGTTGGATATTGGTTGCATTCACAGCATCCTTGGATCTCACATTTACAGATCTTAGATGACATAAATTAAAAGCATGAGTCCTTTTATCTATATCTATATCTATATCTATATCTACATCTATATCTATATCTATTTCTATGTTCTACTATACTCGAACGCTGCCCCGTCCTCAAGATACCGTAATATCACTCCGCCAGCTTGTTAAATGAACATGTGGTCAACGGTTGTGTAGATGTGTTATAATTGATTGAACAACGCAGTTCCACAGTTCCCAGACAGAGAGAACTCTAAAGTTTGCTCAAGTCGAAAGCGAATTAATATTAACCGTTAACCACCGAGCATTTGATAGTACCAGCTAGTCATAAATCAAAATGTTACTGGCTGAAGGGCGAAGTATGCGCGGTATAATCTGAGCTTTCGATATGTTTTTTTCTGGTAACGTTACTTTACTTAGTATTTTATCCAATCAGAAAATCGTAATTTCGGATTATCCGTCTCAAGAAACCCTGACAAAACAGAACAAAATAAATAAAATAATAGCGAAAAAAGAGAACAAACTGTTAAATAGCAAGCGCGGGGTATCTACATATGCAAAAGTTCAAAAAACCTATATTCGAAGTCAAATTATAGGTCTAACAAACTGAAGCTACACCCTCAACGGTGTAAGAATGCCCAATCCGAGGAACATGTGCATATGTGGAGTGCTGCACCTTCACCATATGTACTACCCCGGCTCAACACATGGCGTGCAGGCGGTAAACCGGACTAATTTCTAGGATGGCGGATGCAACAGTAACCCAATCCGATCCAGACCGCGCCAATTCTTTGGAGGTGCATGATCATGATATCGACTAAGCTATAAAAAGGAATACTTTGGATACTCCGTGATGGGATGGGAGTTTAGTTTTCAGCTTCTAATCTGCCCCTCCTTCCTCCTCTTCCTTGTATGTCTTTGTTTCCCGAACCCCGACTTGCTTGCATGGACGGTCTTTCTCTTGAAGGTTATTTGCTACTAGCTACTAGAGGCCTAGAGGTAGTAGCTGCATCATTACTTTTTATAAATCAGCGCGGTTTGATTTGTGAAGATAGTGTGGGGTTTCGCGTGGACGGGCTGCTTCCGTTACAGTTCGATATGTTGTACTTCTGGTTTGACCGGAGAGCTACAGGGTTGTGGTATCCCGACGGGTAATGGACGTAATGGATGATATTATCTTCCTTGTTTTTTTTACAGAATCGATTGCATTGATTAAGTATCTATGTGCATGATGGGGGTAAGAGAGGCACTGATGGTGTTTATAAAAGGGAAGGAGGGGTCCGCATTTGATATCCGGCTTTTTTCCTCAGTTTTGTTTTTTGAGAGTATACTTCAAGGCGGTTTGGAGATATCTTCTATCTGCTAATTACATACAGCCAATATATATACCAACGACTAGATATATATAATCTTCTGTTGTTAGATCTAGACTTTGCTACAAGATGGAAGATTTTCTCTCTCACTATGCAGCAGTTTCGTCTGCCGATGGTAGCTATGTGGTACGTTTTATCCATATATACTATCAGAGAACTACGTATCACTCCTCTATATATTCTGACAGCTACTTGCATTTATACAGAAACTATATCTCCAACAGCACACCGGCGAAATCCTCGAAGGAACTTGGTACAAACACGCCCAACAATGGGTGTTCAAACAAATCATGGATGCCGGCGTGGCAGCACTTCCCACTCCTCTCGCTGCCGCAATGAGCCCGGACGATCACATCAGATTATTCTTCGTCGACGACGAGATGGTCATTCAGGAATTCGAGATCGTGAAGGGAGAGGCTTCCATTGGTAGCTTTTGTACTGTCAACGCTAAGCTTCCTGAAGTTGCTGGGTTGTCGGCTGTGCCGAATTATTCTGGTCGGGAGCAGTTTAGGTCGGTTTTTACTCCCTTTCCGTATCTTTGTCTTCTTACATATATCTTATATGGAAAAAGAATTTCGAGGTTTTAACAAAGGAATAATATCGCGTAGACTTTACCACCCTGGCGAGGACGGTTATCTCCAAAACTACGGCCTCAACGGTGGGTTATGGGAGCGTCCAGCGGGAATCGCATCACAAATCGATTTACAATCCCCGATTTGCAGTGTAAACAGCAATCCCTCGGACTGGGGCGTCCCCTGCATCAAAACTTTCTACCGGAACCGCTCTAGTGAGCTCAAAGTGCTAGAGTGGAATGGCTCAGCTAGCGGCTTGCGGGCCGAAACTACCCCGTTCTACAGTCTACCAGAAAGCGCTAAGTTTGCAGCAGCATATACTGAAGCTAAGGGCTCTGGTAGCGACAACATTTCCACACCTGCTAAGGTGATGTTGTTCGTCGTTGAAGACGGACAATTAATGGTTTGTGGGAAGAATGGAAGCTCTAGCTGGAGTCCTCCGCTGGCTGTCAGTATTGAACGGGATGGCACCAATATTGCGGCCGTTAGTGCCAGGGAAGGCGATGGTACTAATGATGTTCATGTGTTCACTTCGGAAGAAGAGGGTCAATTTGTTCATCGTATCTTAAGGGACGGGGAGTGGGAGGATTCCGTGATCAATCCTGCCGAGCTGCTGGCAAATCCTGTCGCCGTACCAATTTTGATACCGGAGATGAGGCTTGGTGCTGGCCATGGTGATTTCAGAATAGGGCCCGGTTCCGGTAACAATACCAACTCAAAAACGAGTCCCGCAGCGCACAGGGATGAAATTGGTGGCATGTCATTCGTAGAGTCGTTGAAAGATGTTGGGTTGACCCTGGGGTCTTTGGGAGAGACTGATAAACAGTTTAGCCATATCCAGATTCCACATGATGAGGATCATGAACATATCGTCTTGCCGAAGCTTACACAGGCAACCTATGAGGACTCGATGGATCGGTTGACATTTTTCTATCGTACTGCTATAGACCAGTAAGTCCTTCCCCTTTATTCTCAAAAGATACTACCTCTGAACTTTGTAATTATTTTACTAACTGCAGAACAGAACTTCTTCACTGCATAAGGCATCATTGATCGATTCAGACCTTCCAGGTTTCCTTTCACTCTCAATAATGAAGCTGCGATACAGGTGGTCTAACCCACGTCAGGACTACTACCCACCACATCTGGACCAAGGCGTCTTTAGAAACATCCTAGACATCTTCAACTTCGGTGGTATCTTCAAAAACGACTATTTAATCCCCATTGTGGAGTTATTCGCTAAATCCGTACCATGGTCTTTCTCCGAAGGCCTCACGGGCTCTGGGGCTCCGTGGCTTTTCGACCGCTCCAAACCCGTTACCATGGCTGGTATCCAATCTGCCACAAAACAGCTACATGGCGCCAATAATGGCAAGGGTCGAGGAATTTATACCAAAGATACCATTGGCGATGATCCACACTGGTTCACTGATGAAAAGTTCGCGCAACAGCATTTCAGCGGTACTAACCCTACCACCATCCGTGCCGCATCGAATAACTGGGTCGGCAGCTTTGTCAGAACTGCGAAAGCACAGCGTCTCAATGGATTTGAAAAGCAAGTCATGGCTGTGAGGAAAAACTTGTTTGTGCAGGACTATAGTTACTTCAGAGCTTCGATGGGTCAAAAGGGCTCGTATGATTTATCATACACTAGTACCCTCCAAGACCGATTCACCGATCTTCACGGCCTTTTCTTTCACGAGAGACATGCTTGTGCTTCTGTCGTTCTATTCGAACTACACGATGACGGGCATTTACACCCTCTTGCGATTGTCTTAGATTACAAAGAAGACGATATCAAACTCCAAGGTCACAGATACGAGAAAACCTCTAGTGCTGCGATGCAAAACTCGGTTGTTATATTTAACAAGAAGACGTCGCCATCCCAGCGTCATGACGAAGAACATGACTGGCCATGGCGATATGCAAAGATGTGTGCTCAAGTCAGCGATTGGCATCGTCACGAAATTGCTATTCATTTGGTCAACACCCATTTGGTCGAAGAAGCCGCTATCGTCGCAATGATGAGAACCGTTGAAGAGAAACACGTTGTTTACAGATTACTCAAGCCTCACTGGGTGAAAACACTTCCATTGAACCATGCGGCAAGATTGATCTTGATGCCGGCCATCATCAAACCTATCGCTGGTTTCCGCCCTAGCGATGTGAACAAATTCACCATGGATGCTTACAAGAATTTCTACTGGGAGGATCTATACATTCCCAACGACCTGAAACTCCGTGGCTTCCCGAACAAGGAATCTGAACTCAATGCGAACAAATACCGCAACTACTCTTACGCAAAAAATATGGTAGTAATGTGGGATATCATCCACACCTTCGTCGGAAAGGTCTTGAACGACCATTATAAGAATGACGATGCGGTCCGCAATGATACCGAAATCCAAGCCTGGGTTCAAGAAATGCAAAGCGATCACGGTGCCCAACAGAAGCATTTCCCAGACATCAAAACCCGAGAGTCGTTAATCAACGTGGTAACAATGTGCATCCACATTGCATCTCCACAACATACTGCCGTCAACTACATGCAAGAATACTACCAAACCTTTGTTCCCAATAAACCCCCATCGTTCTTCAAACCTATTCCAAAAAGTAACGATGAATTGAAAGACGTCAAGGAAGATTTCATTATCTCTTCTCTCCCATTCGTTCCGCCGAGTTTCAATCTTCTTAAACCCTTGAAGAATACAGTTGGAGTCGGAAATGTTTGGTTACTCGCTGCGCATTTACCTCATCTGTTGAGCGAGGAGGTCCATGCTCCGTTGGATATGAGTTCTTACTCTGATCAAGCCGTGGACATTGAGAGGAGATCGGGAACTCCAGATTCGATTAAGGCAGCCGAAGAGTTTAGGACCAGGATTAAGGGGTTGACGAAGGTATTTGATGCACACTCTGGTAAGATGACGGTGAAGGTTACGCCGTCTGGATACAGTGTCATGAATCCCGAGAAGATGGCAGTGTCGATTTTGATTTAGAGGCTGTTTTCAATATTTGATTTTTTGGTTGGTTGTATACTCTGGGTTCTAGAGTGTAGAAGAATGTATAGTTAAATTCTCTCACTTCCCAATTCTCGATAGATAAATTCATCGCATTCCTTATTTCTCAATAACATGATATCACCTCAAATTCATAGTGGCTACGAAAAGATATTATCTATGGCATCATGATAGAAGGTAAAAGTAACATCGTAATTCGCGAAAAGCAATAAATATGCATACAGAATGCTATAATAAGACGAGAGGGTATAAGATGTCAACTAAGCACTTTTGGCATGTATCTTTATATACTAGACTGCTTTTCTAGAAACTCCTTCTTCTCATCCTCCGGAATAGCTTCCTCAATCGCCTGCTTCAACCTTCCACCCATAGTAAAATGTGTATCGTCAAACTCCGTCAACGTCGCATTCGGCAACCGTTCCGCCATCCACCTGATCATTTCTATCGGCGCATTAATATCCCTCTTCCCATGATAAATCTTCACGGGAAACTTCACATCCTCAAATTCAAACCCCCAATTCAAGTCCGTCAACAATTTAATCTCATGAATCGGTCCTTGCGAGCCTTGTCGCCAAGGTTCCGTCCACAGAAGACCGAGCAATCTTTCCCGTCGTTGATCAGTCGTAAGCTCTTCTTCGCGAAGATACCCCAATTCATCTTCCGGCAATGGCGTTTCCCTTTCCATTTTCTTTTTCCTTTCATCTTCCAAGAATTTATTTATCCTCTTAGTAACCGACTGCGTCCCAATCAACCAGTTGACAATCCCCGCCAGCGCATTCGTCAATACCGTAAACGTCCCCGGTGAAACTCTAGCAAGCCATTCCGACCATCGCGCCCACCATTGCATATATTGCCTGCCTGCCGCCCAAGGTGGTCCACCGGCAAATACACAAACACCAGCCATAACTTCCTTCGGCAAAAACCTCGCACAGGCAACAGCATAAGGACCACCGCCACTGGCCCCTATGATTGAAAACCGTTCGATCCCTTTCCCCTTAGCAAAAGCTAAAACATCAGATGGGTAATCTATTATTTTTCTTCCAGGTTGGAAAGTCGAAATTCCGAACCCTGGACGTTCGAGAGCGTAGAGTTTTATTTTGAGGTTATGGGCCAGGCGGTCTACTGGATAGGCTTCTATTCTCGAGGAAGGGAAGCCGTGGAAAATGAAAAGGGGAAATCCATTCGGATGACCGTATTCAGCAAACCCGAGGGTTCTGCCATCCGGTAAATTGAATTTTTGAGATTCTGAAGGATGGTAGGTTGGATATGGTTGTGGAGTTGCAGTTGAAGTGGTAGAAAGGGCACGGGAGATCGGTCGGAGGCGCGTGGCAGCCATGATTTCCCAATGCAAAGACCGTGCAAGTATGTAATTGTAATAAAGATTAGATTACGTAATAGAAAAGTAGTCTGGTAAATTGAGGCTCTATCGTCTGAAGTTAAGAGGCTCTTAGTCAAATTCCTTATTCTTTAGGGCCGTTTATATATCTTGAACTTTCGCAGGCCGCGGTGTCCGTTCATACAATGCCCAGTTCCGACGGGAAAACGGGATTCTAGTTTTTTTGTTTTGGGTGGATGGTTACACGAAGCGAGGCCTAATTCGGACGACATGCGACGGTGGAAAGGTTCGGTGTGACTCCACTTGAGCTTAGTTTGACTGCGACCGTGATATTTGCGGTTCTGATTACGTGGGATGACGGCTATGTAAGTTCGTATTACTTTATGCTAGAGCTTTAAGGGAAGTTGAGGATTTGATATAGTTTAGGTAGTCAATATACGTGACGTGTTCTAATGTTTCCTTGTAGTTACTGCTTAGGCTTCTAACCCGGAATATTATCGTGTTCTGAGCTGTTGGTTTTACCACAAGGTATTTGCGTTGGCATTGGCACTGTTTCCGGCTTCTAACTAGAACTATGCATTATCTTGATCACAGTTTCCATATAACCTGAAAATATCTCTCTGGAATCATGATATCAAAATTTGAAAATCATGGCACTAGGTTTCTACAATGGACTATCTCTTTCCAGTACAATCCAGTCTTTTCCGTAGGTTAAATATACTACAGCTGCAAAATTAAGGACAACTTCCATTATATTCACAAAACTCTCTTCGTCTTACCATTCTTTTTTCTTAATGTTGTTTCGCCCTTCGTCTCATCGCCAAAGAAATGCACCTATATAATATCAATATATACATATGCATATATCCTATATTGAAGTCTCGTTATTCGCTTCTATGCAAAATTTGAAAGTTTTACCTTTCAATATCTATCGTTCCAAGCAGGCCCGAGCCCTTTATGCAATAAGTACCAAGTCCTCAATACCTGTAATTTAGGGCCATATTCGTCTCTCTGAATTATAGAGTACACGGCTATATATATGATAAGCTCGAGCTATAGATATGGAAAACGCGTTAGATAAATATGATGGTAAGGAGACCATGCGATACCGATACCTACGAGGAGGCACTTCCTCTCTGCCAAGCCATCCTACGCGTACACTAAATAGTGGAAATAAGAACATATCCCTACAAATTTAGAGATAGAGGTCATGTGCTGTGGCTATTCAAATGGTATATTATGACTATGATGGTGTGAATATTAATATCTTGTGACGTCCAAACTCAAAAAAAGGAATCAGGCTATATACTGCATTTAAGAAGGGAAAGGGTACCTACTGAAATAAGTATCATCGGAGTATTATTTAATTAAACGAGAAGTGGGGCTATTGTCATTCACAAGATTTGAGACCACTGCCAATCGGACTATGCCGTATGCCACTAGAGCGGGGTTTCTGGGATGCTGTCTTATGACCAATATATGCTCTATGGTACCACTCCGATGACGACCATACTCTCAACATTGAAATTGTAGCGAAAAGTTCAGTTGGCATATATATCGGTTCTACGAACATTCGCGGAATAGTCATTGGCGTTATTATCGCTCCTATACTACGCATTTGTTTGGGTTCCTCTTAATTACAATCTCCCCAAAATTCACCCTTATGTCACACTAAATAGTGATAAATTAAATACTGCAAATAAGACATTCTGAGACCTTATGATCTCTCTACATGGACATTCAATATACTTCTACGGTATGAATTTCATCAATACGGATATATACAATACGAAGTCCGACCATGGACCCCGAGCTGTTAGTCTATAATTCCACAGAAACGCAATGTAGGGGAAACTGGCCGTGGTCAATTTCAGATAGACATTTCATATGTCTAAGAAAACTCCACAAGACATAAAGTTTAACGGTAGGCGGACTATTATATTGGAATGAAGTCAAATTCCCACAGCGAAGCAATGCGAAGAGCCACTCCATCGATGCATCGGCTGAAATTAGTTCATGAGCCCTGCTTATTGAATTATATATATACTTTAGGTTAAAGCTTCATAGATTTTGGGTTCTGAACATTTATAATTACACGACTCCCCAGCAGCATGCATGAAGTACGAAATAAGTATTTAAATTGCTTCTTTAAATCTGGCTAGATAATTCTCTAAAATACAGAAATACAATGTGGTTTTGAAGTTTTTTTCCATGCCTAGAAGCGGGTCGCGAATTCATCATCCTTTTCAACAGTCTGTCCAAAAGATGCTCTTTCCGTAGTTGCCTTTTCCATCTCTCTCTACTTATTCCCATTGATCTCTTCATTACTAGAGGGTACTACGCTACCCGGAACCTTTTTAATGGGTAGTATATTGCTGCGACTTGTAGCGCTCGATCTATAAAAAATGACGAAATTAGTTTTCATACAGTTGAACAGATATCGAGATCTAATTCCAGGTCAACCCGAAAAAGATATTAGTGAGACTTACCTTCTGTCTACTAATAGTCTGGGAAAAGCTTGCGGGTAAACCGGTGGTGCATGCGTAGTTTCTGATTTAAGCTCTGGTACCTCAGGATAGAAAGGCCTTGGGATAAATTCGGACGCTTCAGGGTTTGGAATATTTGGCCCTATCGACGTTGGAGCAACTTCCGGTGATATGGATCTGTTTTCCTCTGATTCGAAACTCAAGGATGATACGTATTCGTGAGAAGGATATGATATGGAGCTATTGAATCCATATGAATCCCTGCGATCCAGATGATATTGAGCAAAGCCACGGCCTATTAACTATAGGAAGCTCCGGGTTGGAAAGTATGAATGATTCTGGCGGCAGTCTAGTTTATAAAGTAGGCTAGATTTGCAGTGGGGAGTGATGAAAAGAATGAAAAGAATCTTGGAACTAGATATAAACCTGGGGTTCGGACAAGATTAACAGATGGTGCTATTATAGCGAATTATAATTACGGTAAATTTACAATCGGACAATTCAATCAGCAGATCTTGTTCTCTGCTACCACGCGCCGGGGAGCCTTGTATTTATATATGGATAGCTAATTAATGTAAACAGAACCTGATGATATCAGTCGATCACTAATTAATCAGTTAGTATTTGAGGAACTTGGATTTGCCAATGTAGTGCTCGAAATAAAATGCAAGTATTTTAATTTAGTATCTAGAAGATTATAACGTTTCTTAACGTTACGCATATATGACCATATGCGCAGCAGTAATCGTGAGAGAAATATAAATAGATAGCTAAATGTTAGGTACCCAGGCAAGTACATCAATAGTAGTTGGTTCGTGCAAGAATTCGAATATACTACATTGTATATGTACTTATGTATGTATGTACAGGTGCGTGCCGGGTGAGAACTGTTATTAATTATAAACTAGCTTTAAACGGACCATAAACCAGGTATCCAGGTAGACATGTACATAACTGGAAGTAATTCGGAGAATAATATACAAGAGAATATGATTTGGTTGAATTGTAGTGGTGTTCTCCTCCTCCTCATCATCAATCCTTACTTGGAATCAACATATAATATTTAATACCGATTCGGCTTTGTGATCAACCTACGTCCCTAAAGCGCCCAAGGTCTACCTAAACTGAACATTTTACCAATACTATCTTAGCGAGTTTTTGCATGTTCGACTAAGGGGTCCCAAGAAGATAGAAACGGAGAATTATGGCCCGTAAGGACGCCACGAATGCATCCTGTTGTAATAGAGGCGGGAGTTTTTACCCTGATGCGGACGATGGAAATCATCGATATTTTGGAGTCAGTGACCGGAATAAGCTCGACAGAATCGACGATAGCTATTACACTGGGCCGTAAGTTGCACTGATTGCGGAACGACCCTCCCAAATACTGACATCCTAGTCTAACAATAAAACAGATTCACAGCACATTTGGCTACTGGAACGGATTTCCAATTCGGGATAGTGAGACGGCTCCCCCTACCTTTGGTCGACCATTCATTTTATTTGAAAACTCTCTACGGTGCGAATGGTATATCATGGCCTGTCACAATATCACTCTCATTCCCGACTGTCACCGAGAACAAAGCATCTTGCATATTGCCAGCGCACAAGCGCTACTCCGGGGACGGGTTGTACGGAAAGATGGAGTCGTTTCCCCATACCGACGGACCGAGGACGACAACGATGAGATACTATGGTCTGGCATCGCTCCTATTTGTCCTATACGGTGTCCCTGTCCACCTTCGTTGCCTTCTCGTAGCAGACATGGAAAATCTCAACCTCGACGATAAAATGAATACATGTCCAGTCCTACTTGATTCGAGACTGTTCGACGGAACCAACCTGCCATTTAGACTTGAATACCCTAACCCAGGGCTTTCCATAAGGCGAGATCAAGGCTCGTCAAATTCCAAATACTTAGGAGGAGAAAGCGATTTCGAGTTGTCGATATACCTTACCGCCACACCCGTCTTCTCCGAATACAAAACCCGGGATAGTAAATGGAAGAGACGGGAAGCCACATGCTCCGTTGGGGTGTCCTTCGACCTTCAGCCTGCGTTTAACCAAGTATTCGCCTTTAACGCGCTAGCCGGTTGTGATCAGATTCAGAGAGCGCTGATGCTCGGAAAGATTGCATTAATGGAACTTCGACGATTCAACGATCTTTGTGGAGTCATCTTTGACCATTCGAAAATCGCAATTCGGGGCAACTTTCAATATTTCCACCTCCTTAACAAAGTCATGAAGCGAAAAAAAAGCCTTAAAATTGGGAATATTGAATACTGGGATGATATCTATGATGAACTGGCTCTGCACCTAGACGGTCAGTCTATGAAATTCATGGGGATTGATCTTGAGGATTTAGTACAATACCGAGAGTGGATATCACTACTGGACCAAATTGACGGCAGTGCACATGTTGTCAATCTTGGGAGTAGTCCTCTAGGCACAGCAATACCGATATTCTGTACAAAGCCATCATTGCTTCATGTATACTCATCGGAAGATGAAGCTTCAGCTCGCGTCATGTTCAGAACATTTCTGATCGAGAACTGCTCTTCTCAAAATCTCGAACGGACGGAGTACGAAGTTAGAGAAGCAAGATTGCCTTGTCAACATTTTCTGCCCCCGGGTTTTGCTTTGAGCTAATACAATGGTTACGACGTTATTCCTTCGGGTGGTAGTGTTTGAAGACTGGAAATACTTTGTCTTTGGAGTTAGATTTGATTCTGTCGAGGGGGTATGACCAAAATAATCTGCAGACCGTTAGATAAATTCTACTTCCAGCCAAATAGGCTGTCCATTACATGAAGTAATTTGAAGATGATTAAAATACTAGGGCCATGTGGGATCTGTTGTGAGTAAGAGTGTGTTTCCACACATTCCGGAGCTGCACGTGCACACCTCTCATCTTATATAACCAATCCATCATATCTCTTTTCATCTCTCACTCAGCATCCATCTACTTCTCCTCTTCACCTCCCCAATCTCCATCTACTTCACTTTCCCATCACACTAATCCACCCTGAATACCCCTCCCACCGGTGTTCTTCACCAACCTGAGATTTCTCGTATCAACCGACTTTTTTCTAGTCCTTCATAGTTCCGTGCGCCTTGCTAGGTAAAAATAAATAGCAAAATGGCTTCACCACGTGGTCTTTTCATCAACGAACATGAGCTCGACCGCATGGATGTAACCGTCGTTTCGGTTCCGTAAGTAGAACCTTCAACGAACGTCTTTTTATTTGAATAGATCTATCTCGAAGGTCCTAGAACCTTCCAGCAGCTCTAACACTTGCGCGGTTTTCAGATTCACGGGATACCTCCCTACCGGTAACCCAATCAACTTTCGTTGCGTTAAGCAACTCCCAATGCCCATGTTAGATATCGGCTTTTTCAAAAAAAATCTCCTGGGCAAGAAAAGTGTCTCATGGACCGCAAACTGGACCCTTTCCTTCCCTGGCTGGCGATCCGAGACCGGAACCTGCATCTTCCCAATGGTAAAAGACAGATCCTACCACAAGGATGATGGTGAAGCTTTCCTCTTCCCATCTAGACTTGGGCAAGATATCAGAATCCATGCCTTTGGAATCGTCGTCCTCCCTATTGTTGTCTATGGGGTTCCGCTCTCCCTCCAATGCCTCTTGGTTGACAAGATGTATTTGATTCCTCTTCCCCGAAACGTTCACGACGTCCCATTGCTTTTGGATAATCGCCTCTTTGATGGAAGGAAGCTTCCCTTGGGGCTTACGATCTTCAAGCCTGCGTTCGTTATGAAACCCGGAACAACTGACATGTGCATGTATCACCACACTTCTTCTGAGATTCTTAACTCTGCCATCTGCATCAGCATTTCATCGGCGTGCCTTGAATACGGCAAGCATTTCGACGATGAAACAGGTGAAGAGCCGAACCTGGAAGAAGACTATCTCTTTCTCTATCATAACGGTGAGCGTCGTAGATACGACTATTTCGGCGAGCCAATCAAGCCAAAACTATATGAAGAGCTCATCGGTCAAAACCACTGTGGTGCAGGTATCTTCTTCGCCACAGATTCCCAGTTCAATGTCTCTAAACGTCTCGACGATGAAATCAACACACCAGAGCGTGCTGAACTACAAACTGCCATCGAGGCGATGAAGTCTCTTGCTAACTTGATTAAATACACCGGCTACACCTACCGTGGTGCTGTGGTTATTACTAACTCGAAGTATGTCTGCCAGGCTACGGAGGACCCAAAGACCGTTTTCGGATGGGCAATGAAAGGATGGAAGACAGAATATGGTGAGGATATCCCCAATGCTGACCTCTGGGATGAGTTTATCAAGAACTTGGACCAAAAACATACTATTACCTGGAAGTTCTGCGAAATGGATCGAAGCGCGCCAGCCGTCGGCTTGGCTCGCAAAGCTGCTATGGATAATATTTTCCTAAACGAAGGTTCGGACCACGACCGTCGTGAGAGGGAACGGTCGCTTCCCAGGAAATTCATTGAGGTCGAGGATCAACGTGCCGGTCCGCTCTATGATTCTTTTGTCAATAATGAAGCCGAGAAGACCACGAAGAGGTTTGACAAGGTTATTTTCGACGGTGATGTCGAATACAGAGACCTCCCGAAAGGGTTCTACAGCATGGTTGACTGCACGCATTGTAGACAGTTCCATGAACATTCTACTGCGCACTGTCAGAATCTTGCGCATTCTTCTCAGCAGATGAACAGGAATGGAATTTAATGCTCTCTAATATTTGGCCCATCTGATCTCACCAGGGATTCTGGGATACAACTCTCGTTATCAACAAGGGATATTTGGTGCACCTTTTTTTGAGAGTAGTTCCGTCTTGTTATTATCTTGTTTCCTTTTGCTTACGGTACTAACGGTCTACTCATAATTCCCCCTTTCCTTTTAAGGGGTTTTCATTTCTGGTGTTTCATTATGGGTTTTTCTTTATTTCTGTATCCTTCTTTTCCATGATCGAAGGTTTCGAAGCCGAATTCTTGTGGTCTTCATTCTCTTTTCTACCTCTACACTCATACACTTCCACACCCCCACACTGCTATAACCCTACACCACTACACACCTGCACTATTACACTCCTACACCTTTACGCCTCCCTCTAGCTACTCCGTACACCTTGCACCTATACTTCCTTGCATCCCTAGCACCCTCGCTCCTCATGTCTCTCACACAGAAAAAAGCACACCTGAATCCATCCTTCGGGAAGGAACTATTCGTCATGTCCGACTATCAGGGCCTCACATCTTCGCTAGAAGAATACTACCCTCTCTCCAACTATAGAGGGTAGTATTCACACAGGTTGAAGAGAACAGTCGCCTGGACGCCCAAGGTTCTATCCCGTCATAATCATCAGCCTCGGGTTACAATCTACTAATTAGTCGTGTTTTCCCCACGACTACGCTACAATGGCTACTGGAATTCCAAAGCTACATCACATCCTGTACTTAAGGCTCCTGGAATCAAAAAAAAAATGATGCATAACTAATGTGCATTTATCGTCTCTAAACATCCATATTGTAGCATCTACCAGCTACACTTATAAAAGAAACAGAGAGACAGAAACTAATGATAATAGTAATAATAATAATGTAAAGAATACTGCTACTGATTCAAACTTGTAGTAGCGACCTTTATAATATCTTGCTGTTCTAGAGCGGGCGGCTTTATATTTTCAGGCTGATTAGATTTACTTCCCAGGAGCCTGAAGCTCTCCGGTAGCATCGGCTTCCTGTGGCTTGATACCCACAACCTCGGATGCGAACTTCTTGTCCTGTCCATCGTCCTTCATGAATGCTATATATTCCGTTAGCTTTTGATCAATCACTTAATAGAAAACAAAGAATGAAGAGAGCAACTTACGGAAAGCCAAGACCTCCTTGATACTGTAATGATCGGTCAAAAACATAACCATACGATCAATACCCATACCCCATCCACCAGTAGGTGGCAAACCATACTCCAAACTTGTGCAGAAGTTCTCATCGATCAACTGTGCCTCATCATCACCCTGTGCCTTCTGACTAGCCTGCTCTTCGAACCTCAATCTCTGATCGAAAGGATCGTTCAACTCGGTATAAGCGTTAACGATCTCCTTCTTACAAACGAAAGCCTCAAATCTTTCACAAAGACCTGGTCTCGATCTGTGATACTTGGCGAGAGGTGACATCATCTGTGGGTGTCCTGTGATGAAAGTGGGGTTGATGCAGGTTTCTTCAATGAATTCTCCGACGAGCTTGTCCAACATTCTGGCATTGGTGAGAGGTGGGGTACATTCGATCTTGAGTTCCTTGAGCAAGTTCCTAAGGAACTCGTTGGTTTCCATGGTATGTAGTTGATCGCCAGGGGGGAACTTCTTGCCGGTAGCCGTTTCGAGTTCGGTCATCATATCGACTCTTCGCCACGGCTTCTCCCAGTTGACTTCATAGACCTCTCCGGATTGGGTATGGAACTTGGTTTGGTGTCCACCAGTGACGTACTTGACGAGTCCAGAAACAAGTTCTTCGGTCATATCCATAACATCGTTGACATCGGCGTATGCCATATAGAACTCACATGTTGTGAATTCAGGGTTGTGTGTTAGATCGATACCTTCGTTTCTGAATTGTCTTCCGATTTCGTATACTCTTTCCAAACCACCGACTACCAACATCTTGAGGTATAATTCTGGAGCAACACGCATGAATAGGTTCATATCTAGTTCGTTGTGATGGGTGATGAAGGGCTTTGCGGTGGCACCACCGGCAATGGCGTTCATCATTGGGGTTTCGACTTCGACGAACTCACGCTCGTCGAAGTACCTGCGGATGTAGCTGACCATCTTGGATCGGGTGACGAAGGTTTCACGAGTACGTTGGTTCATGATCAAGTCGAGATATCTTTGACGGTAACGAGTTTCTTGGTCCTTAAGGCCGAAGTGTTCGGTTGGAAGCATGTGTAGAGATGGCGATAGGAGGGTGATCTCTCGGACGAAGATTGAAAGTTCACCGGCAGCACCTTCCTTGGCACCCTTGGGGTTTGTGTATCCTGGGAAACCGACGATACCGACAATATCACCACGACGAAGGTATTCATGTTGAGCAGCGAATTCGGCACCCTGGGCGTGTGCGGCAGATGCAACAGCTTGGATTCTATGACCGTTTGAACGGATTTCATAGAATCGAAGCTTGTCACCAAAGGAACGGTAGGCGTAGACACGACCTGCTACGGCGACTGAGACTTCTGGTCTTTCTTCACCAGGCTTGAGGTCGTTGTTCTTGGAGAGGAAGTCTGGAATTGTGTCCTTGACGTGGAACTTGTGTGGATATGGGTTCGGGTTCTTGGTTGTTCGAAGGTTATTGATTGTCCGGGATCGGAGCTCGAAGTATTGCTGTAGTTTTTTTAAGGTAAAGTTAGAGATGCGTGCAGGTAGAGGGAGAAAGATGGTACCGGGGAGGAATATATACGTTTGGTGTTAATTCGGCCTCTTCAGCACTCTTGTCTACTAAGCCTGCCTTCTTCTTGGATGGTTCAGCGGCACCGCTAGCCTTCTTTTCTTGATCCTATAATGGACAATATACGGTGAGTACATGCACTGTTGAAACTAAAAACTAGTTCTTTCAATTGGATGAAAGGACTGTGATTGTAATATACCTTCTTACGCTTAGCTTCCTCCTTCTCTCTTTGCTTAAGTCTCTTCTTAAGCTCAGACTTGGAAACCATTTCGCCGGTAGCTTCGTCGAGGTGGAGGTTGGCGACACCTTCCGTTGGTGGGGCGGATGGCCCCGCAGCTGCTGCGGCACTTGAATCTGCCATGGTATTTGTTCCTTCTCGGTCAATTGGTATTAATACAATGATTCGATAACTGTTTAAAGCTATAGGAAGTTAGTATGCTAGAAGCAGATGAAATAAAAGAAGCTGTAGATTGTGGGGACGAAGACCTTCTTTTATATGAGAATGGGTAGGTGTGAGTCAAAGGAATGGAATCGATGGGATGGTTGGACTTGATAAAAAAATTTGGCGGGGCAGATCGTGGTGGGGTTTTGTCTCGATTGGGAACTTTGTTCGCACGTCGGCGGCGATTGGAATGTGTTGTCGTCGATGTGACTAACTTTAGCCCAATTCGATTAATTCAACTTAGAACTTTCTATATTTCAGAGTATATATAGAATCGAGAGAAAGTAGGACAGTCATTCCATAGAATCGATTATACAAAGATAGAAGCTAGTCTGATTTTATATTAAAGATAGAAGTATAGAAACTTCCAATCTTGACACTGTGGTGCTAGTAACGTTCGACTGGACCTGCTCTTTCTTTCTCTTGCTCGGCTCGGTAAATTATAAATATACTTTTTAGCGATATCGGCCAGCTGTCTGTCTAAAACAATCTGTATCCGTTGGGGGTGTTTTAATTACACATTGGCCATGGAGGAGACACAGAAGTAAAATATTAAATATAATTTTGATTAAAGCTATTATTAGGATGATGCATCTACAAGTTCTTTTTTTCTTCGTTGGCAGTTGCCGAAAAATATAAATATTCTGGCTCAATATTATTGGCTGACGTACTAAGAAGAAATGCATGGTTAATATTTTGTTACTGATAAATTTAAGAAATTCTATTTGAAACTTCGAATTCTCGGAGGCTTAGGATACCATTATGCGTTTACCGTATCAACATGCCTATCTACTATAAATAGCGTATATAACTGAATGAAATGATGCAGATGTTATAAACATTAAACAATTGACATCCTATATCCATGAATTCATGAACCTATTGCACTTTTCTATGGTTATGGTTATGTTATTATACTACAGCTAGCCGTAGTCTAGTTGCAAATGGACTATAGCTAGACTATTATAAATCGGAAGTATCGAAATTATTAATTTATTCAGTTAAACTCTTCCCCATTGAAGACTATCTATAGAAAACATTCTTAGATGCTCTTGTCAGGTATCGTGAAGATCTGGGGGGGGATTAGGCAACGTATCGAAACCTAGTTCTAAAATTACAAAACAAGATCAGTACCATCTGGGAATTTATTCTAACCATGAAGAGGCTGATGCGCGTATACGACAATACCACAGTATAAAGTATTTGTTTGATTGATATGGGAGGGGAAGAGGGAGAAGGGGGTTATCCCACATTCGCCGAGGATTTTGGCCTTAGTTATGGTATATATATCTGCGATAATGACATGCTCTCGCTGAACAAAACCCCTGCCATTTAAAAATCAATGTCGCCTTCATTATATTTCCAAATATGATTTTTACCCAATAGATCCTGTCATCCCTTTATTGTAAAAGTGTAAATATATAAGGTGTGCAGCATCCATTTTGAGTGGCTGCGTAGAGAACAAGGTATCTGTAGTATGGTTGTACCTCCAGGACTCCATGACCTTAAGCTATTTTGCGGGGAAATTCATTACTTATACAGACTAATATACAGTATTGTCTGAAGATTCCCTAGACGTGGAGCCGGTTGTCATAGGTTCAACTATACCGTAGCAAATATCTTCCAAATTTCCACATATATCAGATATAGTTACTCCCTCGTCCATATTATTACAGTCGAGACAAGGACTCTTTCTCCGGGGCCCATCCATTCCGTATTCAATATGACCGCAGTCTGGTATGCATCCGCAGCTAGCTCGAATTCGAAACTTAGTATATTCGACAAGAAGGCGAGGCCCAGGCCATAACATTGGCTGCGGCTCTCCCTGAAGGTGTCCAAGGGAAGTTGATAGGCCTTACCACGTTTGAAATACTAGCTAGGCAGTCAATGATTGCAAGGTTCCTAGAATGCTCTATTTTGCGTGTCCAATTTCTGTACCCAAGGGAGCCTCCAAATCCATGTTTTCTGATGATGATAGGAAATTATCCGGCTAGTAAATCGCATGTGTATCACGATACATCCCTGGATGGCACCGTAAGCCATCGAACGAGCACTCCTATACTTTAATTATCTATTAAAATCGGCGGAATCTTTTAATGGACCTTAGACATCGGGTCTAAGATGTCGACGTTCGCATGTTGATTAATTGCCTTCCATATATACCTTATGCCGGTCTCGTTCCCAGACGTCACAAAGGGCAGCATGCCCTATATAGCTATAATTAGGTAGCTTTGGTATAAATTGTCGCTGTCGATACATAGTTTGTGTTCATCATAGGTGAAGTCAATATGCTAACTAGTTGCGACACCATGTCGTATCCTCCATGAGGTACGTCGATGCGTAGTGAGCATGAGGGTGAATAATTATACAGATTTCATATAGATATTGTTATTCATGGCCCTGGAAAACAAGAGCATGAATAATTAACATACCCAGGACAAAATATTGCAATAGGGGTTCGAGGCTAGGGTTAACGTCAGATCTCTTGCATTATTACATATTGCAGCTTGGATTAGATTGTGTGGCTCTGGGCCGCACATAATGTGCCCTATTCTCTTGATGCATTCATGGGCAAAATATTCTTCAATTGCAAAGTTGGGTTTCTTATATAGGTTTAAGTACCTAGGTAGATACTGCGTGCCATTGCGAGCAGCTTGACCCGATAGTCATCGTTGGTATGTTACACTGGATTTTTACATGTAATTAGGAATAGTCTCTCTCAAAGAGCACCACTATTATTCGTCCAGGAGCTATGCGAAGCCTATACGAGGGTAATGACCCCAATACCGTAAGCTTATATATTCTTATATGTTTTTTCGAGAACAAGCATGTTCTAGCCGTGGTCGTGTCTTTAAAACACGACGAATACGTATGCGGACCCGCAGATATATAGTATTAAGCATACTTCCTGTCGAGCAGCTTTTCTGTGATATCATCATGCGGAGCTCTGAGTTAAAAGAGCTCGTCCGAAGGTTACGTCGACCATAGCAACTCCTGTTGTTGTCGATAAACATAAGTTTTGAGGATCCCACATTCTGTGGCAACGTTTTAGAGCCACTTGGATATTTTGTGAATCCAGGTTGGGTCATAAAACCTATGTCTCTGAATTAAACGTTAAATCCTTCATGATATTTCCGCAGATTTGTATGTTCTCGGGGTCTCTAGTGGTAATAAAGCATAAAAGCAAGGCCTATCGCTAGAGCTACTGCTAATCGTAATCCTAGTATGGGTGTAGAGGTTGCTTTGAAAGTTCCGCATCTCTTGGTTTCTAAGGTGACATAGTGTGCTGTAAACATCTTTTGTTCGTGGATGTGAGGAAATGTGTCGATACTAGCTTCCCATCGAAAGCTTCCAGACTCCGGAATTAATATTATCTAGACTGGAAAGTCAGGCATCAGGTATCGATTCCGGTGTTGTACTTCTTTACAAGAAGTTTGTCCAGGAGGTAACTAATAAACGGGGTGGTTTGCTTGAGGTGAGATCGCAAAAACGGAACCATATTTCTAGTTCATTAAATTTCAGGTTGATATAATAATCCAGCAGTGTGTATTTAATTTCATGGAAGAGGTATGCCGGTAGTTTGTCGGTCAGTTAACCTATAGGTATGGGGCAACCTGGTCATAGAGTAGAAGTTTATGTGACATCTTTGTCATCAATATGATAAATAGCTTGAAGAGCTCCCCGCTTTAGCTTTGCGAGAGACGGATATAGATGTAGAGCCAGAAGATATTAGATATACGTCGTGTTTTGGGTATTTGTATTAATAACCTTCTTTGTGTCGAATAAGACAATACTGAAGTTGGAGTTGAGGATATACTATGGTTTACAACAACTTCGAAATCTGCAGAAATATATTTACATATGTCTTTGCATGGAACTACTAGTATAAATCCACACATATCAAAGAAAAACGGTTCCATTGTCTTGTGTCCATCTCTGGAAGGTTCTTTCAAAAGAAACCTGAGAGCTGGAGAACCCCTAAACTTGTTCCAGAACCTGATCGATTGAGAGCCTGGTGATGAGATACAACTTGTGTTGGGGTACAGAATGCAACAGCTGTGTCTTGGCGCGGCCCATTCTGGAATTTGCCTTCAGAATTTTATGATCGAAATTTCCATCCTCGGCGCAACAATTCTTCCTCCGTCTTCTATCCAGCTCCCCTCCCACCGTTCCTTCCCCTCCATCTGCGTAACATCAACCGACAACAGACGATACCCACAAAGCCGCACTCAGCTTTATCAAAACCTATCTTCTACGTCCTTCGCAATGGATCACACAAGAGACCCGTGCCCTTGGGTTATCTTCAATGATTTTGGTGGTGCTTTCTCCATGGGTGTATGCTTGGACCTCTCCTCCAAAGTTTTCGGTATCGAGAGCCATGACTAACGTAAATCGGCGGTATTTAGGCTATTGGAGGCGCAGTATGGCACGGTGTAAAAGGTTTCCGTAACTCGCCGATGGTATGTTCGACTTTCGAAAGAAACTCCGTTGGGCACAATATTGTGATGCTAACACACCCCACCTTGGACTTCAGGGCGAACGACGAATCGGTGCCATAACAGCAATCAAGGCTCGTGCCCCGGTATTAGGCGGAAACTTCGGTGTCTGGGGTGGTCTTTTCGGTACATTCGATTGCGCCGTCAAGGGAATCCGCAAGAAGGAAGATCCGTACAATGCCATTATTGCTGGCTTTTTCACCGGTGGTGCTTTAGCTATTCGTGGAGGTTACAAGAGTGCTAGAAATTCGGCTATTGGTTGTGCTATTCTACTGGCCGTTATTGAAGGTGTCGGTATTGGACTTGGTATGTTTCTCCTGCAAGATTATCATCTAGGAAAAAAATTGAGTGGGTGAGGGCTAACAGTGATTTTCTATAGGACGACTTTTGACCCCACCACCACTACCACAACAAATGGAACAACAAGGATCGCTGGCTTAATCTATGGATTCACGGAATTACAAAGGCCTGTCGGCGAGATAGATAGGACGCTACGATGCATTTACATAATGAACTTCCCCGGATTACTCTCCCCGCTACCATACCTCAACCTAAACGTCATTCCTCTCATTTCTTTCTCCTACCTTCTTCCTCGACCTCACGCTTCAGTTTCAAAGATTACAACTGAACAAAAATACTACACTACCTTGTACAAAAGTTCCTGGCCTCAATTTCTTTTTCGAATTATAGGGGTTATTTTATTGGTTTGGCGTTAATGAACAGAATCACACAGCATGGCACGATATGATTCTCGGGGATAAGCTCGCTGGGGTGTATGTCTTTTACTGGCTGCTTTGGGCAAAACATATTATTATTTTTCTCTCTTTTTCTTTTCGGCTTCCAGCTTTCGTAATGATTCAAAGGCATGTGCTGGTTGCAGATAAAACGACGTCTCTACTCTTATCCTGGCCCTCTTCCTCGGATTTTTTCATTCCGGAAAGGAGGACTTTTCTTAGATCTTTTCTGGTATATAGGATTCCAATAGACTTTTGATATTTTCCTCAGGTTCTATTTTCCATAAGTACCGATCACCGATCCGACTTTGGCTTCGCCACTATGTCAAAATGCGAGATTACCTAACGAGATTAACATGAACCGGCCGCAGGGATTTCCCAAAATGCTCGTATCAAGCAAGAAAGAAAAAACGACTACGGGAAGATTCTCAGTGGCAAGATCGAACCAATCAAAAATCTAGTATACAAGAGAAACAAGCTTAAGCTCATACCCCCCTGGTCCGGATCTGAGATCCTTTCAGCCGCCGACGAACCGAAATCTTGGGATCTGCTTAAATCCCACGCAACGCAGACCTGCCAAGATTATTTCGACGACATGCGTATGACGAAAGAGCTGCGGATTGCAGTTGGGATAACGTTAATACAGAATGGAGGGCTTTGCGGAAGGCTTTCAATGGGCTGGAGATCTTTGTGTTTTATATATGGGAGGTATGAATACAAACTCGGGATGTGCCGCGTGTGCTATATAAAACTGCTACGACATCACCCTAGATTATTTGGATATTCCTGAAAGTCATGTTCTTGTATTGATATACAGACCTCATATGCATATCTAATATTTAGTCTAGTTGTCCAATATTGTCATTTTCAAAATGATTATAAGAGCATTTCCCAGTATTATAATTTCTATTCTTTCAATTACTTCAATCTCTCTTGAAACACCAACTGCTCCACGATGTGCAGTTGAAGGCGCACTATTACCCCGTCCTACCAACGTCTGCAATTACCCAGCATTCAAATCTGCAACCTCAAAACTATCCTCATACTTCAATGCCGCAATATCCGGTGATATATCCGCAGGTTTCAACACTATAAATACTTCTTTCGCCGTAGCATTCGTATCCCTCGACCACTCCAATTCAGCGAATAAGCCAATATACACATACACCCATCTAAGCCCCGCAAACAAAGAAGGAACAAAGGAAATCAACGGCGATTCACAGTTCCTGATCGGTTCAATTTCGAAATTGTTCTCCGATGTGGTATTGTTGAAGGGTGGAGTTGATTTGGACCATAAAGTGACGAAATATTTACCGGAACTGAGGAAGAAGGAGAGTTTGATCAGGTGGGAAGATGTTACGCTAAGGGATCTCGGGGAACATTTGGCCGGAATGGGTCCTAATTGTGAGTTTCTTCTTTCTTCGCTTTAGAGATCCTAGAGATGCCATATGGCTAATATGAAACGACAATTTAAGATGGGTTTCCGGAAATATATGATTTGATACGATTGTATCAACAGCTAGGATTCCCATCGGTTGATAAGAGTGACTTTCCGCCTTGTAACGTGGCAGGATTGAACAAAGCGTGTACTAGACAGCGTGGGTGAAACCGGTTCAGGATTTCATGTCGAATCGTATTAGCTAAACAATAAATTTTTCGGACAGAACTCCTTGAAGGAGTAACAAAAATCCATCCGGTAACTGCAGTTGGTGAAAGAGCTGTATACTCGACCTTGTCTTTTACTTTGATATCGCTAGCGTTACAAAACGCAACAGGGGAGAATTATACGACATTGCTCGATGAGTTAGTCGTCAAGCCGTTGAAGTTGAAGAACACGGGTGCCTCACCCGGTCAAACTGAAAGGGCCGTTATTCCACCAGTCGATAATGGATGGGGGGCTGATTATGGATTTACTGCTCCGTAAGTTCTTCTCTACCTTCCTTGGAGGTTGCAAATACAATCTGTACTGACTAGAATAAAACAGTGGCGGCGGCCTATACTCTTCCATCAACGACCTGTCAGCCCTCGCACTTTCGATCTTGAACAAATCCCTTCTTCCACACTCTACCCTCAGAAAATGGCTAAAACCCACATCCTCAACCCCAAATCTTCAATATTCCGTCGGCCTCCCTTGGGAAATATACAGAACAACAAATCTCACACCCGCACACCCGCATACCATCGATATCTACGCCAAAGATGGGGGTGCATATGGCTATGTCTCCAGGATTGGAATTATTGACCAATATGGTGTGGGATTTGTGGTACTTACAGCGGGAGATACTGAGGCCCTATATCCAATTGCTGAAGCTACGGTTGCTATGTTGATCCCGGCGGTCGAAGAAGCTGCTAGGAGTGAAGCTACTAAGTATACAGGGCTTTTCGGTGGTAACGAGGGCAATGAAGGCGTTTTAGCCAATTTTACCATAGATAACGGACCAGGGGTTAAGCTCGAATCCTTGGTCAGGAATGGATCTGATATACTAGAAGCGATTGCGATAATATGGGAGTCTCAGAAGGTTAGCCTTGGTCCCTTATCTAAGGATTTCAGAATATATCCTATGGAGGTATCGACATCACAAGGGCATAGTAGCCATAGAATTATCAAAGAGGATTGGAGAATCGCGATGGAAGTTACGGGAGAGATTGGAAGTGATAAAAAATCAGAGCTACCAAGTGCGGGAGCTTTTGCGAAGGGATGCAATACTTGGCAGACCTATGATTTATTGCAATACGGGGGTCAGCCAATTGATAGAATTGTCTTTTGGTTGAATGGGACTACAAGGGAGGTAGTAGGGGTTGAAGTGCCCTTCTTGAGGAGTGGGGTTTTGAAGCAGCTAGAGGATGAAGTTTTAGCGAAGATGGAAAGGGCAAATTAGTAGGTATGCCCTACGACTGTATAATTGAGTATATGCAAAGAAAACAAAGTAATACAAAGTCGTTAGAATCAACTATCATTAGATTGGAAAGGAATGCTCTCTATCGTAGACTCCGTGAAACCGAACGCCAAACCCACCATTATAATACATTTACTATTGAAAGAGAGTATTATCTCCCTCCCTTCACTGGCATGGTAAACCCTCTGGTCATGAAGTCCCCGTCTTTTGGCTTCTTGCCATTGGGGTCTTTGTCGTTTGTGAAGAGACTCTTAACGTTATCGCTCATCTCCATCTTACGTCTCTTAGCCCGTTCTTCAACATCGCCAAGGACCTTCGACGCGATATCGCTCACTGTCGATGGTTTCGGTTTCTTTTCTTTCGATTCGCCATTTGATTTTTCTTTCCTTTTGTCGCCGTCCTTCTCCTCCCGTTCCTTATCTTTGTTCTTTCTCTTCTTGCTAGAGCCTTTCTTCAACGAATGGCTTAGCCCTGAAGCTGCTAATCTTTCTCTCCTCTTCTTTAGCGACTCGATATCCTTATCTTCTGTAGGATTAATCTTAACCACTCCATCCTCTTTGTCGAACTTCTCGGAGCAAACCAAACATGTTTCCTCCTTGATCTCCTTGACTGCCGCCTCAGCGAATGCGTGGCCGCATGGTATTAAATAAACGGAATGAGTCCCCGGTCCCAATTCCTTCCTGGTGATAGGGCAGACCCAAACCTCTTTCCTCCCACTGTTCACATTCCCATTCATAATTCCACCGTTGACAACTTCGTCATCTCTATCCTTCTCCTCGCCAGCCTCAAACTTCACGTCCACGATATCCTTCAACCCTTTCACACCAGAGACTTTCATAACTTCTTCTCCATCTCCGAACTTTTCGGGCGTTATTAACCATTCTATTACCGCGTCCTTGTTGAATAATCGGCCGTGGGAGTCTGAGACTACCGGTGACTTCAGAGGTGTTTTTGAGAGAGGACAGAAGGACCAGTGATAAGTCGCATTCTGGGAGGATTGCGAACGGAGTTCGGAGGTTGTCTTGCGACGGGTGGGAGATTTGACGAGTTCTCGACGGGTAGGGATGCTAGAGGTTCAAGAGTTAGTATTGTTGAAGATGAGATTTTGAGCGGAAACTTACCTGCCACCGTCATTACCCATGATTACAAATTATTATGTATAATATTGTGCGAAGTTCAAATTTCGGTGCGATTTGGTGACAATAATATGTGGTCTGCGAAACTATGTGTGATGTTGGGAGGCAGTGGCGATTGAAGCTAAGTGAGCATCGAAAGCTAAAGGAACCAAATGCGACGCGATGTGGCGAATACCAAGCAATCTCACTAGCCACATATCAGGATTCAGATCCTGGTTTATGTGGCGGTGCACGGATATATCAGAAAGAGCCGACACCGAAAAAGCTTCCCCAGATTCGATTCCTGAACTTGAACACACAACCATGTGGCAGCCAGTTGGGACACTAAATTCTCCGGATTCCTCGGTATATGCAGCTGTATAACGGGCGCCGAATTCGGACTTCTCTCTTTTTTTACTTTTTTACTTTTTCCCTTTGGTATAAGTAGTAAATTAAGTACCTCGGGTCTTTGCTTAGTCTCGGCCTTAAGCTTAATATGCTCTCTACATTAAGGTCTTGTGCGCTTCGAAGAGTAGTATTATATAAACCTGGTATGCATTTGTCCCACCATTTCACATTCATGAACTTTTTGATAAAACTTCAGAGCGTTAACTTACCATTCTAGTTCCTTGCGCACAGCAGCTTCCCATAAACAATCTACATACATTATACCCACTATAAAATTAACCCTACGAACAAGAACATACTCCACCAAAATGCAGACGTATCATGCCGTCTCAACCTACCGTGCCTGGCGGTACTCTCTCCCGCCGACGTCTACAGTCGGTGTAGTCCCAACAATGGGTGCCCTTCACGCCGGTCATATATCTCTCGCTCGTGCCGCAGCATCCGAGAATACGCACGTGGTTGTCACTATCTTTCTCAACCCCGCGCAATTCTCACCAACCGAGGATCTAGCTTCGTATCCAAAGACACTAGAGAAGGATTTGGAGAAATTAGAGGAGCTGAATGCTTCGTTACCGGATGATGTTCCCGGGAGGGTTTCTGCTGTATTCGTCCCAACTGTTGCGGAAATGTACCCTGCTGGGATTCCACTGGTGAGAGATCAGCAAGTGGGTACTTTTGTCGAAGTTATTCCGTTATCTGCGAAGCTGGAAGGTGGTACTCGACCACATTTCTTTAGAGGGGTGGCAACGGTTTGTACAAAGCTTTTTAATATTACAAATCCGAATAGAGTATACTTTGGACAGAAGGATGTTCAACAGACGGTTATTATCAGAAGGCTATTATTGGATTTGCTTTTTGACATCGAGTTAAGAGTCATTCCCACAGAAAGAGAAAAAGATGGATTGGCGATGAGTTCTAGGAATGTTTACCTGAAGGGCAGAAGAAGAGAAGTGGCTATTGTTATATACAAAGCCTTAAAGGCAGTAGAAGAGATGTACAACGGCGGAGAGAATAGGGCTAGTGTGTTATTGAAGAAGGCGAGGGAAGTGGTTGATAATGCAGGGAGTGAAGTCAAGCTAGATTATGTGAGTTTGAATGAGCCGCAGTTATTGGAGGAAGTGGATGTTGTGGAGAAGGGTAAAGGGGTGATTCTGAGTGCGGCGATGTGGGTTTTGCCGAGAGAAGAGGAGGAAGGAACTGTCAGGTTGATCGATAATTTGGTTCTGTCGTAGCGATTCAATTCTGAAACTATATGTAGGGCTAGGACCCTCCGAGAATCATCTTCTGGTTATGAAAATCGTAGACACCGGGTGCATATAGAATGAGAAGACCATCTATGATAGTAGCCCTTTCTTTGATTCATGGTTTAATTGAACCCTTTGATGTTCTGCCTCTTTTCTTACACCACTCGCTCCCACCTCTATAGCGAATGTAACCAACCAATCCACTATAATGTATACATGACTCCAAAGGATTTATAACTAATGATCCCCTCAGGCATAACTGAAGAATACCAAAACGTAGCATGTATAGTATACTAGTTAGATCAAGAGCAAAAGGTTTTCATGACGATTACATTGCGTCGTATAAAGACTCTTGATCGACCAAAGGAACCTGGTACCAACGAGACCAAAAGGAACCAATTTCATGTTTCGATTGTACATACATACTTACAAATACATCAACTCTATTTATATCGTTACGATAATAATATGATGATGTTATTTCAATTAAATCATAGTATTTCTCACAATAGTTTGTCTTCCACTTATCATTTTGAACTGAGTAAATCTAACGTCATGAAGAACCGCGAAGATAAACCGAAAGCCGGTAAACTGGCCACGTGGACATATCGCATGGTATATTCTGGAAGCTCGATGTTCGAGGCTTAGATTTCTAGTTTATGCGCCGGGGGCGAGGAAGTGACTTCAAAGTTTTGTTAATACGAGCTCCTAGATGTTTTTATACGGCACAGCATCCTATATGAAGGAAACAAGGCAACAAACCATGAAAAGTAAGTAGGCACAGTCATTTCACTACTCAAGCAGTCATAACGGTAAGTTTCATATCGCTTTTCAGTAGTACAGTTTCTTTGCGTACTCTTGAGAATGTGAAACGTGGCAATTCGACCAATGGGATTGAAATCGCATTCAAACTCCAACTTGCTTGCTCAAACTGCTAATTTGAGCGATCCCGACCAGCCGTTTCAGAGCCTCGACCCGATGTACAACTTTGACGGGAATTCGGGTCGATCGAAACGTCCTAAACATGGGTATAGTTAGTTTAAACGTGAGGGTTAATTTTTAACTACCCTTCCCTGAGACTTTGAGGCTCAAAAAAAAAAAAGCGACAACTATTGTCTGTTGGATGTTCAGGGCAGCTGTACAGCAGTGCAGGTCTATGCGGGGGATAGAAAAAACAAGCATTTTGAAAAGGCTACCATGGCATGACCTGCAGATGGAGTCATATCAGGTACGGATTTTAGCTCCGAAGCGCGAACCTATGTATGTACAGCAGGAGTACATACATCATTCCCTCCATCGATGCCCAAATTCGTCCTGCGAAAATAAAAATAAGAAAAAATAAAATAAAGTAAAGATAAAATAAAGATAAAAATAAGGATGTGGTGGCATCAAATCATCTACGCCACCATCGCATTGGTCATCGCAGTTTTATTGCATGGCAGAGTATGGCATGGCACGGCACTAAGCTTGAGTCGCACGACCCGCCGTAACTTTTATCCGCCACGGGCACGAATAGGACAAAAGAGGACAGCAATGAACCAACAAGTAGTTACAGAGTAAGTTCATCGTCCAAACGGAATAACCAAAATGCCTTGGGGTGGCGGCGGCAAATTCGGGCGGTCGGTTGTCAGAAATAGAGGGAAAGTGTCTGAGAAGAGGCCAGGTTACAAGATCTGGAACAAAGAAATGCGGCGGGAGAACTGAGCGCCAAGACACCCCGCAAAGAGGCCACTTTGCAGGAAGCCAACCTCATTTTCTGTGGATAACTGAGCCAAGAACTTACGAATTTGCCTCGAAATGCGCATGAATGTTGAAAAATGTTGAAAAATAGGCTGTGAAGAAGGCCCCTGTATAATATACTCCGTATGAGTAAGTGAAGGGATTAGAAATCGTGAAAATTGGGGGCGAATCGCTGTGGGGAGTAATATGAGTGGGACTGAGTAAGCTTAAGTGTAGTGCACATGACGGCATCCCTAGATCGATGTAAGTCAGCCAGTAAGTAAGTACCTGGCCAAACTAAGAACCTCCCTCAATTAGTGGGGACAGGCCACCTTGCAGGAAACATACATTTCGAAATGGTGTCTCTATCGATAGAGCCCATTGCAGGACCCCTGCTTAATGAATCGTGTCTGATTGGGCTGCTTTCATGGATGTGTCGTTTCTACTGCGGGCTTCCAGAACGAATTTTTATGCTACGCTGGCCTGTACTGTGTTTTGGTGCTGTGCTCAGGACAGCTAACGACACATAAATAATATTTGGTCGTCCATCCATTCACCCTCTTCCTTTCTTCCTTTCAACCTCATCTTTCATCTCTCTCAACCACTGCCGACATTGCAATTGACCTGTCTGCTTCGAGAGCTCTGGTCATCGCCGTCCTCATCGTAGCTTGTGTCCCACGATTTTAACGAATACCTTTTTCTTCTCTTCTTATTTGTTCCTGCTTCGATAGACTAGATACCCCCCCTCAAAAAAGCCATCATGGCACAGAAAACAGGCTTCTCCGCCTGGAGCACATTGTTCTACCTCTTTTTACTATTTGTCGCTCCTCTGGCATTAATAGGCACTGCTCACGCAGATGCTAACACCAATGATACTGCTGACAGCTATGGAACCGGTAAGAACCCCTCCAAGTGCACCATACCAACCGGCATCGCGATGCCTATCCAAGATACGGTTTGCTAACTGGCTTGCATGATTCCACAGTTATCGGTATCGATTTGGGCACCACATACTCTTGTGTCGGTGTCATGCAGAAGGGTAAAGTCGAAATCATCGCCAACGACCAGGGTAACCGTATCACTCCATCATGGGTCGCCTTCACCGACGACGAAAGATTAGTCGGAGACGCCGCCAAGAATCAAGCCGCCGCTAACCCCAAGCGAACCATCTTCGATATCAAGTAAGTTTCTAATCTCCATGGTAGCATTCATTCTTGATATTCATTGCCTAACGTGAAACCTGCAGGCGTCTCATTGGCCGAAAGTTCAGCGAATCTGATGTCCAGAAGGACATCAAGCACTTCCCATTCGACGTTGTTAACAAGGACGGAAAGCCACATGTCAAGGTCGAAGTCAACGGTGCTGACCGTACTTTCAGCCCTGAGGAGATCTCCGCCATGGTTTTGGGCAAGATGAAGGAAATCGCAGAGAGCTATCTCGGAAAGAAGGTTACCCACGCCGTTGTTACCGTCCCAGCTTACTTCAATGACGCCCAACGTCAAGCCACCAAGGATGCCGGTTCCATTACTGGTATGACCATCCTCCGTGTCGTCAACGAACCCACCGCCGCCGCTATCGCCTATGGTCTTGATAAGAAAGAAGGTGAACGCCAGATCATCGTCTACGATCTCGGTGGTGGTACTTTCGATGTCTCTCTCCTCTCCATTGACCAGGGTGTCTTTGAGGTCCTTGCCACTGCCGGAGATACCCATCTCGGAGGTGAAGATTTCGATTACCGTGTCATCAACCACTTCTCTGCCCAATACAACAAGAAGAACAATGTCGATGTCAAGAAGGATCTTAAGGCCATGGGTAAACTCAAGCGTGAAGTCGAAAAGGCCAAGCGTACTCTCTCTTCCCAGATGTCCACTCGTATCGAAATCGAATCCTTCCACGATGGAAACGACTTCTCTGAGACCCTTACCCGCGCCAAGTTTGAAGAGTTGAACATCGATCTCTTCAAGAAGACCCTCAAGCCAGTTGAACAGGTTCTCAAGGATGCCAAGGTCAAGAAGACTGAGATCGATGATATTGTTCTCGTTGGTGGTTCCACTCGTATTCCAAAGGTTCAGGCCCTCCTTGAGGACTTCTTCAACGGAAAGACCGCTTCCAAGGGAATTAACCCCGATGAGGCTGTTGCCTACGGTGCCGCCGTTCAGGGTGGTGTCTTGTCCAACGAAGCTGGTACTGAAGATCTCGTCCTTATGGACGTCAACGCCCTTACCCTCGGAATTGAGACCACCGGAGGTGTCATGACCACTTTGATCAAGAGAAACACTGTCATCCCAACCCGCAAGTCCCAGATCTTCTCTACTGCCGCTGATAACCAGCCAGTCGTCTTGATCCAAGTTTGTAAGTTCCCCATTACGCTCATAGTTTGGATTTTTCCGTGCACATGATTCTAACATGCATAATAGTCGAGGGTGAACGTTCCATGACCAAGGACAACAACCTTCTCGGAAAGTTCGAGCTTACCGGCATTCCACCAGCACCACGTGGCGTTCCCCAAATTGAAGTCTCCTTCGAGCTCGATGCCAATGGTATCCTCAAGGTTTCCGCCAGCGACAAGGGTACCGGAAAGTCTGAGTCCATCACCATCAAGAACGACAAGGGTCGTTTGAGCCAGGAGGAGATTGACCGCATGATTGAGGAAGCCGAGAAGTTCGCTGAGGAAGATAAGCTCGTCAAGGAGAAGATCGAAGCCCGAAATGGTAAGCACCAATACCAGCTACAATTACAGTAACAAGATAACTAACATGGTTGAATAGGTCTCGAGAACTACGCCTACTCCCTTAAGAACCAGGTCGCCGATGAGGAAGGTCTCGGTGGCAAGGTCGAAGAGGAAGACAAGGAGAAGCTCAACGCCGCTATCAAGGAAGCTACCGAATGGCTCGAGGCTAACGCCGCTACCGCCACCAAGGAAGACTTCGATGAGGCCAAGGAGAAACTCAGCTCCGTCGCTTACCCAATCACCAGCAAACTCTACGGTGGCGCTGGTGGCCCAGGTGGCGCTCCAGCGGACGAGGAACCATTGGGTGGACACGATGAGCTATAAACGAAAGTTGATAGTCATTAAATTGTTATTCTTTGTATATTTGAACAGACAAGCGCCTCTTCCATTATTTTTTACAGCCAGCTGAGGCCGATAAACTTGTTCTTGTTCCAACACTTTTTTTTCAACTTTTTTTTTTTGACATCGTTTACATGGGAATGTGGGTGTTTTTGCTGTCTCTCTGTCTTTTCCTCTTATTGTTGAATTAGATACACTATCCAAAAGTACCTTGTGGATAATTATGGGGCAGTGAAAGAGGGTGGTGGAATAATCGAATCTGATTATTGTCAAAAGAGTCAACCTTTTGTACCACGTATTTAACACGTAGGCGAACCTTGCAAGGCGAACTGGTCTCCAACACCGTCTAAACACGGAGAACAGGCCTTCAATCAGAGTAATGATAAAAACTCCCACTTCGATCCTATATAACTTCCTTAACCCAAATAAACAGATACTGTCCATTTTACATTTGCTTTCCTATGTATTCAATAATAATCTAACCGACATGATAATAAAAAAAGCGTTCAAATACTCAGGGGCCATGTGGACATTCGGAAGCAAGCCAGCGCCACAACAAAACCACAAGATAGTTCGAAGCCCATTTCATATCGCCGAACTTCTTGAGCTTATCCTCATATTCGCTCTAGAAGATGAACCGGTACAAGCAAGATTCCATAAAACCCATCAACTCCGCAAAGTCTCCAAATTTTGGCTTATGACAATCGACTCGTCTTTTATATTAAAAATAAACTTATTTCGCACACCTGTGCGATCGAAGGGCTTAGGCTATGATCCTAAGAAAAGACATGCAGAGTTTTGCGAGCCTTATATATCCCATCTAAAACGGAGTCTAGGGCATATCAGAGAACTAAAGAGGGGTTCGAAAGATACGGAGGAGGATCTTTCAAAATTCCAGAAGGCTTTATTTCCGGTATCAAACAAAAATAGGATCTTTTGGTGGAAGAATTCTGGAAACCCGAAATCATTAATTCCGGATATATGTATAACCCAACCTGCCGTTCGAGTCGCAAATCTACGGTTCGAAGGAACGGGCGACATCGATGGTCTAGATAAACTAGGAGAGTTCGGGAGAATAGAACCCCGTAGCTCCCCTCGTGGCGCCAGAACACTTTTTAGATATGATTTTTATATTAAGAGTCCGGATGGCATCACCGCACGCGACTTAAACACTGGAATACAAAATGCTATTACAACGCTATTTAGCCATTCGGGGAAGACTTCGAATTCAGAGTTAAGAGTACAAAAGATCGAAGTACAGGTCAACCATACCTACCGACGGATCAGGTCATTTGCGGGGAATTGGGGTCTCTTGACAACAAGGACTTTGTGGATTGAGAGAACCATGCAACAGAGAAGTGTGTAAAATCTGTTTTTTTTTTTAATTATTGCCGTCTATATATATTATTATATTACCTGGTTCATCAGGAGACTAACGGTGCAACCTTTTTAATATAGTTCGGAGTCATCCGTGGTACATCTCTGCTGTCAAAATCTGGAAGCGGTTCCGGCATAGTTGGGTGTGTTATGTAGTTATTGCGGTACCGGCTATTACATATTGGACCCTTTTCTACCTCCTCTCGTTCCTTGCTAGCACTATACATGAACTTTATATAGATTTAAGACGGTGGTATTGCTTTAAAACTAGACGGTGGTAGATGGGCCAACTAAATATATTTTAGCAGCTGTCCTACAACTACTTACCTAAGTGGCTACTAGTCAAGACGAGACTAGACTAGGTGCATTAGGTACCTGGGTATATGATATATTCAATGTATGAGATATTCTTCTAGAGTTATTTGGTGGTAAAAACACCCATTGACCATCCTTCGAAATCGCAATAAAAAATAAAATAAAATAAACTTAAAAAAGTGTGTTGTGGGTGGTAGTTCGTGTAACTTTCCTGTTTGGCTCATCCCGAACGCCACGGTGTGGGCCACGACGGGCCTTGAACCCGTCGTGGCTTTGAAGCTGGTTGCATTTACACGGCCAATTTCATGTTTAACGGGCCCCACAGTTGAAATGATATTATTTTTTGCTTCGACTATCTACGAAGGCCGACAAAACAGCTATATAAAGGAGATATCGATGTTGTAGTTTATTAACAACTTCGTGAAATTATATTACCAAAAAACTGTATCTAAATTTAGTGCTCAGATTTTAGTCTAAATTTCCAACATCGAAGCGAAAAAGGGCTCCACTCCAGTACGACCAGCCGACTGCGACCCCAGACTTTCGTTATGCTCGTTTTGTATGCATATGGTCGACGTGACCTGGACTTTTAAATGAATAAAATATTATTATAAGGAATGCAGGCTAATATATTCCGATTAAAAACTCAGCCCTAAACAGGTACACGCTTAAAATTGCCAAAGGAATATCTGTGCATGTTTGCTCATGCGCATACGCGAGTTTCGAGGGGATCCTTCAAACTTCGGTGTGGGACCCGCGCCCATGGGAATTCATTCCACCAGGTCCCCTTTCGTGACGGCTTGGCAAGACATACAGATACAAGAAATACTGCAGCTGGGTTCAAGGCTTTAAACTTCCAAAGTGGTCTCACGGCTTGGGCCTATCTGCGCACGCGCTCGCCCAGTCAGTAAGTGTATGTGAATGAGGCTTGTGGGATTATGTTCACCACAAGCTGAACTGAACCATGTTTATTTGCCACGGTCGAAGATTGCATTTTACTTTAATGATATTCAAGCTACCCGCGAAAAACGCAGATTGTTTCAATGGCATTGAGCACTCTTACAGCTGTTGGATTGTTGGTTAAATTTACACAAGTTATATATATAAAAAAAAAAAATAGTAATGTTTAATTACACCGAAAGGACATTGTTAGGGATATAGATTGCTTTCAAACGTAAAAGTTTAATATGTGTAATAACGCTTAAGGGAATACTAGAATCCAAGTAGGATATCTCGAGGGAAGCTTTTGGGATGGGTATATATACGCCAAGGGGTACCGGCGCGGAATTACAACATTTACATTCCTCACCTGCAGTATTTGTGCACGCACGACACGAAACGGTAAAACTCTATAAGCCAATTGGAACTCAGCTAGAAACGTCCGAACTTCCTAAGTCCCCTAAAAAAAAACTATTTTTTTCTCGAATCGTTTTTCTTTTCTTTTCGCCCTGATTTTCTTGCTCGAATAGCTATTTTGCTTTTCTTCTTCATTCTTGTCCCGTTCCTTACACCATTTACAAAAGAAAAAACAAATAAGATGAAAGAGTCACTTCTTACACAACTAAAGCGGAACCTTTCTAACCGCTCTAGAAAGGGTAAGGAGCCTCACGTGCAACGACCCGAAACTCCCAAATTTTTGGACGTAGACGGAGACGCGAGATCTACTTATTCCGTCGAATCGGATAGCAAATCTTTCTTTTCGTTTAGCTTTGAAAATGCGGAGTCGACGTCGCTTTGTGATTTTGAGACCACCGCGGCTGCAGCAGTGGCCGCGAACGATGGCGCGAAACCAACTAGAAAGTTATCATTCGAAAAGTCTCCTGTAGACGTGGAAGGCTCGCCTCCACCTTATGATGTGGATCAGTTAGAGTGGATTTTGTTTTATCCGCGGGGAGTGGGGAAGCATTTTGTGGGGATGTTGGGGGTTAATGATGTTGTGGCAATGAGCCAGGTTTGTAGGGCTTGGAGAAGGTGGTTGGTTCCTGAGCGAGGTAAGTAACACCAATGAATATTTTTATACTACTTTCACAAATACAGTCTTTATAAAGACTGTTTTACCGAGGTAGTATGGCTGGAAAATTGTACACTAACAATTAACAAAAATGGCTTCTAGACTTCGTAGATGTCGATGTCGAAAAGAGCGATAACCCGCAATGGAACATGTCATCTTTCTTACCTTCTATTAAAACTGGACCACAATGGCATCCACTAGTCCAGGCCGTTATCGCATCCAATCCGCCGTCTCAAGGGACAAGAGACTTCATCGAGCCATTGGGCTTTTATGGAAGATACCACCGACAGAGTATCCTTCACTGGCAGAAATATGAATTTAGTATTCCAAGACTTCTCGGAGTATTCGGGGAGAACTATCTATCTGCTATCACTTCCCTTCATCTCGATGGTGCGGGGTTAGATACTAAGTCGGATTGGCTTCGTTACTGTGCAAACCTAGAGATTTTGAGTATTAGGAGATGTGCGGGTATAACACTTGATCGTTTGGTTGATCTAGTCTTAGGACCTGAAGATGAAAACTCAGCCAGCTCGTCAAAGAAAAAGAAACAAAAATCTGCATACCATACTCCTAGACCTGAAAAATTAAGGGTGGTAAGGTTTTGGGGGATAGATGGAGCTCGACAATTAGCATATCCTCACAATTCAGATCAATACATTTCGGACCGCCACAAATTAGAAAAATACTGCGATAGATTGATGGATAGGTTTGAAACTGATGTTTGGTGGGGGTTTGGTGGAGATATGACGGCGCGTGATTGGAATAAGCGGTATAGATTGCTGATATCGATGGAGGAGAAATGCGGGGTTTGTGGTAAGGCTAGAAAGCATTCTGGGTGGCCGGATGGTGTTTCTTGCGAGAGGTGCTTGGGGTTTAACTGTTGGGGGTGTATGAATATGAAAATTGTGTCGCGAGCTGATGCAAGTAGCGAAGGTAAGCGATTTCCAATAGCGTTGACAATAACTTTCCTTAGCCTTTCTTTAATACTAACATATTTTATTTACGACTACAGACCACGACCTTTCAAATGCCTCGGCGGTAAATATGCTTCGACTTGTCTGCAATCAGGAGGGGATTTGCGGTTGGGAAGCTGGAGAACATCATGTCCACCCCGAATGTATCCCACCGGCGACCTTGCTATGGGGGCATAATGATCCTTTAAAACATGTTTTCGAGTTGTATGCTCACCTACAAAGGAAGTAGTGTTCAGATGTAGTTAGGCTAGAAGTTTAGAAGGATACCAAAGGTCAAATGTTAGAAGCAAATCACGAAATTGAACAGAAGGCCGGGGTTTTACCCTCAACCTACTAAATTTTGACTCCAAGTAAACTTAGAAGAAGAAAATTTAGAAATGATATATATTTAAGCATCTATGACTATCATATGCTGCTGTCCAATATCGATATATCAACCATAGCGAAACCGCGGCATGCGGGAAGAAAGATACCATTTGTTGCATTTTGCGGGAATCTGTGTTGCTGAAATACCTTGCTTCGATTCTTCTGCAGTGTGCATATGCATGCTGGGTTAAAGAAGTGAAACTCCTGCTTGGTTCGTTTCTTTAGGATGTCAACCTGGTCTCTAATTTTAGGCTCCAGGCTTTTTGTATCAAAGCCTGGAGCCCCGCCAGGATTTACTCATATATATTCATTTGGAGATTGACTAAAATATTTGAATCTAGAGAGATAATCGACAGATACGACACAGACACAAATTCACTTGATCGGCTCGAGGTCTTAGAATACGTTCGACGGGGGACTTTCTATAGCAGATCAGAACTGATCGAAACCATCTCAAGAAATACTATGGACCGTCAAACACCCAGTTTCCTGGGTCTCCCACGAGAAATCCGAGATGAAGTCTACAAGTATCTACTCCTGTTCGAGCCTACTCCCAAAACAACCAGCCTGACCCCGCTGGCGCGAGCGATGCTCATGGCGCAACGCGACAAACCCGTGTTCCGTAAACCCGTGTCGGTTCAGAATGCAATTCTCTGCGTGAATAAACAAATTCATGACGAGGCTGCGGAAATATTTTACGGATTTAACACTTTTGCGGTCAGAATCAAGTCGGTAAATCATTCCGGGTTTCAGGATTATCGGCATCCTAGGTTCCAAAGATTTAATCTTATCTATATTGCGCCGTGGGAATCTTTGACTTTCGATTGTAGGGCTAAGAGTCCGTGGGAGGACCCTGCAGGTGAATGGGGCCACGGCTTGGGTATAAGGCGGTCAGAGGGTACAATATTACCATTTGAATCTGAAAACGAAGGGTATGTTCGGCGCTTTTTGTAGCAACCATTTTGTCGTGCAGTTTGATACTCCTTTGTTTGAGCATGAGCTAGACTTTGGTATATGAATGTTAATTAGTTACTCTAGTGGCACTAGTGTGCGTACTAATATCCCATGGGGATACAGTTATTCCGAAACAATAGACGATTCTTTTGAGAAACACATCCATCCCATCAAATTACTGAACGCATATGAAGCAAGAACTCTGACATTACCAGCAATTCGGTATCGGCATTTGATTCGACACATCGAGCTTGATATCGAGTTACAATTTCCCCAGTTAGAAGCATCCAACGAATTATGCTATAGTACCGAATATCTACGGCTGATGCTACTCCCTGCATTGAATCGACTGGAAAACTCTCTAGAGGACAGAGGGGGAAATGTGGAAGTAGAGGTCAAAGTTTCAGGGTTAATCTTCGAAGTAGATTGGGAGAAAGGAGCAGCATCGTTTCTCCGAGCAGAGGACTCGGAGCGCGCGTTCCATATAAAAAAGCAACTGGAAAAGAAGATGTATACGACTCTTTGTCGATTTTTATGGCCTTTAACGACGATGCGGTGGAAATCTAGTCCGATTAGCACTCAACTAGATTCGCAATACCCGGGCGTTATAGAGAAGGAATTTGAACGATGCAGAACTTTCAGAGGGCAATTTGATGGAAATCTCGAGCAAAACCTCAAAACTCATGAGATCCCAGAAGAGATTGTAAGTGTATATGTAGGTCATGTGTGGGCACTCGTTGGAGGAAGGTTGGGTGTATTGGCCACCGATTGGTGTATCCGTGTAGGCCTAGTGCCAGATGTTGTAATATTTGAACCAGAAAACGAAACTGTATATAGGGAGCTTGGCCTTTTGGGATAGCGTGGGTGTGGTATGGAGCATGGATGCATGTATACATATCTATTGGTGGCACACTTCAAAATTTTATAGTTCTAGAGATTTATTGCTAAGAGTCATTTGATTTTCTTGCGAATCAATGTTCACTCTCAGAATGTATGCGCATGTATATCTTGTCTTCTTAAGTTCGTGGCATTTCTTACTCCGAATCTTTAGCATTTGAGATTTTGGAAGACACTCAATATTGCAATATGGCAATCACGTTACTCCTCACACCCTTAAAATATCTAGCTTACCCTCGGTATATCCGCATGCTAAATCATGCATGCAGATATCGAAGCACGCATTTTCGGAAGGGCTCAGCCCATGCCCGGACTTTGAGCAGTGATATATTTGCAAATTCTCAGTGTATTCCAATGCCATTCGAATATCATTAGGATGGGGGTAGCCAAATTAATATTGGGATATCATCGATATCGATAGCCATAGCTTAGTTATAAGTTGTTGTTACACAGGCTTGAAGCGCAAGCGCCCACTTGAGATTACGCACAAGTTATTTCCACTCGAGCACTCTCGCCCAAACAGATAATATAACATTCGCACTTCCCGTGCGGCTAAGGCCTTTTAACTGCCGAACATCTGCACTTGATAAAGGTGAGTATAAGGTATAACTACTATCTAAGTATGTTTCCCAGCGTCCTGATGCATGATGAATATGCATATGTTTCAACTGACAGTGGATGTTTGGTTTCACCATTGATTTGACCGCCTAGCGCGATCTCGAGAGATAGATGAATCAAATCTTTCTCATATCGAGCAATTTTTGCATAATCATGCGAGAAGCTATAGCTATAGATGCTGACTATATAGTGGCACCCTAGTTGTCTCAGCTGAGCAAGGGCCAAGATTCGGATGCCAATTGCCCTTCGAAGTAAGCGTGTCCGTGATCCATTTCAGGGAACTCCTCAAGGAACTTTCCGAGAAGCATGCGGGGAGGAGTCAATGTGGCATTGCAGAAGCAATTTTTTGATTCGATCCTCATGCATAAAATTAAGTCAACTTGGAGTTTCCCACTGTTCTTATCATCCACTTCATGATCCCAAATTTAAATATTTGCATCTTACTGGGATTCTTCGCCGTCGGCGAACCTTAAGCTCAGTGCATGCATCGCTGTTGGCTGCAGGGACCGGGGTTTCCGGTTAGCGGTACAGGGGTCACCGGGTGGGCCACAACCCGAAAATACCAACAACTTGGGTAGCCTGGGATATCTTTCAAGATGGATATCTCAAAAATTCAAGAAGCGATATAGTGAGGTGATAATTGATGATGAAGCTGTATAATCGGGCATTACAAGGGATTAAATTGCCCGACAAGCGGGTTCAATGCCTGTTGTTTTGATTAACCCTGCTAACGTTATCTTGGAAGCATAACCTTCATTATTTGTTTTTTCGTCCACGGATTGCCAACATTGCATAGCTGGTCTATATATTGGAGGTCTTGACCAAACCTCAACCGTGAAGAAATCTCAAATATATATCCATTTCCTCTAGCAGTCCGTCTAAAACGAAGGAGGTATTACCTCATCCTATCGGTTCTATATTCACAAGCCGAGAGTAATCATTATCTAGAGGCTCCCCTATATATTCTCGACATGAGGATTCTTTCACTTCTTTCTATAAGTGCCCTGATTTCTCTCGGGGCAGCACTGGGCGACTATGAACCGTTTGAATACAAGAATCAATTCGAACTTCCAGGTGGCCAATCCAATGCATCAATCGACGAGCCGGTCAGGACACCCTTAAAGTTTAGAAACTTCTATTCCGACTTCAAAGTAAGGCTGGAGGACATCTCGACAACAGTATGTAACCTGAGCTTGTCCGCCTATGATGGCAACCGAGCCGCCCGCGAGACTTTAGGGCCTGTGAGGAACTACTGCTGGACGCACGCCAATTGTATACTAGCGACGTTGGACGAAAGAACGAAGGCTTCGTTCGCGGGAACAACTATCCTCCTTGGCCTGGCGCCAACGACATTATCGGTCTTGGGACCATCGGTTGCAGAGATGGCGTTGCTCTCGATTCATCGGCCGTTCATTACGCTACTCGTATCTCTCGGGGCACCTGCGGTTTTCCCTGGCCGATTCTTGCAGTGGGAGGATCCTCTTCGAGCCAATGAACCTGCTGTTGGGGCATTCCTCGTCCGACCTTTGCGGTCACCGTGGAAATGGATTATTTTGTTCCTTCAGTATGGCTTTGCAGCAGGCGCCGTTACCAATGTCTTCCATGCGGCGTGGAGGATCGGCACACGTAGTATCATCTCTTGGGCATGTCCTACAAATTATTGGCCGGTGATGTGGGTTCTTATGTCGTTGCTCATCCATTTCTGTGCTATTCTCTCCTTAAGAACCGCCATTACCAAAAAAACAGAATTTGGCCAACCAAGAAATGTGGAAGTCGAACTCCCACAATCAGTCGATGAGAATGGACAACCGATTAAAAAAAGGAGTTTCCCCGGAGCATGGATCTTTTTGAGCGAATTCACTCTCTCGGCGAATAGTGAATGGCAAGTTAGCGATCTTTACAACATTCAACTCGGGCCGTTCCCCGTAATGTTGCAGTATCTCGGTGCATTCTTGTCCGTGTTATACTTAGTCTTCGGAACATTGATTTTTTCGAGTTTGTTGTTTATTGGGCTTTCGGAGGCCGTTCAATTGATTATGAGACTTATTGCGAGCGCTGCAATTTGTCGAATTTTGGTACAGTTTGAAGTCGGTGGTATGATTCAAGTTGATGAGAGGAGGGTTTATAAAGGGTTTGTGCAGGCGCCACTCGAGGGATCTGGAAAGGAAGAGTGAATTTTTTTGTATTAGCATCTCATGTTGAAGCCATAGTATTCCTCGAAAATAATATTTTTATTTAATATCGCCGGGATTATTCTCAGAGCGCACATAAGTAATCGAGTTTCAAGCCATTAATACCGTACTGTACGAAGTGGGTAATATGAAAAACTTCAAGTTCTGTGTGATACGCTAGTCCTGAGGCTTAGCTCACTTTGGGTAGCCCAGATTGGAGGCCATTAAACGGATGAAAACAAGGTATAGCAGCCATGAAAGCTATGAGAAACTTACAAGAGTTCTTCTATCCGGTGGCTTTCTTGCAGTTGCTGCAAAGCTGGGGGTCATCGAGTGGGGACGCGCAACAGATCAGCCCAGCCCCGCAAGTTGGACACAACATCGCATCATAGGTACAAATATAAACTCCGCAGCCAGGACATATCCTCTGGCTCCTTTTGTCGTCAGGGGCCAAAGTACTCGTAAATGGAACACAAGATGGGTGGAAATAGTGGACCCTAGTCCTCCAGCGGCAACGGGCAGGGTTGTTGCAGAGGACTGTGAGCATATTATCGTGTAAGGTGTGATCATTGTGTGGATCTATGATATTTCAGGTGTAAGTCAAGCATATGTGGCAGCGGAAGAATAGGTTGAGCGAACATACCGTCGTTAGTCACTGTCTTGAGCTTTAGACATTGGTCACAGAAATAAACCAAACATCGTTCACAAGTATTTGGCAAGTCGCAATGAAGGCACTTTGCCTTTTGAGTCTTTCTACATATCCCACAGATATGTGTACCCGCATCCAATATCCGTTTTACCCTCCAACCATCCCCGGAGTGAGGCACCCCAGGACACCATTCTAAATCAGTTTTGTAATTTTGCATGAGTTTATCGCATTTTTCGTAATATTTTTTTCTTCTACTCCCTTCATTTCTAATACTCCACACCCCAAATACGCCCCATAGCTTCAAGGTGTGAAATTTTGGTGGTATACTATATTTGATCCAATCTTCATAATCATCATCATCATCATCAGACCAATTGTTGTTAGTTTTCCCTGCCAAAAATATCCTGGAGACGTCATTAATATTGATAGAAGTGCACCATCTTAAACTCAAGACAACTAGATTTTCGCATTTAAGGACCCAGGCGAGTTTAACTTCTTCAGTTGAGGAATATCTGATCCTTGCACCGTCCAGATATATTCTTGTTATTGCTTGCAAGTAGTTGTTCCCAAAACTTTTCTTGAATAGGCGTAAATTAATTCCACTATCGACATAGGCAAAGTCACGATGACGATTTGAATCGCCTCCAGAGTATAGATGACCTCTCATCCCCCTATATATAAAACAGTGTTTTTCTTGTTGGGCGGTAAGTGTGGGAACAGCGAGGGTTCTGACGAGAGGATGCCATTCCACCTTGCTTTCTGGGGTTTTCAGGAAATCTAGGGAAATATTAGAGACTCTTTTCTCTCTTCATTATTATTAGAGGGCATGGAATACTTGGAATGAGATATGCCCTCCATGTTCGGCAAACCTGGCTGAGGTGTATCACATCGATACTGCTGAATTGTGATTGGAAAATAGATGTGACCGGAGAAGGAGCAAATATGATCCATTCTAACAACCTTTGTGCCTTCGTCGATGGCATCGCCTTTGTTTCAAGGGGTTCCATTATGGATAGAGCCTTCTAGCTTCTCATGGACGTGCAGTCGTCGTAGTCGTACGCATCCATATTTGCACCCTACGTGCTCACAGCTGCCTTAATGTCGCGTCGGTATCCCCACTTGAGGTTAAACTGTCGAGCTTGCTAGATCCCGGAAGAAAGCCAGGCTTCCTACTGTGCTGAAAGAAACCAAATTGCCATAGTGTTTGAATCCTTTGAATAGAAGCCTTTCTTTTAAATTTCTGCGCACCAGAATCGAATCGAGATCATGCCTCGGGAGGAGCTAAATATATACCCCTGTCGCGGAAACACTCCAGCTTAAAAGTCAAGCGAGGCTGCGAATCGGGGACAAATCAGCCCGTTCAAGAAACAATCCCGGCCAGCCGGGGGCCTTTTCTTGGTCGACGTATGGCACCTGCGACTGGTTAGCTCCATGCATGGAAAATCAGGGCATCGGCCTGGAATTCGGTACCTATCACAAGGCCACCAAGATGACCGTTTGACCAAAACATTCTGGCCGATACTTGGCAGGCGAGCCCTCCATCAGCTGCCTCGAACTCGATATCCCTTTTGGATCGCTTCCTTCATGATCCTGATTTCTTAAAGTATAAGTCCCGCTGAAATCCCGAAGCATCAATTCTCTCAAAGTTTAGTTCTCAGGTGTCCTTTGTCCAGCGGAGGAACAGCAGGAGATCCTCGCTTGGACCATCCAACACGGCTGCCCCTCAATCCAACCCCGCCAGCTTCAGCTTCACCACCACCGTCGCCCGTCCTCGAAACTCTCCCAACTTCCCCCAACCACTGTCTTCGATCGCCTTGTAATAAATATGTTCGCCTCGGTGGGTGCTCTCACATTAGCTGATTTCCGCCGTGTAATGTAGCCTTCTAACACCTAGCCCGTCGTAGAAAAAACCATACACGGCCGTCTCGGTCCAAATCGAACATCTGACAACGGAAGCTTACGAAGAAAACGACCTCGCCGGCATTCCAGAGCTTATCGAAGCTGTCAGATTACAGGATACAGGTCCCCAAGAGGCATCTAGAGCTCTACGGAAGAAGCTGTATGTCTTTTCTTGCCCTGATGACTCAATCACATGTCATAATACTTTGTCTGTGGTTTTCGAAACGTGGGGGGCGCTAATACCTAGAACTGGCGATAATATAGGAAATACGGCAATTTCCACCGACAAATAAGATCTTTGACGGTATGATGGTACATCTTAAAAGTTTAGAAAGGAAGACAGGCTCTGATATACTGTTTCGTTGTAGATTCTCGATGCCTTGGTCGAAAACGCAGGAAAGCGATTCCAACGTAGCTTCGCTGACGAACCCCTCCTCGAACGTCTCAGGATCATAGCTTCCGACTCCCTCACCGATCCAGATGTCAAGAAGAAGGCACAAATACTTTTCGCTCAATGGCATAACGCCTACAAGGATACTCCCGGAATGACTGGTGTCGCGAGCCTCTACCGTCAAGTGCCTACCAGACCACGTCCAAGGCCACAGCCGAGACCGGTGTCGCCGGAGGATGAGGATGCTCCAACTCCATCAGCTGGATCGAGATCCGGTCCAACAAGTCCTAACAGATCATCACAAGTTGGCCCGTCACACTCGCGTAACAGTTCGAGTTCGAAACCGACGCATGCGCCAATTACTCTAGGACCCTCTGACTCGCCAATTGCTACATTTAAACAACCTAAAGACAAATCTTCGAAATCTTCAAAGTCCTCAGGTCAAAAGCGGCCGCCATTCAATCTTGAGAAGGAAAAGCCAACCATGATTCAAAATATTGCTACCGCCTCAATTGCTTCAACGAATCTCAAAAACGCGCTTAAACTCATTAACAGAGAAAAGGAAAGAGTTAGCGACAATCCAGAGGTTATGAAGAGATTCGAAGCCTGCAAAATGCTTCGAAGGCAAATTTTACGATATATTCAGCACGTAGAGTCCGAACAGTGGTTGGGTGGACTCATTCACGCCAACGAAGAGTTAGTTGAGGCATTGACGCTGTTTGAAGTTTTGGATAAACCTCCTGGTGAAGACTCCGATAGCGAAGGGGAATGGGAGAAAGTGCCAAAAGATCTCGGCGTTGACGACACAGCTGGGAGGATGGGTAAGTTAAAGATTGCGGGGGGGTCGATGCAGCCTGGACAAGTTCCAGCCAAGAAAAGGGATTATGATAGTGATGAACTAGAGGATGCCAGCGATGATGAGGAAGTGGAGCCGGAAGATCCGAATGACCCGTTTGGAGATAGCCATGCTTTGAAGACTCCTGCTAGAGAAAAGGCAGAGCCCCGCTGGTAAGAAGTTCTTTTCTCCTTTTACAGTACCCCATGGGACTAATAAGATGGTTTATAGGGCTGAGATCTAAAATTCGATCCACGATTTTCGTGTAGTATCTCCAACGCTTTAATTGTCTCGTAACTTAGCTGTATTTAGAAACAGATGCACAGTGAGCAGGTCCCTACCTCTTGGTTCTGGTAACCCTGACGCCTTGGAGTTTATTGTTTACCCTTTTCCTTTCTTAATACTCTGCTCGTTGTTAAGAATGATGCGAGATGTTCAACTCGAATTTTAACCATCCTGAGTTTTTAAAACGTATTCACTGGATAAGTCTATATGCAAAGGACTAGGGATTAGGGAGGTTCATGACGAAAAGGCCCCCTCTTCTAGTAAATTGTTTATAATGTTATACATCTCGACTAAATTTGAGGAGAAGGATGAAAAGATCATCAAATACATTCAAGGCCAACACCAATAAAGTTTCAGCGAAGATTTTCCCCGGTTATGTGGCACCAACGTCTCCAAAACCCTGGCGGATACTGCGTATGCGACTTTTAGTTAATATTGCATAGGCCAAAACAAATTTCATATTAAAATTACTAGTTTGCCCCCTTCGCTATGCAAATGAAATGGCATTGGTCGAATTAGTTTAAAATTTAATATTCTGTATGTCCAGGTCCTCTCAAAAGAAGGGCAACGGTTGATCATCGATGCCTTCCGATAGAGCAGCCCCTAGCGTAAGTGTCCTCTAAATACTTTAGAGAGCTAGATCTTGGTTCTAGTTCTCGGTTTCTAACCATTTTGTCTCCAAAAAGTCTATGATATCCTGATCGCTGCACTTCAATGCGTTTTCCTTGTATTCTTCCACTTGGCTTCTAGTGTAGTGCTGCACTTTGAAGAGCCATATCACCGAAGCTATTTGTTTGTGCCTGATAGCTTCATGCATGAGATCAAGGGTATAACGCTTGCAGGGGCATAACTGCCGCAGATCGTCTTCAGTGACCCTGTTTTCCCATAATTCTAAGTATCCGATGTCCCCGCGTATAATCGCCTCGCGAAGGAATTCTAGGCTAATACATGATAGCATTCTGTTGCAGCGTCCGGTGATATCAACAAGCTCGTTGCATAGTTTGCTCAATTCTTTGAGTATCAGTCTAACGGTACCTCGGTAGCCACGGGCCCTCGCAATCAGGATCGGATTATCGTCAGCCAGGTCAAAATGGGCTAATGCTTCAGCTGTCAAAGCGGCCCGACCCCGGATTCTCGGTAGCTCTAAACCTGCATGATTTGCAGGCCATATGTCATCCGCAAAACAAGACCAACAGTCCTGAATCTTTAAATACGCTAGGAAGGTGTCCCGGTCACCCACCAGATATCTGATTAACTCCTGGTTCATACGACCAACAGCCAATGCAAAAGACAGCCGGAAGGCCTTCGTATCCCTGATCCCAGGGGTACAGAATAAAGCCTTGAAAATATGATTGTTCCCGCCATCAATAGCCTGCCGCAGTAACAGTAAGTGTTTATTGGCTTTTATTCCTAATCCGCTGGGCATAACCGCGAGATGCACCTTCAGGAGAATATTAAAGACTTCTAGGTGACCAATTCTCGCTGCCATGCTGAGCAAGTAATTTTCGCTTCCTTGATAACAGTTCGTACCATAAATCTTGTGCGCGACATGGTAATAAATGAGCTCGGTGGGGTTTTCTTCGTTCAAGGCTAGATTTAGGGTGCCCCTAATACTCCGAATGCCTGTTCGGAAGGTTATTGGAGGGTCTTCCAAGATATAGCGGAGAACCTCCAAGCTACTTCTTTGAATTGCGTAGCTTAGTACCATTCCTACATCTCCTGTGGCATCTTTTGGAATATTGATAGCCCGAAATCCATGAGCTGACAATAGTAGGGTTGCCTGCAAAGGCGGCCTAGATTTGAAAAATAGAACTGCGAATAATGGCGCGTTATCATTTTCGCAAGCCCAGAGAAGGAGGTCATTAGCATCCGGTTTCTCAAGCCCCTTTATCCTAGGCATATATGGGAAAGGGAGGTTCAACTCGTCTAAAAGGGTCTCGAGATGTTGCGCCCGAGATGTTAATTCGCTCGCGCTCCCGTCTCCAAAATGATGAAGCCAATATTCCGTTACATAATTGAGGCAAGGAAATCTCGGTTGGGCCTGAGCTTCGACACTAGGACCCGTAGTGGCATGGAAGGGACGAACAAGTTCGGTAGCATGTCCAATATCTGGCTGATGCTGGTTGCCCAAAACCATTTCAAGAGTGAAGCGACAAATTGGTTCAAGGAGGCGTAGTTTCCCTGCTCATTAATTACCACAAGGCCCCCACAGTTTTGAAGTATCCTTTCTGGGTCTTCGTTATAACGATTACTAATCTGATCATGCCGTGTGTCCCCAATTCGAATTGCTATGGCGTCCCTAAGTTCGGGCAAAGTAAGCGGCCGGCGACATTTTGATAACCAGTTGAATACCATGACTGCCTCATCTTCGTCTCGTTCTTCCTGTATCCTATGCAGAATCCGTGCGTAAGTCTCATGAAGACCTCGTGGAAGGTCACTGAGAAGGTGATAGATTTTGTCTTTGTTTCCCGCTCTACGAATATCTTGGATTTGAAAGTAGACCCATAAGAACCTAGCGACCAGATCTCGCATGTGTTTAGTGAGCGGCTTCTACAAGTTTATTTCAAACACATAAAAACACCCCAGGGAAGGAGACTAACATTCCATTTGCACCCTTAAGGAGAGCCTGTTTGATATCTTGATTTATTTGTGGGGAGTAAACCTCAAGGTTGGGACATTTGGATTCGAGTTCGTGAGATATGTAGGCCTCGAGGTCAGGGCGGCTTGCCGCGCTTGAGATGGAAATTCTGTAAGATATTGGTAAAGCTCTCGGAATCTCGATATCAGGCCGACTGGAAAGTATAAATTTCGTCTGCTGTAGATTCCTAGCCAAAAATCGTTTCAGAAATGCAATTAGGTCCAGTCGTTCCTCTTCAGGGCACTCATCTATCCCATCAATAAGGATATAGAGTGTGCCAAGTTTCTGCGCAAATTGAGAAAAGAAGGCCTCGATCTTGTAGGCATCTGGTAGGAACTGCGAGTCAAGATAGGAAGTCTCAAGCTCCGCTTGCGCCTGGTTTGATAGTGTTGTATTTAGGATCACGGCCTGTTTGAGTAAGCTGGATAAAATGTTTCGGTATCTGAGGGTCTCCGGGGTGTGAAAATCGCAAAAGAAGTAGATTATCGACGTTTTTTTGTTTTTGTGAAGGGTATATAAATGTTCGATAACTGAGGTTGCTAAGATTGATTTTCCAGATCCAGCTGTACATAGTTGTTCCCATTAGCGTCGAGGTAATTCCTCACAAATCATTAATATATCTTCCTCAGCTCTACCGATTTTAGAAGATAGGTTCAGAACATACGTATGCCATTATACCATAATGCCGAGGAATCAAGCGCCGCGTCCCAATTTTTGAATTCAGGCAACTGAAAAAACCATTTTCCTGTCTCGGGATGCCGTCTACCGCGAGCATTGCTGAAAGAGCGTCTATGGTCCAATCCAGAAATCCTTTCTAGAATTCTACTAAGTTTTCTTTCTGGTAGATTGCCGTTAGAAACTTTTTTGATTCAAACGTGATGGGCTCTAGGAATGTACTTTTGGCCGCTAAATCCTGTTTTAGTTGCCACTCCTTATTTCGTGTCCATTGGTTAACCTCGAACTCTCGATGAGTATATCCACGATTTTGGTAGATCAGAGTACATTGCGCCGCCTGATGAGCCGCAAGTTCAGATGCAATCAAGACCTCGTCATCAATCATATGCCTTTGTTCTTCCAGCTGTCCTTCAAGATCTGCAAACTGAACTTTGAATGGTTTCCAGATTGACTTGACAAACTGCTTGAGGCCTGGAAATACCTTATTAGTGTCCCTTAGCCGAGGTCTATATTGTATTCATTTGGGTTCACTTGCCTGGCTGCCCCAAGAATATAAATGCCTCGACACAAAACTCTACTATAATAGCGTAGAATCCGAGTATGGCATCTTGCAACTTCTGGGAATTCTGAAATAGCTTTCCGATTCTCTCAATTCTCGGACAGTGGTGTTGCAATTTCACGATCATATCGGATATCTTTATGAAGTAGTCAAAGTAGTTGGAGGAAATCTATACATCGAGTGTAATCAGTTGACATAAACATCCAATAAATCTAGCATTTGGCAAATATTAGTCAACTACCTGAAGTACTAGTTTTACCGTTCCCCAGACATGTGCCGCAATTGTCGGGTCGCTTTGAATATAAACCCCGATTACATCACCAAGACTTTGTATAAATAGGAGGAATGGCTGAAGCTTCTCTCCGAGACGTTTCCGACGCAAGTTCGAATCGCTATCAAATTTCGCGCAGAACTGTGTTACGGCTGTAACATCGGGCTGAGAAATTTGATTTAGAGTCGTTTGATCGGCCGGGTCGAGTTGCGTAAGGAAGTTGGCAAGCGCAGTAGTCAACCGCTGCTGGCCAGGTGTATTGCTGCCGGTTGGTCCTGCGATTATCTGCTGGCTCATGGTTCGTGATTCCCGTGTCGACGTGTCGATAATATTTGATATTGTTTGCCGGGCTTCCCATTGAAATTGAAAAGAGTGTTTGATCTATTCCACTCCTGGTTCTCGTTATCCGAGTTTATAATTCTGCCAAAAACAAGTCGGCAACCACTTGAGTTTGCGGATGGGAATTTCCTTCGGCCCATATATATACTCAGCCTCGACTTGTACGTCCAAGGCGCAATTGCGGTGTATGTCGGCTGCTTTTTTTTTTGATTCAATTGATTCGTGCCATATGCATGGGGAAGGCTTTGAACTTTCACGTCTTGGCCTACAAGTCTGCCTCGCTGTTCAATCAATGAACATTGGAGTTTGAGGATTACCCGCTGCGCAGTGGATGTACAACTCATCTCAGAAGATAACAGACATCCATCTTCAACCATCCATCCATCGCGGGATACTTCGGGATCTCTGTGACTTGCTGGACCATAAATACTATATCAACTATAACCTCAGCTGACATGACATGACGTTGGGTACATTAATTTGCAAACAGTGCATGTGGAAGCCTTAATTGCCTTCAAAACCCAAGCCAATATTCAGCATATTGAGCATCAATATTAAAATAAAATGTGTTTATTACATTACCACCTAAGAATATACCTAGTTTTCATGTGTATCTATTTCGTATTGTATTAATTAACTTCGGAAAGAGAGTCTAGTTCGCATTCTATATATAACGTCGAGTACATTTACAGCCGCCCGCGAACGAAAAAAATACAACGTCTAACATTGTGTTGTCTTGCCCCATTACATGTTACACGCAATAGAGTATCTACGGACTCGAGGCTAAATTTAAATATCTACCTTCATGAACGAGCTCACATCTTCACGAAAGGGATCCTAGAGATCTGAGGCACATACCCGGGACTATCACAGATCGGGCAAAGGATGTAGGCACAGGGACACCGACCCGTCGGATGGGGAGTTTGACCCCTCTGCGACCCGCAGTTGCTCGCCCCACTCCCCAAGTTTGGGCACAACGCGATGCTTTCCCCATACAAATTGTTAGCAATTCCAATCCTCAGTTCCCCTTCGCTTGGTCCCAACCTCATCCAACATTGCATCCTGACGGGAACCCAGCTGCATAACTCCCCAAACATCGGTCTAGACGCGGTGTGCCACTCCCTGATTCTATAACACTGAAATCATACAAAATGCCTGGAAGCCGCTGGATTGGATTTGGGCATTTTTCACCCTTCCAGTTATTTCTCCCAGAGTTCCCTACTAGCTACTGTCAGCTGGAACACCTTAGAGGGAAGCGGAACTGGCACATATAAGTAGCAGGATACCGCCTAGCTCTTCACAAAATATAATTCTGTAAGCTTCAACCTTTTCTTAATTTTTTTATTCTTTTATACTTCAAATTCCAAGCCTGTTGTTCTGTATCGAAGGCATCATAAGATATCTTCGCGCTTCATTTGACGGCACTATTTGCGGCTACATCAACACCAGGCCGCAAAGATGAGCCGTAAAACTACCATTAAGGCGGATCCCAGCCCGTTACTCAAAGGCAGCTCCCAAGACCAAGTCGAGCATATCGAAACACCACCCTCTCCACTTACAGAGTTGGGAACTACCCCTCCACGCGATACCCCTATGCCCTCGAACGATGATGATGTTATAATTATGGATACTAACAGCAGTTCATCGAAGGCTGCTATTGACAATAACATCGTGAATAACACCCTCGATACTAGCAAAGTCATGGATGAAGGTGCTAGGATCACCTTTAGCTCTAGTGGGCCCTCTAGAGGGGGTGAAGCTCTCCTCGGAGATACCATGCAGGTCGTTAAGAAATCATCAAGCATGGGATATGACATGCTAGGAGAGGACATGAGGGATATGGTTAATACCATAAACCAGCTGAGGATGAAGGGCGTGGAAGATTTGGGACTGCCGCTACCGGTAAGAACATGAATGAGTACTACAATAGCTGCATCAGGTTACAAATACTAAGTCGAACTTATAGAGAATTGCAGTCATCGGAAATCAAAGTGCGGGCAAATCATCATTGATTGAGGCTATCAGCGGAGTAAGTACAAAATGTACTGCAATAATACCGAACTATAAAGAATTTAAACTAATCAAAATATATTGCCTACTCTTAGATCCGAGTTCCACGATACGCAGGCACATGCACCCGCTGTCCCCTGGAGATTACTCTGACTGAGGATACTTCACCACTTGCACCTTGGAAGTGCAAGGTATCCTTACGTTTCCACAAAACGTATAACCCCAAGAAGAAAGGCGATCCATGGACGGAAGTACAGCACACACAGCACCCTTTCATGAGTATCGATGACCCAGAAAATGTTGAGGCTGTTATCATCAGAGCCCAACTGGCGATTTTGAATCCTTCCAGACATTGGGGTGATTTTACTAGCATGCCAGTCCAAATCGTTGGTAATACCGCGACAACCGAAGTACCATTCTCCCCGAATGTTATTTGTATGGAAATCACTGGCAACAATGTCCCCAATCTCAGCTTTATTGATTTACCTGGTATAATCCATGTAACAGAAAGAAAAGAGGAGGAGTACTTGATTAAATTAGTCAGAAATCTCGTGGAAGGTTATATAAAACAGGAGGATTGTCTAATCCTTCTAGCAATGACAATGAAAGGTACGTTCACACTTATTGAACGAGAGAACAGGACCCTGAGACTGACTCGTAACAAATAGATGACGCTGTCAACCAGTCAGCTGCTCAGATGGCTCGAAAGCTGGGGCCGAATCGCACGATTGGGGCTCTCACAAAACCAGATACCGTTCTTGGAGGAGAACATGACCAATGGATTAAGATCCTTCGCGGCCACGAACATCGTTTACCCCACGGCTACTTCGTTACTCGACAGCCATCTCAACAACAACTTCTGAGGCGAATCAGTCATGCCGAAGCTCGTCATCTCGAAGACGATTTCTTCAATGGCGAGGAACCCTGGAACACTGAATTGGCCGACTTGAGCGAACGGTATGTGAATTATAACCATGAATAAGACTGCCGGCCCACCAAGCTAATGTACTGATGTCACTAGTTTTGGAACTATCAATCTTCAAAAGTATCTATCAAAACAACTCGCCAACCTCATTCGCCAACGCCTCCCCGCCATCATCAGAAATGTCCAAAACCAAAGCGCACAGGTCCAGATGCAGCTTGAAAAGCTTCCTCCACCACCAGCTGATAGCTTGCGCCAAGTTTTGAGACACTCTCTAGAGAAGTACTTTTACCGACTCTCGGAAACGTTCGATGGCCGTGGCGACGATAATAAGTTTTCGTATGAATGGCGCAAGATCGCGGCCAGGCTCAAGGCGGACTTGATAGCACTCAGGCCGCGCGTTAATCCGGACGAAAATTCTCCTCGAAACCCAAATTCGCCGTTTACGCCCTCCGCCGCTAGAGCTAGCTCGGTTTCGTTTTACGGTAGCTTCTCTTCCGCGTCTTCTACTCCATCTAAGCGCAAACGCCCAGGTAGCCATGATGACCCACCAGATGGTTCTTCCTCGGATCCCTTTAATGCAGGTTCCAACGCTGGAGGACCTCCGCCTCGTAAGAAGGCTGCCGTCGAGCCACGCACCCCGTCAAAGAAGGTGATCTCTGTGGAAGAAGATGAAGTCCTTGAGACAAATTTAGCCCTTGATACACCTACGGAATCATCTCAATCCAAGGCCATGCATCTCCATGAAATTCATGAAATTCTCGAAGTCAGAGGGGCCACTGGAATCCCCGGAATCGTCGATCACAAGGCTGTCGAAACCCTTTCCAGAATGCACATCCGCCTGTGGGATAACTCTGTTAAGGCGTTTATAAGTGAATTTGATAGCCTTCTTTATAATCACACCCACACAACTTTTGCGAATATTTTCTCCCCTTATGAACTATCCCCACTATACTCACATATGAGCGGAATCATCGACGAGTTCCACGGAATCATGATGACCAAAATTCACAAATCGATTTCCAAATGCTTCCGTATCGAGGCCGAATGTATCTACACAATGCAAGATCGAGACTGGAACCGCGAGCATGCAACTTGGAAACAGGACAATGACCGCCGACGCAAACGAGCAGTTGAAGAACAGCTAGCTATCAAGCAACAACGTGCCCAGGAGCGCCACAACCAATCCGGTAGAAAAGGCAAAGTTGAAATAGTCGCACCCGATGGCCCTGATCCATACCAAAGGGAACTTGATACTTTTACTCATACTCAGGCCTATTTGGGTTTGGCCCGAAGAAGGTTTGGAGATACGGTCATGATGAGGATGATCAAGGGGATCTTCACAAAGTACACAGTCCAGGGAACATTTAGAGAGCATGTTGAGCAACAGTTGGGGCTCCGAGAATTGGGCGAGGATGAGCAGGAGAGGAAGTGCAGGGAACTTATGGTAGAAGACCCTGCGAAGGAGCGGATGAGGACTTCATTGGTGAGCAAGAAAGAGTTGTTAGACAAGGCTTGGATGGACTTGGAGCCATATCAAGCATTTGGGGGTGTTTAATTGCAATTAGAAATTTGAACACCGAGACAAAGTTGTCTCCATAAGTTGACTGTTTCTCTTTTTTATCTCTTTGGCTCAATTAATTTGAATGTAATATTTGTTTGAGGCTGTTTTGGTTTGGACACATGACGGAAAGTTTGACTGCAATTGCGCGACGGAGTTTTGGCCGGTTTCTCCTCGGGATTTATCCTTTTTAATATGCTCGGATACTTCAAAATATGTTATCTAGATTTAAAAATTGGGGTCATACTCGAATAGATCTTCTTTCCCTTAGAAATATTTGAAATAAGACATACCTGCACCTTGCAGCCTCCTCGGACTTTGAAGGTGGTGGGGTCTACTCCGTCATGACGCTAAAATGGGCCGCGGCTTGTTTGTCGTTCATGTCGCAACTTCAGTTCCCCGCAATTCGTTGCCGACAGCTGGTCAACTTTTAAGCTCGTAATCCCGTTCCGAGCTTAGCTTCACCAATTCGAGTGTATCTCGGTCCGGAGATTTCAAGGTAGTATATTTTATAGAAAGAGGAGTATTTCCTGGTTTTCCGTACTCAATTTTCAAGTCTCACTCGCCTGTACCAAAACTAGGGATACATTACATTGCATTGCATTGGCTTACGCACCTCTACCTACCTACCTTGATACACCCACCCACAAACCCGACAGCAGGAATAAGAAAGAAAAGATGGTTGTCGCCAGAGTCGCCACGACGGCTCGGAACAGGGCCCTGGGTCTTATGCGCACAATTAACCACACCAACAAGACATGTCCATGCCACGGGGATCCCTCACACCACCATTCCCACGAACACTCCCGTCATGCGACGAATATTCTGCGCAGGGGGCGTGGGTATGCTACTCCAGTTGACGCATCCCAGCAGAAGGTGGGTATATCCCGTCCAATAATATTATTTAGTACTGTTATTATACGGAGATGTTAATTTTGGGGGTATATCACTAGGAATATGCATTTGAAATGGCGGCAAGTAGTATCCGGTTCGGCCCCGGAGCTACCAAAGAAGTTGGCATGGACTTTGCAAATATGAAGGCGCAGAAGGTGTTAGTTATGACGGATAGTACTGTTGCGCAATTGACGCCGATGAAACAGGCTATTGAAGGGTTGGAGAGGGAAGGGGTTAAGTTTGATATTTTTGAGGATGTTATGGTCGAACCGAAGGATTATTCGTAAGAACTCCCAAGAGACTGGCAGTTTGAAAAACAGATGTTAACGTGTTATGGGCGGAACAAGGGTTAAAAAGGCCATTGAGTACGGAAGAAACTCTGGTGCGGACGCTATATTGGCAGTTGGTGGTGGGTCGGTTATGGATACTGCGAAGCTTGTGAATCTATATACAAGTTATCCGGATGCAGATTTCCTTGACTTCGTCAATGCGCCGCTGGGGAAAGGATTGCCTATTACTAAGGCATTGAAGCCGTTGATTTGTATTCCTACCACTGCCGGAACAGGTAGTGAAACGACAGGCACAGCTATTTTGTGAGTACACATATATTATTACTTTCGATAGTCTGCGACTGAACTAACGGATTCATGATAGTGACTTGACAGACGTCAAAGCCAAAACCGGGGTGGCTCACCGCTATCTTAAGCCCACCCTTGGCATTTGCGACCCTCTAAACACCAGAACCATGCCATCGGCCGTTCATGCTTCATCAGGTCTCGACGTCTTGTGTCACTCCCTCGAATCATGGACGGCAATCCCTTACAACGAACGTATCCCTCGTCCGACAAATCCCATCCTTCGACCAGCTTATCAAGGCGCCAACCCAATCTCCGACGTCTTTTCCTTCGAAGCCCTGAAAATGACAGTAAAATACCTTCCTCGTGTCGTAAAGGATCCCGAAGACACCGAGGCACAGAGCAATATGCTGCTCGCGGCTACTCTCGCAGGTGTAGGCTTCGGAAACGCAGGTGTACATCTTTGCCACGGAATGAGTTATCCACTGAGCGGTATGAATAAGGGTTATAAACACGCAGGATATCAAGTACCTCACCCTTTGATCCCCCATGGCGTTTCAGTCGCCGTAACTGCACCCGCAGTGTTCAGATTTACCGGTCCTACAAACCCACAACGACATCTCGCTGCTGCTGAGGTGTTTGGTGTAGATGTTAGTAATGCGAAGGAAGAGAGTGCGGGTGAGATATTGGGTGAAGCGCTGGCGAAGTTCTTGGTGGGATTGGGAGACCAACCAAGAGGGATCAAAGCACTTGGATATCAGAAGGAAGATATTGGAGCACTTGTCGAGGGAACCATGCCACAGCAGAGGGTCTTGGTTTTGGCACCGAATTTGAGAGGGGAGGAGCAGAGACAGAGGGAGATTTTGACGGGGTTGTTTGAAGATGCATTGGAGTACTAGGTCTGCAAAACTAAATACTTCTAACAGCAAAGAAAGAATATGGGCGGATCTAACCGATATAATGTAAAATATATACGAAAATGCATGATATCGTACCAGAGCATTCTGAATGTCGCATCGCAGATGTACATACTAACTATAGCTCAAAGTCGTGGGCTAAGCTAGCGGTTCTGGTGAACTGGTATCTCCGAGGCTTGAAGGCAATGCTAGTCTTGTACGTTAGTCTTGTATTTCAGGCTACGTACTATGGAACCAAAATCGGAGTTATCTCTTTATGTTCCCTTAGTTACGGGAACGAGACTATTAGTTATGTTCCCAGGCGTGTCTGAAAAGCTTTAAAAGTGCCTGGATTCGGTGATAACTGGGTACTAATCCAGTATCAAAGACAACAGAGGCTCTGCGTTGTGGTGTTGCAGAGTGCCGGGGCCGAGATTGCCAAACATGAGCTTGTCCACGTGACACAGGTGAACAAGTCTTTGATTCGACGCGACAAGCCGACGGAACTGCGATGATTCCTTGCCTTTCAACCTGCACTGGTCTTTAAAAGACCTATCGCATCGCGATTCCCTTCAGCATCAGCTTCAACATCAAATCACATAATCACCATACTCTCGTTAGCATCACCTGTCTTTTTGTCACTGTATAACAAACCTCAGACCGTCTTTGGCACCGTCTCTGGCGATCTCCAGCTATGGCTAGCGAACAGCGACGGCTGCTTGAGCAGCTGGTATGTCACTACTTCTCCCATCTAAATAAATTGCCTCCAAGCTTAGATTTGAATCTAATTCTTCTACACTAGATGGGTACATCCCGTACACCCTCTTCAACAAAATATACCGATCCAAGTGTTTGTCGTTCTTACCTTGTGGGGACCTGTCCTCATGACCTGTTCACCAATACCAAGCAAGACCTTGGTCCTTGCCCAAAGCTGCACTCCGAACCTCTAAAATCCGACTATGAGGCTGATAAAGCCAACGGAAAAGACCCAGGATACGAATGGGACTACGCTCGGGATCTACAAAAATACGTCGATGATTGCAATCGACGTATCGATGCCGCACAAAGGAGGTTGGAGAAGACTCCTGAGGAGATCATGAAGACCAACGAGCTCTTGAAGAGTATTCGAGATTTGACAGAAAGTATTCAATACGGATTGAAGGAGGTGGAAGTTTTGGGGGAGTCTGGCAGCGTTGGAGTAGCAATGGAGGAGTATTGCAAGATTAAAAAGATGAAATTTGATAAAGATGAGAAGGAGGTATGTTTTTTGAACTCTGTTACATGGTGGAAGAGAGATATACTGATGGAATGGTTGTGTAGAGGGAGCTCAAATCTCTATCAGATACATCGGGTCCATCGGGGCATCAGAAATTGCAAGTTTGTGATGTCTGCGGGGCCTATTTATCTCGTTTGGATAATGATAGACGACTCGCAGACCACTTTTACGGAAAGGTAGGCCCCGTTCCCGACACTGTCACAGTCTATTATTTCTAGTAGCCAGTGCTGACCAATACCTTTCATAGATGCATCTCGGATACGCCCAAATGAGAAATAAATTGAAGGAGCTCCAGGAGGTAACCGGCAATCGGAGGCCTCCACAATCCGAAAACGCGGCCAGAGGGCCAGGTGGTGAAGGTGGCTGGGGTGGTGATAGAGGTTACGGCGAATATGGCGGAGACCGACGAGATAGAAGGGGTGGTAGGGGTTATGGTGGACGCCGTGGCGGCCGTTATTAGAACTCACTCGGCCGCCCCGTCCACCAACCCTATGGAATTTATAGAGCCATTGAACGCTCACCATCGCCTGACCGCCCACCGCCACCCAAGCGTCCGCCGCCGCCTAAGCGCCCGCTACCGCCTAAGCGTTCACTGCCCTCTTCACCGTTCAAAAGCACACCGTCGCCCAAACCTCCAAAAACCCAAAGGGCTTTCGCCTATCGTTCAGATGAAAAGACCTCTTCAGCGCTACCATGGCGATGGCGATGACGATGACGATGGTCGTATTTACCAGGGCCCTAAGCAGTTTTCGAGGCCCTCTTCCAAAAATAAAAAGAAAAAGAAGATTGACACAATGGCACGCTTTTTTGACAGAGCAGGATAGGCCGACCACTTTATTTTGATTCCTACCCGTCCCCTCTTTTTCACTCCATTATCACTCCATGAAAACTTCTGTCGATGGGGAGGCGAGGGATCTGCGTTTATGTACTACTATTGATTTCATTTATTCTCTTCTTCTTCTTCCGAAGTCACAACCCCTACGACAAAAAGCTGCGTTATAGCCCTTTCATGATCATGTTGTTAGATAGATACCCCTGCCGCTTTAATGTCGTTGATTTATTACTACCATATTATATATTTTATGACATTGATTATGGTATGGACTATTGTCAATGGTGAAGAAACGTGCACGTGGCAGGTCTATTGGTATTCCATGACTTCATGCAGATGTTGCCTCTTTTATTTGAAAGGTACGAAAAGTAGATTGTTTTAAGAACATTGATTGATTTCGTGCGAGGGTCGCCAAAGGCGCATTGATTTCAAATACCACTTTGGTTTCTGTATTGTTGTTTCGGCTCGAGATCGTAGGTGTATATAAGCTTTCGCCAATGCTACTTTCGGCCGGATTCGGGTCTTGATTAAATTCAATTGGATATATATATCTATACACCTACTTACTTAGGTATATAGTACTTATATTTTAGATTAGGATTGGATTATCGATACAATGTCCCACCAAGCTTTTACAGACGACGAAATCATCGAGTACTATGAATACCACACTCAAAGCTCTGCTTCAAGCTTCGTATCAAAATGTTTGAACGACACATCTATACCCTCGAATACAAACAATCTTCGCAACGGAAGACTCGTTATACTCCCACCCCGTGCAATCATAAAATCAGGCCTTTACATCACCGATGAAGCCCAAAACCTCCAAAGCGCCTCGAGTATCCTTAGTAATACTTCGATCCTAAAAGTTCCAAAGCTATATAGAGCGTTTGAAAGACATGGAATGGGATATATGGTTATGGAGTATATTCCCGGAAGACATCTTCACATTGACGATGAAGAGGAGGTAGACTGGTTAGTTGGAAAAGTTGTAGAGGTTGTCAAGTACTTTTGGGGACTTGGTAAGGGAGATATTGTAGGAGCTGTTGGAGGGGGTAGGTGTAGAGGGTATTGGTGGAGTAGTGATTTTCCAAAGTTTGAAGATAAGAAGGGGTTGGAAGAGTGGTTTTTGGAGAGATTACAAACTCATGAAAAGCAGTATCTAAGAATAAATAGAGTAGATATGGTACTGTGTCATATGGATTTGGTTAGTAGGAATATATTGATAATCGAGGGTGAAGATAAAGAGAAAGAGGTAGTAGTGGTGGATTGGGAGAGTGCGGGGTGGTTTCCTAGGATGTTTGAAGTTGCGAGGTTGGAGATGGTGGTTAGTAGTCGACGGGGTCTACCAACTGTTTCAGGAGACAGCAATGTAATTTCAAGTGAGAAAGAAATGAAGTTTGAGAGGAAGTTATTAGAGAAGTTGAAGGGGATGTTGGATGCGGATGAGATAGAGATGATTGAGGGGGTTAGGAGGGCTTGGGAGGGGGTTTGATTGTATGTTCGTGTATTTACTAGTACGTATGCTTCTGCACGCCGAGAAGTTACTAAGTTTTAGGATTGGCTTGTCTCGTAAAATTACTTGATCTGATATTACAAGAAGAAATAATTGGAGAGATCTGTTAAACGTTTATGTAATACTCTTAGACATCCCTAGTTTATTGTACTAGATAGCAGTGTATGTACAGCCTGAAGTTTACGTATGCTCCGGTATCGCGATATATCCAACCGGGAGGAATGCATTGCATGCAGTTGCCACACATATTACTCCAAGTATCCGCACTAGAATACTAAACTTGAGCCTGGATACGAGCATCTCATGATCAGACTCACGCATCTGGACTAGTAAGGATAAGAAAATATGGTAGGTAGAGATGGTATTGTTACCCGGTGCGAGTCTGGTCTGAGTATGAAACTAAACATCTAAAGTTATAACTCGGAACGATCATGTCTAGGATTTGTCGCTTTTTCTTTCTTTTTTCCTTTTCTGACGCGGGTATCATATCGATATGTTGACCAAATTTGTTTCTCAGGGAAGTAAACGAACTTATCTGAGTTTTATAGTAGGTTCGAAACTCCTTCTCGAGGAAACTCGTCCTGTGTTCTAATGTTGGATTTCGAATATTAATCCACGATGCGAGTGTCCGACTTTCAGAGAATAACTCTGCGTTCAATTCCAACTTCGATACGAGAGAGGGATTCCAAAGAATCGCAATAATTTCCCAAACACAGATGTTATGTGGTTTGCTTGGTAATCAAATTCGAAGCCTCGAATTGTCGTGGCACGGTGATATATCAGAACGCGGGCGTCGTAAGCTTTGTTCTAAATTCCGCAGCTGCGCAACTCGATTATTATTATGCACACCGCGGATCGGAACAACTTCCCTAGCAAGAGATATAACATTTTAAGCACTTGGCTTGCAGTCGTAACGTAACGTTATAGCTAGAGCTAGCCATGGGAAACCGATTGATAAGTATAGTAATCGTATGGCGACTTGGGAACCACTATCAACCGGATCGAATTTCCAATTGGGTTTCTACATACCGCACTTCACCCGAACTCAAGCCTGCGATAGCTCAGAACGTTATCAAAAAAAGATGGATCCAAGCATAAACTTGTGATCCCGCACCCGCATAAGATCCCAGGCCTAAACAAAGCGTGGGGACGAATCCGGAATGATGATTGGATAATTGTTAAACACCGTTTGTCGCACAGCCTCAACAGCGCCAAGGCAGGTACATATGTCCCATCACTGTGAAACTGGCTGACGAATATTTGTCACGTCCAAAGACAAGTAATGCGAAGGATATCCCCCCTTCTATTCCTTAGTCTGGAACAATATTATAATTCCCAATAGAAGAGAAGAGAGAGATAGAGCTCTGTGGGCTGTCTTTTCTGTCGTACGTATTCGGGGCGAAAGGAAGGGGTTACGCGTTTGGCAGTGCCACGCCTGGTAGCCGGCACTGTGATAGAAATCACATATCTTTTACGGTTCTCGGATTCCTTTCTGACAGAAAACATTGCATTGCCCGCCCTGTGGTAATAATATTACCGTCTAGTGAGGCTCAAATTAGCATAGGCAGAAAGTATTCCCGTGGCCAACACAAAGTCCATGCATATGTTCAACAGACATCCACACATACCTGGTTTGACGTTCCTGGTCCCTGGATTAACCAAGTATATTGGTTACGAGGCAGTCATGACATGACATTTGGAGGAAGGCGGTGCCATTTTTAGTTTGCCTGATTGACAAAGAGTCAGTCAACAGTAGCGCCAACTGGAAACCGGCAACCAACTACCCAAGTAACTAAACGGGCAGTGGGTGGTAAGCGAGGCTGTGAAGAAGCTTGAAATACTTATTAAGCCTGTTTTCCAAGGATCGTGATCGGTTTTGTATTTAACTCTGGCATTGTACTATTTATCGTACGGGGTAGATTGCTATTGTATTGTATTGTAGTGTATTGTAAAGAAGACGTATTGAACGAAGCCAAAGCCAAGTGTCTTCGACCTCATCTGACAGCATCACAACCACAACCACAACCACCACCACCACCACCACCACCTCAGATACCCACAACAAACGTCATGAACCATCGACATCGACATCCCCGGCAACTTCCCAACTAAACTTTACAAGCCTCATCCGACCGTTCCGTCCTAGTACATATATAACCACCGTAGTATCTTCACTCTCGCTTACTTACCTACTTTTACGACTTCATATCATTCGTCTGTCGCTGTTCTAGAAGTCTAATCCTAGAAACGTAAACACCATGCCGGCCGACGAGGTACTTCCACGTACGTGCATTGTCTACTTCCACTTCCGCTTCGATCCCCATGTAAAGAGAAAAGAGCATGGCATGGCACAGTCGATGCCATGCATGTGCCGCGAGAATGCCATGAGAATGCCATGCTAACCCCACGTTCCTTCGTGGAATGTCGTCGCTTGCAGGCTTCCAGATCCGTCCTTCTGCTGATGGCAACCCGTACCACCAAACAATCCTCTTCTCCCACGACTACCGTCCTGCTGAGCCAGCTTATCTCAAGTCTCGCTCAAAACATCCAGATGAATATTCAATTGCTCTTCTAGATGCCTATATTCCAGATATAATATTCGCGCAGGTTGTAGCCAAGCCGACCATATCCACGCCTTCGCTTTCGCTTGACGAAATCCGTCGACAGAACAACGGCGGCTCTCCAAATCTACCGACAATTACTCTACCAACTTCCTTTACGATCCAACTTTACAATCCGGAATCTCAGGTTATAGTTCACCACAAATCTTCGAAATGGACCGGATCATACTGGGAGTTCACACTGCCACGCCGTTCGTTCCGCCAGCCAACCGGCTCTCGCCTTGACGCCGAATTAGCCCGAAACAACGCCCTCCCTCCGACTGATGTATCCACCTTCCGTTGGCGCAAAGACGGTGGTGTGGTTTCCAAAACGTCATTACGATGCACAATGCTTTCTCCGGCATCAAATTCGGGCGATAAAAATGCTAAGAAAAAGGGTGGTAGCGAACCCGACATAACTGTTGCGATTATGGACAAACTCAAGGACGTCACAATATACCAACCAAGTTTGCAGCGTGTAGATGTTGAAGATAAAAAGGGCTTGGAAGTTGCTTTACTATTGACCGCGACTGTTATCGCGGATATCTATTTCACACCACCAAGCACCAGTTTCAATGTTGGAATTCAGACGGCTGTCTCTCCCAATAATGGTCCAAACGTTAGGCCACAGAGACCTCTGCCAACTGCTGTCCCTACCCCGGTTGGATTTAGTGCCGATACTGGTAGGAGGAGAAGCAGCAGCATAAGTCCAATTACCGGCACTCCACCGACTTATACGCTTATAAAAACTCCAACACCACCAAACAATGCTCCGACTGTAGTCAATAACAACGTACTCCGCGACACAGCTACCCTACAGCGGCAACAGGCAATTGAGGACCGTCGCCGCCTCGAGGAAGAAAAGAAGCGTCAGAGAGAAGCCGCACTCGAAGAGAAGAGGATTCGTAAGATGTTAGAGAAGGAAGAGGCTGACAGACGTAAAGAGGAGGCGAGAGTGAATGCCGAGACTGAAAGATTGAAAAAACAATATGGTAGTGATGCAGCCGCTTGGGATCGACTGAGGAGAGATCAGGATAATTCACAAAATTATGGCTATTACGGCCATCAGAGGAACCAATCGGTACCTCAACCACCTAGCTCCTATAATCAGCGACCTCCGGTTATTGTGGAACCCACGAGTACTTCACCCAATCAACCAGCACCGAATGGTAGGAGGTGGAGTCAGCAACTGCCCCCACGACAGCCGTTATACCCAGTCCCAGAGTCTCAACAGGCGAGACCACCACAAAATGGTCAGCATTTGAGCCCTGACGGTCCACCGTCGAGCTTCCAACAACCACAGAAACAGCCCAAGAAGAAGTCCAGCGGATTCCTTGGCATTTTTGGTGGCGGGAATAGCTCCGGAAACGGGTTGGCGAAGAAGAAAAGCAGTTTCTTCTGATTTGTTGAATATAAACCGCATCCACTGGCATGGACACTAGCTCGTTTCGTTTCCTGGCTTTTATCAATGGGGAGTTTCTGTGACTTTTTTTTTTGGCTATCATTTAGTGTTGGGTATATTCACCCTTTCTTTATTCGCCTCATCCCTTCATTCTTTTCTCCATCGTTTTGGTGGATTACATACTTTTTTCAGCTCTGGGCCGGTACTTTCATGAGCCTGGCATTCCTTTGCATTATCGATTTTTGGTCGGGACATAGATCGGAGAACAGGCGTTTTCATCTCTTCAAATACTTCATTGCTGGCTGTTATAGTTATTTTCTCCCTACTTTTGCCCGGAAAACTGCTGCTCAGTTCATTTTACATACTTGCACGTACGCATCTGCTTTCTTTCTTGCGATGAAAATCTTTTCGCAGAGTTACTTATAACCAGAACGTGCGGAAGTCGTTTTTTTTTCTTTTCTTTTTTTCTACTTTAGATAGGTCTATAGTTAAAAGTGGATAGTATGAGTTTCACTATCAAGTTTATGTGTATCCAATACGAAGGAATTAGATTATCCTAAAATAAATAAGCTAAGGAATATAGAATAGCATGCTCGATATAAATTTCTTCCACTCCTAGAGGGTAGACTTTATTTTTGACTTTTCTCAATATGAGCCTATCTTCGGAATCGTTAAGGTGCTATTCAATTGCAAGACTAGCAGCTAGCTAGTGGTATTCAGATTTGCTGTTACATTAGCCACAGATAATGTAGACGCAGCAGGCTTATGTCTTCAGGGGGGTTTAACCATAGCCACCGGGTCTACATTATAAGATGGTAATTGACTGCCTGGGCAGGCAAACGCCGAGTAGGGACCGCAAGTTTGATATTTGGCTAAATCAACCACCTACGGCTATACTTGGTCTAGTTCCAAGACGTTACTGAGCACACCAAAAGGCTATACTATATCTTTCGTCTTGAGAATCTTAGGGTTTCTCAGTCGAGAAATAAACTAATATGACAAAGAAGGAATATGCAGCAGATCTCGTTATGCAGCCGCTGTTTTAATACAAGACTACACTAAGTTATGAGAGCTTATAAGTTAGAGGCCAAGATGCTAGCACGGTAATTCAGCATTTAGATACTAACATACGGTCTCCTTCGAATTCCTTCTTTTAGTTTTCTTTTTAGTTTAGCGGCCAGTCTAGTTGTTTTTACCTTAAATTGCTTTTGAGACCCGTAATATACCCGACTGGACTAGCTAGTAATTAAGTTAAACTCGCACCCGTCTTACCTCCAGGCCAGCATACGCCGAGGCCTAAGCTTCCAATATTTTTACAAACTACCTACACATCCATACTAGTAACGTTATTCGTATTCGATATCATGATACAGCCAAAGTTTCTCTCGCTTAATGTTTAACCTCGAATCTAGACTCTTTTCACCATATGACCATGGTCACGGCACTTAAAACGGTGCAAAGGCTCTGGACAATACATTCATATCTGTAACTCTGAAAGCAACGCTATGCATATGGCCGGGCACCAGTATCTATCGCTCTTCCCTCCCGTTGTTGTCTCGCCATTTGAATGTTTCGTGTTGGAGCTGTTGTAAAATTGGTGTAACACCAGATTCCCAGCCACACTTGAAGTAGCGCCACATCTCAGGAGTATTATGTCATCTACAATAGCAGTATTCGAGGTCTCAATTTCAAGATCCCTCCGATCAACTCTGAAAGGAATAAATTTAAACACTTGAAACGTCTAGGTCTCTGACGACAAGCAAGGCAATTGAGTAACTGGCTTTGGGATACAGATTGGCAACATATATGGAAAAGTTAGTGGCTTGATTTCCGCTTGGCAGTATCGATACCGCTACGTTTCGAATGTTTCCTATGCCTAATATTAATCAGAGAATAGTTTAGCACTCAACAAGCTTTTCAAAATCTCAAGTTTGCACGATAAACTCTTGCATCGGGGAGCATGCAGGGGGCCACATGAAGTTTAGCCCCATCCCCAAATGGAAAACACCGACGCCCGTTGGCATGCACCCTAACGAATATAGCCAATAGCCTTGTGTCGGGAAAAAAATCCAACAAGCTTTTACAATCGATGAATGTTCGCATTAGGCAAGCTACGGCTGAAGATTGCAGAGCCGCAGCCTTCCCCATATCTTATCCACCAAAAACCCCAATGGGAGACGCAAAGAAGTGTCATAATGGACCCACTTTCCCTCAGCTCAAAATCGGGATTTGGAAGACTTGGTGGTGGTCTGCAAGGGATCTACGCGAGGCGGTAAGAGTCCCAAAAGCCAAGTTCGAAATCAAGTCACTTTAAGCCTTCTCTGATTGGCTCACCCTCATCCAGCTCTTTTTTGTGGCTTTTTTCTTCTTCTATTTTTCTTCGTTCTTCCCTGCTTCCCTCCTCTTTCTTTGGGCACGAGTTGGGGGTTCGAACGTCTTGATAGTTGGATATATGCAAGTTCTAGCTTGGCTGGGCGCGGGGCGACGAACGCAGATGCTAGATGTTTTGACGGCTTGCAGTCTTTCTCGTGACGCAGATTTCTGCAGATTGACTCCATGGGCAGCCTAAACTTCATATCCGCGGGGCGGGGAAAGTTGGTGTTTCCTTATTTATTGAATTGCAATATTGACCGCCGCATCCCGATAAAGCAATATATGATGTTAGATTCACCTTGAGGCTCTTACAAGCGCTATTCTATAAATTGGCCCCCCATCCGCCATCCATGTGCCGTCTGATCTGACCTTTGCGGCCAAAACGAACTATTCAGTCTTTCTTACCGTCTTTTAAATAAGAGGTTCCCCGAGATAGGATGTTACGCCTTGTCAATTAATTGTGGCTACGAAAATATACATAGATAGCAGAAGATCTAGCTAGCACCGAAAGGTTCCAACAATTACAACCTTTTCAGATTCACCGTATAACAATAAATCTTTAGCAAAACTAGAGATCCTGAAAACATATACAGGTGTGGATTATCCACCTTGAAGTTCGGTCAAGCCCTACTATTATACCAGAGAGACACTTCCTATCTTCACAGTTTATAACGACAATACTTCCGCGATATATAATCCCCTTTATACGCTCTTCTTTGTGGCCCCGAGGTGTAATACCAGTTTATACGAACATACTTTCGCCAATATGTCGTCCTCACGTCTCCTCATCCTTGCCGCCCTTCTCACAAATATACAAATGATAGGCGCGCAGAAGCCCATCGTACAGACAATCACAAATCTCGATGCATATACCGCTGGTCGCGGCTGCATGCGCGACTGCCTATACAACATCGCCGGTCGCAATGGTTGCGATAATACGAACGAATGTATTTGTCGTATCGATCTCCAGCCTGCGCTCACATCTTATCTCTCTACTTGTATATCCAATAGCTGCGCCGGTTATACGAGAGACGTGAATAGTGGAGTCAGTATCTATCAAAGCTACTGCTCGGATAAAGCCGACGCCCCTGAGCCAGTGGTCACTCCTGTCGCCACTGAAGAAGTTGTCGAAACCACAATCATCAAGCGAATAACAGTTGAAGCTACCGCAACCGCAACTGAAACAAATTTTGCAACCGAAACCGTCAATAATCTCGCAACGATTACACGGACTTCTTTTACCACGCAAGTCGTAAACGGTGTCACCACACTCACGAGCTTCACGGGGACGACGACGGTCAGAGTTCCAAGCAGCCTTACACAGATTGAATACCAGACATTTACGGCAGTGTTCAATAATACCGATAGCCTAAGGCAGACCTTAGATATGTGGGGAATTGGAAGTGAGAAGGGCTTGAATATGCAAGGGAAGGTGGCTGTAGGGCTGGGTGTTGGAATGGGAGTTTTCCTTGTGGCATTTTTGGTGACTTTGTGCTGTTGTTTGAGCCGGCGCAGTGAACTGATGAAAAGGAATAGAGCTCCTGGGACGGGCGGAAATGCTGGATGGCCGGATGATACGACGGCACCGAAATACTAAATAAATATGATGGCTGCAATGCATATGTCAATCGGGGAATCGGGGGAAGAGGCACGTGGATAGTCGACTAGACCTGATTAGTTTTGACTCTAGCTTTTTCAAGTCTTTATTGATATTACTCTCCATTATTTCCTAAAGATAATACTAAAGACAAGAACTTATATAGCGGAAATGCAAGTTTTTTTCCCTTTTGATGTCTTGGTTCTAGTACATGCCACGATCGTTCTCCAGTATTCATAGTCAGCTAACCCTTTAAATTTTTCGAAGTGCTCCTTAACAATGGGAGAAGGCTAGCATGCGGCGTATCACCGCGCGCGAGAAGTACGATGCATGTAGTGTCCAATCCGTAATATAATATGATTCAGTTAATTGATTAATCTTAACCCGCCCAGCCTCAAAAACTAGTTGCAGACCTCACAAAAGCATCTTGGAATAACTCGAGCCAAACTTGATCATGATTGGAGTTGGCTTGCCTGGTTTAATCGACTTGGTCATGGGATCTCTTTTTCTCTTCTGGCTCCGGCTCTGGCCTAGGGAAGTCGGCGCGTACTTTCTCCATGCGCTCCGAAAATGCTAGCTGCTGGCACAAAGGACACGAAGTCCCACGTTTGGGGGTAAGGTACGCTTTTTCGGAGCACAAGCATGCAGCAAGTTTAGGGCCTTCCCATTCGTGGCCACATGGTTGGAAAACGAGTGTTGGAACACACATTTTTAGTAAGTACTATATACTCAAATCTTGGATTTTTGGATTTTTGGGAATCTCGCGATCTTTTTGGGTCTGGTTGTAAATTCTTTATTTGAGAGATCGTAATTAGGGAAATTTTGAACCTTGTATATTTTTTGTGAAAATCGTGAAAATCGCAAAATTAAATACAGATGTGTGCATGAAACCAGGTCTGTCTTCAAACTAGTGCTAATATATCATGAATTTATGTTTCATACCCAGAAGTACATTCTCCACCGTGTCAAATCCCTTCGTCTCATGGATCTATAGATGAGCAAACCGAACTCTATCCTATCCATGGACCCTCGAAACATATATATGCTCCCAAGCTTACAGGAACGCCTCCATCATATCTCTCTTGTAGTCACGGTGAACGGGGAGTATTCTAAAACGGAAAAAGCCAAGTTTAATGTCTAACCCATTCACAATTACCATCCGGGTTTCTTCTCCATGTGACGGCGATTTCGCTTCCTGGAGGCTTCCCACGGAAATCAATTTCAGTAAACCAAGAATATGAAACATAATCCATCTTTTCAAAGTTGCCCATTGTAAAATCGCCAAGAGCGATGTAGTAAACATTTAACTCTGGTGTGAAAGTTAATGTGCCGTCAGGGATTGCGTAGCACAAAGCGACTGGGACGATTTCTTCGGTTTGTGGATTTTTGAGTCCCATCCCCATAACAATCATTTCTATCCAGTTCGATAATTAGTTTCGAAGTGAGTTCGAATGTGACTGTAAAGTTGAAGTAAATACCTTCAGCAGAATGAGTAATGTTAGTCGAAGTAGTTATACGAAAGGACCCATCCATTGTCGTCGTTGTTGTCGCGGAATCATCAAAGAAAGGTTTCTTTCCACCAGCTGCGGCATGATCTGTGCTACAATCAATCTTAACTACTGAGCCCTTCACCGGTCGCTTAGTCAGCTTTACCGGCCGAGCCTGTAAATCACTGAGACCGTCTGGAGGCATATTGTCTGGATCGCTGTCGTCTCTAGGCGTTGTTGCAACGATAGCATAAGGTTCCGGGACTATTGTAACTGTCCCGGACTCCATGGCTCCGATTTTGATACACTGGTATAGAGAGACATATAGTGTTGCCTTCGACTTGATCGGGGCTGAATAGATGTAGCAATTTGTCGATTCGATCCATTTGTCTTCATTTGTGATCTTGATTTTATATGTGTTTGGCATCTTGCTTCTAAAATATATAATAGGAGATAGTAAAATCCAGGCGGTGGTCTACTATATTAAGGCTCTTCAGCTTCTAATGGAAAGTAGATAAGCTAAAGAGGTTTATCGATATCGATAGTAGCTACCTATGCCATATTAGCTACTGCGGGGTCGCTCCAGAAAGACGTAGCGTTGCATATTTTGCGTTGTTTTCTCGATACAACATGCTAGTCTCGACGTCTCGTACCTAAACTGTACAACATGCATGCTAAGAAGCCAGGGAACGTTTCGAAAGATGCTGGTGTGGAAGTGGTAGGAATCACGATATCAAGGGATTCCAGATGTTTTCGCGAAATCCGAAATTTTGAGCGGTTGGTCTCGTTCCATATGGCCATTCGACTCAATTTAATTTGCATTCCCTAGTCGCTAGGGAAAATGGTTTCATATAAGCTAATTATAATTGCGGACGCCCAACTTACCCGGTCTATAGTATACACCAGCCAGACAGTTGATCAATAAAATGCTAATGACTAAGTATGTATATGGCTCTAATCTTGTATGCATTTTGAATTTTATAAGGTTTATATCCCGAGAGCACGTTGTAAATACATAATCAACCCTCCTGGTGCGCCAATGCAAAATCTATCACACATAATCCTAGTCTATCCAACAGGCGGTGGGGTCTGGGGCGTAAATACCCATGGAGCAATTGCCAGCTTCTTATCGTCCGCTTTATATGATGGGTTCCTTACTGTACCGATACGATACGGCTCTGAAGTACACATTCTCAGCAGAGATGTCTCATCAAGCCAGCCTCTAGACATCCTAAAGCGTGATGGTGAATATGGATACTCCTTAGTCTCCCTCCGAATGTACTCTGCCAATATATAAAGGGCATAGTTCGTCGGGGAACCGAGGGGACCTGAATTCTCCCATCGCCTTCCCACCCCATTAGTCGCCAATTTTTTTGCCGACCAGGGACACAGAACGGGAATCACCCCACCATATCTGTATCCTACTCTCACATAGTCGTGGAAGGGAGGGGGTACCAAAAGATATTTGCTGTGTATGTTCGCTCCAGGGTCGACTATCTGTGTGGGTAGCCTGAAGTATACCTCCCGAACATGGAAGATTGCGTGCAGAAGCCATAGTTCACGGCTCTCATAAAAGCGAATATCCCACGGAAACTTTTGGCGAGCAGGGTCTTTTTCCGTCGTTCGACAATATTCAGCTTGCGAGATTAAGACTTTCAGAGATGGCTTGCTGAACCATGATGTACATATCGATATATGCAGCTGGTCGTCCTCTGCGTAGTTGTCATTTGTGTCCTCGTAAAACATAAAGACTTTATCGGTTTTATAGGACGTATTGCACCTGTGACCACTCGGTTCCAGACAGAGTATCCAGGGACCGGAGAACCAATAGGATCTAGTTACCCATTCATATGCCTTTTTAAACATTTCTGCACATATATTATAAGAATTCATTAGTTAGACCGCAAACTTGAGGTCATCTCGATATTCATAAGAGTACGTATATGTTTTTAAGTTTTAAGAAAATATTGCTTACTGACCTTTTACCTTTGGCTCATAAGTGTCCCAAGTATCTATGTAATTTGTCCCCAAATACTCCACGGCAGCATAAGAGCCCCAATCCGGGTCCTGGACCGCTGCCAACATGGCTTTGACATTTTCAAAAGCATCGTCGATAGCTTTTGCTTGTTCTGAGCTACAATTTTGTTTCCACTTGAGATTTTCCTTGGATTTGACAGGCCCATTATCTTTTGGATTTGTCTTGTTCTGGGCGAATGCGAAATTTGGTTGGAGAAGGAGCAGAACGAGGAATATTGTTAAAGAAAAAAGAGGGTATTTAGAAACCACGCCGAAGTATGAATCCCGTCGGGTCATAATTGATACAAAAGATATAAGATCAGAGCTAGTTCGAGCCTACAGGACAGGCTAAGCCGATTGCTAGATTATCTTATCGACTTTCTAGCCACCAATGAATTTGAAATCTTGGCTAGAATACAATTTTTCCGGGAGAATTTGAAATGTAGAATATCTTTTCGATTTGGGCAAAGATCGATTAAGAGTACGATAAGCCCATGTGGTTAGCAAGTAATTTTGAGTCAACAAGCAAGACCCTCAATGTGTACAGATGCATGCGTATACCATATCGACATCTATGCCGCAAACATCCACGGCTCTAAGGCTCGGGGTTTCGCGATCAACAAGCACAGAATGTACATATATCTACAAGTTGGTTGATTGCGACCCATGAATATGTTGTTTGATCTCCTCAAAACTAATTTTTAGTTGTGCTCACCATTCTTATAGGGGACAAGAGCTGAATAGTATTGTATATATATATGGAAAGTAACGGAACTCGGGATCCTAGGATATATTGGTGGCTAAGTCGAGGCTATAATGTTTTGACGTTACAAAATATAGAGGCACAACCCTATCGACCGGATACATGTTGTATTATAGGGACAGGGGGCTCAAGACGTGTTCTTTTCAAGGTTTTGTGGCTCAGTAGTCAGACGATTAAGGTCCTTGCGGTGCCTTGATAGTTTGGTATATATACGTATGGCACCCGGTGATCCTAAGCTATAAGTACTACACATACTCAATTGATCAAGTATCAGGATATGATACATATCAAAAAAAGCTAATGTTAGCAGGCATACCCAATATTCGATTCACTTAGATAGCGGTGGCTGGCTGATATGGTTGCAAACGTGTTATAAGGAGCTGTGCATGCATATCGAGGATCCGGCCAACATGTTAACAGGGCAGTTTGTATCTCGTGCATTCTAATTAATTTCCAGGTACTGCAAACTGACCAATTAATTAATAAAATTGCACCACATTTAGTCGCCAGTCGGCCATGACCACACTGTCCGCTCCCTCAAGTGCTCTGAGCCGAGAGACATTCGTTTACAATTGTCACTCCTACATACATATGTATTCGTGTGCATGAGGAAAGCTAAATATACGTCTTTGAAATTGCTTCTCGCAGAGTGCTAGAGAAGGTACGTGTTTACGGTATTACCGAAACTTACTCTACCTCTCAGCCCGGTAAAGCGTCTTAGTTCTAGAGAGTTAAATATAAATATTATGGTCATTAATTATGTTTAAGTAATTTCGTATTTTATTGTCCTATTGTCAACCTTCCATATCTGGGTCCCGGACAAGATCAATGTTAGATAATATATAATCAAGAATCTGGCTTCAAAGCTTCCGGCTCCTGTGATAAAACTTTACTGGGGCATACAAACAGTAACGTTCTGTTACACGGGTTGTATACAACAGAAGGGACGGACCCGCTTCAAAAAGCCCAACATCCAGTTTGAGAAAGCCGTACCACACAACCTTTGCCCGAGGAAAATGCTTATAACACAGGCTTTGCTCCTTTAGTTCCAAATTTACCCCATGCAGCCAGTTCTTGGATCTAACTGATCGACGTCGAGGTTGGGAGCCCGTCCCTTGCCGATATCGACTCCCACAATATGGATATATATCTATAATCATTATGGAATTTCCGGATATCACAGAAAACAAATAGTTATATGCTTAGCTACAGGACCAATTATTCGTATCGCTCCATTGACCTTGCGTTATCGTAGATAAACGGTATCCTTTTATTCGAATCAGACCGGTCTATGGGTTTCATTCTGTCGAGCACAAAACATCTTTAAGTCGTCTCTTGGATGGTGTGCAGATACAGGTATGTATAATATGGTTGATTAGCTGGGAAACTTAGCGAACTTTCTACTGTACTACGCTCGAACTTAAATGATTTGCTAGTACCAGTCGACCCTAGCTTGGTAGCTAATTTTAACCGTAATATAGAAATTTCATGCGATGAAGGCAAACTTAGTCAATTTCATGACAGTTCTGGCAGTTTTGGCCCATCCGATCTCAGCAAAATACACAGAATCTGTAGATATTACGTTAAGGAGGCGATCTATAGCTGTCGAGCCCCGAGCGGATCCGGATCCCAAGCCCATTGACAATACCACAATTATAATTAAGTCAGATATCTATCTGCCAGACGAAAAATATAGGGCCAAGGCGCAAGAATATAAAAAGAAATGGTCTGAGCAGGGGCGTTCGAGGCCAGATCTAACGAAGGAGGAAATATCAACATTCCTACGCGAAGAGCCTAAAGGTCTTCAAGGGTTTCAAGGGTGTGATGATAGACAAAAGGGCATAATTATCCAGACCTTTTTGAGCGTCCGAACGCTCTTTTTCGAGCCCCTTGTTAAGGATTGGAAGGATTACTCTATAGACTGGACAACCGCCGCAGCGATTGAGTTTTTTGGACCCGCAGGGGAAACACGCCCTTATCGAGATACTGTTAAATGTAAGTCCACGTAAAAAACAGTGGGTCTATTTAGGTTATTTGCACATATTGTGGACGCACGAATTCGCGAATCGAATCATGTGGTTGTCCCAGGATTTCGGGCGCCACCCCGAAAGTGTTCTTGTGAGCATCTGCAGCTAGAATCGAATGACTACACCGCAAAACCGTGCTTCCCCAGCCTCAATTAGAGAATAGAATATCATGATATCAGTCCTTTCCGTCTATCTGTTTTTCAATGTTTCGGGTAGCTACACTTTCACTGTTTGCAGTTTGGTAACGTAACAACCAATTTAGGGAATCTCGGCCATACTGCTCGGTTCCTAGACCCTCAGAACCCGTTAGGACCTACAAATGTAAGGTGCGACGACCCAGCTGGGACGTGTTACCGGAGGCTCGGCGTAATAGCGTATGTGCCTAGCATCGATGACAACCCTGATTATCACGGCCTCGACTTTATAAACTTCTGCTTTCCGTTCTTTGATATGTACGAAAATTTGCAAACGATAGCCCAGCGGATTGACAGTATGGATGATCCCGCTCGGGAATCTTTGAATCTAGAGCAATTTATGTTCACTCGAGGTAAGTTCATTTACACTAGAAGGGAAAGGATACATGCATTCAACGTAATTGAAATAGCCAGAAACTAGCTTGAGTTTTCTATGCCACAAATTTACATTCAATGTAGGCTATGATTCGTTTTACTCTTCATGTGCTAACTTTATCTTATTCTAACGACATCTAGAGGCTGTAATGATCCATGAAATGATGCACTCGCCTCCTAGAGCATTTGCACACAGAGATATCTTGGAAGTGCGCCCTGAAAGAGAATCGCTTCAAATTCCTGACTTAACACTACGTATACCTGGTCAGGAGCCGAAAGACTGGGGCCTGGTTTATGGGTGCCATACAGTGAGGGCCCTCGCTACTGGCTTCACAAAACCCCATTGGCATCCCGTCGAACCATCGAGTACCGCAGAAACGTATCCATGCTACCTAATCGCCGAATGGGTCAAAGAACGATGGGGGAGGTACCCGTATCAGCCCTTACTTGCCCTGCCACTAGAAGGAATAGAAAACTGGCCATACGAGAAGGCTGATAGCTTCCCCCGTTCAAAGTCAGACGGGGTAGAGTATAACTTTACTGCAAAGAAATTGGCGCTCGAGAATTGCAAAGAGCTAGCTCAACCGGTCAATATAACAACATCCTTCAACTCGTCCACGCCTGTGACGAAGACATTCCGTCTAGGTATCACAGAGGAGGATTGTGCGAATGCAAACTGGTATTTTGACACAACTTCTATGGAGAACATGCAGGACGCATCGAAGCTTTGAAACCCCCTCACGGGATCGATTCGGGCAATATCTATATTTCTCTAGTTAAAGCTTTCGCAAATATATATCAGGTGTTATAAGGCTGCGCGGCTCAGGGCAGGGAGGAATCGATGTTTGTGTCTCTATGTATGAGTTAGCAATACTACTTAACCTTTATAAATTTTCTTTAAGTCGAGTACGAGATACATATTTTGTTCATATTAGCCAATTAGGTATACTCAAGGCTTCCTAATGTTATGTGGTCATGTAAAGTTTGACAGGTAGATCTATAGATCTCGACAGTTCAGGAAGCGGTTCATTGAATATAATCAATGATCGAATATTCCAACAAGAGCGCAGTGTTGCATGCATATTGTCTGACATGGGAATACTACCTAGGGAGAAGTACTTAAGTTCACTGCAGCGCACTGCGAATAACCAATGTAATTTAGAGCTTAAGTTTATCGGAGTTAAGAATGGAATGACATATTCATGCACATTACCCAAAACCAAGGCAGAGCTGCAGAGGTGAGCGTCCCCCAGACTATATTCAAAATATTCGGCTACTTGCACTTGTACCGTGAAGTTAGGCATTACATCGGGGTTAAGAGTCTAGTAGGCTAGCCTCTGATCAAACCAATTAAGTCACATATAACTAACGCTAGCACTGCGCGCATTCGCGTGCTCGGATTTCATAGCAATAAGTAATTGACCCTCTGACCTGAGTACGAGACTGTAAATATCAAGAAGTAAACGTTTAAACCCAAAAATCGAATCGAGACTGTACATATGCCCCAGACTAGTCATTGAAAGCTGTCTCTGGATCCAATGCAATGCCAGGCTACGTTACACAGGAGCGCCTGCACGTCGACCAGATGCGGACGACAAGCCACACTTAAAATGCAATTGATGTGTTGCGTGGACTGGAACGATAGGTTTCGTTTCGTTTCAACTTGCATGATTATATGCTTCCGAGTCGACGACCCCAGGTCCGTCATTATTACCTACATAAAGCCTACATAAAGGAGAGTGTCGAAGAAGCTGGATCCGATGTGAATACGTAAGTATACCGTCTGTCAGTCATCGGCGATGAGGGTATCTAATCTGAATATATTAATATAGCTGTTTGGCACTGCGGGATTTCCTTGCCGATGGCTTGCTCCAATCGCAGCAACCGCAGATGACCACCCCATAGCACTCCATCAATCAAGCACTCCTGGACTTGAAGGGAGTTACATTGATATGGAGCTCAGGATGCCCATTGCGAAGCTTCTCCGACAACGGAAGTTATCCCGTTTAGTACAGCCGGCCCAGCCCATTATCAAGGCAGAATGATGCCAAAGATATCACCTCACGGCTGTACATGTGCACAATTTCCCGTCTTTCCGTAGTCGGGCTGTAGGTCGGGCTTGGGGGCTGCCAAAATGGACTTCCTATTTCTGGTGAAGCGTGATGTGGATAGTTCAGCCAATTGTCGCCCGCCAGCACCCATCCCTGTCGGCCAGCAAATAGTGATGCAGAACCACGACCGCCTCAAACTTGTCGAATCAGACAACCCATGGAACGCTTCTTGCAGCGAAATGCAGATGTGAGAATGGGGGTAGCCAAGCTAATTGTGATTTGATACTGTGGAAAGCCTGTCTGAAGTTTTGGTTCGAAACAGAATAGTCTGGTACACAATACGGATTATTGGACTAACCTCGCCTCGTAATCAAGTGACGACGCTAAAAATTGCTCCTCGCTCTTGTTCTTGCTAGGTCATGTTCTGCTTCCATTCTGTCTTTCTTTCTTTGGAGCTCTTGGCCATCTTCAAATCTTCCTACCCGCTCGGCTAGCTAAGTGCCTAGCTTAGCTGGCCAGCGATGCAGCTAACCAGAATAGTCTTATCGAACTAACGTTTCGTTCGCTGGCAGGAGCGGGTGAGGGCATTGACATGTCTCCTCACTTGTCGCCTGCCACCTGTTTCCCTTCCGCCAGTATTAGCAGAGGAATCCCGTCAGCCAGACCAGCAATGGGTACTCTGAATGAAGCGGGGGAAGCCTGTCTTGTGTGATACTCACTCGCTTGGTACAGCTAAATATGGTATATAGAAAACCCCCCTTCTTTTTTTCCCTTCACATTTTTTTTTGAAGATCCATGTTCTTAAAGTTCTTCAAGTTCCAAAGGTAGCAGTCTTAATATTCCGAAATCACGAGGAAACCGCTTTGCTTTCCCCCTTCAAGCAATTTTTCAGGGCGAACGACAGAAACATTCTTTGACAGAATACCCAGCCACGATTTCTTTCTTTTCTAGCCTATATTTTCTTACTTACTTAAATCTGAACTCCGAACTCTTCAACTTCTCCTGAGAATTTCCTTTCGACAATAAAGCGAAACTATTTTGGGAGCTTAAAACCTCAGCTTGGTCCTGAGCTTAGTTTTCTTCCTCTCTTTCTTTTCTTCCAAAGTTACCCCAGTCAATCAGCTCCAAGTTGGACAACTGTTTCATACCACAAAAGATCAGACGGTCTTCTCACCCTAAAAATACCTCACGATGGCTCCGTCGAGAACGAAAACCCTTAACTATACCGTCGAGGTTGTCGACAAAGCCGGGAAAGCAATCCATACAGTAAGTACCTACATGTCGATCCGTTTTCGTGCAGCTTTGCCACAATCAGATCTTGATACATCTCATCGGGCCAAGGTCCACGATTGTGTAATGGATTGAGCTAGCTCGCTAACACCAACCTCCCCAACACAGTCCAAAACCATCTTCGGAGCCCTCCGTGAGGCTCGCGATGCCTACAAAGCAAAGAGAGCCGAACGTAAAGCTGAACGAGATGCCGAGAAGGCAGCTCGCCGCGCAATAAAAGAGCGTGCCTATGAAGAAGAAGTCCGCGAAGCCCGTCGCGCCCGTCGGGAGGCTCGTCGTGCCATCGAAGATGACAGCCGAACAGAGGATCGTCGTCGCGAACGCCGCGAACGCCACGAGCGTCGTATGATAGAGGATGGAAGGAGTGATGCTGGTACTGAGGTTAGGGATCGCGATGCAGGGTCTGATACTTCAAGTATCTACTCCAATCGTGAGAGGAATGGTTCAACCGGAGCTTTGACACTCAGGGGTGCTTCCACAGCAGATTTGTCACTACCACCTCTGCCGCCAAGACCCGAAGTCGATGAAGAAGACGATCATTTGACTGCATTGTTCACACAAGTTCAAGATATTATTGATCACGCCGCCGCCGCCCAGAGCTCGGTTGTGACATTGGTAGATGCTTTAAGGCGTGAACCAGAGACATTGGCGATGGTCGGACTTACGCTGGCGGAAATCTCGACCATCATCGCTAAGCTGTCGCCTGCAGCTCTTGCTGGTGCCCAGTTGAGCTGGCCTGTTGTTTTCTCATTTTTGGCAAGTCCACAATTTGCAATTGTAGCTGGAGGTGTTATTGGGACCACCGTTATTTTGCTCGGTGGTTACAAGATTATCAAGAAGATGATTTATGGTGAGCCAGCGAAACCACCAGAGATCATCGATATGGGTGGTACTGTTGTGGAGGAGGGTGATGTTAGAGCAATCACAGCTGCTGGCGAGCCGCCAGCACCAACCCCGGCGGTTATGGAAATTACACAAAAAGTCGAGGAGATTAAGGTCAACGACTCAGCAAGAGAGAGGGAACGCGAAAGGCACCACAGGTCTAGGAGGAGTAGTAACAGTAACGACGATCCGTTAGCATTTGGTCATTCCGAACCCCGAAGAAGGCACACACACCGCGATGAGGGTTCTAGGAGATCACACGATGATTCTAGAAGACCGTCGATGTCCTCGAGATCGCACACCGCCCCTGTCGATACCAGATCGGGCGAACTTACTATCTCTACCAAATCTCAGCAACCGGAAGTTCCGCCACTTGCTTTCGATATATCCCCAAAGAAGGAGAAGAGATCCTCATCTCGGAGCCGGCCATCGCGATCAAAGAGCGAGTATAAGCCAAGGAGCCCAAAAAGTGATGACAGCAAGAAGTCCTCCGAAAAATCATCCGAAAAGTCATCTGGAAAGAGGGAAAGAGATACTAAGGACGCTGAAGAAGGAGGAAGGTTTTTTATTGTGAGGAGGCGAAAGTGATGCACCGCATATTCTTGACAATATCACGACAGAAGCCATTGAGCCGAAACAACGGCCCCGCATTATTTAACATAATATTTTTTCCACTGGTGTTCTAGTTTCTTTTTGTTTGGAGGGCGGTATATTTTTTTGAATGTTAACATCAGATCGAGGGGCATTTCAGCGAGCAGGAGTTTTTTCTTTCATTTTTTCGATATTTTCGTCATCTTGAGGCGGGTGAGATATCACGACTCAACTATTTTATACTATATTATACATAACCGATATCTCTTTTCGACTGTCCTGTTTAGATACAACGCTACCCATTTATAGAATAACTATTTAAATACTTAGTTTGAATTACCAGATAAAAGGCTCCTTTTTAAATCTATCATTATCAATCGTTGTGAGATTAGTTCTTCCCAAATCTGGGTGTTTCGATGGAGCTCTTCACCGGCTAGTCGCGGCTAGTGTTGATAGCTTCCCCAGATTCCCATTTCCACCTCCCTTCGACAGGTCTTGCACCTGCACCCACCAGCATCCAGTTTGCATTCTGGGCCTCAATCCGGTAGGATCTTGGACTTCATCACCACAATTAATATATACAACTCCAAAATGCGACGGAAAGCTGTCTCCCTCCTATGTCGGGTGCCCCGGCCGTCGACCATCCAACGCCCCCTGGTAGCTCCCATAGTATCGCTTCCGCGATATTACAGCAGCCACGGGCCTCCAAATGCCAAACTGAACCTGCCGATCCAGTACAATACTTCAACGTATCTTTCACATACAGCGGCGGCGACTCTTGCGAACCCCGAACTCCCATCATCGATCAGGACTTCTGGTAACACCGCCCGGCAGAACCTATACCAGTCGATTAACTCAGCCCTATCCACAGCCCTCAGCACCGATGAACGTGCCATTCTCTTCGGAGAAGACGTAGCTTTCGGCGGTGTTTTCCGCTGTTCAACTAATCTCCTTGATAAATTCGGCCCAGACCGTGTCTTCAACACACCGTTGAACGAGCTGGGTATCATCGGCTTCGGTATTGGATATGCTGCACACCATGAGGCCAACACGGCGATTGCAGAGATCCAATTCGGAGACTACGTCTTCCCAGCTTTCGATCAAATTGTTAATGAAGCTGCTAAATACCGTTATCGCGGTGCAGGCGACTTTAACTGTGGAGGATTGACTATCCGAATGCCAGTGATGGGTGTGGGCCATGGCGCGCTCTACCATTCACAAAGTCCTGAAGCGTTCTTTTGTCATGTGCCCGGATTGAAGGTCGTAGTTCCTAGAGGTCCGGTACAAGCCAAGGGCCTGCTTTTGGCGAGTATCAGGGAGAGAAATCCGGTCATCTTCATGGAACCGAAGATATTGTACCGTGCAACTGTTGAAGAGGTACCAGTCGATGACTATGAGCTCCCATTGGAGAAGGCAGAAGTACTCGCCAAGGGAAGCGATGTTACGATAATCTCGTATGGTACTACGATGTATACCGTTGAGATGGCAGCAAAGGCCGCCAAGGAGATGTTGGGAGCAAGCGTGGAGGTTATTGATTTAAGGACGATATACCCATGGGACAAGGTCACTATATTCGAAAGTGTCAAGAAGACCGGTCGATGTGTGATTGTACACGAGGCCACAAAGAGTGGTGGAGTAGGCGGGGAGATCGCGGCATGCGTTCAAGAAGAATGCTTCTTACGGCTGGAGGCACCAGTAAGCAGAGTTGCAGGCTTTGATGCTCCAATGGGATTGATCTTTGAGCAGTTCAACCTGCCAGATGTTGCCAGTAAGTCTACTTGTTTTTTTGACTAAATGTGATGAAGATATATTAGTACGAGCCATGCTGACTAGTGTTTTAGGGATATTTGATGCGATCAAGAAGACCCTAGAGTATTGATTTGACAGGAAATACTAAATCATGCTCGAACAGGGGTTCTAGCTTGGTAGTATACGATAAGTCCAGTACAAAATCCTTTGACATCGTCTACCTAGCTATGAGCTAGACTAGCTTCAATTTTATCCATGTACAACAACTGCATCATATGTGCACAAACGATAATAGTCCCAGAGCGGTATAATTGTATTTTATATAGCTCTATAGCCTTGCAAGTTTCCATTTTTCATAAATTTATATATATGGAGAATTGAAATTAGCCCTCCGTATCACTATTGTGCCTCGTGATGTCAGATGTTAAATTGATCTCATATCCACCGCGCCGCTCTCGGACCCGAAGCATAAACCTTGTCACGAGACCTTCAACGGTTGTTCCACAATTCCTCTGTAATGCCATTTCTTGCCAAGTCTAATATTACAACCGATTGGTCAATGGCATAATACAATTTCGTGCATCCTGGATAGTAGTTACAGGACTATGTACAGTACACTATACACTACAGACACATTATGGAGTAGCCGATTTTAGATCCCACGTCGCCGCTCCACGTTGGAAGGGCTCAGATCATAACTGAACCAGGTATGTTAGATGTATAAGAAAGCAGACAGAGTTGCCAGTTGTAGCACTGTTTTGAAACGGTCAAACAGTATTACGAACATGCACCTGTGGTGCGCGCACTTTCTCATGCCTGGTGATCTGTCAGCTGTGGGGTGCCAACAGCGCCTGTGGCCGTTGATAAGTAGGCAGCTGGCCCATGTCCGTGGCACCAGCTTGTTTGACAATTATGGCCGGACCGGGGCCTGTGATTGGTGAACGGCCTTCTGAAACTAGCCTGTGGAAAAGCTGCAAGGGACGGCCGAAAGAACCGACCAGCCAATCCGTGGCATGGCATGGGAATGGAGGCCTGTGAGTGGAGGAATCCACCTCCTTAATCTGACGGAGCCCACAAATGGTTTCTCTCAATCTTGTCGATTTCTTGTCTCGCTTTCCTGACTCGATTATCAGTTATCGCTTTTGAATTGCGCAAGGACGGTCCTTACCAAAGTTATCAGCAGCATATCTGTATCCGGACAGCGTCAAGGAATTCCAGTCGCTCACTCGCTCATTCATTCATATTGTCTATCGTTTATAGTTTTGTGACAAAGAAACAGATTCGACGAAGAAGAAGAAGAAGAAGAAATCTTTCACCGGGATACACTCACTTCCAACCTCCTCCATTCCTTTTACGGATCTTTGCGGGCGCATACACAAACTGCAACTTCGCAAAATCCAACAGTGAACAGGCCCGAATTTCGAAGCCCCGCGCCGCCCAACAGTCAGCAGTCAGCAGTCTGGAAGGTCTAAAAATGTTCGAGTAGATACCATCATCACTCTTTCCTTCCCCCATCACTTGGTATCTGCCACTTTGTTTTGTTTGTTCTAGAATCGCTGCTGCTTTTCGCACGTTGATCGTGGCAGAGCGTCCGTTCCTTATTGTTTTAATCCGACCTAGAAGCGGTCTCTGTGAGACTGTATTCAGACGCCCTCATTTGGCACCATCGATCATTATCAGACTGGCTGTGCCGGAGTCCTCAGGGAATACGATACTGTAGACTGGATCTCAGAAAGTAGGATACTTTGAAAGTACCAAGATAGACAGGCGACAGGGGACAATAGTGGAAGGAGATCTGAGAAGGAATTTCTTGCAAGTGTCGACAGCGCAAAAACTCCAACAACGTCGGTCAACACACCGCGCGACTTCAACGACACCGACACCGACACCGACACTCATCACCTGACCACCTAATATCCTTCCGCGTCCTCCAATCCAATACACCCATATAGTAGACACCATGGGTTTCTTACGAAGAGATCGCGATGAGGTACCAATTAATAAGAAGCAGAAGTGGGATTACATTGTAAGTATTGATGTCAATTGCCCTTTTGCTTGTAGCGGTGTGGTGGTAGCTGCTATGAATATTTGCGCTTATCCATCTTACATGCAATTGTCGCATTTACTAACAAAGGAAAAAATTAGAACCTCAATGATTTCAAGACTCGCTCTTGCTGGTCACCCGTAGCCTATTTCTTCTTCTTCGTCAATACCTTCTTTGGCGTCGCCGTTGTCGCTGCTGATTGCTACACAGCTGTCAATCTGTTAATTTTCGACCGCTGGTCTTCGAAAATCGACCCCTTCATCCCCTTCAGGATATCAAAATGGATTTTCGCCGGATGTATCATTTTCTCGTTCGTGCTCATTGGAGTCTCAATACTCTGGGCAGTCAAGGCAATCAAGGGCAATAGCATCGCGCGCGGTTATCTCAACGTTTATGCGCAGAGATGGTACTGCGTCGGTAGGGGTGGATATAAGCGTTTCTTGGTCTTTACTGAGTTGACTAAGAGTAAACACGGAAGCGACTATGTGATGCTGTTCACTTATTTCACTTTCAAAGGTATAAATATTCCCGGATCCCAATACCCATTGTGTGAGGTTCTCTAACTGGCAATTTGCGATCGATAGGCTGGGCTAAAGTCCTCCTTGCCGATGGACCTCGTCAGATCCTCAATGGCATGACACTCTACGCCGTCATGAAAGCCAAGATTATTCCAGGAACGACCAAAAGTGGCTTCAGTGGCCTTCTCGCTTCCATCAAAGCTCTCGAGGAGGAATCTTTGACACAGGCAATCATCCTATCCGTCATGCTTTTCACCTGTGTCTGGTGGATCTTGACTTTCCTTTCCCTTGCTTTCGCCGTGCTGCTTTGGATAATGTTTATTTGGCATCACGTCCCAAGCGGACACACCCTTGGATCGTACTGCAGGGAGAAGGTTGACAAGAGGCTCCTTGGGGTCGTTGCTAAGAATCATAAGAGGACTATCGAAGAAGAACGGGAGGAAAGAATGAAGGCGGACCAAGCCGGACTTGGTGCCCGAAAACCCACCTTACCCAACTTTGAAGATGCTCCCACCGGACCTGCGAAGCCCCCAGTTGGCCCTACCCTACCGTCGATTAGCGAGAAACCGGTCGCGCCTGGGCTTAAGAGAACTAATACCATGGAGACGTTTACGACCACTGTTTCTTCGAGACCTGATACGAACATGCCCTCTAGACCACCATACGCCGCCGCAAGACCTCAATTCCCAATGAGATCGTCTACAAATGATACCGCAATGTCAACCACATCGTCGATGTTTGATGAGTCGGCTAGTTTGATAGGGGATCGAAAGGACCCGTTCGCAAGAACTAACACCCCTCTATACCGACCACAACCACCCGTTGGACCATATGGTAGAAACTACGACCCTGGGCATGGACCTAACTCTTCCCAAGCCTCACTCACAAATCCATATGAGACCGCCCCCCTTCAGCCACATGACTTTCTTGGATCGCAGCAATATCTCCCGCCGGTTAATCGAAACGACACTGTATCGCCGTTTTACCAACGTCCCCCACCCATCAATCGGAATGATACTATCTCGCCTCTAGGAAATGGGCCATCTCCAGTTCAGCATAGACCAATTAACTTCGAACCGACCCAAGCTCCTTTCCAACCCTTCCCTCAGAATAACTCTATTCCTAGGCGGTTTCCAGTCCGTGCCCAGGAGCAAAACTTCGACTCGGGGATCCAGCAACCACCAATTGCGCATACCCCGTCCCCAGCTCCCGAGTTTTCAAAGTACACAGAGCATCGACATACACCGCCAATTCATCATATGCCACAATCCGAAATTTTCGAGATGGATGGCGGTGTCACCACACAAACTAACACAAAAGCTACCGATGCTATTGAGCTGAGCAGTTCACCTCCAAGAACTACTCCCGCTCCTATCCAGAGCGCTGCGGGTAACTCGTTTTCTGCTCACCCTATGGCATTTGAACTTGATACTGGTGTTCCGGTTGTCGCCCAAGCTACTACAAAATCATCTCCACCCCCTCAAACAAGGACTCGCCGCCTAACACCTCCCCAACCAATAACCACCACAGCACCACAAACAAGGTCGCCTCCTAAGCCCGCCCCTCAAGGAAGAGCTGGTCCCGCATACAATAAGCCGACCTACCAGCCTGCTGGCGCTCCAATTGCCTCCACATCGACTCCTCCACCCCAGGCCCAGGCCCAGAGACAGCTACCACAGAGAAGAATCCAGCAAGACTTCGAGCGTGAGGAACACGGGGTCGGTAGAAACATCCACGGAAACTATGATATCGAAGCCGATGTGCTGGATTCCTACCTCCATCGTTCCCCACAATCCCAAATCCAACCTCAACCGCCACAACCTCTCCAGCGACCATTCATGCAATACGAATCACAGGGACAGCAAGGAAGTAGACCTTCTACGCCAACTCGTGGCCTTCCAGTCCGCCGAGAATCCGGCGACTCATACTACAGCAACAGCGGGGCGCTTGGTCCAGCTTTTGGCCCTCCGATGAGAAGTATGACCGACACGCCTTCGGCTGGATTTGTGGGGTCTAGAAGCATGAGAGGAGATGATGGGTTTAGCATGCCGGAAAGGAGTATGACCGCTCCATTCGCACGACAACCAGATGTTCGAGACTCGCCACCAAGAGGCAACAGCAGAATTTTTGAGAATAGAATGGCGCCTTCGCCGCCAAGAGGACGGGGCCCACAGCCATACGGAAGAAATAATGGGAACGGTGGCGGTAATGGACAGGGTGGATATGGTGGAAATAACGGATACGAACAGGGTGGCTATGGTGGCGGTGGGTATTCCGCATGGTAAAAAACAACGATGAATGATTTTTATACGTAGGAGGGTGGGTGTTTTTGTGACGACTTTTGAGTGACAGCTCGAAAAAGCGAGGCTGCATTTTACATTCTTGTATACTAAAGTTTCCCCCCATTTCTACCCCCTCACACCACTTGCTTTTACTTGTTTTTTTTTTCACTTCTTCTAAAACTATTTGGGACGGCATTATGGTGTTTAACTGGTCATGGCGGGAATTTCTGGCTCGGCTTTTTTTATTTTTTTATTTTTTTGTGATGGAATGCCTGTCCCTCGGAATTACATTTATACCCTCATTAACGACCCCTTTTTTTATACTTTATTACTCACTTATTCACTCTTTACAAGATTACATTACATCCGTTCATCTGGCAATACAGCTATAACGATTATGCTAGATTTATACGTGAATGCACTATGAGGTTATTCATCAACTCCCTGAAGGTCTATGCCACATTGAATTTTTATTTAGAAGTTTGTGTTCATAGGCAAATAATGGGTATAGCAGATCTAGAAGAGTATCTATAAGTCCGATTCACATGCCGCTTTAGCTTTGAGCTGGCGCTGTTTCTATATATATCGGTACATACATGAAAATATTAAATGGCTATATAGACTTCTCGTGTCCAGCTGCAGACCAATGATATGGATACCTTTGGAAAAGGATATAAGCCGGGATGTTCGCAGAACAGTGGTTGCATATCTCTGATAATAAAATCCTATCGCGCGTGGGTCTTGTCCGCATTCAAAACTAATGGGAGCTGATGTTATAATAAATGTGGATAAATAGATAAACGGCGTAAATATAAATATAGATTTTCATTTTGTTGCATTCAATACCATGGTACTAGCAGTATCGAGGTGTCCAACACGATCATGATCAAGTGCTTGTGTTTCTTTTTTCATAATACTTCCCATACTGGGCATGAGAGAGTTCCCTTGATGATGTAGGAGATGTTGGCAGATTTAGAGGTGTATCACAGCCTCATCGAAGTTGAAGGAAGAGATATACGGGCCTGTCAGCTCGTGTACGTGTGCGAATTAGACCGGCCGCCGGCCTTCTAACTTTAGTACGTATTTTGATTTTTAAATTTAAGTATTTATACTCATAGCGCACTCTCTTTCGCTCTTATATTACATAATAAGCCCTCAGAATCCTCTGTAATTAAAGTCCCGAGGTACCAGTAGTATAGGCCAGTCCTTTGATATTATAATTGTTCATACTTAGGCACCCTACTCAGTAATACTTCCCCTACTCCTGGTCCGGGGCCTCAGAACCGCGCCATAATATGTAAGCATACGGATAGCCGTCTGCACCCTCATAGCGGGTATTCTTGACACTTTCTTGGTTTAAATATATATATATGTATATTGATATTTTGGTCATCGGCCGGTGTAGCTAGAGTTTGGAATATTATGGGTCTAGATCAGAGCTAGATCTAGTTTAAATATGACTTTGTAAGCCGGTTGCTAGAATAGCTAGATGTTTATATCGAACTCGCTGACTATAGTACTATCGTGCTTTGCGAAAAAAACGTACTAGTTCCACCATTTTAGCTGAAACCTTAGCTTGACGAAAGATATATATCGATGTGTGTAGAATTACAGAATTAATACTTATTTACACTGTATGTTATAGTTACTTAAGTATGCATATGAGCTCGGTTTTCGGACATATATTATATATCAAATCGATCTATCGTGTTTTATATATTTAAAAGAAATGATGAATGGAGAGAGTAGGTATAAGTATCTTAAGATCTTATTTATCCTAAGTTAACTGGATAAGAGAGTATAATATCATAAAGGGTCGCCGTTGATATTAGTGTTAACTCTTGTAGTTTCGATTCTGAGACGGGAGTTTGTTCTCCAATGTTCTTATACCGTCTCGAATGTTCTTTTAGAATAGCTGAGAGTTATATCATAGGTATAGGTGTGATGCTGCTTGAATAGAGCCCCACGGCCGGCCCCAGACACTGATTTATCCAGCTTCTAGAGCATGCAACTATACAGTAGATCACAGCAGTATCTCTGTGATTAAATCATAATTCCTCGGAGGGGTTCTCGTCCTACTTCCACCCCTTGAAGCCCACGGAACTTACCCGGTACCGCCCAGGTCATATGGTACCATATGGTGAGTTGATGTCGTATAGTATCACACAAATGGCGCAACAGCATGCCATATTCCCACCACCAAATTCGCAAATCCTCACCATCAGGATCTTAACTTCTTTTTCTTCACCATCCGTCGGAGCATAAAATTCTCATAGGCAAAAATAAATATCAGGTAGGTTAAAGGTATATATCACCAAATCCTCACTGTTAGCGTTGAGCATAACCAATAGCTAATGTGTTGCCCCAGCAGGTACCAACCAAAAAAAAACGCAAAAAAGAAAGGAGCGACCGTGGATTGAACACGGGACCTTGAGATATTGGCCTGTAGGACTGCAATCTCCTGCTCTACCGCTGAGCTACCACTCCGACCACTGAGCTATAATGCTCGGATGTTTGCTGCTCTTCAAACTTGACAATATAGAGTACATTGAATGAGTTTCGTCGGAGATTGTATCTGCCACGATATGAGGCCCATGCCAATTGCAAAGCCCAGGAGCATTCGGCTGAATTATCGATAATCATAGAAAGCACCTCCCAGGCCTGGGGAAGTGATAAAAAATTCAATTGAGACTAATAGTGAGGAAGCATTATATAGAGGTTATAATTATGATATCTTGAACATTTTGAGCAAAGGGACGGTCGGGGGTCAGCCCTGCATAAAGTCGTCAACGGGTACCCTGCGCCTGCATGCTCAACATGTACATACACGATGGACTTACAAAAGTCCACAAACTATGGAAAAGTAGGATATTCATACTGGCTTAATTCGGGTATTCGCATATTCTATTGCACCATTCAACCTCATAGACTGTAGAAAACCCAATGATAACACAATACACCTACGGCAACATACATGCATAATCTACGTACACTTCTAGAACAATTATATCTTAGTCGTCATTGCAAGCTAGGATGTTTATGACATGGGAATAACTAAAATCAAGTCTACAATTCAGCCCAGATTAAACTAGAAAGTGATATTAGTAGCTCCTACCTTCTACGGATTTCCATGCTTTAAGTTCATGAGAGTTTCCTAAGGGATTTTAAAGCGTGGTATAAGGTATATATATCCCTTCTGCACAGCCCACACTGTAACATTTCCACTACACTTGCATACCTTCAAATAAACTTTCGGTGAACCATTCTTCTGGTTGACTTTTATTCAGTCCTATTGGCCTCAGCTTCGAGCCTCATCGATATCTCCCTTTGACCTCCGCTTAATCCGGTCTCGAGACTCAATTTATATCATATCGATCCGCAAATCATAGCTTACAACCAAAGCTTTTAGTAGAGGCGAAGGTTGCGGTAAAGGCAAACATCACAAACAACTCCTACAAACTACAGTCATCAGGGACTATCTTCGGACTTAGATCTATAACAGATTCCATGCCTGCTGGCCCGACTAATTTGCCAAAATACCATGGCCTTCACATAGCAATATAAATCGAAAAAGCTCCCAGATCCAGAAAAGTGGATCGGACCTGGGCAATGCAATAATAACTATCATCCGATACAGATGAATGTTTCGCAAGACAGCTGCTCTCAAAAACTAGGATACAAAAAGATATCTTCTCGGTCTCTATAATAAAATTTGATATCCCACCTTATGGCCATATACATACACTAAAATGCATATCTATATCTCGATTATCTGTCGTCAGCTGGTTGGCCCCATGGAGCCAAACCTTCTACAAACCCTTGGGAACATCCATATGTTTCTAAAAGATTGGTTTGGGAAACTAAGCTGTAATTAGATACAGATATTGCAGGATCTTGTTGGAATATTCGAAACTCTTCCGTGACATGCATTCCGTTTGGATAGGATGAGAAGTTACTATAAAATTCTAAATATCCATAGGTAGGTAAGTACTGACATTCCCAAAAATCCACTTCTTGACCTCTTTCCTCTCATCAACAGTACCCCTCAAACGTGCAAACTCTCAATATACATAAATCCCATATTAGGATTGAGATCGATTGGTTAAATGGCTAAAATATAAATACTCATACCGCTCTAGCAATACCCCCTTAAACCACTCCCACAGCCTGGTAGATTATTCGAATCAACATTACAAGTCCCTTTTCGACGACGTCGATATGATATGATTTCATTATTCACTCAAGCATCGTACTTAAGGCTAATCCGAATATTAGTCGACGCAAAATTCCAATTCTGCACCTCTCAAATATGACTCAACCAACGGCCGAAGCAAATAAAATCACGTCGACTTACGGTCATACATACTTTCTGTATAATCGAGGTCGTAGATGCTTTGTTATTTCCCGGGGTCTTATTTCGCATTTCAGTATAGCGTCTCATGGCATATGTCATATTTTATATATGAGCACACGTGTACACAGAGAGCATCGATATATATGATAATTATAACACCACGCATAATAGGTATCACCCCTCCATGATATTATAATTTATCATAGCACAAATAGATCTGTATTCCTGGATAGCTTTGGGCCAATCCATGGAGTGCACCTCAGATCGTTTGATTTCAGCTTCCCCATGTCGGTTCGTTCAATAAATAAATATCCTATGTTAGAAATTGATTATATATATTCATGCTTTGACATTCCAATGTGAAGATGAGGGGGTATATGTATCTTGACACTGGTACATCGCCGCTCAATTGAAAAGCTAATACGACGATTATATATATAAGTATATCACTATAATATTCATCTGATAACACACTAATATATTGCTGGATCCATGGATAGCTTTGGGCTAATCCATGGATTAGGCCCCAGTCGACTAGTTGGGTTCTATCGGCAAATTAATGTTGGCGTCAACGTCATGAATTCAAGATGGTATATTTTGGTCAAGATATATATTTTCCAGTTACATGCACACATCCCCAAAGTTGGAATTGCGGAAATATGCATCGATATCTTTGATGCCGTTATTCAAGTTAATACGATATCGGACTATATAAATATATATAGATTAATCCACTATCGCACCTTTGTCTATTATATAATTTTATTTACAGTCCGTGGTAGCTTTGGGCTAATCCATGGATTACAATTACATCTCAATAAACCTTCAGTTCTCTTCGACAGATAATTCCTCTACACCATCTTCGAAGCTTCATCTGCGATTCAATGGCTATTATTATCCATACGATATATTTATTATACATATCATTGCCACCGGATCAATCGATGACATAATAGCTTTGCCTGTGGTATTGTTGCGTTAGCATGAATTCTAAAAAATATAGGCAATAGTAATCGATATAATCCCTCACTTGGAATAGATTTTGAAGCAATATTATATATATACATATTATGCCAGGTTGTGATAAATGAATTCTTAGCTAGCCTCTGACGTCCCTGCATCTGCTAAGATGCTTGCTTGGAGGAGAAAGAAGAAGAAACAAATACGTATGAGGTGTCGGTAATACGCATTGAATTTGGAAGGGTAATATACTTTATATAACATCGGTATTTAGGATGGTTTTGGGATTATGGCCGTGTTAGACCGACCATGCTAGGATTATTTTGGGTGGGGCTGGGTAAGAGACAAGATCGGGGGTAGAATGTGACATATTGCCTTCGCGTAGGTATTTACTTGTGTACGTATCAAGGGACTAATTAACCGACGATGTTTTTCTCGGGGTATCTTATCATGTAATTGAGTCATAGATGAATTTGATCACGAATATAAAATTTAGCCGGTGTCTGTTGCTATATCCTTATATTTGTAAGACGTGAGAGTCACGGTATTCTATTAAGCTAAAGCAAGTACAATAAGCCTCCCAACCCCCCAAAATCACTAATCTCAGAGTCTTTACCACTTTCGATTAGTTTTTCGAATTACCATGGTGACCTGCAACCTCTGTCTCCCTTCTTTCTGTGCCACTATCCGTATCCCCTTCAGCATGATGAGCCCGTCTATTCTTTATACTCTCCTCCGTTTCTTCGAGTTTCACCTTGCCTTCTTCGTTCTTTTTCAATACAAAACTCCTCCTTTCGGTATTTTCCCACCCGGTACCCTTGATATCATCGTAGCTCTCCCAGTCTTCAGTCAAGACGTGTAGATACCCGCCGTGACTAACAATGATGACTTCTTCATCTTCGTTATAATTCTCGAATAAGAAGTTTCGAGCATACGTTCCACGCTTGTCTACGTTTCGTGCTGCGAATATTCCTCTCTTTTCAGGCCATTCTGGGGTTGAAGTTCTGACTTCGGAGAAATCAAGATGGGATTGATGTTCATACCCACGAGGGGTACCCTCCTTAACGTTCTCCTTGTCAACAATGGTTGACAAGAACTTTTGAACTTCTGGGATAGTGGAACCTAAATCACATTCCCATTCTCCATTTTCTTGAAAATAAGGATCTGCGCGGATTTTGAAGTCCTCGTTTTCTGAGACAAGGCGGGTAATGGTTGGGTAGAAGGACTCGAGAGTGGTTTGAATGGTACGTTTTAATGGGGAACAGATGATATGGGTTATGGAGTTATGGTAGGGGAAATTAGAGGCGAGGATTTGGCATTGAGAGTGACCGAGGTCGGTTAGGGTCGGATCGCGAAGATGGTGTTGCCAATTAAGGTTATGGTAGCCTTGGGCATGGCCTGTGTGTTGTGATGTCATTAGTATTATCACTAGCTGAGATTGGGGGTTTGGGAGGGGACTTACGGACGAGGTGGATCAGTCGTGGTGGCATATTGTGAAGTTGAGAATGAGATGGACACCAGCGAGGATAGGAAGTTTGGAAATGGAAGAAAAGAAAGAGAGAACGAGGGAAGGATAGAGTTAGTCATATATATGGGAGGTATGTTAGATACCAAGTGTTTCCTTGGTTTCCAATGGCTTGTCTGTAGGGACAGGGGAAAAGGTCGATTGGCCTTTGAAAACAAAAAACGATATCTGAACTTAAACGATCGATTGAGCTGCGAATTGAGCGGCAGATTGGCACAATCATCGCAAGTGCCAGTCAGAATGTGGGTTAGTGTGTGTTCTACGGGCTGCCCATAGCTTGGCACAGGCTTGCTTGCCCCCTCGCCTGTACCTTCGTGCATGTGCCGTGGCTACTGCAGGTCTGTCGACCGTAGGATTCGAAGATTAGCTTTGGATTCCCAGGAACCAATCTAATGGGTGCGGTTTTTTCTCTTCTACCTCCCACTGTGACTCATGCGGTGTGCCGTGGTGCGGTTGGATGCCCTGGAATGTGGCCGACCGAGGAAAAGCTTCTTTTTAGTTCAGTTTGGGCCGCTGGATTCGTACATCTGGCGGATGTTCAGGTTGACACGCTTCCGCTTCATCCAACCGGCCCAATCGATTGTGTCAGCATTTTCTGGGCTTTGATGGTCGTACAAGCTTGGCCATCGAGTGAGCTCCTCGGGACACGTCTCTCCGATTACTTTGGGGACTCCATGCCATGCCCACCGTGATTGGCCTCCCATTACCACGGCATCCCCTGAGCGGATTCTAATTACGAGGGTGTGGTTATCGAGTGGAGGAGGCGGCGGAGGGGGTTCTTTGCCCTTTTTCTTCTTGTTTTGCTTTTGTGGTTGTGGTTTTGGGGATGCGACGGTGCTGCTGGTGGGTGTCACTGCATTGTCATCCTGGGACTCGGGCGAGAGAGATATCAAGAAGAGAGCATCACAGCCGATACTTATTGAGATGAGATCTTTGTCAGCCTCTTCGCTGACATCCCTGTGAGTGGAAAGGGTATCGCCAGGAGAGTATGTATTGCAAATCGCAGCCTCTGGTTCAACGGCTGGGAACTTTTGATACCGATATTGTTAGTTGAACCCACCAGAAACATTGACAAACAGGGGTTGCATACGAGTCTATGGATCAGATGTCGAATATCTTTTGGAAATTGCACAGGCGGCCCATCCGGATACTCTTTTGTAGTCCAGTCGTACTGTCCACCCAGAGTCATCCACCGTAGTTTCTTCTCGAGTACTTCCTCTACACTTAAAGGTTTGTGGACATCCGGGTCTTTAGGTATGAAGGTGGTAGATTTTGGGAGACTAAAGAAGGATTTATCTGTCTCGGGGTATGGGACATTGTAGTGTAGGTGAACATTGGTGAGATGCTCCTGATTTGAGAGATCCCTGAGAAGTAGTTTCGACAGTAGAGATTCTTGCGCTTGTATCGGCAGGAGAGATGGGAGAATTCGAAGACCTAGACAAGTCAAATTAACGCCCCCCCAAAAAAAAAGAAAGAAAGAAAGGAGAAGAAGAAGAAAAGAAGAAGAAGAGAAGAAGAAATAGAGGCAAGAAGGTGCAATGATAGGCTCGAGATATATATTTTGGTAGCTACCTGGTAAATATGAGTGTTCGTAGACGTTCACAGGTTCCAAAACGATCGGATCCGTCTGAACTTCGAGAAATTTTCCATATGCCGCAGCCAGTGTCTCCGACGATAACGTCTCAGTAATTTTCAGTAAGCTATTTGTATCGAGGGATGTCGTATTGATGTTCCGGAAGTCGAGAATGTGGGGTGTGTCCTCGGGTATGAATTCGACGGGCAGCTTTTGGTAGTACTTTTGGAGATCCCGAACAGACTTAGGAGCTGTCACATGGGCTTCAAGAGAGCTATCCTTCGGCATTTTATACAACAAAAAAAGGCCCTATATCCATCAAATGTTCGATTCTGGCTTCATTATTATTATCATAATCAGCCCTTCTCTTGTTGGGTATTCGGAGGACGAGGGAGTTTTGAAGGTTGGGAGGAGTGGCGTGAGTGTGCAAGCAAGCAAGCAAGCAAATAAATTTCATCCGACGCCATGTCCGTTCGATTCAATCCGATATCGAAGAGGCAGCCAGGGCATGGCAAACATGGTTTGTGGTTTGTTCCGAAAGAGGGCGCGCGTGGCGTAGTTAACGTGCCCCTCGTTGGGACTCTTTTCAAAAAGTATCTATTGGTAACTACTTAAGTATTTAGTAGGAATACCTTTGAGAAGTACTTTGAGGTACATGTACATGTACATGATACATACCATACCATTCTTAATTGGCTCGAGTCAAGAAGTAACAAAGTCAGGAATGTTAGTAGTAAGCACTTTGACTGAGAGTGATGGTGATGGTGGTGGTTGTTAGTTGTTGTCGTGTTTATTTGTTTGGGGGTGTTGCGATGCCCACAAAGAGAAGAAGAAGAGAAGAAGAACAAGAACAAGAAGAACAAGAACAAGGATAAGAATCAGCTGGGGCCTTTTCTTCCCACTCAACCACAACGAACAGACGTCGACAGACTTCACGCATACCTCCCACGCATCATACCAATTCCCTCCGTCTCTCCACCTAGTACAATCACGCTCTCATACAATTCAGACAGCTGGGAGAGAGAGAGAAGCACTGAAGCTGTTGAATTATCCCGAGGTTCTTCAAGATCACCTTACAGCTTCATCTTCTTTTTCTTCATTCTTCTTCTTCTTCTTATTCTTCTTCTCGTTCCCTGTCTGTCTGTCTCTCTCTTTTTGTTAGCTGCCAAAGTAACCTCCAACAGCCTTTTTCATTGGACAACGAGTTTTGGTGCGGACTAGCTCAAAATACAACAGGACCAACACAAAACTGCTAAACTACAAAAACTCCAAAGCTACAAAACTGACAACCACGTCGACATCGCGTTACTACTTATCGACCGACTATCTACCTCTGTCTCTATTATTCTACCGAAATACCTAGTAAGTTACCTGGACGATCACCATGAAATGCTGTCATAAACATCAATCACATCACAGCCATCACTTCCAATTGCGTACGCAATAAATAAAAATGGCTGTGGAACACTTCACCAGCTTCAACATGCCCTCTCCCCCCATCTGCTGCCATTACCACTCCCCACTCTACTCTTCTCTACTCTGCTCTCAACGTCTTGGCCTCGTCTGTATTCTGTTCGAGTACGTCACCTGTGTGTGTGCGACGTGTCTGCCATCTACGTCGGAGACCTGGGCTAGTTATTATTCTGCTGCCCAACACACCAAGCTGCCTCATCACCACCACCATCCTCATCATCATCAGCTTCATCAGATCGGTTTCCTCGATATCCCGTCTGCATTTCCATCTCCAACCCCCCCTCCCTGTTTTGTTCTGTTCTGCTCTGCTCTGCTTTGTTTTTGTGCTTCCTATATTCCCTTATATCAAAAAAAATACTACACCCAAAAATGCTGGGTAGAGGCGGTGCTGGTCGTGGCAATGGCCCTGGTGGCTGGCCTAATCACCAGCTTCCTCGTCAGCCCCGAGTCAGTCATCCATATTTGCCCCAGAATGTCCAACAGTCCATTCAGCATGTGGCTCCAGACCCGGCTAGGCAAGCTGCCAATCGTGCTGCTTTATTGGCTGCCCAGGAACGTGCTGCCACTGAGCCACAGTACCTTTCCGGGCCCGGTCATCCTATGGCTTTGGCTTTGCAAATGAACCTCGGACATCCCTTGCCACTTCCTTTGGGTCAGCAGCAACAGCAGCAACAGCAGCAACAGCAGCATCCTGCTTTGTTGGCTGTCAACCCTGGGCATCCAATGGCTGCTGCCCCTCGCAGACATATCCCGAACCAGTATAGCGGACGGGACCAGATAATCCTGAATCATCACGCTGTTCCTCCTCCTGCTCATTCTGCATTCGATCATCGTAACCGCCTTTCCCTCCCACCTGATGATTTTCAACCACCTGTTATCCGTCGACCTCTTCCTCCTTCTGCTGGTTGTAAACCGCCTCTTGGTCCTCAACCACCTGCTTACATGTTTCGACCACCTAGCCCCTATAAGAATAATAATAATAATAGTCAGCACCACCAGAGATCTTCATCAGTCTCTTCCACCTGGACAGCTATGGAGAACTACGAGCGAATTGACAAGATTGGTGAAGGTGAGTCAATTCTCAACCCTTACCATTAAAATTTATATCTATATTTTTATGCCTACATTTTTATATCTATATTTCGAGGTCTAATGCTGATACGGCGCCCCAAGGAACTTATGGTGTCGTCTACAAGGCTCGTGATCTTCGCCACGGAGGCCGCTTCGTCGCTCTCAAGAAGATCCGTCTTGAACAAGAAGATGAGGGTGTCCCATCCACCGCTATCCGCGAGATCTCCTTGCTCAAAGAACTCAACACGAATGAAAACATCGTGCGTCTACATAACATCGTTCACGCCGATGGTCATAAGCTTTATCTCGTCTTCGAGTTCCTTGACATGGACTTGAAAAAATATATGGAGACCGTCCCAAAGGGCGTTCCACTAGAACCTGGCCTCGTCAAGAAGTTCATGTCTCAACTCTGCTCTGGTGTCAAGTTTTGCCATGGCCGTCGTATTCTTCATCGAGATCTTAAGCCACAGAATCTCTTGATTGACAGTAACTTGAACCTCAAGCTTGCTGATTTTGGATTGGCTCGCGCCTTCGGCGTCCCTCTTCGCACCTACACCCACGAAGTAAGCTCTTCTCTTCATAAAAAAATAATAATACTTTTTTTCCGCTGTACCTACGTACAATTACTAACCAGGATTTAGGTTGTTACCTTGTGGTACCGTGCTCCGGAGATTTTATTGGGTAGCAAACAATATTCCACGGGAATCGACACCTGGTCCATCGGGTGCATCTTCGCCGAGATGGTTACACGTCGTCCTCTCTTTCCCGGCGACTCTGAAATCGATGAGATTTTCAAGATCTTTAGGTATGAACTGCTCTCCCGATGGCCCTCTTCCTATCCTTGCGCTAATATCTCCCTATAGTATCCTTGGAACCCCAGATGATGCTACTTGGCCCGGCGTTTCTTCCCTCCCGGACTACAAAACAACCTTCCCACAATGGGATCGCAAGGATCTCGCCACCCAAGTTAAGGGCCTAGACGAAGCCGGTCTCGATCTGCTTGAGCAAACTCTTGTTTACGACCCCGTTGGTCGTATATCCGCCAAAAAGGCTTGCGAGCACGAATACTTCTTCAGCTCTGACTTCGATCATCAGGGACATCCGTCTTTGGTGCACCGCGAATCTGATTAGTATAAGAATCGCCGCCACCTTAAACTTTGGTCCGAATATTCCTCTGAAACGCGCGAAGTTCAACTTGACAAAATCATTTGCGGGCCACGTTCTGAAGGGTCCTCTATTGTTTTCAAATCCAAAGCCGAGCAACAAATTGTCGCCCAGAAAATAGAAAATCAACAGAAGGAGTACGAAGCTGAGGTTGAAACCAAACTTCGAAACAGGCGACCCCCAGCGCTCCTTCCCGGCCTCTTCGAGAAAAATGACAGTAGTACCAATCGCATTCGCAACAACTCCATGCCCTCTTTCCTTGAGTATGTTCGACAAACTCGCAAGGCTCCAAAATAAAGTGATTTTGTATTTTTTTTTCCTCTTTTCTTTTTTCTTTTAACTTTTTACCGTTCGGTCCTTTATTGGGCCTCTGTTTATTTGATTCCGTTTCCTTTCTAACATGCAATTAACATCATAACAAGCGGCGTGGGCTCGTCTTTCATATCACTTTCTTCTTCTTTTCAATCGCAAGCCCCCCTTTTCCGTCATCGGCATGGATCGTGATGGGACCGCTGTTCCTTCTAATGAGGCTCCGTTATCATTGCTCTCTTGTTTTTTATTATTATACTCCTTCAAGCCCCAGCTTAACGTCACAACAATATGCCGTCATGCTCTTCATGATAGCCACGCACTTATAGAAAGGGGTCATTCGTACGATCCTCATTCCTGACCTCAAAAGTCGTTCCATGGTCCCATTTGCCTTTTTTCTCCCATCGCGTTTTCTTTTTTCCGATGCATTGCCAGTCGTGCCTTAGTCTGTTTTTCCCTGCACATGAACTGGAGTTTTTCGGTGTTTCGTACATACACTTTCTGTGATATAACTACCATTCTTTGATGGTAGCATAGACCAGTGCGATGCGGTGCATATACACATATTCAATTCAAACAAGATATCGATAGCTGCCGGCCTATCCATGCCATGAGATCATCGTAGGTAGCCGTTCTAGATCTAGATCTGATATATATAAACCTACGCTGTACTGTATACCTACAACCGCGCTCATAATATTAAGTAAGCTTCGATCTTAATGGCCATACGATATACTGCCGGCTCCCAGGTCGTGCCATTGCAGTGCATGGAGGCCAGATGGGAGTGTGCAGTGCGTTGTTTCGCGGGTTTTCCATGTGGCCGCTTTCGACCCAACCAACCTCGACATGGCATGACATGGCCATCTCACCAAATCTAACCAACATTGCAGTAGCTTCGGAACATCTCAACCTTCTCTCGTTTCGCAGGTATTGTACTGATCCATCAAACGACGCCGTCGATATCGTATTCTGCAACTTCGTTCCTGCCTCCAAGCACCCTTCTATATCCCAAAAGTGGGCGCCGGAAGCTATCACCCGATTTGTCAGCGAGACTAGGATCCTTGACATCATCCCAAAAGCCATTCCCTGGCAGCACCCGTACCAGCCCCAAGGGCATTCTCAGGCCTTCATCCTCCGCATTTGCAATCGATCGTTTCATCATCGTTTATACATATTTGCTCGGACCAGGAGACAGGTACGGATTCTCTAGCGTCATCTTACGACTCTCGCTCTTCGTTCCGGCAGCCTCGCGGTCTAGCTGGGATAGACGCGGCTTTTAGATATTTTCTCAATCCACCCTCTTGAATCATGCGATAGATTCCGGAACAATTCGATACGCTTGAAGCCTCTTTATTCGTTGCAACAAAACCGACAACTTCATGTTTGTTTAATCTATATTTCTATCAAGGCATCCTATTATACTTTCGAAGATACCTATATTTCGACTTTATTTCAACGAACACGAAGCCTCTTATGACCTTCATCTCCTAATCGCTGCTGTTATATATAGACCAGGGCTTGCCTTCACCATGTTTGCCCCTAATGATGCGAAAGCGACACCACGACCTCGCCGGTCTGGTTCATACAACTTCTCTTCGCTCCCACCTCACGCACCACCTTTGATTGTCAAAAACACGACCACTCTCCAAGATCCATCTTTCATACCTTCTTTTTCACAAGCCCAACGACATCGAGAATTCAATGTTCTGGTCAAAAAGTATATACACCAACTTCTCCATGGATGCAATCGGCCGGTCTGCACGACACCAACATGCGCTACTGCTCGGCGACAGCTACATGCGAGGAAAGACGCTACAACCGGTGGTTCTTCGGCTAGTAAGCGGGAGTTTACACCGCTAAGCGCGAGGATCATAGCATGCCAGCTCGCAACTGCTGACGAGCCTTATCGGTCTCTATGTCCTGGTTTGGCGGGGGAAGTTAGAAAGGAACTTGATCTTGCGGCTGGGCCGGCAGGTGGGAGGCTAAAACCGGACTTGGGGATGAGGGACCCCAAGAGCTTTATGCAAGGGCTGTTCAATACGACGGCTGTTAGGGGCTTGGAAATGAGCGTGCTTCCGCCGCCTAGAGATATGATGGATGTAATGGTTAAGGGGGAGAGTGCTTCCAAGGTTAAAAAAGAAAGTGGAGAAAGACGTCGGGGAATTTCGTCGGAACCTACACGTCTAGACCAGGAAACAAAGAAGGATCAAAGTACAACCACGGCACCGAAATCTACGAACGCTGGCGAGAGCTATACCCCTGCTACACTTCCGAATCATCCGACTACAGACAGAGATAGAACGACACCGGGTCATATTCGTCCAACATATCAGTTCTCCACCCCACCGCCCCATCAATCATGGTCTCCTCAACCTACCAAATCCTCACGCCGAAAACTCTCCCACGACCTGTCGTCATATCTTACCTCTCCCAAAAACACGTTTTTCACACCTGATGTTAATGACCTCAAACCCCCGCCGCCACAACATGTTCACCGCCATAGTGCCCGTGATATCACGCATAGAAGATCCATAGACACGACCCCGAGCCGAGTGGCGAAGCCCTTTGCTCTTGATGACAAGGGCAGCAACCCGACCACTTCACCAGTCCAATCGAGAAATACAGTACCAACCCCACAAGCGGTTACGCACTTCACAGTGGATATTGTCTCTGCTTTGATCAAAATGCTGGATGATACCTCCGCGTCGAAGTCTGCGAAGCGAGAAGCCGAAGGATTTTTACGGCAGAGTTGTCACTATGTGTTCAGCCGCCCTGAGAATCTTGCTAATTGCTTCCCCGAGGATGTGAAAGCCGAGAAAGGGATTTTGGTTTCAAATAGTATGAAAGCGTTATTTGATCGAGGATTTGGCAGGGAAATTGTAGATTCTTTGTGGAAAGCACTTGGGGACCTTTTCCCTACGGTCGAGGAAGTCAATGTCGGAGAGGAGAAGAGCAAAGTTGTGAATCCGTCAAAGTATGGAAGCGAACTTGCGGCGAAGGTGTTTACCATAACTCTCCATGTCCTTACAGCCGCATGCCCTATCAAGACCCCAGAGGTTTGGGAGCAATGCAGGAGGGAGAGGAGTAGAGGTAGCATATCTTTAGATATCTCGTTCGAAGATGAAGGGGAAATGAGACTAGCGAAGAGATTCGCAAGATGTTGGTCTGCTTTCGGGCTTTTCCAGTATTCTGTTAAGGAGATTCTTAAAGGGTATATGCTTGGGTATGCAAAAATCGAGAGGAGTGGGAGGGTTGAAAAATTGGAGAGAGAATTGGGGAAGGAATTGGCTAGCGAAGTTGTACTTTCAGGAGTTGGGAAGGGCGGATGGGGTTTGGTAGTCTGTGTGATGGAGTGGATGAGGGCAATAATGCTAAGTGAGTGGGATGGCGGCGAGAGGCCTCGGAGTGGTGGGGTTGTTGATGCTAGTATTGCATTCTTGAGATTTCTATGTAAGTACACTGTTATCATGTCGTTTGGTGAGGATATTGCTAACAGCATTTGCAGACGAGGACCATGAGGCTCTAGGACTTGAGGAATCATACTTCCACAACCAAGTTCTAGCCGACAGGCTAGAGTATAAAAACATGCCTGTAAAATGGTACTTAAAGAAACTGAAGGCCAATACTACCCCGACCTTGTTAAATACACCCCCCGCAGGAACTTCGCCCCCTCCGCGGCCTTTAGAGCCACCACATCTATTGAACCATGCCTTCTTACTCCCACCCTCTGCATTAGTCAAATTCTTTCGATCGATCAACTTCCATCGCATGTCGGCGGCGTACGATGATGCGCTCGCCATGTACCGGTTTGTGAATCAGATGGCTGACGTTACACGGCGAGATAACTTTAAACCCTGGCTTCGGAATTTTATCATGCAAAGCTACGACATCGCGATGAACATGTATTTATGTCTCGAGGTGCATCGAAGCTCTGTAGTAATGGACACGCTAAACCAACTTGTGGGAAGGGAACTACGAGAATGTTTACGGCCTCTGAAAGTCAGGTTCTTAGACGTGGGCGAGGAGGGTGTGGATCACGGTGGTGTACAACAGGAGTATTTCAGGCTGATATGGGAGGAGGTTACAAAAGGAGAATATGGGTGTTTTGTGCCCGACGAAAGGACGCGGATGAGCTGGTTCTCAATCGTCACACTGGAACCGATGCATAAATTTGAGTTGCTGGGGTTACTTGTGGGTCTAGCGGTTTATAACGGAGTTACACTACCCGTGAGTTTCCCTTTGGTGATGTATAGGAAGCTTTTAGGGTGGAAGGTGGAGCTAGAGGATTTAGGGGACGGGTGGCCCGACTTAGTAAAGGGAATGAAGAAGCTTTTGGAGTGGAGTGATGAGGATGGCGATGTTGGAGACATATTTGTGAGGAGTTACGAGTTTGGATATGAAGCACTCGGAGAGGTGCATAGCGTGGATTTGATGAAGGTCGGAAGAGAGGATAGGTGGGCACCTATGAAGATCGAGAAGGAGCGAGTCACGAGCTTAGCCAACTTGAATTTCTGGTTACCAGCCAACTCTTTTACTACGCGAGATTATCGTATTGCTATGAGAACTCAAGCGGCGGCAGCAGGTCTTTCTTCAACTTCTGCGACGAGACTCGCAATCCCACCGCAGTTAACCAGTCTGTCTTCGCCGGCTGGTGAGGAAGCGCAAGAGTTTCTAACGGCGATGAATACCGCGCAAAGGAGGCAGGTACAGAATATTCCAGACGTTGCAGATTCGATATCTACTAGTGACACATCGTCTCGACGGATTCTAACCCCGGAAATCCTAACACCTGGTTCGCAATCGCCTTCCGCATCACCTTCACGACGAAGTAGTGCCGTCGCTATCGATGAGAACGATGAAGCCGCAGCTACTTGGAAAGCATACCATAAACAACAACAGTCGATATCCTCAGCAGATATATCGAGTATTTCATCGACTTCTCCAGTCAAGATCACAAGCGACAAGTTTGTGAAGCCGGAAACCGAAGAATCGGAGCTTGTGACAAACGCCAATAGGGACCAGTATGTCAAAGATTACGTTTTTTGGCTTACGGATAAATCCGTTAGACCGCAGTTCGAGGCGTTCGAAAGAGGGTTTCATGCCATGTTGGATAGAAAGAGTCTTAGCGTATGCTTGCTTCCCTGTTTGTTATTCTTATTGTCGATTTGGTGCTAACATGTCTGGTGGCCCAGCTATTCAACCCCATTACCCTCCGACACCTTGTTGAAGGCTCGAAAGAGATTGATATAGCGGCCCTCGAGGCAGCTGCCAAGTACGATGATGGATATCACCCTAATCACCGATGTATCAAAGACTTTTGGGCAATAGTGCGTACTTACGATAATGACCAAAAGCGGGCACTATTGGAATTCGTCACGGCGAGTGATCGTGTTCCCGTTAGCGGAATTTCGAGCGTTATGTTTGTGATCCAGAGGAATGGTGGGGATAGCGAACGTGTCCCCACGAGTTTGACGTGCTTTGGACGGTTGTTGCTGCCGGAATATAGCGGGAGGAAGAAAATGAGGGAGAAGTTGAGGATTGCCTTAGAGAACGGCAGGGGTTTTGGAGTGCCTTGATTCGTTGGTCGTTCTGTAGAGCTGTTAGTTGGACATTTCGTGTTTAAGATGGCCTATTGTACCCGGCGATCCCTTCCGAGGTTACTCCTGGGGTTCTAGCGGGGTACTATGTAATTATTTGGTGTACGCGGGTTTCCACTCTTTCCCATCGATCACTTTGATTCGAATGGGGTTTGCATGGCTACGGGCTTTTATACTGGTTTGATAGCATTCGGAAGCCTTTTTCTATGGCTGGCGTTCTCGGGGTATTTATTCAGAGCTTTCCCCTCTTTTTTCTTTTAACTCAACTCTTTTTAGCCGCTCTTTCTTGCACAGTTAAGTTATAAAGCGGTATACTAGTTAGGCCTACGCTGTTAGAAAGGACTGAAAGACTAAAATCTTTAAAATTTCCGGAAAGATTGATATCTGCTTCTGAATATTGTCTCGTACCCAGCCCCAGTGTACCCATTCTGAATAGATTAAGTGACAAAAGTAGGGTCGAGTTACCGCCTTAAACTTTCTTCCTGACGCCTCGATTGGTATACGGTATAAGACTAGTACGGACTGCCAAAGGTAAGTTTTGTTAGCATACCTGAAATCTATATTATTGTTAATTACATATCATGTATAAGGAAACTCGGTCATCGCCACAGATTAGGTGTAACCCTGGTTTGGGGGGTACATATCTTCTGCCAGCGAAACTACTAAATTTTATCAGACTAAGAGAAGGTAAAAAAAAATGTTCAAAGTTGTAGTATGTAGACGCGATTTTAAAGAAAAATGTGTGATGGCTATATTTCCTATCACAACGCCGCAAATGCTAACAGATAGATGCAAAGGACTTTTTTTTGTAGATGATATGGCAGGTCGCTAAGATGCAAGACAATTTCGACAGGGAGATACCTATGTACTTATGTTGGTTATGTTATGATAGGTTTGGTTTTCGTCGCATCAAGCAATCTTAAATGGTAGTTCCTCCTCTGCTATCCTTCGTCGGTCCCAGATTCTATATAAGAACCAGAATAGCATGACGAGGACAAGGCAGGGGATAGTCCATACTAGATACCACCACCATTCTGGATTATTGGCTAGAAGGTTGACGTTCATACCAAAAAGGGAGGACATGAATAGCATTGGGAGGAAGATGAACTATGTTGATTGAATATATGTTAGATGAATATTTGATATAGGATTGATGTTGGGAGGCTTTACAGTGATCCAGCTGAGACGCTTCAAGCTGGTATTCTGCTCTCGAGATCTGTAAGCTTCATCAATGCTGATGAGGTTAAAGATCAATTGCATTTGACCACGTAGATCGACTTCCCACCCTTTTAGGACACCTTGAACATGCATGAAATACTCCTTATCACGGACTAGTTTGTTGTACTGTGCCGGACATGCGTGCTCTAATAGCATCTCTGCGGAAGTGGCGGGTGTATATGTATTTTCGGTGATAGTCGCCGAAGAGTTCGCGGTCGACGTACTCGATTCTCCCGTATTACCGGTGTTTACACGGGTACTCTGACCGCTACTACCGCCAGCGAAGCTATTTCCCGAGGTTGTTGAAACAGGAGGAGTTTTACGCCACATCCAGAAGTATGGGAGGTTGGGCTTTTGATTATAAACGTCTGGGGAGAGGAACTGGTCGATTGTTTCTACGTTGTTTTGGGCGATTAGGAGGAGACTATCGACGAGCTTTAAAGAGGCGAGGATGGTGTTTATTGTGGCTTTTTGGACACGGTTGTCGTAGAGGTAGGTTCTCTATGTGAGGATAACGGATATTAGAGAAACTAGATGGATACTGTAGGAGAAGGGGCACCGGGGGGGATAGACATACGAGTGCTTTAATATGCGACCCATAGGCCCTTATAAACGCCGTCCATCTATCAACTTCCTGATCAAACAGACGAACAACAAGATCGATAGGTTGAAAATCCCGTTTATACAACAACGGCAACAGATTGATATGATCCTCCACATCCGAAGTCGTAATATCCACTATACACCCCGCCACGGGGTCATATGCAATATCCAATGCCACATGTTTTACATATAACAACGGACGTTTTGTTATGATCTGGGATTCGAGGGAGAGGAGTAATTCGGCTGGAGTAGACTTTGGAGCAAATCGGAATTTTAGGCGATGGTCGGAGGAAAGGTCAGATTGTTCGGGAATACGACTTCCTAGGTTTAGAGTTGGCCAGGTGGGGCGCCAGGTGAAGCCTGAACGATGAAGGGTGGGTAGACGAGTGGAGAGGAGAAGAAGTTCGGTCATGGAAATTGCGAAGGAGGCAGTGTCTATATATAGGAGAATAGTTAGATGGTCATGATTTTTGATATTGGGGTATACCATTAATTTGCTACACTAAAGAGGGGGGTTTCATTGGTTGTGGAAGAGATTGGTATATATGTATGTATATAGATAGACATATATATAACGTACGGAGAGGACCTGAAGGCTGCTTTGTCATTTGAAAACGGTGATGTTTTCCGGGATCGAGGTTCCAGACGAAATGCCATGATGCAGCTTGATGTTGATATCTTATTAGATCTGCAAATACCTTCCATGAATCGAGATCAAGATGCTTTGCCCCCAAACAGGCCTTTTCGAAATCTTCAAGCCATTTAAGAAATGGAATTGGAATATCGGATCGCGGTGTATTAAAGACACTGTTTAATTGTCAGCAAAGTTATGGTATTCTTGAATGGCAATTAATTGTGTTGATTTTGTTGGAAGTTTGGTAGGGCGCACGCACAAGAGACGGTTTTGGCGTCTGCCTTCTAAGGAGCCTGTCGCCTGTAATGCATTCAATATCCCTGTTTAGCTTCTGGTCATTTCCCGCCTTCTTTCCTTGCTTCCGTCTTCGCAGCGAAAACAATGGAGAAGAGAGAGGGGGTCTGTACAATTGGATATTTCTGAATATACTCTAATATATCCGGCCATCTTTCCAACGACACAACTGTATTTACAGTTTTAACATGAAGTAAATTTTTGGTCGGCTTTTGTTGAAGTTGTAAGGCAACTCCAAGACTAAGACTTCTTTTCCACCACCAATCTGTTTCGGTGGGACCCGTGGGTCTCGCGTGCGTCCGTTTCACAAGCGCCTCGATGTCCATTGTTACGTCTGCGCTGTCTATGGCTGCGAAACCGCGTGTGCCGTTGGATAGTAGTTGGTGTCGCCGTTTTTCGGCCAGCATCCTGCGGCCTATGTTTGTGGTTGCCATTTCGGTGTTCATGGTTCCTTTTTTTTGGCTTGAATTCAGGTAGACAGATGATTTGCAATATTGGTCGCTGGTGATATCCTTTTGTCGCTGCGGATTCAGCAGGATGAGTTTTTTAGCACATGCGCATGCGCATTCGAGAGGGGTTCCTGTACACCGGGGTCGACAGCTACACGGGGTACTCAAGTATACAGTCTTGCTTAGATATTATTCTTGGAAGGAAAGAGGCAAAGTTCGAAGGTCTTGGAAGGGTTTTCCTTTCTGTGAATGGTTATTGCTATGAAATCTTGAGGTTATGAGATTCAGGCACGAGTTTCAAGTCAGGAGAATTGGTTAGTTGGAGGTTTTCCGAATGTGGCTAGAATTTTTACGGGTGTGAAGGCTCAGCCGCAACCTCAATGAACAGGTTTTACAAATATTTTGACAAAAGTCCAATTTTGTTCATATTCACTTTGGAGAAGGTTTATAGTAATGGTAAGATCGTACGTGCGATCGGAGCTTTCTTGTGTACAAATGTAATCTTATTTGAGATAGTATGGATTTTCTTCACTTTTTCGTTCGTAAATTTCCTTTTATCATTGGAATTTAAATTAATTATATGGTATCGCACGTGCACGCGCACAATATCTCAGTAGAAGGCAAAGTTCGAGATTGCCTGCGGTCGACTCATGATATCGATCTTGATATCACGATACCAAATTAATATAATTATAATTGACTGGCCCACTCCCTACGAAAATACGATCACTCTCCAGCTATAGCTACTTAAATCTATATATCTTCAGATATGTTTATAACTCGACATATATTGTATTGATTTTTGACGGTGGTTTTATACAGATATTGCTCAGCTTCAATGTAGATTAGACAATTAAGTACTGGTTTTATGCAGATAATGCCAACTGCGCCAACTAAGTAAATGAGAACTACCTAGAATTATCTTATTTCCAAATATCACTGAAGAATTCTAATATACGTAATATTGCGAGCCAGCTAGCTGTGCACCGCGGGATTCGTAGCAACAGGTCTAATACCTCTAGTTAATATCCAGATTTACACTATTCAATTCAAAGCCTTTGGTCAGCTGCAGGTGATAAAGTATTGCTAACAAGCCTAGTCAATTTAGAGATCAGAGAGTATACATACAACTGTAACCATTCGAAGTTATTGGTTGGAGATCATTATATATTCTATAAGTCTCAATTATCTATTATAAACTCATCTTCTGTACGTCCGAGAAGTTTGTATGCGTATACGGTATATTGATCATATTGATAATAAAGTGTATGAATTTAAATACTTGGATCCCAAGTTATATATACAAACGAGCCTTGAGTTCTATGATCCAGATATGAACGTAAAAACAGCTTCAAGTTCATGTTATCCCACCCCGTTATTAATTATTATACTATGAGGAGTGAAGTTCACTCTAATTTACTCTAACTAGGTAAGCTTCGAAGGCAGCTTTGAATTTCGCTGCATGCCATTGCCAGCCGGGATCCCTGTTAACATCGCGGGAATAGTTGACCTATCTGGGCGATTCCAACATGCATGCAACATAGTAACATCAACATTACCCACATCAACATGCCCGATACAGTCGACAGATAGTCTCGTTTTAAGTTGGCTTCATTGGAGGGATAGAGGGCTATAAGGCGCAGCTATTTTGAAACTGCCGCACCGCCAACTTATCGATATTTGATGTTGCAAAAGTTCGTACAAGGAGTTATTGTTCAAATTCTTTTGTATGTACATCAGTCATATATATATATCTGATACATATGTTGCTTTCGAACGAATGAAATGTGGTTTTTGATCCGAGATGTGAATTACCTCGAGTCCCGCCGGGTTTTACTGCATCCCGAATTTCTTAGAATATTGGAAACATCCGCCTATAACCTCTGAGAATTTCGGCTTCAAAGCAAAACATGAGGATATTTTTCATATTCTCGCTATTCTTAGGAGCCATCACAGCAGAGGCTATAGAATATCCTCCCCAACTCGATACCTCCCCGCATCCGAACCTCGGCCTACTACCACGAGCTACCGCTGGAAATGGTAAACAAAGTTCAAAAAAATACCTGTAACACGCGGGCTGGTGTATCTTAAAACCGATGCTAATACTCCATCCTTTAACGAGCTATAGGCACCGCTAAGAGCTGGCAATGGTCCGATTTATACAACCTAGGTAAGCGTCAACTATACTGGGTCAACAAGGACCCTGACCCAGGATTCGACCCAGTCGTCGCCCGCCAAATGGCCGCCAGCTTCCGCGCGGATCCCAATACACTATGCGGTGTAAAAGAAGACGGGAAATGCCTCATCGGAGCATGCGATCCCGCAACCGGTATGGGACTTTATTTGTGTAATTATCGCCCTCAGGGGTTTGAGACCAATTGTACTGTCTTTGGACTTATTGCGACAAATATGATCGATCGTTGGGAAGGGAAAGATAAAGATGGAATATTCGTCGCAGATTTTACGGAGCCTTCGGTGCAGGCTTATTCTTATTGGTCGGAGGATCCGACTTGGGTTGTTATGTATACGATGCCCTGTTTGAGGACTCTTCCAATGGGTCCTGCTTAATGCAATACTGCTATCTATTCATATTTCTTTTCTTTTCCTGTGGCTACGGGCGTCAAAACAGCTCTACGGCTTAGACTTATCTCAAAGTTTTTCGGGAAGATAGACGTATGTACTTTTTTGTGGGGTCAATTAAGAATTATCATTATTTATCCTCCAGACTTTGCTTTAAGCAGTGTCTAAACGACGCCCTGTTTTATCTCTAGGCTTTAGTAGAGGTCCACCTCCTTCTCGAACCGTAATTATAACGGGGAAGAGGGCAAAAAAAAAAAAAAAAAAAAAAAAAAAAAAAAAAAAAAAAAAATGTGAAATCGCAAAAGAAAAAAACAATCGGAAAGGAAAGGAAAAGAAGCCCTTGAAAAGCATGCAGAAAGAAACAATGAAATAGAAATCTCGAGATATCTCCCTTCCAAAGCAACGCAATCTAGTAGCTATAAGGCTTAGATGGCGAAGACTCCAGCGACAACGGTAGCAATCAAGGCTCCAAGCATGATTCCAAGGTGAATAGCACTAATTACACGCTCACTGGCTGATGGTTGGCCGTCGGTGGGAGTTGGCAAACCAGAGGTGGTCCCATTTCTAGGAATGGCCGTAGAATTGGTATAGACTTTCGTGGTGAAACTGGTCGTATCCGTCAAGATGGTGAAAACACCAGTCTGGGTACCAACGGTATTGATGTTTTCGGTGGTAGTTTCAGCGGCGGTAGAAACCGAAGGAATTCCAATCACGGTGACGGGGTTTGAATATTCTGGTTGAGTAGCTGTGCTGACGGTAGTGCTACCAAGAGCGACACACGCAGAGATAACATAGTCTGGGATGGTAGGCTCCTAGATTATTGTTTGTTAGGATAGAGAGGATGATAAGGAGATATCTATAAGAGAATGGATCTAGACTTACTGGAGTTGGAACACCAGGACAGGAGGTGAAACAGCCACCGAAGGTTTGGCCGCAAGAGATGTAGTCTGCACAGACAGGCACACAGCCACCAGTAACAGTGACGGTAGGAGCGTAGGTGAGAGACATTTTGGTATCGATGTGATATGTCTGTGTCTTATATGATAGTATGGATTGGATGGGAGGGTAGCTCTTTTGAGGTTGGTGATGTTGATCGATGATGTTGGTGAAATGGAAGAGGTTGAAGAGGTTGATGAAGAACTACTGGTTTTTCAGTTGACGGGGCAGCCGAGACGGATGTCGACGCGAACAGTCGAAACTTCGCTTTGTTGTCTGGCGGGTTCGCCGCTGTTCTTGATGATACATGTCTAGCACTCGGTTGCCCCGGTTGCCTCCATCGATACCGATATCGATAGCTGTTTGTACACAACGATTAACAATGCCTTGAACATTGACAGATCACTACTCTATTAGAGATGGTTGCCATCTCATGTCTGCTACATAGCTACTTGATTGAAAGCCTGTCGTATAATATATACTATACTATATTAATTTTAATTTTAATGTTGATGCATGATTATCGATGTATCGATGTAGCTATAGATACGTAGGCCGGAGGTATAGGCCACCTAAAAAGGCAGTTCTGAACTTTCGGGCTGTCGGGTTACACGACATGGCAGCGGCCTCGGTTCCGGTTCCATACATTCCAATTGTGTCAAATGCAATGCAATGCTTAGTTTACCTCGGCCTGAACTGAACTGAACATAATATTGATTATATAATATTCTATACTTACTTAGAATATATTCTAGATCGATATCTCTTATCCTGATTGAAAGGTATGCCGGGTATGTACTAGTTACTGTACTATAGATTGCGATGTTCGCTAAATTTAGCTAAATTTAAATTATAAAGCTAAGACACCATCGTCAAAACTAAAATCGGGTACCAAGCCGCCTGATAATTATAACGTTACGGCTACGGCGTCTAGATTACACCGACAGACCGATCTGACTCAATCAGAAGCTAACTCGGTAATGTGTTGCGTGCGCTGATTAATTCGGACTCTCTCGTGCGACCATATTTAACGACGTCCATTCTACTCTCGAGTTCTCCTTCCTTTGGATCTATAGCTATAGAAGAAAATTAAATCAAACCGGCCAATCCGTATACTCAATCCCCAAGATGCGAGAAGCTCGACCGGATACTGCTGGCCCGGACGCCGGCCCTGAATCTCCCTGTCCTGTCCGACTCTCAGGCAAAATTATCTCAGGCTTCGGTCGCGGCAGCAAAGAACTCGGCATCCCCACCGCCAATATCCCCACCGAGGGGTTACCCGAGTTCATAGAGAGCGGCATATATTACGGCTGGGCAGGGCTACAATCGTCTGAATGCGGTTCATCCAGCGACAAGGGCGATGCTGTCTTTCCGATGGTAATGAGCGTCGGCTGGAATCCGTTCTATAAGAATACGGTCCGCAGCGTGGTAAGTCTTTTTTTTTTTTCGGCCCGAATCCTTTAAGGCCTTTCAACTTCATGCGCCATGGAATTGGTGGCCTACAAATTGCTTCGGAGGGCGCCGGTGGCTAACGCAGATATCCGAGCCGCAGGAGGTACACATTATTCATAAGTTCCCGCAGGACTTCTACGGTGCACACTTGAATTTGTTGATAATGGGATATATTCGACCTGAGTTCGATTACATCTCCAAGGAGGCTTTGATCGAGGATATAAACAAGGATATTGACATTGCGATCAAATCGCTCGAGAGGCCGCCCTATGCCGCGCTGAGGGAAGAAAGCTACTTGATCACCTTCCCAGAACAGAGCTAAGCGCAACCAATCCGTTTCCCGCACATGTGTCTCGACATTTTTTGGACGTCTTGTCAAAGTCATAGAAGATATAATAGAGAACATACAGCAATAGACGTGCCATCTGTTCCAAGTCTTTCCTTTTGCCTTGAACCCAGTGACAAAACCCTTTGAAAAATCCTATCAGTAATCACTAACCGCGTGTTCGCAAGCTATCCCTGAGATGTTGAAAACCCTTCAGAGCTCCCAATGTTTAGTCATCGAGTGGACCCTGCCTAGAACCCAGAACCCAATCAGAAGCTCTTCCGTTCAAGACTACCCATAGCCGAACCTGCCGAAAAATGCAACGTTTGGCACAGAGATAACCTTAACTGGCCAACTGAAACCCCGTCTTTTACGTCAGTATGCAGAAACTGGCCCTCTTTCACCATAGTATCCCCTCGTACGAGTTATTTCTGAAAGACGACGCTATTACAAAGCAATGTTAGTGATGTTTGTATCACAAAAGTCAATGGGTTAGTCACCGGGCAATTGGGTCCATCCAGCGACCCTGAATAACGGCGGCTTTTTTCTCCTTCTCCCTCGTGGGACGGAAGCCAAGCTTTCGATATGCCTTGCATTACATCGTTCTGGATCTAATTCGTAAGCCGATACGAATTCAAGGCTATCAAGTCGCAGCAAACCTGGCGAATAATGCTATTATAAGTTTGAAGGTAGGCACTCTCTCTCCGGTTCAGAAGAACTATTTTTTGGCCTTAGAAGGGCGACAGACTTACGACATGGCGACAGATCTCGCTGAAACAAACTATTCTGCAGCGGCAAGCGAAGTTGGCGAGAGTTATCCTCGCGATTTGACGGCAATGGGAAACTCTGCGGAGACTCTGAATGAGAAGAGGGACGAGGTGGACGTTATGGCGAACGACCCGGATTTTAAAGCTGTCGAGGAGGGCGACCAGGTGCCGATAGACAAACCAAAGGAACAACAAGCGAATGGACAGGATCCGTTTCTAGTGCTTTGGGAGGGCCATGGAGATCCAGGGTGCCCAAAGGGCATGAAAAAGAGAACCAAATGGATTATTACGCTCATTGTGGCGGCGGGTGCGTTTAATACGTGAGTTTCTTTCCTTGCAGTATCTGAACAGCTAGAGGTTGTACTGATTTTCAATTATATATTATAGCACGTGTGCAAGTTCCATATATACCTCCACGTACAGCCAAATAGAAAAGGAATTTGGCAGCTCGCACGAACTCGCAATCGCTGGCCTATCACTCTTCGTCATGGGACTTGGTGTAGGACCAATGTTCCTGGCTCCGCTCAGCGAGTTCTACGGCCGACGTCCGATATACATAATTTCTTTCGCTTGCTATATTCTTTTTCTCATCCCCTGCGCAGCAGCGCAGAATATCACTACGCTTCTTGTTGGCCGCTTCTTGGATGGCGTGGCAGGAAGTGCGTTTTTGAGCGTTGCAGGTGGTACCGTTGGCGACATGTTTGAAGGGGGCGACCTAGGCCTGCCTATGATGGTTTACACCGCTTCACCTTTCATCGGACCCGAGGTGGGACCGCTGATCGGTGGGTTTATCAACGAAAATACCAATTGGCGCTGGACTTGGTATGTCATGATTATATGGTCTTTTGTGCAGTGGATTCTATTATGCTTGATCCCCGAGACCTATAACCCGATTCTGCTGCAGCGCAAGGCAGCCAAAATCCGCAGGGAGACAGGAGACGACAGGTATTATGCACCGTACGACAAGCGGACGGACGGCATTCTCAAGACCGTGCTGGTAAGCTGTCAACGGCCATTTCAGCTGTTGGTGTTCGAACCCATGGTGTTGGCGTTATGCACGTTTACAGCGTTATTACTCGGAATACTGTACATGTTTTTCCAGGCTTTCGGGTTCATCTTTAGGGGCACATACGGCTTTACCCTGTCGCAACTCGGGTTGTCGTTCTTGGGGTTGTTCGTCGGAATGCTGATGGGTGTGATGACCGATCCGATTTGGAGACGGACATATGCGAATCTAGTGGCTAAAAGGGGGGAATCAATACCAGAGTTTCGACTAACGCCAGGAATATTAGGAGGGGTTTTGGTGCCTGTGGGGATGTTTTGGTTTGGTTGGACGACATATAAGAGTGTTCATTGGATTGTTCCGATTATCGGGAGTACGGTTTTCGGAATGGGAACGCTTCTGGTTTACTCTGCTGTCTTTGCATTCTTAGTAGATTGTAAGTCCTATCTTTCTTTCTTCCATTGTGGTTATGTCGTCAGCCGGGTGAACCACTACGGCGGTTTGTTTTCATCCGATGTTTTCTACAACCCTTCTCGGGGCCTCTCGAGCAATCTGGTTTCCGAGATCTATCACTAACATGTGCATCATTTCATCTTATGCAATAGGTTATCCACTTTACGCGGCCAGTGCTATGGCGGCGAATAGCTTCTCCCGCAGTTGTTTTGCGGCCGGTTTCCCCCTGTTCTCTACACAGAGTACGTATTCTACCCGTTACCCCGTTACATCTTTCGACTCCCCCTTGATTTCTCTTTGCATCTACACTACATTCAGCTTGTTCCCGCAAATGTACCAAGTTCTTAAGGCTTTGCCTAAGATGAGGTCAAGATGAAGACGAAGTATTTGAAAAAGGGTCATGATTGGGCTAACGATTTGTTTCTTGACGTCTTGTACGACGTCGGTTTTTGAGTTTTACCTTTCTACAGTGTATCAAACCCTTGGAGCACAATATGCCACATTGATACTAGCATTATTGACGGTTTTGATGGCGCCCTTCCCGTTCCTTTTCTTTAAATATGGAGAAAAGTTGAGGAAACATAGCCGATATGCGAAGAGTCCGTAGATCTCTCCTTCAATTAGTTAGGAACTCGCATTTTGGTGGTGTTGGAAACTCCTCCTCTCTCCATCTCTCTTTCTTTTTTAATGAAACTTCCGGATGATAGATGCAATGCAGACATTCGCCCTTGGTTCTACTGCACAATTTATATACATGATGGGGAAACGGGTTTGGATTTTACTGATGCAGGGATTCTTGTATGTGTTTGCAGATGTTCTCATGCATATGCATATTTTGGGGCGTTATCTTTGTTTTTGGATAGATAGACACACGTACGTGCATACATACATAGTACATATAGCTTATAAGTGTAATAATGAGATTTATCGTGGCATAAAAGCGAGAGTTTCAATCCACAGCTTATATTCATAGTTGGCAAAAAGTATGGTAAGGAGGGCGGCATAGAGTTGAATGCGTACAAGATTTACAAAGGTTGGTGGATATCGATATTGTCAGGTCATGGCGGGAAGAACTGAGGTTACTCCATTTCGAGCTTGTTCGAATTTTCTAAAATTCTACTTAGATATACGGCACTCTAGGAAAGCAAAATTTAGGATAGCGCGACATCGTATGATTTAACGTAAAGAAATCTATCATTTTCACAGTTACCAAATCTATTAGTTAATTTAGCTAATTAATGGTCATAACTTATAAACTTCACGCATTTCATTTACTAAAGTCGCTCTCGTTTGCCTGTGAATTGGTCAACCGCGAACAAGTATTGGCTAATAGTTGACATATCGACGGTCCACAAAAAACCTCCTGGCCGATCGATATTTGACAATTTGAAACGAGTGCTAGTTGAGAAACTGGGCACGCGCTGTAGTCGTCCACACTACTGGCTGCACCGAAGAAGCAGCCACAGATCTCTCGCGGAGCAATATCGGAGGAGCTCTTTTATCAATATCATGACTCGAGCCTTGGGGGAGCCAAGTTCTTTTTTGACCGCCAGCGCCGCTCCTGCAAAGCCAACCAAGTTTATACGAGGAATATAATATCTGAGCCGAGCCAAGTCATAAATATTAATAACCACCCAAAGAGGCGTATGCGTTGGCCGCTGCTCCCGGCTACTCGTGGATGGGTTGTCCGCCCGCACTCGCATACATCGATGCATCATGTGGGTTACACAGAAAGGGATATTAGGCAAGAAGGTGGAGCACATACCGAATCGAATCGAAATTGAGGGTCGTGCTTGAAGGTACGGAGGCCTACGGCGGTTTATTGGTTCGGAGGTATAATACGAATGTGCAGTTAAAGCTAACTAGGGAACGAGTTTGGTTTAACGTTTTCCTGGAATCGAATTCAAGGGTTGCAATGCAATGGATTATAATATTATCTGTTATTCCTTCGGTTGAATATAGAATCGAATTATAATATTAAGAGCGCTAATTATATGCTAAAGTCAGTAAAGATGTATAGAAGTTTGTATGTAAATGTAAAGTTAATTAAATTTAGGGACCTGAACTTCGGAGATGGTGTAGCTGCATAAACTAGCGCTCTCCTGTGCTACATGGAAGTCTCAATAATGCATGTTCATGAGGAGTCAATCGTAGGCTCGCCGTGGGAGATCGATACCGTGTGTATGTATGGACTTAGGTAAATACCTAGGTAAGTACGTACTTAAGTAGGTAGATAGGATTACTATTAGGCCTGCGCCATGGTATTACATGCATGATATATTTGAGATTGAGATGTATTCATTTTGTTTTCAGTGCAGTATTTCGACATACCCCCGCGGGCTGCACGTGTCGAGATATGGCTGTTAGGTATATCTTGCACGTCAAGAACCACAGGATCTGAGCCACGTGGGGTAGTTTTGAAATCATGGAATGAGCTTTTGGGCTCACGAGGAGCTCGTGGTTGATGCTAGCATGTTCGCTTCTCGGATGGCTTGCTTGAACCGTCAAGAATTCGAACCCGCGGGCTTGGTAAAATGTTTGAGTGGAATGACCTAGTTTGCACCAGCTAGCTCAATTACAAATTGGCTACTAAACTAGCCTAGCTAGTGTCGACTAGTGAGGTTCTTGTCGCCGGAATTGGAGCTAGAGTGTGACAGCTTGGGTGGAGAAGGTATAACATTAGTAGTAGGTAAAAAGACCTACGGAAATGGATACTGGAGAATTAAAAACTCGGAAAAAGTGTAACTGCTGCCAAAGAGGCAAAGCTACGAAGTAGAAAACGGCTTTCTACGAGCTAAGTGTGAAGTCTATGACATGATGGTAGTGCCTCCGTAGTGGTGTCGTCAATAGTCCCATCTAGATAGATTTAGTGGCAGGTCAATGGTGAGGCGAACTATAACTAGTCCAATACTTGGACTATTCCAGCTGGAGGCCATTCCCTGGATAAACCTAGCAGAAACGTTTGTAAACCTATCTAGGGAACCCTTAGTAAGATTTAGATCTTAGATCTGTAAGAAAAAAAGCAGGTAATTGCGGGGACTGGTCTTGTAATTTACCACTCCACCCCGGTCCGTTCGTTTTAATGACGACGAAATCCTTCGCTGGATGTTCTAGATCTTTCCTCGGGATGAATAATTCCGCAAGACTTTAGGGAAAACCTTTCTCATAACCGAGTTCCTGCCTCCAAGAAAAATGAAAGAGAGAAAAAAACAAAAATACAATGGAATAAGCTAAAAAGAAGGCGAAAGGGAAGCGAAATCGCGATGGAATCGAGGGTCCTAGAACGAGAGGAAGGGAACTTAATGCATCGACGTTGGAATAGCACGGCATGGATTGAGCTGGAATAAGGCAAAGTGGATGCATATCGTTGAACTAAAACGCTGCCGGGGTCTCGTCCTATAAACTTTGAGAAAGGTGTGTGTGTGTGGAGGAAGATGTATCACTTTGTACATGTAACAAAACCGAAGAGCAAGCAAAGCTGGGGATATCCCAGAGGTACCAACGACGTTACGTACCTACTCTTGAATTATCGATCCATAGTCTACTTTTTTGCTACGAAAGGAAGTACTGTTAAAGCTCTGTCCCATTCATCCTGAATACATCGGACAGAGTTACATCAAAGTTCGCTTGATGTGACCTCTGCTTTTCGGGTCGCGCAAAAAGAGGCAAATATGAAGGTTGAAGAAACAAGTAAGGGAGAAACTCAGTGTTGCTTGTGTGACATTTAAAGGAGCGACTGGGGCCTCATATCATCCCGTAAGCTCTGGTTCGGTCAGTACTATCTGTGGCTGCCGTTTTCGTGAGACGATATGATTGGCCAGAGTTATCATTTAAATTTAAGAGGGATGGAGAAAGAACGACAGAAGCCGTGCGATCTCGAGGAGTGTGGGATTGCGAAGGGTTCACAGAGACCGGGGAAGGGGAGCAGGGGGTTAGGAAGGTTAGCTAGCTTCCAGGCAGATACATATGTAGATAGGTACTTACCTAAGTAGGTACATACGTTGAGTGTATCTGATGAAGTCAAAAAGTTCTCAGAAGACAGTTGATCTGCTTTGATTTATATTGACATCGACGTCGGTTGGAACTTTGCGTTGGGGTGTTGTCTCGACGTTCCTACAACTGCCTACCTACGTTTCATTCCGATGAGCACAAATCCCGCAGCGGCACTCTGGCTTCGGCATCCGGTCTGGTCTGATCTGGTCTGATCTGGTCTGATCTGGTAGGGTACTTGTATTATGTAGGTACTCGACTTAAGTAAGTATGTACTTCTTTACTTGGGTGCTCACTGCACCTAGGTCGAGCTACTAACCGAATAGCTTACATGTGCAGGCTTACATACTTTGGATGCATATCATCATTCCCATCGAGATCATGGATATCTAGTTCCCCGTTGATCAAGCTAGGATAGTGCAAGCGATGATACGAGTCCGGTCTTCTGACCCCTCTGGGCGGCTGATATGGCAGCTAGACAAGGCAAAGGCAGGCAGCTCGGTGAACCGGCAAGGGTTCCTGATGATATGCTATGACATATAAGAACTTCATTCGCATTCGTCGTCTGTCATGTTGCGGCCGCCTGAAGTAATCATAACTACATCCGTTTTGACGTTGCTTGCTTGCTTCCTTGCTTGCTCTTGTGTGATAGCCGAATTGAATTGAACGGTGAAAACTCTGAAGCGCTCGAAGCTCGAGGATTCTCTCTTCGACCCTTCTGCTCTCCTGCTCAGGCCGGCATATGTGGTGATGCGTCATGTCGTCCGACCTTAGACTTGTCACATTCTTGTATTCCTCTAGAGCTCGACAGATGTACTCAGAGGCGGGTGAAGCATAGAAACAGCAGAAAATCGCTCCTTGGAAAAGACCTCATAGACGAGAGGGCGTATTATGCGCTCTCTATGCTGTCAAGATCGAAGCTTGCTACTCAAGCCAATCCGCTGCAGAGGAAGCTCGATTCCAGCGGCCTGTTGGGTTCGATGCCGAACATGCGAACCATGCGTGCAGCGGAACGCATACAAAACATGTATGCCCTGATCGTATTTACGGGGTTTGGCTCCTTCGATGGCTATCAGCACGACCAAAGCTCGAGCTTCGAAGCTGCTTCCTCTCCTCCGAGCTTAAGCTCCTCCTCCGCGTCAAGCATATACCCTCCGACCTCACAAGATATCCCCACAAACAGCTCTCCCTCTTTCGTCATCTAGAGATCCAAATATCAATGGAATAAGGGAAGTGGGTCAGTACCTCCGAGCTAGCTGATTTTTCACTCCATGTTCCCGCTTGCGAGCCCAAGCCCGGTCCAGCCCAGTCCATTTGGCCCACACCATCGGCCACCATCTCCAACCACCATCGTTTACCTGTGGCCAGTAATTATTCGCGCATAATATTCCTCTAGAAACGGTTGGCAGACCTTCCGAAGAGAGGCTCGTCGACGGAGACGCAATTCAAATTTAGGCGCTGCTGTAATTGCGATATTCTCAGCCCTGTGACTTGATGGACACCCTATGAAATAGCTGTCGAAACCGAAGCGAGGTCAAGGGAAATTATCACAAGCGGATTCAGTCTCATTTCAGGCCCATGGGATTATAATTGTTTCTATTTTCTGTTTTCTGTTTTTTTTTTTTTTTTTTAACTCCCCGAAGACTCTAACAAAAAGAGGGAAAAATCCACACTACAACCGTTCCATTCTCGCCGAGAGAAGACGAAACGTGCGGACTGCATTATTATTTCGTAACGGTGAAGGATAATCCATCAAAGTCGCGGGCCGCTTTGATTTCTATGCGGGATACTTAAAAGTACTTGCCGACTTTTGCCTTGCTTGGTCTTTAGCAGTTGAGCAAAAGAAAAACACAAAGGTATCGTACTGCAGCCTTTGATTGCTTACAGACAGTAACTCGTACCCATCGCTTGAATTGACCCTCCTTCGTCCACGATTTGGAGACGTCCTGAAAGATCGACTCCTTGGAGGAGGGGGGAAAGGAAAAAAAAAAAAAAAAAGGAAAGAAGCAGAAGGCATCTCATGTCGGTGACGAGGGCAAGGTCAGACGGCAAGTAGCAAGGGCCTGAGTTGCAGCAAGACGCCTGCCATGTTATGCGAGGCGAAAAAAAAAAGTTAGAAAACGCCTCAATCGAGCCCACCCACTGCCTGCAGAGACGACAGCGGACCCGCTCCAGCTTCTATTGCCATCCTTTTGTGCGTCTTTTAGCGGCATCCCGATATTTTGGGACTAGAGAGAGTGGAAAACGACGTCTCTTTTGAAATCTTTTTTTTTTGTCGTCTTTCTCTGGTCAGTTTTTTTTTTTTTTTTTTTTTTCCAGGTCCCCAGTTCAAGTGATTCTAATATTACTCGTCCACTCGTTTTCTCAAACCCGTTTTTTTCCATTTGATATATTCCCGTTTTCTCTCTTGACACAGCAGATTCCAAAGCAACAGCATGATACTAACCGACATGCCCTTATTCCGATGTTGATATCCAGCCTTCGAATGGGAAGTTGACGTTGACGTTTGACGAGCCAATCCCTCACCTGGCTGCTACTCCTTGCTAGTACCCTCCACAGTTACGACTAGCTCGAGCGAAGATAGCGCCATACCACCGTCCCGAGTTAACTTCGTTTTTGATCCTGATCTTAAAAAGGTCTGTGAAGTACCAGCTCGGATGTTCCCTCCCCTCTCACGAGAGCCGAGAAAGTGAGAATACTATATCACAAAATAATATCGAGATCTTGCTCTTCTTTTTGCCCTGGCCAGACCCGGCAAACATGTGTCCCCGGGCTCACAATCTCATTTCTTGATTTGGCTGGCTGACTCTACCTCGGTTGCCGTGAAGGCCAGGTCCGATTTTGCTGGACGTATATAAACTTTCGCCCGAAAGGAAGCCCGAGAAGGGAGAAAAAAAAAAAAAAAAAACAACAGACCAAATTGAAATTAATTAATTGGTCTGGGGCTAAGAACTTCCCAACGTCACAGGCCGCCCGTCCATCGAGTCAGTTTAGTTAGCGAGCACGCATATCGCCAAGTCCCCCGGATCCAAAATTTACTCCAGCTTCAACGAAAATAATCCTAATCCCCCCCCCCCTCAACGTTCGAGAAGAATTCCACCCACCAAGTCCTTGTATCTAATGCGCCTCAATCCGCGAGCGCTCGATCCGACCAGCATCGTCAATCGAGCTCTGTTACGCCCGTCGGACGACCGCACCTCGCTTGAGTCGCTTCTGACCGCCTGCTCGCGTGACACCTCCGACTTCAGGCTCGCACAGCTACCCCCCGAGATCCCTTGAAGCCGCCAGATTTTACAGACGCATATCCCAATCTACTGGCACGATTTTCGATATCTTGCATATTATCTATCTAGATTTGTTTTTCTCGATTTTTCCGACCCTGCCAAACGTCAGCACCTATACATCGGCGACTACAAGCTGAAACCCTATCTCTGATCCGTTCATGTCGAGCGTGAACAACGGCACGACGTCACCAACTGCGGTGAAAGTCTCTTCGAAGACTAGCCTCAGCGCTGCAGCTGCAAAGGATCCGTCTCGCCCGCGACGGAAAAAGGCCAGAAGAGCCTGTCATGCTTGCCAGAGGGCGCATCTGACGTGTGGTAGGACAAGATATCTTGCTTCGTGTTGGATTTCATGCAAGCTTCGATTTTCGATCGCACACACCCTGCATAGATCAAGAAACAGAATGCTGTTCTAGAACATAATCTCTTCTTTGTTTATACAGATTGAACTTTTGTTTTGGCTAACTTGGTTGTTTTACCCTCTATTAGGTGACGAACGACCGTGTCAGCGTTGTATCAAAAGAGGCCTGCAAGACCTTTGTGCTGACGGGGTGCGCAAAAAGGCAAAGTATCTTCACGATGCACCTATCGACGCTCCTCCAAAGGATCATCTTCGTACTACCCAAGTGCAGAAGCAGGCCTCGTCGAATCCCGGTATTTATACGGGAGATGGCACCATCAATCCGCTCTCGATGGATCAAACCCCAGATCTCCTTACGCCACAGATCGGTACTACTACTGAAGCTAATTTGGGACTGGGAACGATGCCTCAATCATCTCAAAATCCTCAGCAACAACCGCAGTTTGGCAATCCTCCCTTTTTCGACCCTGCAGATCCCTCAATCTATAATTTTGACATCGCTTCTCTAAATTTCGGTTCTCATTACGGTGCTTTGGAGTTCGGCATGCTGGGTCATATGACTGGCGGCGGAGCAAACGCAACGACCCCCGAATCTAACGGATCTGGCACCGGTTATCAGCAACAGGCGCCGTTCTCACCCTCTGGTGGGCCGGCCTATCTTGCTCTTGGTGACACAGGCTTCATGAACGACTGGAGTAATTCCCGTCAGAATAGTACAGGAAATATCCTTTCCAGTTCGACATCTGCCCATCCTAACCATGCTTTCACTGTCACGAATGGTCCGGGTAGTGGTTTGACGTCTCCTTCTCCGCCACTTCCATCCCCCAAACATCCTTCGACTTTGTATGATATCAACGTTCCACCAGCGACCGCTTCGCCGCCAATGTCGGTCGCCAATTTCTATAGCCCTGCCACAGCCAGACCTCTCAATTATGAAAATATTTTCAATCACGGCCATCAGACTGCTATGTCTGCGCCGTTGGCGAAGCCAGTTCATCCTCCCCCAACCGCTCGGAGACCAAAAGACCCTTCTACCCTGTATAACACAGTTACCAAGCCATACTCGTACACTGCAGGGTTCCACCGTCTCCTAGTCGTTTTAAGAAACCGTTTTCCACCACCTCTACTGAACAGAATTGCTAGATCGATGGCATCGTACCGTCCATCCTTCATTGCATGCACTAAAACTCTAAAAGAAGAGGATCTCCTCTTTATGGAGAAGTGTTTCCAACGGACTCTTTGGGAGTACGAGAAGTTCATCGGACAATGTGGCACTCCGACTATTGTCTGCCGCAGGACTGGTGAAATTGCTGCGGTAGGCAAAGAGTTTTGTCACCTAACATCTTGGCCGAAAGACGTCCTGTTGGGTAAAACACAAAACTTGAATACCAATTTTGGTAACAGCAATCTTGGTGAACGGGAGCAGCAGATCATCTTTGGGCAGCAGACCCATAATGCTGGAACGGAGCAGAATCCAAAACCGGTGTTCCTAGCTGAGCTACTGGATCAGGAATCTGTGGTGGAATTTTATGAGCAGTTTGCTAAACTGGCGTTTGGTGATGCTAGGGGATCTGTTATGACTAAATGCAAGCTGTTGAAGTACCTTCCTGCGGATGTTTCAACTACGGATGATGTCGGCAAGAGAAGGAAAACAGGGACTTCCACTCCTGTTAGGGGCCCTACAGCGCAAATGTCAAGAAATGGGGTCGTTGGGGAGAGCGGGCTTGACAGCTTGGCAAAAGATGGCAAGGTTGATTGTACCTTTTGTTGGACTGTCAAAAGAGATATGTTTGATATCCCGATGTTAATTATTGGAAATGTGGGTGCTGTTCTCCTGTCTACTTTCCAAAAGCCTTCGCTAACAATGCTTCCGATCTTCAGTTTTTGCCAATTCTCCAAGGCCACCTCTCTTGAGCATGTTTCAAGAAATCTCTCCTAATATTCGTATCACTCGATAATGTGATACTTACGGAAAAAAATTGCATAGGGTATTCTTTTTGGGAACACTTATCTGATACCTAGGACGGTTTGTTACATTTTAAGTTTTCTTTTGATTTTGACACAGATATCCACAGTAATCTGGCGTACGTCAAAGCACGTGAGGCGTTCTAATTGACTTTTGAAGCATATTTCTAATACCTTAGCGGTAAAACCGGCGCGGTTTTGGTTTTTATTAACTTCATATGCTCTTTTCTTCTTGAACTTTCCCTTCTAAATTTGTAAGGTGTTCTATAAGACCGGGAACACGGAGGTCCAAACAGGAACTCCCATATCACCCCTCCGCCCCGCTTATACCTTACGTATTGCACTTCGCGGCGATGTTGCGATGCTTTCCTTCATCCCACCCTTTCTTATTTTCATGCGACGATTTTTTTGCTTCAACCCTATCTGCTGCTTTGTAACTCCTTGCACACATGTACAACCATATTCTTCCAGATCAAAAAAAAGGGGGAGGAAAGAACGACTTTGAGGGGGGAGAAGCCGTGGGCGTGCTTCTTACATTTAGCGGTACTACACCATTCTTTTGTATGACATGATTCATTTCCTTTGTTTTGGGATTTTCTCGAAACCTCAAAGATCTCGAGTTTATCCTTGTTTATGTTTCGCGTGTATGCCGTTCGATGCCCCAAAAGTTCACTGCTTTTCTTTTTCTTTTTTGATCGCTTCTTGTATTATAACAACCTCTTATTCCAAGATCTTCAGGTCTTGAAAAAAAAATGTTGCAGGGAAATGAAATTTTTTTTTTGGAGGGTTTAAAAAATGTGCTTCTTCATTTTTTATTTTAATTCCTTTGTAGGAATCTTCGGGCGCACATGAAAACCGTTAGAGATATAGTATCGGTCCTGTTGGTACTAGTGCGGTATCGAAACTCTATAGCTTCGAAACCCTCTTCAGTCTTGTGTTAATAGCCTCTAGCGCTTTTTTTGTCCGTTCTTGTTGCAATACCGACTTCCAATGCGATGCTCGGCTTGGTTCAGTTCCAAAAACTAAATTGATCCATGCGGCCATTTTTTCCACTTCTTCCATGCCACTACCGATCTTGCCCGCGGCAGTTATCAGGCAGTGACCAGCTTTGGGAACAATCTCATGCTTGATGTAAATTTCTGCTGCTTTGGAATATCCTAGCTCATCTACGTTCACCACATTTGTTTTGGCCGTATTATCACGGCTGTCTTGCTCTTCCTCTACGTCCTCTACTATCGCCGCTTTCCGTTCATGCATGCAAAGCCTCGTATCGGCACTTTCTAGCTCCTTAGTATCATCTCGAGCTCCCTTTTTTCCGCTTATGTCTTCGTTTTCCTCATCTCGAGCTTCATCTCTGGCGAAATTCCAACCTATTCCTTCCTCTTTAATTATGTCGTTGTTGTGTGTCTTCCCAAGTTCCTGGGCTTCCTCTTTCGCTATTTCCTCAATTGTTCTGATTTTGGAAGGGAACAGAGAAATTCTTGCGGCGTGAACATACTCGGTTATCTGTCGGTGGAGAATGTCGCCTTCTGCGCTAACGATCCTCATCATTGGTACCGTAAGCTTCCCAACTAGATCCAATGGCGGGTAAGCTACCGGCCTACGGGGTCCTCGCTTAAATATTGTGTCTGGTAATGTCTTGACCCATGTTGGGGGGTTTTCGGGGTCAGCGAGGAGTTCTGAATGTACTCTCGAGATTAGATCAGTCCAGATATTTACACCAGAGGACGAGAAACGGTAAAGCGGGGAGACGAAGGGGTCGGTAAAGTCCTCTGGGGTAGCGAGGTAGTGAGACCGGATAGACTTAAGGGTTTCAGAAGACAGGAATGGATTGTCGGCGAGTTGTGAATAGGTGGAAATTATATCCGAATCAATTTCCTCGAGCTCGGATTGAGAGTATTTCTCAATCAGGGACGGTGATCTCGGGATTGTTGAGAGATTGGACTCGGGTATCCCGGGGAGAGGATCGAATGCCCAGTCTACAATCGGGAGCCAGGCCCCTGTAGCAATTATACCGGACTCGCGGCCTTCGGTTGCGCCGATAGACGCTGCGATACTACCACCTATTCCCGTCCCTAGGACTGCCATCAGACGACCATCATAATTATTCTGGCAGTATGTTTCTAATGAAACTGTCGGGACATTGAAGCGTGCCCAGTCTAAAGCCGCTAGAGCATCATGAAGTGATAAGGGGAAGGGGGGAGAAACACGATAGCCGACTGATATGGTCGTAGAGTTTGTGAGTTTAGTGAGTTCAGATATTACACGGTGCTCTTGGGTGGTTGATATAGGGTTAGTTCCTCGTGACGGGAAGTACATGATCACTGGGGATCTCGAGGTAGCGTTTAAAGAATTATAGACCCTAGGTACCAAATTGGAATCAATCAACGACTATACGGCAAAGAGACAGACCTGCTATTCCCAGGAAGGAAGAACATACCGAAGAAGAATACTCCCTGTCGCATTTCGCGGTAGCGTAAAATCCCGGCATGAGATGTCAGGATAATGAGTATCAGGCTCATGGTCCTTTATACATGGATATTGCTGATCCAAGGCGAACTGGTCGAAGGGGTTATATTCAGGCTTTTGAGCAAGATCCCTCCGATAGAATTCGACATGCTCCTCATCATATATATCTTGGAAGATCTCATCCAAATCGGGCTGGGGTACCCCTGTATAATGGTGTGACCTCGGGGGCTTGGTACACAGGGACAAGGAAGACTGAAGGTATGAAAGTGGCTCTTGGAGTTGATGGTATACTGGACGAGAGGCGACGGGGAGGAAGTGGCGGGAAAGTCGCATCCGCGCGACTCTTTGAAACTTCAGCATATGCATGCACATGTACCGGATGTATCAATCTGCCTAACCTGGCCCTGGCTAACCTCGAGACTAGACGTTTCACGGGGGATTCTACCAGACTTCTGGAAGAATAGGCTGCGCAGTTTGGTTACAAAATTACAAAACTAGCGGGTGAATTGCAGTTTAATTTGGCTATTGGAACGAGACCAAGTTTGGCCGGGATTGGTAATATCGATATCTAAGTACCTTTGCAGATTTGCAAGCTTTGTTGGAAAGTGAAACAGCAACGCAGAGAATCGAGAAAAGATATTTGTTTGTTACACCAAAATCGACATCAAGCACAACGCAGCATTCTGTTGCATTTTGCATTGAGGCAGGCGAAGAGGGTGTAGTCGACATCGCCGCGAATCTAGGTGCTCTTGAGGCAGAGGATAGTCAGAATTCTGTAAAAAGCGAGAATGAAATGGCTTTTCTATAGGTTATAAGTTCGAGGATAACATTCAATCACACTTGTTACTCGCGGAGAGCTTGCCTAAAGTTTTTCTAAACCAATTCATAGCTGCTCAATTCACGAACTCATACGCCCTCTCAGTTTACTATAGTGAACAATTCTGAATGCTACACTAGAATCACCCCGTTTGAAGTCCGTTGGCATAATGAAGTGTCGTATCCAGAAGTGTCATTTGTTAAAGGGAGCGTGCAACGAAAGCGAAAGAGCGTGCGTGGTGGCCTCGTGTTGGCCGAGGGAATCTTACACAGTACTAGTTGAGCCCTCTTTCGTAGTTGCGACTATTTAAGTCTCCATCTACCCATCTCTATTATCTCTTCTTTTCATCATCACCCTCCTCCTCCTCCTCCTCCTCCGTTTTCTTGCCTCCCAGCTGTCTCATTCATCAGAAGGAAAAACATTTCACGCCCCGATCATTGAATTTCCCATTTCATCTAGCAGCACTTCAACCATCATTCAAGATTTACTAGCTAGCTGTGGCCTTCCTTTAACCACTAAAAAAAAAGAAGTTTCTTCTTCATCAGAGCTACGACGCGTCGATTGCTTTTCTTTCTTCTTCTGACTTCGACTCTCGAAATCTTCTATTCTTCCCTCATCCCACAATAGCTTGCCCAAAGCTACCCCCAGTTCAGTTTCCGATCCTTCGAGCACTCTATCTCCTGCAATTCTCGATTTTAAATGTCTACTTTGACAGCTTCCGGTGCCAAGTGTCTCGTAGACTAAAGCTCCTGGTAGAATTGACCTAGCAGAGCTTTTTCCTTGAATAATTTTCGCTGCCAATGCTCTCCTGGCTCCCCACTCCCCTCATCCTCCTCATTTCTCAGCCTTGGCCTCTTCCTGTTCGCCTTATCAACATCGGCTTTTCTTCTCCAAAGACGTTTCATAGACGGAAGCGTACTATTCTTCCCCCAGAAGCTGCTCCCAAAGGCTCCTAGCTATATCTATTCTAGAGTCTCTCGATACTACTACTATCAAAATGTCACGATCTCTTGTTCCCTTTGTGAAGGTTAGTTTCCCAGTATTGACCGCCCTTTCGATAATGAAATTATTTTAATTAAAAATATTCTACAGACGAATAAGTCATCTCACCCAGGCTTTGTCAAGCTTGAAGATGATTTCACCAACGACTGCGGAGAACTTCTGGCCCTATTCAGAAAGAAGCCTGCAACCTATCAACGAATGACAAAGTTGATAAAGTTATTAAATAAAAAGGTGGGAGAGTTAGACGCAGAGAAGGGGAAGTTGGCTGCAGAGGAAGCAGCCATCCCGACCATTGAAGATCTGATCCCTAATTGGGTTCGAGTGCACGCTCCCCAAAGCATATCTGCCGCATCATCATGCGGAATTTCAACCATGTCCTGCCGTTCCGGGACTCAACGGGCGGCCCCCCTTGACCCGATTCGACATGGGTCGAAGACATACCAGATACCGGATCTCCTTCCAAGGAGGCCATTCTATCTCCCAGTGGTAGGGAACCCGAGTGCAGCGGTTTTCTATTTCGGGCCTCGTGATGGCCACGAAATTTACGCCAGGCTTAGCCCCTGGGATACTTTCGCACTCCCAAAGCGCAGCGTCGTAGCGGGGTCTGGGCGGCAGCTTCGGTTCGCCGAGCTGCCGGCCCATTTTGTTCGGGAGAGGAGCAGATTTAAGTTCCTCTGGGAGGGGCTGGCGGCGTGCCGGCGAGTTGAGGCGTGGTGCGGTGACGTAGAAAGTCACCGCTGGGGCTTCATCGACCCCAACAAACTAACTAGGGAGGAGGCGAAGCGGGGGAGACAACTGCGTCCATGGTTAGACAACATGGACCACGCTCGGATGAAGGCTCTCGACAAGAGGTTTTATCCTGTCGGGGTCGCGACAGGTCCTCCAGTCCTTATAGGAGGGCAATCCGAGGCCAGTGGCCAGTCCGAGCTCACGGACGACAACGTTCCCGAAGAGGGTATCGTTGTTCGTCCCTCTGAGCTCCAGAAATACCTGGACGAGTTGACAGAAAGGCTGGAGAGACGGATGGAGCAGCTTGTTGGGGAGGTTAGGACGGCCGCGGCCGGCCGAGCCAACCCCACGGGCCCTCCTCCCGCTGGAGGTAGTCCGAGTGTTCAGGCCAGAGCCACTGATACACCGGCGACCCAAGGGCCTCATGCTCTTGCCAGCGGCCGTGAGCCATCCGTCTACGGCTCCAGCGATAGTGGCGGGTCGCAAGGCCCAAATCTCTGGGTATACACCCCGGCGATGACAGAGGGTGATGGTGGTTCATTCTGCCACCCCTCCGAGTCGGGTCCCGCCTGCATCATGGATAGCTATGATGACGGGCACCTGAGATTGGGTTTCCCGCCGCTGGTCCCGGCTACCTTGTGGGGGACTTACCCGTCAGATATCCTGCCACGATCGGCCTGGCCCCTCCAGGGGGCCGCGATCGATGGCGACAACCTCATCGCACTCTAGAGGCCCATGACGGCGCTAGATGCCCACAGAGAGCTGGGACAACCAGTGGCCCTTGGCTCGGGCCACTACGTTTTCTTTGTTTTCCAATTTTTGGTGGTGGAGGTGGGGAAGGCGGTTTGTGTTCTTTCATGACTGTGTGGGGAGGAGGGGCACAGAGTCACGGGTGATGGCCATACATTTTTAGTCCATTACCCGTAGCTCGTCCCCGATATAATATTATAATAAAGTCTGTTCCGTGCCGTTCTCGATTCTCAAACCATAAATCACATTCCCATCGTAGACAACTATTCCTGGCTTCGTGATAGCCCCATTCTCACCCACATGGAACCCTAGTCTCAGAATCAGACGCTTATCCAATATATGTTGAATCAATGTGATCGGGTTATAAGGCGATGTAGCTTGCTCAAATTCCAGCTGTATGCATGGTATTACACGATTTACAGGGTACATAATTACGAGATCAATCGTTCTTGCTTGTACATTGACCTAGTATAACCCTTAACTGCAACGTATATTTTTATTTCTTTTACGTACCCGAATATCCAGTATATAAGTGATGTACTGTCACCAAGCCCTTTGTTAACGTTGTCGAGTTTCGTTGCTTCGGGTCGAGCTTCTTCCTTTTTTATTTCCGATCAACTTCAACCAGATCGAGATTTCCGGGTTTCACGGAGCCTTAGTGCCATAATATTAATCGATACTCGCCCATCAGGACGCACGAAAATTATCCAAACGGCGTTCAATTAAACCAATGTAAAAGAATCTAGGATTCTTTCAGACTATACACCGACTTCAAACTACCTGTTTTGTAGTTTAGGTAGTCCGAGAGATCTTGTTCCTAGAATTCGGATATCCCACTAGCGGCACCACCCGCTCTTACGGGGCCAAATGCATCAAACAGTGATCTAATGGGTCCAGCACCACAATCTGGAATGGGGGTTCCGCTAGGATTCCAATGGCCCTTTCCATTCACTGTATGAGGATGTACTTCCAATTAATTTTTCATAATTTGAATTATATTTGCAAATTAGATCGATGTGAATTTACGAAGATTGAGAGCTCGAGAGCTCGAGAGGAGTTTGCGCTTGGCAGGCACTCGGCCCGTCTCGAGAAATCGACGCTTCCAGCCATAAGTCTATTAATGTATAAGATACAAGAATTGATTTCACTCTCCTCGGGGCTAGGAGCTGCTAGTCTAGTTCTACCAATTTCGCGGATCTGGCGCGGATCGGTTTTCCGTTTAAGGAGGAATGCGCATGCCGGCTGTCTAGATTGGACAGTTGTATTACATTGCACGTAATTAAACCAAGCCCTTCAGACTCCCGGAATTCTCGGAATCGCGCCGCTACATCTACTTGCAATGCCAAAGGGGGGATCTGTTAAGCAACTATACGTCGGCAACGTGTTAATGCCTGCACCGTAGGTCTAGAGAAAATGCTCTGAGGTTTAAAAAAAAAGTGTGGAGAAAGTGCTGATTAATGAAAGCCAATTGATTACAACTCTCTTGATTTTTGGGGTGAAGACATGCATGTATTGCATGTATCCACCTACAGGAAGTTAAATGCCTAGCTTCACGCGAACCATCGAGTGCGAGATCTAGATCGTGCATACGACGACATATGCAGGCAGCAAATCTCCCAAAGCTCGGATTCGAGCGTTCGTTCTTCAGAATCCAGATATAATATTCGTAATACCCCAAACCTGTTGCCTATGTATAATGCAATTATATTCAAATGCGGTATAGTCCATATGCTGTGTATACATTTTGGTACGTCAGCTAAAAGCTCGAAGGTTGGGGGAAGTGACCTTGGAGCCATCGAATATTCTCGGCGTTTTCTTATAAACATAAAACTTATCGATATATCATTAATCTTATCTGAATCTCTGTTCTCTGGTCTCAAGAATGTACGGTGCTATCTGGCTCCTGATATTGATATAAGTCAACATGTTTGAGGTTTTGTTTTTTAAGGTCTCTTGATATCATGGTCCTAGAGCGTTTTAGGTCCACCAAACCTGGTACCCGTACCTTATCGACAAAACAATACATTTTCTAGCACTGCCCCCCGCGTATCTGAAACCCTTATAACTGCCCAGAGATACAAGGTGCATGGCAGCTCACGTGTCTCCCCGTTTGGCATACGGAAGAGACCATGTTTGATCCAAGGTTTCTCGCGCCGGTTGGACTTGGGAATGCAATAATGTACGGACATGCACAAAAGATCCGAACGTGACAATAAGAGGCCGGGCCAAGGACTGGGTATAGCTCCTCGTGAAGCTCACCAATTCTAGAATTAGTTTTTCGTTCCTCATCGGAGACTTTGAGTTATAATATTACGGTCTGTTGAGGTGGCATGAGCCCCGACCGATCGTTCACGGTTCGAATGTCCTTTGAACGCTTCTATAGGGAATCTCGGGAAGAAAGGAGGAATGTTGTCTTTGTTAAGAGTTTTTACAAGTTCGGCTGATCGGCAGAGGTAACGCTTCGACAGTGTCGTTTTGGTTTGTTCGGCAACTAACAGGCGCAAGTTAAGAGCTAAACTACTAACTATATATAGTTAGCCACTGTATTTCAGTAGACCTGATTGGACAATGAGCCTGGGCGCTGTCCGTTTTAGGAAAGTCTTCGCCAAGACGTGTCCAGATCCCTCACTGATTACCGCAGCTTGCAATCTATGTACGATTAGGGCGGATCCATCATAAAAGATTCGATTTAAGGATATCGAATATGAGGTGAGGGTAGCGTGAGCATGCTGCAGTGCTGCATGCTGGCCCCGCTCTGTTCGAAACATGGTAGATACTATCACTTGGTTCGTCCTATTATGCATATGCGTAATGGAAGGGATCTCCGGAAAGATATAAAACCAGAGGGCTCCCTTCTACCCTTGATGCACCGTAGGAGATCCCTCAGCTTACTCCCTTGCTGACAGTTGCTGTCGACATTCGTTCCCACAGTCATTCATTTTGCTTTTTGCTTTTTGGTCCAGATGCTTCGTTGAACAGACACTCCTTTGCCTCTAACGATTAACGAATATTCAAATATCCAACAACAGACACTCTTTAACTAAAGTACTGCAATAAGAAGTACCTTGTTCAGGTACTTCAACGACTCGTTACGATGACACGCACATCGTTTCTCGTGCAAACTGTGATCTCGGCCTTGTGCTTAAATGGCGCCGTGTATGCTATGGATAGCGAGGCCGACTGGGCTTTTGCAGCGAACAATTTAGCAAAAAGGGCAATTGCAGTCCCGTCACCTACTCAAGAAGGGCAGCCCGCGAACTGTATAGCATGGAAAAACGTCGAGGCGGCAGAAGCCGACTCTGGCGACTGTGACTCGATTGTAAGCAAATACAAGAGTATCAAGTTGACTAAAGCGACATTTCTTTCGTATGTGAATGCCAAAATCTTTTTTTGACAAACTAACTGCGTTTAAGGGTATTGAATACTAATAGAGAAACCCTATTAGACTTAATCCTGCTCTTAAGGGCGATTGCGCCAACCTCAAGAAGAACTTCTACGTTTGCGTGCAAGTGGGCGCTTCCACTGGGGCAGCCGTAAAGGCTGCAGCCACGCCAAAGACACCGGCGAAAGCCGAGGAGGAAGAGGAAGAAGAAGAAGAAGATGACCGACACGCCGACAACCCCCCAGCTGTAAAACTTACTACTAAAAATCCAGCACCTCCAACAAAGCTTGAGGCAGAAGAGAAGGACCAATTCTTAGTCACTGGCGCCGGTGATACTACTCTCAGCACCCGATTCTGCGCTCCCCGAAGGAACCTTGTCAATTTGCAGAAAGAACTACCGGATACTTTCAACCTGCTTGTTCTTGCTCTCGATAAGATGATGAAAACTCCTGATAGCGATGCGCGGAGCTACTTTCAAATATCCGGTAAGTTTTATAATTTTGAAAATAAACGCTAGTGCTATGTTGATCGGTTTTCCTACCCTCTCTTAAGTATACACGAATGCTAATTACTCTTTTCCCCTCCCATGGCGCAGGTATCCACGGGGCGCCGTAAGTAACCAGCCTAAGTCCCGAATTCCTCGTCAAGTACCTTCCTCTTACACTTTTTTCTATCTAGATTCATTTCCTGGCCTGTTCCAGGAGAATCGGGTAACGTTGGGCTCGGGTATTGTACCCACAATTCCGTCATTGTAGGTTCATCTGCTTACCACCTCCCATCTTTGATCTTTCTGACAATGAAATACAGTTTTCTACGTGGCATAGGCCTTATATTCTAGCCTTTGAGGTATGTTATACTTTATCGAGATATATTTCATAGCTACAATTATATGACAAATTAGTTCTAATACCTTTAATAGCAAACTCTCTACCGACATGGCAGAGATATTGTTCGAAGACTTTTTACTCAACCAGCAGTCCAGAAAAAATACATAACCGCTTTACAGCAGCTCAGATGGCCGTATGTCTAATATCACTTGAACCTCAATTCTATTTATACTAACGTGAGGTAGATACTGGGATTGGGCAGATAGCACTAATCAGAGCAGAATGCCGAAAGTTACTATGGATAAAACTATTTCCGTCATGGCCCCCGATGGCAAAGGAGGTGAAAGGAAAGCAACAATCGCGAATCCCTTTTATTCCTATGTGTTCAAAGGACGTGAAAACATACTATTCAAAAAAGACGTATGTCAGAAATTCACCAACTTTCTCGGAGGCAATTGTACATCAACGTCAAACTAAACCGATTTATAGTTTACAGGCTTGAAAGCTACTTCACGGAGACCGGAGAACTCCGGCAGTAGTGTGAGCTTCGACGCGGCTGCAGACAACGCCATGCAGAGTGGTTACACTACGTGAGTTATGATAAGCGCAACTTAAGACATATACAGCTTCAAAAATGCTAATGAGTAGCTGTCACCTAAACCAGGAGGCGTAAACAGGCTTATAATGCTTTAACAAGCGCAACTACTTTTAACTTCTTCTCCAATGCACTTGAGAAGCTTCACAATGACGTTCATATGCAAGTTGGCGGCAATGGTATTATGGGCCTCATTTCATACGCCGCTTTTGATCCCATCTTCTGGTAAGTGGGAAAATACAAACGAGAAAATCGCCCATTCCGCTAAAATCTGACCCAATCTGAGCACAGGCTTCACCACAACAATATTGATCGTTTGCTGGCAATCTGGCAAGCCGCCAACCCCGGAAAATATTTGACACCAGATACCGCCACTCCTTCTTTTAAGCGTAAAGTCCAGGAAGACGATCAAGACGATTTAGATACTCCACTATACCCCTGGAAACACACAGACGGAAAGTGGTGGACGTCTAATGATGTGAAGGATGTCACCAATATCTGGAAATATGGCTATGGTTATCCAGAAGTCCCATGCTATTACCAGGGTGATACAAATACCTTAGACGATCACGCTACAGAGGCGATTAACAGAGCCTATGGTGACATTGGTGTGCCTAGAATTAAGGGTCGCGCTGCTGTCACGAGTGCTTCTGTAGCTGGCCGTAATGTTACAGAATGGGATATCAACATCATTGTCGACCAAGCAGAGCTACCTGGTACCTTTTCGATCTACGTCTTCTTGGGCAATCCTCCCGCAGATCCCAAGAAATGGGATATGTCTTCACAGAAGGTTAGCACGATGACTCTACTCGGCAACCCAGGCGTAGCAAAGATGAGCAAACTCGAGGGCATGACTATCCCCCTAGGCCCATTACTCGCCCAAAAGGGAGTTAAAGGCACAGAGAAAGAGATCCAAGACTATTTGGCTAAGTACTTAGTATGGACTTGTATGAGTCTCGGTGAAGAGGTAAGTCGGCCTTGAAACTATTTTTCTTATACTTTGCTAATAGCCATCTTTTAGGGAGGCACTAAACCATATGACGTAAAGCTCATGAAGTCCCTTAAGGTTGTTGTTACTAGTAGGAATGTTTTTACCCCTAGCGATATGAAGATCAAACCGAAAGTGAGCAAGGCCAAAATCCAAACCGCAGCAACAAAGAACCAAGCAAAGAGTGGCGGCGCTTCTACTCTCGCTGAGCTTGCAAACACAAAACTCAAGGGTGGTGCTGCAGCCCACCTACGTATTGGCATTCTCCCTGATATTCAGAACACTACCGTTACTGGTAAGAGCTATCGCTAGAGGACACGGTCAAGATTGCACTTTGCTCTATCTATTGGCTTTTGAGATTCTTTTAGGATGCGAGATCAAAATTCGCCAATCTTGAGTATCATAGTAGGTATCTCCCACGGTATTAGTGGCTTATATATATTTGGCATATTCTTGTGTATCTTGGAGTTTATAGAAAGATATTAACTGTTTTGGAAAGCTGTATCACTAAGATGTACTTTCATTTCCGACAAAACTCCGCAACGGGGCCCAAGAACCTGTTTTGAATAGCTTTGTTAGGCTTGAGACCCCACCCGAAGACAAATTTACAACTATCACAGAATTTTAAGTTAGTGCCGCATCGAAATTCTTTTCCTCTGGGGTAATTGCGACAATATGGATGGGCATACCTACTTGAGGCCGCAACGCATTGCAGTAGGTCTCATGGACTTTCCTTTGCCACTCGCAGTGCAACACTTTTTAGCCAGCCTGTTTTGTGATATCATCCCTATATCGAGTATTACATGTCCATGAATCAAGTGAAGGTAGCCGCACCCCTTTAGCAAAAGAATATAAGCTGAAAGCCGGCCCAGTGCTTAGTAGTTTTCATGGGCGCTCATATTGGACATTTGGAGTAGAATTGATGCGAGATTAGTCACTTGTGAACCTTCTGAGGAAGATATGCAACAACTTAGATCGAGATATCGACATTCCGGTTGGCTTTTCTGAATTTAAATATTTATCCTTTGAAACATTTGATCGCGAAAGCCTTACATTAGATATATTTCCACCGGCTACCAAAACTTCATGGGATTATATTATATTGTACATCTCGAGCGTGGTTTTTTGCATATTTGGTGGGGACTAAGCTAGGACTTATGATGTCGACTAACTAGGATCAGGCCTAGCTTCCTGACCGCGAGCTTGTGGTACACCCTCTCTCTTTTCATTATTTGTCGGCAAAATTATGAGATGTATCTAGAACAACTTAGAAGAAAGGTACCCAAGGTTGCCCCGTCCTTTACAAAAGGCCAGGTCTTGGTGCTGCAGCACGAAAGGCTGGCCATGCTATGGTTACGAGACTGGCTCAGTGTACCTCTGGCGTTAAAATCCTGTGATGTGTTGCAAATGTTGGGGTTTTGCTATGTTGCACAAAGATTCTGTACTAGTATGGTCTCTGCCCTCATCCGCGCCTGGCCAGGTATCGAGGCTATAGTATGGTATGGCGCAGTTGCTAGTTGGATTCAACGTGCACACACGCGTTATACGTTACATGAGGGAGGATTACAGCAGCGCTAGCATTAGCCTCGAGATTTGAGACCGTTCCGATTAGGCACAAAAAGCATATGCATGGCTGTTCAAAATATGGCTTTTTCGAATTCTCCTCTCTAATTTCGGGTGGGAGATCTTTATGGAGAACGATCCTGAATGAACACTTTTCCTGTTTATGGCTTTCCTGCGTCGTGAGAAATTGGGATGGTGGAGGTACCGCGATGCAATATGTTTCCCACCAACGCGGAAACGTGTGCACATGTGTATGCCATGCAAGGCCTCAAATTGGCCATCTCGTCAACTATTTTTATTTTCGAAAGTAAGATTAATAGAATCTCGCTACCCGAAAATAAAGAACCTAACCATAGGTTAACCCAAACTTGGCGGATACCGAAGCCGTGTCTGCACGGTCTTTGAACATATATAAATATCGGAACTAGCTCCATTTGGTTGCTGATACCAGCTTTCGAGACCGTCTAAAGTACTTAAGTTTTCTAGGTAGGTATATCTACTTAGTAGATAAATTAATCTTTACATAGTAAAAACCTCAAAGACAAGATTCCCGGAAGAGCCAAGACTTTGTACAAGACGAGAGCTTTGCCTATTTTGCTATAATCTATAGTCTTAGATATTTAAACCCCAATGAATTGAAGAAGTTTCTGGCGTTGCAACTGCCTAAATTCTGTGATATCATGATCATGAAATCCAAATTCTCCTCAATCCTTTCTTTTTCTGAGAAATGGAATATATATTTGAAAGAAAATTTAAAACTCGGCTGATCTGATCCACAGACCGGCTTTCACGGCTCAGCCATTATAGTTATAAGTTAGAGTTCAAACATTTTAGAGGCTAGAATTCCGATCATCCATGTTGCTCCGCTCCCTATTAGATCATGATACTAGTAAAACTCCTACATCTAAGTTCTCCTAGTTTTGCGTCTTAGCTAAGTTCTCCGGGAGTATAAGCCACTGGATACTCTCCGAAAGCGTAACTGCCAGGAATTGAGTTCCGGATCTTTTGCAATTGGGTATACAGTTCACCATATATACATAGCAAACCAGCTATGCAAACTCGATGCGAGTAAATAAGGTAACAGATTACAGCAAACGAAAATTTAGAGTCCGGAGCTTCTTTGGGCCTATGTTAGCCCTAGGGTAGTAATATAAACACCCGAACCTTTAGGATTAGCTAATTTTTCAGACTTTAGTGAATCTACACTTCTAAAGTCGCAAATCTATTGACTGTCCGGATCCACGGAAGTATAAAAATGACTAGCTAAGAAAAAAGTAGCCTACGAGCTCGAAGAGAACAGGGACCTAATAACAAAAGGGCTCCTCTATTCAGTTCCCGTCTACTAATTCTGCCTAGGTAACCAGTTTTAGCCGGCTTCGAGGCACCATCGAGTCAAAAAATTGACTATTATCTCCATCCGCATAGAATAATACCATACTTAATCCATGCATTGGTTAGTAAATGTATATATGTGAAAAGTAGTAACTATGAGGTATTGATGACTAACCAGTTCTATATTTTAGGTCGCATTCTCGCACCCACGAATGCACCTTCCATTTTCATCCACCCATTTATCAGGTATCCTTATCTCGAACTTCGGTAGTTTAATATCGGGTATTTTGATTTTCAGTGTTTCTAACTCAGGCATCTTTATGTCAGGTAAGTTGGTGGATATATTTGTTCCGGCCTCTGGGCCCCGAATCGCATTCGAATTCGAGAGTGCGGTAAGCATTGGAGAGCCAAACAGGAAAACGTTAACCAGAACAGAGACTAGCACATGTAACCAGGTCTTTAATACCAAATATTTCACAGCTCGGTAGACGGTTGTGACGGCCCACGTGATTTTGTGGGTAAGGACGTCATTAGCTGTAAGCAATAGATGCCCTTGCTGAATATCTTCAATCCAAAGCGCTGCATAAACCTCGTTTGGCCATAGCCCCAGGCACAAATAAAAGAAATGCACCGCTTCATCCAGCCAGTCCCATGGTGAGAAGAAATATTCCCACCAAAGGTCAGTATACCTTCTATACACTGGACACCATTTAAATCTACACCTGTCGTCATATATAATACTTTCTCCCTCTATGCGCTTCTTTTTAGGACAGGCGATTCGATGACTCCCTAGAATCATTGTCGGAATTTTATCGATTTTATCCGCCGTTATGAAATCTTCTGTGATGGGGGTTGTATAACGCTACAACATGTCTTTTGAACGCTGCTTCGGCTTTATGCCAAGACCCAAAAACAGACCGATAAGGGTCAGCTAGGGGATCCGCGTACTTTACGGTATATACTTTATAGTAGTGCCTACCACGGCAGCGACCTTGGGTATCGATTCTTAAGGTATCGTAAAAGAGCAGGTCCCGCCAACCAACTTGGTGAGTGATCTGGAGTTTGAACTGTTTTACCAGCCTGGCTGCCGACAATTTCTGTGGATTTTCCATTTAGACTTCGGAACCTGAACCGTCTATTCGGAGTATGTAAGAGGATCGATCTGTCAAGCGGATTTCGAGCGAGTGGCCGGCTGGCTATGGGTAAATGGTGAGTGGTTCATAGATGGGAAGTTAAGTGGCCCTTTAAATGCTTTCGCTGTCCTTGCATGATTGTTTGATCTACAGCCTGATCCTTGGGATCTGCTGCCATACAAGGTATATAGCCATATTAGTAACTATACTTCTGTTGAGATATATTTGGCGATTACGATTTAGAGGTTTGACAGGGAATGAAGATCAGTCAATTGGCTTTTTTTAATCCATTCTAGGTCCATCAGCGCAAGTCCTTACTCAAATGAGTTCCGGATCTTCTAGTAACGATCAAGTATCGTTATCATATAGGTATTTCTTTACCATTAAAACCGCTAGCGGTAACAGGAAATATACATCTCAGACCGTTGAGTGAAGCCAGAGAAACGAAATAGAAGAGATGGTCACAACTAGGGCTGTTATGGAAACAGGTACAATATCGTCACGAACCATATATGTAGTGACGAATATTGCTAGGGAGTTGGCGACTATAATACTAGAAGCTAAAATTGGCCTCTTATCACGGCTAGTAGTAGCGAAGTTAGTAGTAGCACCACCGGGGGCACCACGATCGTCGCAACGAATGGCAAAACTCCCAACGGCAGCGGCACCAGCGCCGGTACTATCAGCGGTAATACTGGCATCCGCGCTGGGATCGACGGCAACATTGGTGGACACGGTGGACACGGTGGCAGGAGCTTCAGCAGTATCAGGAGGAAGGGGGTACCAACGGCAACGGCAGTATTGATGGCAGCGGTAACAGCAGCATCAACAGCAGCGGCGACGGCGTTATTGATAGTAGTGGCAAGATCAACTGAAACTACAGTGGTAACAGCAGCAGCGATGGCAACGGCAAGTTTATCTCTTTCGTCCTGAGCAGCAACATCCTGGTCGGGAGCCGGCGGTTCGACCTTATGTTAAATTTTATAAAGTTAGCGTCAACTTACTCCTATGCCCTAACTTTCCGTCGATTTGGCAAATATAGTACAACATACTGGGTCTGTGGATTTAGCTCTTAGCTCATCCCCAAGAGCGAAAAAGCCGAGTGCTGTCTCCACAAAGGCAAAGCAGACTACCATGATGAGTAAAGTGATAGCTCGGCCACTCTTCCAGGACCAAGTAAAATCTTCGAGTGTATCAAGAAATTCAGGAGGAGAGGTATGTGCTGGAGCTGTTGGACCCATCGTTGTTGGGCCTGGGAGAATGTTTAAGAATGTCTTGTTAAAACAGCATGAGAGTACCGTCTGCTGTATAACGACTGATGCTTTAGAAGCTAGATCCGAAGATATACCTACGATTGATGACGATATCTCATAGGGAGGGGAGGGGAGGCTAGTGGGCTGATTTGTGGGACTATTCACGTCTCCAGTGTTTGTAGCACCTGGTAGTGCTGAAACGGATAGTCTAAGACTCGCCAAAACACTAATGATCCATCTTCTATAGCCAGCGCGAGATTTGCTATCGTCAAATCGGAACCGAAATACCACCTCTAAAAAGACGGTGATAATGATAGTGGCAAAAGCGGCGGAAACCCCGTCCTTTACGAGAGGGTGCATCTCGGTTATGAAGTATGATTTCTATACCTGTCAGGACCAATTGAATTCAGCGTTCGACCCGAGCATATAGTCTAACTTAAGCTGGAAAGTGGTAGGACCGCCAGAATGAATGCTCTAGGAATATTAAAATCCTATAGATCATGATATGTCCCTTACTAGATTTTAGAAGGCAGATATCTACCACAACCAAACAGAATCGAAGACAAACGACGAACCTAGCAAGAAATCTAAAGGCAGCTATGGTACTAAAAACAGCGAATTGTGGATCAAATAGATCGAGTTTGCTAGCGAAGATTTGTTATACGGTAACGACGGTACCATATGATGCTGACGATAGTGATACTGATGATGCTGCTGCTGCTGCTGCTGCTATGATGGGAGAATACTAATGTCAAGTGTCCCTCCCATGGCCATATACGTAAGTAGGTTAGGTCTTCTAATGTTAACCGGCTGCTGAGCTTTCACGCGCGCCACCTTAGTCTCATATTATCATTTCAACAGCAACCCAGAGACTAAGCTAAAATAAATTTAATACTACTGACAAATTCATTACTAGGTCCTCGCTCATATGATTCTGCTTTACACGGCCTATATGTACTCAGCTAAGTAGCTTCTTGGATGCGCTGCATGCATAGTACGCGTATGATATCTGGCATCCGCGTTGTCAGGAGCCAAAATACGACACGAAAGGCTGCCTGAAAACAAACCACACAAAACGGCATGATATATTGATGCTTCCATCATGTCAGTTCATGGGCAGGGCGCCACCATCATCGGCTAAACCGGAGCTAACCACAATGACGACCACCCTCATGGCGCTACCGATTGAAGCTTTGCTTCACATCATAGGGTATCTGTCAAATTGCGACGTCACTGCCGTCACCAGGGTTCTACCTTATACGAGCCCCCTTGTCTCCCGGAAATCGTTTCGCAGATGGCAGAGACTAGTTGAAGACTTCACCCATCAGCTGCACGATACCTTCGATTCTATTGAGAATGATCGCCGGCAAAAGAAGGATACATCTGGGTCGGTAAATGCGACTGCCCTGAAAGCCGAACCAAGCGAAGCAGCAGCTTTTGAGGATGTGTACCTGCCCAAAATATTGGCGGAAATGGGGATAATACTCCAAGACAGGCAGCTCATTCAGTTGGACGATATCTTTCTGTCGTTGCGGGAGCTGGGTAATGGTGCTGGAACTGCGCTTTCTCCGTTGGTGGATTGCCCAGACCCCGAGGAGAGCTCAAGAATACTTCGATCTACTCTCAACAATATCTTGCCAATCGAGATAGTCAAATCATTGCTTCCATCCACCATATCTAGTAATATCGATTCTATTCCATTCGCCACTTTCGATCTTATTCTATTGACTGGATATCTGTTGTTCACGGAATTACAACCTAAGGATATTATTAGTTTGCGCCCCCGATACTCAACCCAAGGCTATATCAGCGAGCAAGCTCTGGCCGAGTATCTGTCATACATACTCTTGTTTTTGAAAGTTTTTGGACTCATTCAAGCCTGTGCGCAGGATATTGTCAGATCAACTAAGAATGGGACAACAGACCGTGTTCAGTGGAAGTTCACCAATGGATCCCCCCTATCTGGCCAGGCACTACAAATCCTAGAACGGCGGATTGAAAGCTGGTTCGCAGATTTCTACGAGGTGCAAACATACTCTGTGCCAGGCTCTCAAAAGCTACACCTGACAAGAGAACAGCAGATGTTTGTTGATTCTGACATTCGAAAGGGGGAGGTATTTAAAGTGCGAGCATATGCTGGGACAGGGAAGACGAAATGTCTCGTCGACTATGCAAAAAAGCGGCCATACAAAAAAATCCTTTATGTGGCATACAATAAAATGGCGAAGTGGGATGCTGATCTCAGGTTTAAAGACTGTTACAGAGTGAGTTACAAGCCTTTCATTATTCATTATTGATGTGTACTAACATAACCGTGCCGAGCAGGTGGATTGCAAGACTCTCCATAGTGTTGCATTCAATGCTCTTTCCTTTGTCAACCCAGCCGTAGATTTGCAGGTTAAAGGGAAGACCGTTGGCGAACCGCAGGCGTCCTCGCGTCGCGGTAAGTTTGCGCGAATACAGTCGGCCCCGACTGAGAACGAATTCCTCCAGAACTGGGATATTGATGTTATCGTGGAAGCGCTGGGATTGACTTTGGAAACCGTTGCCCCTGTTTTCACCACCAAATACGATTGGCGAGACGGATCTTCGAACTGGAGCTTCAACAATAGCAAGCCAACCGTAGGAACAGCCGATAACCATAGGAACCCCGAAAGCCTAGCCAGAGTTATTACCAGCGGCATTGATAGGTTCTGCAATTCGAGAGACCCTAAACCTACCATTGCGCACCTTTCTCTAGGGCAGTGCCGTACTAGGCTCTGTAATCCCGAACTGGCTACCACATGGCTTAAGTTTTTGTGGAAGATAATTGTGTCAGGGAAATCTCCGTCGATGACGCACGATTGCTATCTCAAGATGTTTTCCCTAACCACTAACCTAGATGCCGATCAGGCTACCTTTGGTAAATACGATATCGTGATGTTTGATGAGGCACAAGATGCAAATCCCTGTATGGAAAATATCATTCAGAGGCAGAGAGATGCTGCTGGTATAATCATAATTGGGGATCCATATCAAATGATTTATGGGTTCAGGGGCGCAAAGAATGAATGTTTTGACGACGAGAGGTTACCACCCACGCGAACTTTCCACCTTACGAAAAGTTTTAGGTTCGGGAAAGAGATCGCAGACGTAGCGAATCTCATCCTCGGCTCTGTGGGGGAAACAAAGCTTGTACGTGGAGGAAACGCTAGTGGTCCATCGCCGGCAGTTTTTCTACCACCTGTTCTAGGATATAAAGATATTGCACCAGCTGGTCAACATACGGTCATATTTCGCACCAATACTGGTAAGCTGTCTAAATCATTTGTTCTACTACATTTCTTTCCTACGCTAACATCCTTTAGAATTGATCAAGTATTTCTTTTTTTCGTTCAGCAAAAACCCGAACAAGACAATATGCTTGAGAACAAGCGCCGCGAATGCTTCCACGACCATTATACCGCTTCTGAGGGCGGGCTACTTTCTCTACAAGGGAAAGCCGCAAAAACACCATCGTTTGAGAGGAGTAACTTCATTCGAAGAAGCCAAAGCCTACGTTCAAAGAGAAGAAAACTCTGAAAGCCCAGACTCTGATGAAGTCGATATACCTGCCCTTGCCCTCGTGGTGGGCATGGAGGAGTTCTACCGAGCTGAGAATGGCATAGACGGGACTCCATTTTTAGAGATGTTGGAGTCATCGGCGCAATGTATCGTCAATGAGAAACTAGCAGACATCATTTTAACCAACGCACATCAATCAAAGGGGCTAGAATGGGATGATGTCATCATCGCTGAAGATTTTGTGCATGGACTAGAAGGGTTGCCTAGTCAAATAAAGTCCACGGAAGCAACAAACCTCCTCTATGTAGCTTGTACTAGAGCACGAAATCGCCTTCAACTCTCCCAAAGGCTCGCCGCTTTCCTTGTCCGTCGGCTCGGGACCTTCCGGTTCTTCGTCTCCCCCAACGACAACTCTAAATGCAACTGCTGCCGGGGGAAACACCCGTTTAACACCTTCCTAAGTGACCATCTCACCGCAGGGGACGCTTTCAATGGGACAGATACCTCAAACTACTTCTCCTCCACGCCCTCGCCATGTATCGGCTACGAAGCTATATTTCCTCGCCGAGACCCTTCTGCATTAAACAGCTGGATTGATCGCAGCAGTCAGCCCCTGAACCCTGCTGAAATACCCAAATGTGTTCATTTGTCCGCAATTTCTTGTGTAAATTGTATCTTGTCTTGGCGGTCTTTAACGAACAAGACGCATGGGGACCTTTTCAGATTTGCGGAGGGTATCAAGGGCCGTATTGGATTTGGCAAACATATGTATCATGGCGATTATCACATATTTTGGGCTGGCAGGTTCTACCCCGATATGTCCAGCGAACTCCCACGCTCAGAAAACTGGACGTTGGAGTCCGCGTATCACCCGGAAATGCGGATGGGGCTTCAAGCCCCACTAAACATTGGATCAGTCAATGAAAGCCTGGTTTGCTGGAGTGATTTTGTGTTTGGCAAGGCCAGAGACAGCGGCGCGGAATATGATGATGATGACGTTGATGACTTCATCAAATCCTTTGTTTAATCTTGACCAATGCGAAGGGAAGCTTTGGAATTATCACTTGTTTCAGTCAAGCATTTGATAGTCGGGGGTCAAGAGGTAGTGTAAAAAATATACGGAGTATACTGAGTATCTACCCGGATACGCATGAGCTTGGACGGTTGGTTAAGTTGGTGTCAGTCTTAACTTCGGGTTTTGCACGGCACATATGGTTAAGTTCTACTACCCAAGTTTCGGTATATCTTGATGCTACAAATTTTAGTGTTTAGCTTGGTATCTATATACATATGTATTTGATATCGATACATATGTTAGATCTTTCAGCATTAAATCCAGATTCTATCATAATTCTAGGATTCTCCGCTGTAACTAGTTCCTCCTTCTCCCTCTCAGATTAAAATCGAGATTTCCCACCTGTGTTAGGCACCACTTTGGGACCCACCCCTCCAATCTTGCTTTACTATGCATTTTGACACCCCAAACCGCGTTCGCGTTTTCCTCTTCGTGGTCAACTCTAATCATATCACCCACTTGCACATTGATCTCCCCCTCTTTCTTCGCATCATATTGCGCCCAAACTCTATAAGTGTTATTTGTAGACCGAGATGGCGAGCGGAAATGACTGGAAGCCTGAGAAGGCGTATTTGAGCGGGTAGACTCTAAGTTATTAGTAATAGAATGTGGATGAGTCGTTGGGTTGCTTAACAGCTTTTCTTGGGCCCTCACTGCTACTGGTGAGGCATTGAGTTCATCAGGAAAGGCAGGAAGAGGTGGCGGTGGTGGGATGAAGAGAGCTGGTGCCTTTGGGCTTGGAGTCCTCTTTCTACGGTTGCGTGGCTCCGGGGACGGAGATGGTCGGCGTTCCTGGACAAAACTTCGGGCAGGCCGAATTGACCTACCAGAGTCAGGAAGTTCGAGCCCAGTGCTTTGCGTTTGTTGTGGTGGTGTCTGAGGCAATGGCGGCTCCAGCTCTTGGTCGGAGTCATCATAGTCATTTTCATCAGGTTCCACTGGAATCTTGTGGTTTACTGTTGCCCGACGTAAGAGGGTTGGCATGGAAATTTCGAATGTGGGGAGTTCGACGGCGGCTGGAGATATTATGGATGCTGAATCGAGTTCGAAAACTCCTTCCTCGACCTCACCGTTGCCTTTTCCAACTGTAGTTACTACTCTTGCGAGGCGATCGCAGAATAGGGTTCGCACTGTATTTACAGTAGGTAAGCAGCTAAATTGATAGTTGTTATATGTTAAAAGGAAACTTCTTACGTTGTCGAGTAGGAAACTTGTAACTTGCTCTCCCGCTCATGCGCCAGCATCGCGAATCTCCGTCACCAGATCTATCAGCAATTGCGGAATCATGGGTTAAGACAAATGTTTTGTCGCCTATACAGCAAGCTTCGATCGATTCTTTGACATTGTGTCCCTGTGTAAAATGACTGGGTAGGACTGTGAAGGTAGGTACTGTCAGTGTCAGTTTGAAAACCAGTACAGTTAGGGTTCTTACTTTCTTGAGATATTATCCTGTCATTTGAAAAACTTTGTACAAAGATGCGAATGGAATTCATTTCATCGTCTTTCAAGAGGGCTAGTTGACCGTTGTTAAAAAACCCACTAAAAAACGCAGGGTTGTCGACATCGATGGCCACTTCTTCAATTACGCTGCGATATTAATGCCAACATCAAGTTAGCTGACAAGTTTACCAAGGATAATACCTACGGAGTTTCATACCATTCATATTCTTTTCTTTCATCCTCTCCAATATCAAACCACCTCCTCATTTTGAGACGATTACGCCAAAAGTTAAACCATCCAAAACTTTGTGATGAGCTCTGCTGGACAGTTCTTCCGCCGCCTTCAAACCGTAGCCTTAATCGCCCAGAGCCAAGTTTTTCTTCGATGGCATCAATTCCAACCGCATTTTCGGGAGGCGAGAGAACCGCATCCTCGACCGCCATCGTTAAAGTGGTATACATCTGTTGCGGGTGAATCTTTGGCGCAGCTCGAACGTAACAGGTGAAGTTTCGACTACCGCATTTAAATTGCAACATACTCCTTCCACTATCCTCAAATAGAGTCCCAGGCCGGCTAGATTCCTGGCTTAACCTTTCGGCAAGATCCTTCCGACGCACAATACGGTGTTGTGATATGGAGACTTCCTTCGTAACCTTAGAAAGAAATCTCCATACTCCATCTATTCTGATGTCTGCCGAAGGAGATATTTCGATGTTACCGAAGGCGGAAAGTATCGAAATTGTATCCATATCTTCAGTGTAAACAGAGATCAACTCTTGGCTAGACCGCATCCCAACGATTGCCAGGTTCGTTGCGACTCGGATCCGTAGGAGATTAGCCATGACATCTTCGAACTGGCGTTCCTCTAGTGATGGCAGTTTTTAGTATGGAAGCAAACTACTTAAGTACTCTACGAAGAGGAACTTACTTTGGGGACTCGGGCAGCGGATATAAAGCTCTAGGTTAGACTCTTTTGCGGTAACGTTGACTAGGACAAAACAACCCGGGTTTCTTGCATTCCTGGAACCAAGCGCCAGAATTGGGAGGGTAAACGCGCCAGCTAGACTTGATTCAGCATTTTGTATTAAATAAGGTTCCGGAATAAATACAAACCTCTGTAGTCTGTGAGCTCGTGCTGTTTGGTTGCCCCTTCTAGAGTCTTACACCGACAAGCAAATAGCGGTAAAGCAGCCAGGCCGATGGCATCAAAGGACAGAAACAAAGCCGGGTTAACAGTCGCATGAGAACACAAACAGTTTTCGCGCGCTTCATCTAAGTATAACTCAATATCCCTAAGATCAAACTAGCGTCAGTTATGGCGAATTTCCAATTTTAGGGTGTTTAACTAACAGTTCGTAACCCTTTGGTGCCTCAAAGGCTGATGTTTGGCCGGTAGAAACTTTCCGGACGTGATTTGAAGGAAGCTCCGCCAATAATGATGATGAGCTGCGAGGACTTTGATATGAGGTTTCGGGAGTAGCTTTTCTTTCTGTAGTTTCTGAAACAGTGGGTGCCGACACTCCCAGTACTGGAGGTGCCATAGCATCTTCCAGCGCCATCGTTTCCGTCACAAATTCCCCTCGAGCGAGTTCAGTAATCATACAAATACAAGCCACCGCATCTGAGGATAAAAAATAAAATTTTAAATTAGCGAAGTGAAGTTTGAGTGTTGGAATCTTAGAGGACGCACCTTGTTCAGTAGTAAAATGATAGTTTATAGTATTTGGTTCTTGTCGAATCTTGAGACACGGCCCGTCTTTTTCGCGCCCCGGTATCAAATGCGTTACATTGGCCATTGGTTCATCGATACAGAGAGTATCATCACGTAGGTCCATTTTTGTCCATCTACGGTCGGATACTAATAGAATATTATTAGAAAATTGATTTAGGTCACCTTAGTGAAGCGTTTCTTACCGTCTTGTGTCAAAACGCACAATCCTGACCCGCTTCGTACAATCAATCGGGTTGACCTTGCCCAGCTGTTATGTAGAATTACAAGACAGGAGCCGTAAAACTCTTGATTGAATATATCGGGTCGACTTTTTATGGTAATATTACTAAGATGGCTATGTCCATAGTTAGTATAATTTGTTCACGATTTTGAAGAATTGTCGATTCGTGCTAGCTTACAAGGTCGCTTTTATCTCCTCTTTACGCGATGTCCTCGAGGCCCAAAAATTTCGGAGCTGCTCATGCAATGGTTGTGTCCAGGCTACAAGAAATGCAGATTCATTCGTAGCGGCTTTCTTATGCGCAGGGAGTTTCGGGAGGCTCCATTTGTCGAGTTGGATGTCACCTTGGTACAGATTAGAACACCTGTGAGATGTGAAATTTAGTCCGAAAGACTTACTAGAACCTGCTCCAGCTGTCAATGATATCCGTTCGCCGAGGTAAGTTAGAGTTCCTGTCCCTTCGACCTGCAGGCCATTCTCGAAGTGTCGAAGGTCTCTGACTCTGAATGTCACCGCTGGGCCCATAATTCTAATTTTTTCCTCCCAAACAACTTATGCGTACGTATTAGCGCACTCAACCTTTGGGGAGCTAGCACGTACAAGATTGATACCTACAATCACACCATAAGGATTTCGTCTGTTTGAGGTATTCCGAAATCTTTGCAAATTCAAGATATAGCTTAAGATAGTCGCCGTCTTGCCAGGCTGCCGGGTCATCTTCTTCAACGTAAAGCCTTTGCTTTCTAATTGATCGGTATTGAATGATCATTAAACCCTTCACAGGTAGACTGTCGGTCCAACTACTGTTATTTGGTGGCAGGTATCGAATATTCATGGTCTTGATTGTATTTTCTGCAGATATTCTACAATTAGGAAGAACTATTAGTATGTCGCTTCAGAACGGGTTTACAAAGTGACCAAGGATTCTCACCCTAAGCGAACACAGCTGGCAACTAGCACTCTTCCACGCGTATTTTTGTTCTGTTTCTGGCCTTTCTCAGAGCTACGGTGGTTCAACGACGCACCATTCTTCGTCGAGGGGGGTGATAGTGCCCCGGTTGCATCGTTTTCCCACCGAACCCATTTACTTTCGGGTATCACTCCATCTGCAAGGCATCGAGCTGCCTGATGGGCAAGAAAGGTAACAAGAGACGCTTCAAATGCACGTTGATCTATGATCATCGTAGGGTCAGTATTCAAGTGATATTTCGTCCGATTTTTGACGAACCATACTTTTTCGGAGTGGGATGCTGATAATATAGGGCCTTTCATCGAAGCTATCGCCTCTCTTCGATGCTTCCGGATCCTCAATGCGGGGTGCATAGAGAGTATATTCTCTCTGCATGAGATCCGAACTCTCATTCTTGACGATAATGGTTCCGGGACCGCCTTCGCCAGTGGTTATTAGCCTAGGATTCATCCAAACATTGGTCGCCGATGATACGACCATATATCGATGGGTGAAAATAGGGCTCAATTACATTTAATCTTGGCAAGGGCAGCATGGTGGGAGTCTTGGAAGACACCCTTCATGATGCGACTGCAGTTGCAACAAAACATCGGCTGGTTGGAGATTATGGAACCTCCAAGAAAAAAATCCGGATTAACAGTAACCTCGCGGCAGATAGATGCCATGGGATTGCGGCGAGAGATCGAGAAGTTCCTACTCTCAAATTTTGGCATAAGTTTTCAAAATCTATCACGAGCTCGGGATTTAGAGTAAGAACCCACATTTTGACTTTCGCTGCCTTTTTATATCCAACATCTGAGTGCGCAAAAAATGGAGGGAATCCTTCGAATGTTTTCGGCTTTGAAGACGAAGAGATATGAGTAGCCTCAGGGCGTAGGACAAGATCACCACTGTGTCGTTTACTATGTATCGATAGACTTCGACGCTGTCTTCCTTCCGCAAGCATCTTCTCCAGCATACCCAATGCTTGTTGTAAATCGGCCCTATTCAAGACGGTTAAAAAAATTCCGAAATGCACCCCAATACACTTTGGGAATCAATCGCATACCGATTCAAGACATTGATGTAGGCGTCGATGATAACATAATGTTGATGGAGGTCCTCTTTCAGAGCCCGAATATCGCCACCCTCTGTTGTCCATTGGATTAACTTGTATCCCTTCGAGAACCATATCTTCCAGCTCCAGTTTGAATCCAGCCTATCGGTATATTTTTCGACGATCGATTCCAGTCTACGCAAAGTTGTTCTACAGCCATCGACCATCTCCCCGATCTTCTCTTGATTTCGCGCATTTTGGGGATTTCGGCCGGGTTTACTGATTTCTCGAGCTAGTGCTTCGAGAACGATGCTTAACGAGGAGAGTTGGGATTTTATCTATTGGGTGTCGAGTCGTAAGCTTAACAGCCGGTATATACGTATACTGCATATCTGGTGCATGATTATATTATGGCAAACCAGCAATTCGAATTCGCGAATGCGCCAGCTCAAGCGATGTTACGAACCTCATTAAACTCCGAAGCTGCACCGGTCGGACCACTTGAAAAACTGTTGCTCAACCGTAACGCGATTGTTGCCAGTTGGATTATATCTAATCAAGCACGAGCATGAGCACTCAAGTTGAGGTGCCAGATCTCAGTTAGCTAAGGCTCGTTTTTCGCACACGGCGATGGGATCAAAGAGCCGAAGATATTACAAACCTCCAACGCCGACGCCGAAAGACATCCCCGCTCTTGTTCTTGTAGCGATATCAGACTACTTTGGTGTGAGTGGTGCAGATTGCGGATTGCAGATTGCAGATTGCAGATTACTCTCTTCCTACTGTGTTGTCCTCCACAGACTCGGCGCATCGTAAGGATACAGTTATAGTTAAACTGGATCTCGAAAGCGAATGAGATTGATTTCGATATATACTCGGGCATGGCTCTCCTATTTCAGGAACCAAGCAAGAGAGCAGCAGGTCCACAGACGACAGCGGGGGAACGAAACCCTCAGCCCCTCGCGAGCTCGATGCGGAGCAGGCGAGACACTAACAATAGCGCAGCCGTGCGGCGACCGAAATCAAGCATTTTGTGGCTGGCTGGACAAAGCTCAGAGGCCTCGCTTGTATGCAAGTGTATTTCGCATCGACCGATTCCAGTGGTAAGATTTGGAAAACTGATGCTTTAGCTTATGCTCCATTATATCACATACGGCAAATACCAACCAAGAACCAGAGGATATTTGGATAACTGGATTTTATCCACCAAAAGTGGCTCATGCGAAAGAGGTAATCTTACAGACAATGCGCCGTGGCACGGCGGTCTCTGAACGGAGCCAGTTGGTGACGGCGCAATGTGTTGCCGATTCATCCTATTATCGATTTGATCTTATCAGATCTTGGCGATATCCTTATCTGATTCTTTTGGATCTTATCTGATCTAATCGGTAGGACAAGGGTCCCGTCGTTGTTGACAACCACCCCAGCGAGGGCTGTAAACAATGGTCGGCTGGCAATCGAGTCAACCACAACCATGGCTGGCTCCATCATAAAATATAGAGTCGCCACGGCCACCTTCAAGGTTTCTCGCCCTCATTCTTTTCGACTAGGTAGTCAAAATATACCCTCAAACCAGTTACCTGCGAACCGTTACGACCTTGTCACGCCCTTGTCACGAACCACTCAAGATAGAATATAGATAAAAGTAAGCTGAAGAATTCCGTCCAATTGGTTAAGTTCATGAATACTTGCTATTTCGAGTGGTGCAAGACAATTCTGTTCTTTTCCTCGTTTTCCTACCCTTTCTTCTTGTTTATTAGCATGGATCCTTTTATCAAGTGGAATGCTCGCTCATGCGTGACGAAGCTACCAAATCACAGGGACCAATCCACATTTGCAAATTTGCACAATTATCAACTAGCCCACTTAGAATACTTGCTGGTGGTGTATTGATCTTGCCATAATTTACCAGGACGTTTAAAACGACGGTGCGACTTCTTTAGCCCCGAGTTCGAAGTTGCTTGCCAACAACTAGTGCTGTGGTGCGCGCGCGCAAGACCATGAAGGATATATCAACTAACTACAAATCGCACTCCATCAGATATCCACATACCTACTCTCCCGGATTTTACACGACAATAGAGTCTCTCAGAAATTCAAGATGAAGGCTAATGATGCTATCGTTCTCATCATCATTCTTCTCCTCCTCTTCTTTGCGGTAATCCTTTGGGCCATCTTCCACATCCAGACAATCATCGGCTGGTTCCAACCTGCGCCGAAAACAATTATCGTCGACGACGACTGAGAATAAAGTCATCGGCTATTCCAAAGTTTGAGGAGCTCAGTTTTTTCCCTCAACTCAACCAGTTACGTCTTCTCCCGTTGGCCTAGCTCTTTCAAATGTTCCACCGGTTGGGCGTTAGGATTTTGTCGTTTGCATCGGACGCATGGGTAGGTCGAGCTTTAGGCTAGGCCACCATTACGGGGAGTTTTTAATCATGTTGGAAGTAGTTGGTGGCATCGGATTTCGGATACAAACTTTGTGCCGAATCTCTGCCAAGCAACAGGAAAAGATTTCCTTTGTTCAAGTTATAAGGCTTCGCATGAGTTTTCTCAGGAGTTTTTGAAGGTTGCATTAATATATATGCATATATGCTTCGTGGGAAAACCCCTGTTCGAGGAGTGGCACCATGGTTTTTTTTTTGCATTCTCGTTTGTTGACACAGTTACTCTCATGATTTTGCCATGTTAAATTTACAGTATATGATGTATATAGTAGTTAATGTCTGATGTCTGAAAGCTTCGACCATTCGTGCGCATTATATTCGCAAAGTCAAGGTACCGTAGTTTTTTCCGATTCCGGCAGGGCATATATTCTGGCGGAGATGCAACATTGCCGCCAAATGATGGAGAAAAGAGGCGTACGTATACATTATCTCGATTTAAACACGGGTCTACAACTCGCGACGATACTAGCTTCAGAATACTATTGGAACTGCATCTAGATGAATACATTTGTTATTTTATTTCGTTTCTCTTCTTCTTTATCTACAACCAAAAAGCCACGGTAACGCCATAACCCGATGCTGTTCAAAAACGAAACAGACAGCCAGACAGACAAACAAATCCAACACTACGAAATAACAAAAAGAAGTTTCATATGCATCAATCCTCTCTATTGGAGATCCTAACCAGTAGGAGCCCTAGGAAAGGGAAATGGGTCGTTATTTGCCAGCTTAGGCTCTGAATGTATGTACCATTTGATCCTCGTCTCGTCGTAAAATGATATCCACACCAGTGGTACGCACATGTCGTTGCATGTGTCGCGACCTAACAGCTTTATTACGGCAGCCAATTCCGTTAGTTACGCAATCGCAATAGCCCTTGATTTGTGAGAAATTGGATATGTCGGCGGGGCCCAGATTTTCATTAAGGCAGGGGCAGAATTCCTCCCAAACACATGCATCCCATTGAGAAGATTTGATAGACGGCACAGAGCACTCGTTGCCAATTTTGAAAGTTTCTTGGAAAGAGCAGGATTTGTCTCGGGCGATGTGCTCGTGTCGCTTTGCAACGTTGTCGGTGGGCGAAGCGAGATAGGTAGTAGCGGTGACCGTGACAATGTCGACTACTGGATGGGTGACGACTTCGGTGACGTAAATAACCTTCTGACCATCTGCTGGTGGGGTGGAAGTATAAGTTGCCATCGTGGTAAGGGCTTGGGTAGGAGTTGGTGAAGGGTCAAGCTCGGGGATAGGGTTAACTGGGCCTGGCTTAGGTCCAGCTACTGCACCTCCTCCGGCGAGATCTTTATTCGGGGAGAGAGCTTTGCTCATATCGATAGGCATACCGCCACCACTAGCTTCATTTCCACATCCAGGGCCAGTAGGCAATGTCTTGCCCTTAAATTGCACACCGGCGTTTTGAGAGCCATCTGTGACAAAGTCGCCTGGATCCGGGAACTGGAGGTTTGTACGTTCTTCCGACGAGCAACCATTGGTGTCTGGAGCTGTAGCCAGCGCCCCTACAAACATAAACGGACGAGCCTTAACTTGAGGCACTGGGTTGTCATTTTGGATTGTAACGAAAGCACAGTTCATGTACATTTCGCGGACGCCGACGGTGTTAAACCAAGTCCAAGAGAAGATAGCCTGACCTGCGGGTTCATCTTCAGGAATCTTGAAATCGAATCGCTGATCAGGACCGGCAACGTTACCAACTGCTCCACGAGGACAGTCCCCAATAAAGGAGTGAAGGACCTGGAAGGTTCTTCCACCATCATGAGAGATAGATGCTTGACAGCTACCGCCGCTGTGAGCAGCGATTTTCTCAGGAACGTTGATTGTGAAGCTTGCCATTTCCCCGGCTTTCCAAGCGGCAGCCTCCTGGAATGTTTCGTTATGATAGCCTTTGCAAGGGAAATTTCCGAAACCGGGGACAAGAGGCGCATTGTAGTCTGTATCTATGTCGAACTTTATCGGCTTTGGGCTAATGATTGAAGCATGGCCTGAGACAGTTGTAAGCGTGGCGAGAATCGCCAGCGAAGCAGCGACGAGACGCATATCTAGGGTATTGTTCGAGCAGGATTGATCAACCGAGTACTGTTTACGTCGACCAAGTAGTAAAGAATAGTTTGGTTTCAGCAATTAACCAAGTAATCGCAAGTTGGACCTTTGGTTTCCAAGCTATATCAGGTCAAGTTGTTGTGGAATATATTGCGAGGATGCGCTAATCCAAACACTTCAGTTATTCCCCTGCGAATTCAAGCTCAGCTCAGCTCAGCGATAGCTACAGAAGATATTGAAGTATAAGATACGAAAAAGGTACTGGGTATCAAAGGAATGAACTTGAACGTTCGGACGGGCTAGCCGTTGCAGTCTGTTCGAATTTTAGTGCGGTAAGGAATGGAAGTTAGAGATAGCTTGGCTAAATCTCCGATGATATAAGAAGGAAAACAGAAAACGAAAGGAAAAGAAGAAAAAAAAAGGATGCAAAAGAACCAGAAGCGAATGCTGGAATGAATGAATGAAGATGGGAATTATGAAAGAACAAGTAAAGGGATTTTCAGGAGAGATGTGGTTTTATAACATCCCGCCAACCTGCCAGTCCTGTTGGAGTTTTCTGTGGACGAGAGTACAGTAATACGAGACGGCAGCTTGCACTTGCGGGCTGACCTGCATAGCGTACAAGCATAGGAGGCACAGGATCTGGGATCTTAGGGGGGGGGCGCTGCCCTGCAGGTACATGTCCACACATCCAACATCACATCGCTTGTTCTGTTGGTCAGCCCGCAGAACAGCAGCTATTCACGCCTTGATCCCGGCGCGTCTACTGAGACGAAGTGTTTGTTCAGGTCGTGTTCATGTTGAAGGTAGTGGTGCGGTGGCTTCTGGTTGGACGGTTTCTGGACCAGGGCCCCACGGCATTTTCCCCATTTGGCTATATTGGATTGCTATTCTTGGCCCTTGTGCAACTTGCCCTGGCCAACCAATGCAACCAAAAGTATACTCAATACTCAATACCCAATACTCACCTATACTTACATTACAAAGAGTCGTCTAACATTTTCCTGTACAGTACATGTAAGTGCTTGCATTTTTTTCTTGGAGTTCTTGGAGAGCCCCGCCCGAGAAGCGTCGACGAGGCACAGACCGATGCCTTTGTTTCGAGTTGTCAACAACTGTCGCTCGGTTGCTTTCCCATCATCAACCGGGTGGTACGGTCGGATGTCTAAACCTTCGTGGGTATACGTACACAAAGTACTCCGAAGCTAAACAATTATTTGTTTCGGAATATCCAAAAGACAGGCCCGAGGCGTATAACTAAAATTTTGGCTCGGTGAGAATATTTGGGTTTAGTAGTGCGTTCAGCGGCAGGCGAAAAATAGGTATTTCAAATGAATGGCGGTTCCTGTCAAGCGCCGAACTTCGGGGCACACCAAAAAAAGGGGGGGTTGCATTGACAGCTTGGACCTTTTGTGGATGTTTCGCTAAGCTATCAGTCTGCTGAAAATTCTTTGGCGGATTCATGAAGGAACAAATTCGCCAAGGTGTCAATGACCTAAGAAGACCTAAGAACTCCACTCACCCAAAGAACAGCTGCTAAATTGGGGGCACGATAAATCAGGATTTCAAAGCTGGCCAGTCTGAAATCCCATGATTAAAATATGACTTTATATTTACCACATGGCAAATATTTAAATAAGGTTACGAAAACAAAGAATTATAGCATGGGTTCTAATTTATTCCGTAAGTATTAATTCTGAAAGGTCGCTTCCTCAGAATATTAATAACTAGTTGTTTCATGAGGTGCTAGAGGATGTTCCTCCACGCGATAGTCGAACTTTGCCATGATGAAAGTCGCCTTGCTCATCTCCACACTTTGCTGTGCCGGCTGACAGAACCATAATCCTCCATAATTTTTGCCTATCATTGATATCATTGGTCTGTCCTAGTTACATTTTGCGAAGAAAACAACATCAGAAATTTTAATTACAGTGAAGTCTCGATATTGCCAACCCGTAACCTTATGGTCTCGTTTTGACCAGGGATTTAAGTTTTCTATGCGCGTCCCGCCCGCCCCAACGCTTAACCTGGCATTGGTCTCAATTGAATTTAACATCAAAATTCAAGATTCGGCCTAGACAGGATTAAATTAATAAAATTTATACTACTATACGGACAAATATTGTATCCGCAATATGCGTGTGTCTAAAGTGCCAAACGATTTTTTTTTTTTTTTCCGACGTCGAACACTCAATTCCAATTTATGCCCAGATGAGAAATACAGACGGGCTGAACTGAACCCTGTTAATGTTGAATCGTAGTTAAATATGACTTGGTCAGTTGGGAGAGGTAGCGCTGCTGTCCCACATATGCGTACATGGCGGTCAAATGTTGACAATATACTAGTGCATGTCTGTCCCGATTGGTGGAAGGAGAAGCAGTAAGTCTCGAACCCAAAGACACGCAAACCGTAATAAATTTACACATATATCTATCTAGTACTAGATAGTATCATACCAAATGTGGGGCCGTAGCCCGTGATCATCTGATATAAAGTGAGTAATTATATGCGAGTCAAAGGCTTGTAGCCTTGCATGCTTGGACCATCGAATGCTAAAGCATAGCCATTATCGGCAAATTTGAAGCTGCTATACTGTCCTATACCGCCGATCTAAAAACCAGTAGGCTTACTATATTTCGTATTTTGGGATGACTAGACTGTGAGAGAGATTCATGAAAGGAGGGGAACGAAGATCCGGTGTCATATGAAAATACCGCCAGAGGGGTTCATCTGAGCTTCCACGATCGGCCCTGGTAACCTAACCCCATGACGATAGTTATAAGCATTCCATCATACCTACACTCGATACTCTAGATTGTGCAATATATACCTTATACGCAGTATGTATACTTACTTAGTAAGTACTTATAGCTAAGCTAAGAACTTAGACACTCGTAGATTAAATATGTGTTGTTCCGGTGAAATACCACAAGATCAAACTTCGAATTCCCTTCGCTGCCCTCACCACATCCACGTCCACATATACATCCACATCCACTGACAATCCAAGATAGCGAGAAAAACTCACCCCCACCAAACGCACGGCCGAACAGGCAGATAGGCTGTTTATGTTACAAACGGCAAGGAGGAGCTCAAAAAGCCTTAAAAGCCCTGTGAAAACTCTGCTGGGTTTGCTGGTGGCCAATGCCGACCTGCCGTCTTTTGATCTTGGCGATAATCTAATCTGATTGATCATATCATTCTTGCCTTGTCCCGAAGTGGGGCGACAGGCTGGGCGTCCACTTCAGCCATCCTTCTCGAGTTCTCGCGATTAATATTGCTAATCCCAACTGCTCAAGCTATTACTAAAAGCTCCTCCACCTGGCTGGAGCCGTATCATATGATCTTTGGCTCTGCAGCATGCAGCTTGGTCTAAGCTTCTTAGCAGCATTCGATGGCATTTAAATACCTCCCCTTCCGGCTTCATCCCTTAAGCTTCCATTCTATTCTTTCGACACCCTGATCGATATCCCAAGCGCGCAAGCCGCCCCTTAAGCTGAAGTAATCCTCTCCTTCCCCTTTGCGAGTTTTGTCTTCCTAAGTCAAAAGAAAAATGCAACTTCTTGCCGCTTGTGCACTTTTCCTCGCTGCTCCAGCGCTTTCATCTCCACTCCCTCCCTCCCAACAGCCGATCGGAGATGTCGACTTCAAGATCCCAACGGTCCATGAGTCTGCTGTGATGGCCCGTCGGATTCTCCGACTCAGTCCCATCGGAACTCTCTCCACCAACCTTCCTTCCTCCGACCCTCATGCCCACGAGTTCCCAATCGGTTTACCCGACTACATAGGAGATTGTGACCCAAAGTATCCCGGCGCTCCCACAGTTTTGGCCATGAATATCGCCACTACCTTCCGAAACGTCGCTGCTGGATCCGAAATCTCCGTCTCTCTTCGATATGAACCACCAGCGGATGCCGAGCGGAAGTTCTCTGTTGCGAGTCTTCCGCGATTCGCTTTGATCACCAAGCTAGAGGATATTCCTGCAGAAGAGGTCGCGAGCGGGGACGTCGTCAAGTGCTTTACAAAGTATCACCCAGATGCTAAGTGGTGGTTGCCCGGAAACAGAATCCACACGAGTAGATGGGCGAGATTGGTCGTTACAGGTGTGTACTGGGTTGGGGGATTTGGCGATAGAGCCTATATCGGATGGATCCCGGTTCAGGAATGGAACAGCGTCACCGAGGCTGAGATCGAAGCCCTTAGACTACCTGGCGAAAAGCAGTAAACAAGTTTACTATTTAAATGTTCGGAAATGGAGGCTAAAAAGCAGCTTCTCCCTTGTACCGTCCCTTCGTGATCATGATCGAACGTGTCGTGCGCAGATTTATTTCTTTGGTACTTTGTATGATACAATCAGTCTGTCTATACCATGCTCGGGAGGATCTTGGGGATATTGAACTAGAAAACAGTAATTAAATGTCTACTTCGAGTCTCTATTTCTTCATGGCTCCCAAAAGCTCTTTCGCCTATGTGATTGCTGACCATAACGTCATGCAAATGTTAAAACGTACATTATGCAGGCATCATGTCCCCGCTTTTTAGTTGTAACCATGACACACATGGAGAAACCGTGGAAGGTTTACATAACGCTGTCCCTTTGAGTAGCCGATCACTATTTTCAGCGCCTTCCCTATAAATACTAGCCTCGATGGGCTCGGCACAAGACTTAAATCGAGCTGATCCTAAGATCCTATAACCGCAAAATTATTACGAATTGGAGTTTTGACATATAAACCTAACTCAGTTAGCGATCAAACACATTACTAATATGGCAGATATCGATGCTGGAATCGCAAAGCCCTTTACCATTGATATTTCTAGCGATAAGCTCGACCTTTTAAGGCGGAAATTAGAGCTAACAAAATTTCCTGATGGTATGTGATATCGTGATTGCAGTGTTTTGTTGTCAGGGCCACGCGTGCAAGGCAATCCTGATCAGTGTACCGCTATATATATCTAACAAATAACACAGCTATCCTCGCAAATGAGAGTGACTGGGCTCATGGTCCTCCATTGCCAACTATGCGGCGTCTAGTCGAATACTGGCGCAATGGATTTGATTGGAAGGCCGCTGAAGCCCGCCTTAATCTCCTCCCGCAATACACCGTTGCTATCAATGTTGATGGGTTTGGGACTTTCGATGTTCACTACCTCCATGTGAACAAAGCGGCAAAGAATGCCATCCCACTACTTATGGTTCACGGGTGGCCAGGTAGTTTCTTCGAATTCACGAAAATTCTGGGTCCCCTCACGAATGGGGATGGAGACGAACCAACATTTGAGTAAGGGCTTGATCGTTCTAAGATATCTGATTATAGTCTCCTAGTTGCATCTAACATTCAATTAGGATCATTGTCCCCTCTCTTATTGGTAGGGCTGCTGGCCCATCTCTTCCCTTCAAATTTCCCTCGATGGGAGCTTGGGTAACAGTCTCGCAAAAACTGACTCGGCATGCTCAGGATATGGTTTCAGCGACGGTGCAAAAGAACCCGGCTTCAGCTGTTTTAAGGTTTGCGGTTCTTTTTCGTCTAGCTTGATGTTATTCCTCTTTTATATTTCTAACTCCCCCTCTTATCCGATTTATACAGCAAGCAGAAATGTGTCACAAATTGATGCTAAAGCTCGGGTTTAGCGAATATGGTACATATTACCTCCCTTTATGAAATTTGGGAACGAGACTTGTGTATACGTGTTTTTCGCTCGCAAATTGTATTGGCTATATTATTACGCCGGTCGACCAGCCGTAAACGTTTATTCTGACAATTTCGATCATGAATAGTGGTCCAAGGAGGAGATTGGGGTGTGTGCCGTAGCCCATTTGGGCCTTGAACTTCCTCTAGCCTTTTTTCTAACTACTTGGCCTTCGAGGTATGATAATTACACATATTCTGGCGAATACCTATTACCCGGAACATGTGAAAGCGGTTCATACCAATAACTCGGACAAATGCGACCCACCATCTTTCTTCGAGAACCCAATATATTGGCTCCAAAACCAGTTGCGGGGCCCGTATACCGCATCTGAAAAAGCGGGAATTGAGCGAACACAGAAATTTATGAGCGAAGGGTACGGATACAATTTGATGCACAAACACAGGCCACAGACCATTGGTTACTCGATAATGGATAGCCCTGTGGGATTGTTAGCATGGATTCTCGATAAGTTGCAAGATTGGACGGATAAGTACGATTTCCCTTGAAATACATCAAGGCAATATCGTGAGACTCTTACTAATGACGGATGGCCTGTGTAAAATAGCTACCCATGGACCGATGATGAAAGTAAGCCTTCCAATTTATTTCCGAAAACCACCTCCTACGATGTCATTTTACGATAAGATGACATTTCTGATCGATAGAATCGATTAAATCATTCGTATTGCTAACGGCTGCTGTATCACAAGTCTTGACATGGGTATCCATATACTGGTTCTCAACCTCTGGCCCGACGGCTTCGCTTAGGTTGTACTACGAATCAAGACGAGCCCCACAGGAGCAAAAGAAGAAAGGCTTTGCCTGGGCAAAATGTCCCATGGGGATCAGCCATTTCCCTATGGATATTAATGTTTCGCCCGTCGTATGGTCGAGGCCGATGGGTAACTTTGTCTTCGAAAGAGTGCACACGTCCGGGGGACACTTTGCGGTATGTGTGACGCCTCACGCTGAAGCTTAGCCCCTTGATTACCGTGATTTCCACGGGCGGTATACAATGTCGTCTCTAATTGATTAACTTTGACACGTTGCACAGGCATGGGAAAAGCCAGATATTCTGGCGGGAGATCTGAAAGATATGTTTAAAAAAGGTGGGCCGGTGTACGGAGTTGTGCGAGGGCGGGACGGATATTAAAGATTTGGGCTGGGATTACATTTGGAGGAGAGCGTGAAGTTTTGCACTGGGTCAACGGCTCGTGAGTCGAAGATTTTGTGTATTTGCATATTTGGAATCGGTATTACTGTTTCTAAAATGATACTGCAAAATAGAACTAGGAGACGAAAAGATATTTGATATTGACACATGTTTCTGTAGTAAATCCGCGGAGCTTGGGAAATTTGGAAATAGTATTGGCATGATATCTGAGCTATCTCAACGAAAATGAAAAATCCTAAATTGGAACATCTGCATAACCGTAACATGGTCCTATGCCTCTTGACAACCCAGGTGTAAAAATTCCCGTTCTACCACTCACGCCTTCGCCAACGACAACGCCCTTTGGGCAAAGCGGGCTAATTCCAGTGCTAACGGAAGTAGTGCTGAAAATAATCTGACACCTCCAACTAGAAAGAGTTGCTGCGTATGCGCTGAATAAATTACCAATATTAGTATTGATCTCTTTTTTTATCTAGATTATCCAAGTTCTATATTTAGAGCCACTTACTAGAATTGAGCGCAGTCTGGCACCGCATAGCACTGCTCACAACATTGGCTGAAGGTATCTTCACCACCAAGGCTATTCTGAATCGGCGTAGTTGAGAAAGGGTAGGTATATTGCCTTAGAGGTTGGACGCCGTTGAAAAGCTTTCGTCCCTCAAGAATCCCGGTACATTGTGGGCGATATGCAGTCGAGCGTGTTAAAGTGATGGTTGTAGTAGCCGTTACAGTTTGAATCGAAAGGGATGTGGCCGCAGTGATCAACGTTGCCGGGACATAAGACGTTACTTCAAGTGTCGTAGTAGTCGGCACCTTATTGAAAAAAATTAGACTCTGCTAATAGCTCGCTCACTCGAAATCGAAAAAGTATCTCACAGTAAGAGTAGCGTTTATCGTATTCGTAATCGTTCTGATTACCACCGTACTAATAGTGCTTGGCACATAAGTGGTCTCTGTTACACTGGTAACTGGTGTTGGAATATCAAGACAAGAGCAGCCGCTTGATATAGCAGGAGGTGCAAAGCCCGCGAGGTAAGCCGGTACCGATACGGTTGTCTCAATCACAGGAATCCCTCGTTTTTTGACCGTACTACTAGTATACCAGGTCGACGTGATGATAGTCACAGTTGCGGGATATGTCGTAATAGTAGAGACTAAAGTTGCAACTGATGTCAATGTTGCAACCGTAGTCGGCCTAGTAGCATCTGTAGTTGTGACTGTGAAGGCAATAGTTCTACGGGGAAAGTAATAGAATTCAGAAGTTACTAACTCGCCGGCTTGAACCTTGCTAGTATATTACAGTAGAGGGGTTGAACATACTCTGTGAAAACCGTTTCGGTTGTTGATATGAAAACATCGATTGTAGTAGTAGCAATTGTGTAGGTTTGCGAAGTTTCAGTCTGAGAAACTGTAGCAGTCTCAATACCAAGGTATTCGTTACAGAAGGGGGTAGCTGAATTGGCCGACAGGCGAGAAGCGAGTCGAGAAAGACCGCCAGAACTACAGAATTCTGGTACTACTCGTTTATGCAAATCGAATTGTCCACCCGCTGGTGAAGCGAAGGAGAGTTTTGCTAGGCTAGCGATGGTAAAAACCAAAAGGCTTGAGAAATATAGATGAATCATGGCTAAGTGAAAAAGGTAACTTGGATGGTTTTAGAGAGGAATTAGAATATTCAATAGTACTATAGGCTATAGGTATAGTGTTCAGTGTTCAGTAGCGGAAGATGAGTATTATATTAATGCCTAGAGACCGAACAGGCGACGCCGATATGCATATATGGGTTTTCGAAACCTATGAGCATACAACGAGGTAATCAAGATATGTCCTTGCGACTACAATATATATGAAGGAATGCTTATACCATTCTAACTTGAGCTATTATAAGGTCTCCCCCGTTATCCGTCATCTTTGGCCACTGGTCACAAAATTGCAGACATAAACGTATCGGCTTTGCACTGGCACATCTACTTCCATGGATCCAGGCGTCGTGTAGGGCTGAGCCGATTCGTCGACCCATGGGCCCGCAACACTACCCTTTGTTGTAAATTACACCGCCAATCTCCAGAAGAAACAGGAGTAAGATTATGTATAACTAGGAGGGCGCCGATGGACCATGCAATGCTAACCAATTAGGTACGCTCGTGCCGGCCCTGAGAATGTCACACCCGCGCCGTTTAGTGTGGAAATGTGAAAGCTAGGGACCGCTCTCAAAGCGCACTACCATACCTGAGTGACCAGAGGAATCCTGGTAACAGAGATCGTGTACAAGCTTCATTCATGTATACACTAGTACAGGAAACGCGAATGGTACAAATGTTGTGGACCGGTGTACAAAACTAACGGTACCTGGCTTAAAACCGGCGTAGTTTCACAGAATGAAATGTCTGAGACATTTGAATGTTCATGAAATTTCAAAAATGATGCTTCTGGTTTCTTGTTTTGAGTTCCTCCGAGCGGGAGTTCGAGAACGCGAGCTAGATCTCGAACTAAAGCGACATCTAATCTTCCCTGATGCAAGGTGAACATTTCATACCGATAAGCTAGTATAGTAGCTGTTGGATTCGAAAATAGTTAGAAACCCGAGCTGGAGACTGTAGGTAACCGCAATGGAGTGAGCCTCGGTCGAATCTAGAAGCAAAGTATGCTCGCGTTACCTTAGCCATTTTTAAATTTGCAGGATTAAGGGAAATAGGTGAGACACACCTATGGACATTACTTCATGTCAGCCGTTCAATTGATACATACACTAAACGCAATCTGTAATACTAGGGCTTGCGATTTAGACAATATTGTATCTGTAGCCTTGGAGTGTGCCGAAGCGTTTTATACAAGACTAGCCTTGGTTGCGCGGAATATATAGTAGTATGTACTGGCTGTGGCTGTCATCTAGTTCCATTTCCCGAGAACTCAACGAAATAAAAACTTCTCCCTCAACTTTTTAAGCTCAATAAACTCAACTTTGGGGGGTTCTTTTCCTTCATCGAAAGCCGCAGATATTCTTTTGACAGTATGCATTTCAGTCTGAAATTTATCTTTGTCTTGTGTTTATCCCTCCTATCAAACTATGTTACAGCAGTAGGCCCACTCCAAGAGAGGTCGGGTTGCAACGGAGATAATTTGCTGCGAAATCTCCGAAACAGGAAATATAGTAGCTCTGCAAGTATTTTCTGTTCAGAGTGGCTCCAGAGTGCCGCTACCACACTTGCTGCAACTGCCACTTTATCGATCACCGTCACCAGTACACCAGGGGCAGGGACCATTACTCAAACGAGAACCACGTAAGTCTCCCAAAGCTGCATGACTTAAGACGCCTTGGCACTAGTATTCGAGAGTACTAATTTCTGTTTTACCTAACATAGCACGATTACGGGTGTTGATACCATAATTACCACCGTTTTCCCTACGGCTATCAATACATTAGTCAAACGTGTCGAAATACCATATCCTCCCTGGCTCACAAGCACTTACCCCCCGGCTCGCGTTAGTAGTGCTTGTTCCTGTTTCATTGTGCCGCCAACCAGAGGGCTTTTGACCGTAACCGCGACCGCCGCGACCCGAACCAATACCAGAACCGTAAGTTGAACAATATCCCTGAACTCGAGAGTATCTAAATGTATTTCTTCATCTTAACAAATGTGCGGTCATTATTATAGGAAGTTCTGCTTTCAATCACGGCTACTCAGACATCACTTGTGACCCAGACCGCATCTGCCACAACAACTTCTGTGATCGAGGGTGGGCCGGTCCCTTGTGGTGTTATCGGTTGTGCTGATAGTGATGGATTCTATGATCAATTGCAGGGTTCAAATCTCGTAGGCTGTAGAACCTTCTGCCAAAATACTCCATCATGCCAGTCTTTTCAATTTGGGTCCCTCGGTTCCGAGACGGTTTGCAACATATTTGACACGAATGTCGCTGATGCTTACGCCAACGGCTTTTCGAGCGTCATAAATTGTCAACAGTTTAGATTCTACGATCTCAGGTGCCTCGTTTGATACAGCCCAATAAATGAGCATATGCGATGGAGTCGGTGAATGCGGACCACTAGACGTACCGAGGTCACCTATATCCCGGTTGCCGTCAGGCGTCTAAGCACTGCAGAATTTTCATATTCATATTAGTACAAGTAGCTTGAGCTAATGGTATTTTCTCTCGCCTTTAATTTTTTTAATTTTTTTTAATTTTTTTTTTCCATTTCATTTGTATGCCACCGTTAGTCGTGAAGTGCTTCTAGTTAGAGTTCTGACAACAGATATTCAATATAATAATGTTACGGGCTGTTCTAATGGTGTGTTGTAGATGTTGAATTTTGGCTCAGCTCCAAAACAAGGATCAGCCTCGTCACCAAAACGAGGGTGACATTGATAAATATATAAAAATCACAGGCTTAAAGTTTCATTGTATCAGGAGACCTTCAAGTTGAATATTTGACAGTGCCTTCATGCTCTGCCACTCCTCGTATATTTAACAGTAGTCCTGAATCCTGGGGTATGGCGGACTAGCATTACACACAATATAAGCGTCCACGTTTCGAGTCGGCAGCGCTGATATCGTGATTAGATATACATGTCACTCATGAAATGTAGATGTAATGTTCTGAATTCATGAACCCTTAGGTGTTACCAGTAGGTAGTTATATTCTATAAAGAACAAATTTTGACTTGAATACTTGTGGCAAATGTTCTATGGGTTAGTCTAACGCTCACCTCTGTATGGTAGCCGTCGTCACGGTCGAAAGTTGCCTAGTGGCTTGAACTCGCATGGATTGGAATTATCCAAGGGAATGATACATGTAGTATATCGATCGAGGGAACCCGATCGGTCCAACGAATATTTATAATTCAAACTCTGGTTTGAATATAATATGTGGGACAAAAGTTCCTGGTAACCGTTTTGTGCCACATAGTCGGGACGACTTAGTCCGGGGGGCTGATTGCAAAATCTCCGAATTCGCGAATCAAGGACCAATATTATAAAGAACTATAGCAGTACTAGGACTTGGCACGAGGCTGAAGGCTTAACGACGGGACTAGCTCTGGTAGCTATCGAGAGTCAAAACTTACACTCGTACTGATAATTTAGTTACCGCAGACCTGCTGGAATATATATTGACATCTGGTAGCCGCGGTTAACCAATGGCCCAAACAAACAACAATTTGGTGATCCGTGCGCGTGCAGGCTCGAACTCAAGTGCATACAATTGCAAGCTAGCCGATCGCCGATGGCCTAAACCGGCCTGTCTTTTCCCCGCACATCCGGATCCAAACAGACCCAACAATGACGGCATCCACGCGACATTAGAATGGATGACACAAGGCGGTCCTTAAAATGCGCGCCAAGGCATCTTTTTTTCCTCCTCGATGGGTTTCTCTCCTGTCATATCCTAGTCTCTTGTTAAATGGTCCTAAGACGACGAGTGGCCCCTGCCGCTATATGTTCATGCTCGTTGCGTTCGAGAGGTCAACCCCGGCCCTATCGAGATAATATTTTGAGAATTTAGCACTGCGACCAAGACTACCAGCCCCATGTCGATAGCTCCCCTGATACCAGTGAGCTCTCGAAGCACCGTAGGGGACGATTTTATATCGAAAACTGGGTCTGTGAGCTTTTTGTTTGACTACACGCTTGACTTTGGGCTGGAACGCACCATTGTTATCTCTCGACTTCGAGAGCCATCTGAAATACCAAGGCCTGCGGATTATATGGAGTTGCTACCAGTCGCTTACTACCTTTCGGTTGATCCGAGATTCAGGTCCGTCTTGTTGACACCGACGTACGAGACGATTGCAGCGGTATCCTTCGTTTCTTTCCCAAAACCAACTTTAGAGTTTCAGGAGCCATCGGATATCCTCTCCTCTAGAAATCCTGGTTTTGGCACAACAAGAAAGTTTTCAGGAAAATCTAAGGGGCACAAAATACGATTTTCTGGTGATCGCGGCGCCACTATCACTTGGGAACGTCGAGTAGATGAAGACGTCTTTGATTTATGGGTATCCGACGGGTTGGTGGAGTCATCATCACCAGCCCCACGATCGCAAACTCGGAGAGTAGGAAACATGAGAAGGACTTCGACCCTTGATTCAAAAAGGATTGTGCTTGAGGCAAATACCAGATATATCGGAGAAGTGGCAATGCTAGCATCTGCGCTTGCCGTGCTCAAGAGGGATGCTTTGGAGGAGAAACGCCGGAAGAAGCCCACCAAAACAAGAAGGGTGTCTCTGCCATTTGTTTCGGCATCTGCGTAGCAACTAGCCTTTGTTCAGCCTCCTCGGTCCGACTAGGATTTTAAGAGATATTAATTCTGGGGATGCGGGAAATTTTTTTAATCTAAAATTTTTAAAACTCTCAACTACAAGGTGCTGCTTTGTGGCATCTCTTTGTGAGAGTAGACCTGTATCTCTCTCTCTCTCTCTCTCTCTCCATGCCAGTGTCTCAGATGTAATTGGTGGCCGGCTCAGAGCTCGGACCATCCCTTATTCATCTCAATTTGTAGCTCTAAAGTCCCCCAGATCCTCTCAATTTAATCCAATCAATAACAAGAATGGTAACACACTATCATCGGAGGGTATGTATTGGAGGATGACCTTGTGCTTGCATTGGCCTCGAGATTTTTGTGCTAATGGCGTATCTTTATAGACTTAGCTCGTCTCTATATATGTATGTACACTACAGATATATAATGTATACAATGAAAGGAAGAACGGGATATCGGCACAGCAGGTTTATATGAAAGGTTTTCTGTCGATGCAATACACAGAGGCCTAGAGGCTCCAAAAGCCCGACTTCTTGGGGCTTTGAGAATCCCTGTTCGTCCCAAATGTTCAATCTCTGGGCGGACGCACTTACCCGTTTCAGATTTATAACGGCCTACGGACCGGCTGACCGCCTAAAGGAGAAAATCCAGGGATCCCCTAGAAAACCCAAGAAACAAACATCTGAACATCGGATCATTGATGATGTAGATGTGCTCGATTCTATGTCTCTTGTGTCTCTTAGTATCTCTTAGCAAAACGAGTTTGTATGTAATTAGGAAACCTTTCGAACCTGCCGACGGGTTGAGCTTGTTTGGGTTCCGACGTCAACTGTACTAGCGCTAATCCAACGCCTTGTCAATGTGACCTTACATATCAGTATATGCGTACCGTATTTACAGCTACTTGGGAGCAATCGAATATATATACTAATACCCGGGTATCCAGGCTTTTTTTTTAGTAAATTGAGGTGTCCTGTGAAACAAAAATGGGCAATCGTATAGCAAGATTGGAACCCGGAATAATAAAGATCAGATTTGATCATGGGTCAAGAAACGGATAAACCTCAAACATCTCAAAGATTGAGTCGCCCTGGAACTGATATCATGGGACACTTTATTAACCACTAGACGGACAAATTCCCATAAAGTTTCAAAAGTGGAGAACACCACCCTAGTGGCCATAGCTCACGGCTGAAATCGTAGCTCTCCGGGGTTATAAATCGATCCCCTCTGCATTGCATTATATCCTTATAAAAGGTCCACGGCCAGACGTCAGTCAGGTTCTGATATTCTTTACTCTTGCAACAAACTTCAACGCACTATTCATACGAACCTGGAGTTCAACTACAATTATATCTTCCTTCGACGTTTTGAGTATCATCTTTCTGAATACTACCAGCTAGTATAACATTCCTGTTCTTGTAAATATGAAGACTACATTGGTTGTTGCTGCCGCTTTGGCTGGTGCTGCTTCGGCTCAGCAAAGCGTCTGGGGACAATGCGGTGGTAATGGATGGACGGGCCCGACAAGCTGTCAGAGCGGGAATACATGCTCGTAAGGAACCTACAAGATATGTCGATACTATAGTCGAGAACGACCTAGATATTGTACATTTTGATATTCTTGGTTTATGCACGCTAACCTAAAACTATGGATTGAAGTTACCTCAACGACTGGTATTCCCAATGTATCCCGGGTGGGAACGGTAACCCTCAGACGACGACTGCACAGACAACTGCACGCACTACCACCACCACTTCTACAACCACTCGCACAACCACCTCCCAGAATAGCCAGCAAACAGGAGGAAGTGGAGCTACACCTATCCCAGGCGGTGCATCCGGATCCGGAAAGACCACGAGATACTGGTATGTGTGTTAGCCACGGCTTCAAAACGTATATAGACACACTGGGGCGGCGCAGTTCTAATAAACTCTCTAGGGATTGCTGCAAAGCTTCGTGCGCTTGGCCCAGCAAGGGTCCCGTTATCCCGAACGTCTGTGACGCTAGCGGCAACAGGATCACTAATGACCCAATTAACGCCAAATCGGCCTGCGATGGTGGCAATGCTTTCATGTGTATCAACCAGCAGCCACAGATTGTGAGCGACACCCTTGCCTATGGCTTCGCTGCTGTCAGCATCGCTGGTCGTAATGAACAACAATGGTGCTGCTCTTGCTATGAGCTCACCTTGACCTCTGGGTAATTATTCATTCACATTGTAGTATATTGGTGAATCATCAGCTAACGAAATACTTCTGATAGACCCGCTTCTGGCAAGAAATTCATCGTTCAAGCTACCAACACTGGTGGTGATCTCGGCCAAAACCACTTCGACTTGGCCTTCCCAGGTAGCGGTTTCGGTATCTTCGACGCTTGCACACGACAATTCCCTGGCACCCCAGCCTCCAAGTAAGTCATGCCTTCTACCCAGTGCAAGTTTCGATGTTATGAATCCGAACTAACTATGGTTTAGCTGGGGCCAACGATACGGTGGTGTCTCTTCCCGCAGCGAATGCGCTGGCCTTCCTTCCGCCTTGCAAGCCGGTTGCAACTTCCGCTTCGACTGGTTCGCTGGTTCTGACAACCCGAGCGTCAACTTTGTCGAAGTCAAGTGCCCAGCCGCAATTTCTAACATTTCTGGTTGCTCCCGTTAAGCGAGGACAATTGATAGCATATATACCGGCGCCTCAATGTATAAAAGGATCTAATTCATCTAATCCTACCCGAAGGTGTATGCTTCCCAAACCGTGGTTATCGTTGATCTAGTTTGCCCCGGACAAAATAGTGCGGCCAATAAAGGCTCACTTATGTACATATAAACATACAAAACATGCACCATGTTTAACTTCCCCCCAAAGAAAAACAAGAACAAAAAAACCATACAGGGTATCATAGCTATAGTACTGACATTAACATAAATTACTTTTTAATAATAACCATTTCATTCTCATCTAAATCGGATGGTGACGACCGCCTATAGCCTGAGAAGAACCGAGCTTTCATGGGGTGTGCGAGAGAGGACCCTGCTCGCTGGGCCTCGAGTTGATGATCTATCACAGAAGCTCGCTCCTCTATCACTTGGAAAGTTCTTTCTACAGTGATGTCTGGATATGAGTCCGGCCCCTTCCCATCAAAGACAGTAGTATTATCGAGTCGTTCGTCAGATTCGGTCCTTGTGTCGGGTATCTCCACATAACTGCGCACCGTGCCGCCCTGTGCCGTTGCTGCGGCGGAGTAACTAATATATTTCGCATGTCCCTTGTAGATTTTCCCATCAAACTTGATAATCCCATGTTTGTTCCGAATTCTTTGCGTGCTCCCTTGTTCGCTCCTGCGGCCGTGAAAACACCTGCAGAACGTTACAATTGAACGGTTGAGCGCCGGCAGACAGGCTATCGTTACAGCAAGGCTACTCTCCATTATGCTCCAGAAGCCGACGGCTGTGGCGTTCCTTGTCAAATCAAAAGACTTGACCATGATGCTGTAGAATAGAAACATCCGGACTGATGTGAATATAATAGTGATAACCCCTAAAGCAAGAATGAAATATAAATTGAATTTCTTCGCTCGTGTCATTGGGAGCTTGTAGATAACGAGTATAGGTGGGAAAATGGTGAGGAGGTCCAAGGCAATATGTCCGGCACACAATCCTGCATAGATATCCACAGACGTAGAACCTACGCAAGTCCCATCCAGTCTAGATCGAAGGTCGAAAGCTGCTGAAACAGGTCGACACTCAAAAATAAGAACGACAAGGTTGGCAAATAGAAATGCATAGGAGCAAAAGAGGACCCCCTGGAGAAATCTACGCTTGATCAGAGACTGCGCGGGCGCTAGTCTTAGTAGGAGATGAAGAATTGAACATCGGGTAAGGTGAAGAGCCAAAGTCCAGAACACAGTATGAAGGTATTGTACCTAAATGCGGATTTGTTAGGTCCTGCTAGGAGTTTTACAGGGCAAAGGCAGGGGGGAGATAGACTCACAATGAGATAGTTGTGGATATCTTTTGTCGAGAGATCATATATATGATAACCAATGCCGGTATCCGAAAGGCCTAATTCGACAACTGACCTTTAGTAGAAAGCCTCGCATATGAAGGATTGAGATACCCACCGACTATGTTGACGCAGTTGAATACACAATAGCACACCTAATTGATTGTTGAGCGGATGCGTTAGACCCATTATTCGTTCATTAGGCGGGACAGATATATATTGTTCATGCTACATACGAACGCTGGTAACATAACCCAATCATCCATGCCAAAACTCGACTTGGCCCGAACCCAAAATCGTAAACATGCCACAACGGTGGTGAGAGAACAAACGATTGAGCCAGCGATTAAACAATAGAGTGAATTCCTTCCCGGGACGTAATTAGGATCCGTCTCCAGCGGAAACTGGAAGTCCGGCGGGAAGTTCCTGAATAACGGGAAAAGTGAAGCTAGGTATTCCCTATCAAGGGGAGTCTGAGGATGTAATGGAGGCATTCTGGCCAGCCAATGTCGGCCAATATTTGGCTGGGATCGCTTATCAGGTAAGCTCAGGCTATATCTTGTTTTTCTTGTATTTCGTCCCCTCCAATCCTCCCCTTCGGCGTACCGATTATGTCCAGTCGTTCTTTTTAGCACATAGTCCGAAGTCGAATAATTTTTTGGTAACGTCTGATCCCACAACACGGACGAAGTCGAAGTCGAAGTCGAAGCCGGAGTTTGGTTATCGGATAAGGAGCAAAGAAGCCTTTGGGCTGACACAAATGCAAAGGCCAGGAGGTGTAGCGAGAAATATATCGCAAGGGCAGCCTCTGATATTCCAGAAGGGTATGATAGTGAGCCCTGTCGGTGGAGCCGCCCAAGGAGCCAAACTCCGCAGTCCGAAACTTGGGGACCAGCCTCCTGGCATCAGATCTACATATTTCCAAATTCTCCCAGCTGCTGAAAGCTGCGAAAACGTTGCAGCCTGAGTGCGAATAAGAACACAAATTTTCAGAAGCTAGAGGCATGAGTTAAGGACAGTGGGACCTGACATGGTTCGATCCCTTTTTCCAGGGACAACCAGCCAATCGCGTTACAGACGGCTCGGAAGGGCTCAAAATTGGGCAAGTGTGGGGCTTATGGAACCTCGGTAAGACATCAGCGAATATCGTGATTGAAGATTTGACTCCGAATTCGATCGAACATAGGGAGTGGTACATATACGAAGTGAGGTATAGCTTTGAGTCTAGATCACCACCAGGTCGTTCGCGTTCGCGGATATATATATTTATGGCGTATACCTCGTTTAATTTCTCATTTAGGTTTTTTGGAAATGTTTGCGATGTAATCGCAGGCGCTCCTTGGCCAGGCCATCGTGATATAGTGGCTAGCAGCTAGGTTAGGTTTTCTTGAACATACATATAGATTCATGTTGTTTGCAATTGGAGCCATGAAATAATCATGCTACGATAACACTTCTAGGAATTAGAATTCCGGCAGGGAGAACCTTGAGCACTTCTCTACAAACTTGTCTGGTAACCCCGCAGATGAAAGCGCTGTTAAAGGCACGTGTGATACTAGATAACCATTCCTTCGACATTTGATCCCACATGGGATACAGACGACAAATTTCGAGGGTTTCGAGGATCTGTGCGACCGCAGATTATCTAAACATGTGTGATCACACAAACACATGCTACAGACCAGCACCAGCACCAGCACCAGCACTTGCCTCTACAAAGTTTGTTTGATTGGAGGGTTGCGCATGGTGGCTCCGCATAAGTTTGAAGTTTAATCCCGGCCGGCCGTTTGCTCGGTTAGGTTTGCAACAACATGCAGAACAAATCGATGCTCAATTGATCAACCATGATGCGGACGTCGCCAGAAAAATCATGTCGTACGGATGCCGGAGCCAGGAGGTCCTACACAGTAATCAAGTTTGATTCCAGGTTACCCAGCGTTTCCCGTTCTTCTCCCCATTTCCCAATTGAGATTTGTTTTGACAAAGCCTATAAATGGTTAGCGACTGATATGATTCTATATATGGTTCTAACGGGCCTGGAGGAGGCCTGGAAAATCTACCAAACCGGAAATAAAGTTCAGGATCGGCTAGATGGTTTCAGAACAGCCCCAACCAAGAAGGAGCCGCACAGAGACTTCTAATGGGCATCTTGATTGTTCTCATTCACCGACAGAACGTATTGCTTGTTATCTCGGGGCCTAATGAAGGAATGGGAGGTTCGGGCTGGTCTCGAAGATGACAGTTTCAATATGGCACCGTAAGTAGCGTTTCCGACCCCCAATGAGGGTACCCGACCGAGGTACAAAATACCTAGTGTACTATATACTCTTATCAACATACAGCTAGGGCTCCTGTAGGTTTTCGTAGTTAACCGAATTAGATCCCTGGAGAGAATCGATCGGTGCATAGAGTCAGTCCTCTATGGAGTTTTCTATTTCAGGCACTCGGTTTGGTTTGAATATTCATGCGCATGTTTTTGCACTCTTGTAGCTGAAATGTATCGAATAGTTGGTCTCGTATTGTCGAATAGCCCATGCTTTGTATACGGACAGTATATACTTACTTACGTATATACTTAGATACTTAAGTATATATATACCGTCAAGACTTCGATATTCGAAGCACGATATAGCGCCTCGTTTCCTATCAGATCATAAAATACTCCCGTTAAGCTCTTCTCATCTATACTCTCGTTAAAGCTATAACTTTTATATTGTACTTTCCTTAAATATATACCTTTAAAGCCGAACTGTACACAAATTTGCTTTGACTATTCCCTAGCATAATACCGTCAACGTTGCTAGTTCCCCCATTGATTACAATCACGCACCGCTTATTACATCCATCTTAAACATAAGATGTTGCACAAAGGCTTAAATACCCGTATTCTTGTTGCAGTCGCCGTGATGTCGAAATTAGCGGTTTCTCATCCGCCGTTCTTCAATGATAGTACGGTGGATATTCCCACGCCAGACAAGTTCGCAGGATTTACGGAAACAGCGGAAGTCGGATGGGGATCTCCAAATGTAAGTTGGCGGGTGGCACCTGCTCTCAATATAATTGTCAACGGCATCCACCGACGCGCGACCATTGATACCGGATCTACAGGCGCCTTGATGGATAAGTCTTTCCTTCCCACTTTCGACCCCGAAGAAGTTGAAGAAGGACATGTGTTCTACTCATCGTCGAAAATTCTCGAAGAAGGTTATTGGGTTCCGGATGTTGAAATCGAATATTTCGGACCAAGGGGGGTTCGAATTATGTCCAAGACTCCAGTTCTTGCAGTTGAAAGAGCAGTCAGTTGTCCTCAGTTCAACCAGACCCTTCACGGACACCGGTGTCCTAAGAATGCCACAAAGGGAGTTGTTAAGAGAGCAGTGCAGCAACCATATTTTGGTATTGGATTCGGAAGAGACCGGGATACATCGTCTCAAGCCACGCCGGATCGAAACCCGATGATTAATATCGTTTCTATTAATAATGTTACCATCGACCGGACCAAATATCATCCCGGTTATATCATCACCCATCGGTCTATCATCGTCGGCTTAACAAGCAACAACACCGAGGGATTCGTAACTATGGATCTTGAAAAGGGGCCAAACTGGGAGAAGGGCCAACGAGCATGGGCTGGACCTAAGGTGTCTGTTGCTCTTAATAATGAGACTTATGCGAAAGGCTCCCAGTGTTCCCTTCTTGTTGATACCGGTGTTACACAGATGTACTTAAAGGCTGGGAGGGAATTTCAACCTGATGACGAGATCAAATTTGCGATTCCGGATGAGGAGAGCCCGGTTGCGACTTATACGATTACGAACGGGGGTCGGAGGAATGCGATGAGCCCAACCAAGGTTTTAAATAGCACTAGCCTTACACCCTACGTCAACACTGGGAGGAGTTTCTTGACCAAATTTGACGTATTCTTCAACCCAATTGAGGGCCAATACGGACTGAGATTCAAGGGTAGCGGGGAGGAAGATTTCGTGAAGTTTTATCCCGTCTAGTCCTTTCTCTAATAACGCGATTTTACTATTCGATTATCTGGTTTTGTGAATAAGCATGTATGCGCGAGAGCCTAAAGAAGGTCAGATTTCATAATAAAATAGCCCTAGTTACTTGCTTTAAAGCCATTGTTTTGGATATGATTGGCTCGCGAAGAAAGATATATGTGTCCCGCTCTTATAAACACATGAGCATTGTCCACCTTTTTAGAGCATAGTTATAGGAGATATTTCCAAACCAGCGACGGTTACTTGAGCATCCGGTTGTCAGTGTTCGCGGAAAGTGCCGTCACTCGTATATCTCACCCTATATTCAAAAATGAATTGAATCCCGTTACCAAGAAAGTATTTGTCGCAGAGCTCTCCTTCTTTACCAAGCGACGAAGTACACAGGAGGCTTGATATACTTTTACAGTGCGCATCAATCTAGCTGGTCGAGAGGGATAATCACGCCCCGGAGAGTCGGGCCCGGTATAGACGCCGATGCAATGATCCGTACATTTTGTTTCGATGTAAAATTGCTCGCTTCGCGTATCTCGTATCGGCATTGCTGAAAACACCGACTGAGGCGGGTCTCTTCCTTGCATTGTCGGCCGGTTGGAAGGTTTAGTTGGGATTACATGAGAAGCAAGAGCGACAAAAAAAACTCTAGATCACGCCCTAGCTGCTGCGAGCCACGTCGGTCGTGTGACTTTTGGCGTTGTTACTGTTGGATCGATTTGAGCAGAGAGGGCTAACCGGAAGGTTTCGGAAGCCGGGTCTGGAGTCATGCATTTGGAATTTCTTTCCAGGGCTGTTCTGTCTACTTCACACCACTCCTTCCCATTTGTCCCGCTTCTGCATTAATACAAACATTTAAGAAATGCTATGCACTACGGACGAGCGAAAAGAAGCACAGCGGAGGCAATATGCAGTTCGGTCTGCGGGGTCCGAGCTTCCCATCAAAAACTGCCATGCTCGGAGCTAAAAGATTCCGAGAACCGGTGTTCAGTGATTTGTGAATGCTGCTGACATTCCTGATGCATGCTTAGTTGCATCAGGTATAGACAGCCTCTTGCATTTTGGTTCGCAATAAACCTCCTCACAGGTCAAGAAGGAATTTTAATTACCAGGCGCTCAGGTTAAATGGTTACAAAGTGATAATCCATGAAACCATAGATCGCGCAGACAATTAACGTTATTAATCAGGCTGGACAAGAGAGCTTAGCATTCGGCTGTGAATTTAGACGCGGCTCAGCCTCAACCATCTGTACAGGTCTCTGTCTACATGCCGATATGCAGCGAACATGTGGAACAGGACAATGCCACGATTCATCGAATCCGCTGACCCGGAGGATCTTGAGGCTCTAGCGAAAAACATCTGCAGCTATGTGCATGAGGGATTGCGGGGATTGCTCATTTTGCTATCCACTTCTGCAGCTTGGAGCAGCCATCTTTCAAGGCAAAGGGGTTGTCTGCGCATGCACCTATCGCTGATGGTTACTTAGTCAGTATTGTTAATGTTTTGTTCGGGCCCGACCATTCTCCTTGTCGAAAGCCTGGCTTTTTCCTTCCGAGGATCCACCCACACAGGTTTCCTTTCTCGTGCTTGGCGAGTATAAGCAGGCGTTTCGGCACCTTTAAGGACCGAGAGGAGGCTTTTTCCAGTAAATTCTAGAGCCCAAGGGCTAGTTCAGTCCTCCCACCGAGCCCCGTAATAATCAAAAAACAAAAATCGAGGAGTAAAAGTCTGCTTTTGGGTTCACCTGATACAGAAAGAGCCCAGGAAGTTCTAAACGCATGAGGGGCGAAGGGTTGGTGGTTCGAATGGTGAAGTTCCTTATATAATGTTCGTCGCAGAATGGGACGGTTTCGCAGCCTTGGAAGCTTCCTGTTAAAAAGGTTTCCTGCCTCTTCGTCCAAGCTTCGCCACCCTCCGAACCGTACCTCGTACCGGTGATAAAATCCTTCCAGCCTTTCTCGACAAATACTCCATTGGGACAGGCGCATTCCCTAGCATTCCTGTACAACCACCCGCATGAAGCATACGTACTGTTTTTCCCCAGTTATCACCCGTCAACAACGCAAAACCCTCCGTTCCGTCGTTTTTTTCTGTTTCTGACCCAGGGCCTGCTTGGTGCACTGCATAGCTCTGCTGGACATAGTATTGCTGTAAGAGTCAAAGACCACTTTGACTTAAATAAATACAGAGTTCGGTGCGCATTAAGCCGCATACGAGGTACGAACCTAAATAAACTTCCTGGATCTCTTTCTCCTTGTTAAATTTGGAGGAGCACCGTGAGACGTAAGCGCTTTCTATAATTTCCATAGTTGCGTATACACACATACAGTACAACCCACATTCCCCCCAGGCAAACTCAGTCTGTTGCGCGTCCAATTGGGCGTCTTCCATCCGAAAGACATACAGCCCTCGTTGAAGGACAAAAAGGGCATTTCGGTCGTAACGTTATTTTTTCCCTTTTAGCGGGAGGGCCGACAAGGTTCGCAGGTGGGTTCTGAAACCGGAAACGTGGAATAGACGAGCTTTGTTGCATGCAGAGAAGTCTGGTGGAAAACGAAGCCTAAAATATATTACGGACGTCATCCCCGGCAGAATCGTTTACGACAGTTGCTCGATAACAATTACTCTCTTGACGAACATTCAAATCAGATATCATATCATCGCAGTATCGTAGACCAACGACAGATCCACTCTATCGTTTTATTTTATTTCATCTTATCTTATTCTCATTATTTTTTTACAATTTTTTATCTTATCTTTCACCTTCGGCGTTGTATACTAAAGAACTTACCTCATCGTCGACTTCGAACTTCCCCAACACTGACAACACAACTGTTATAACAAGAATAATCTATCCGTTCACGACTTGATCCAAATTATAACAATTCGAAACATTTGAATTCGCCTAATAGGCCGAAAATATCGTCTGAGTCGCAAAGATCCTGTCAGCTTACTAGGATTTCTGCCTTTCCTGGTAAACTGTCCGTTGAATAACACATCACCCGACGTAACGGTGCGAATATAGTCCCGACCGGCCGTGTCCGGCTAGTCCTGTGCACCGCCCTGATCTGTCACACGTCTGGAGCCTCAGGAGGATAACAATCAGTTTATCGCAACCTGGTACAGCATACTTTGCAGGTTGGTTCCCTCTTTGCCTTTTATTTATACTGTGCTGGTGGACCGTTCTTTTTTTGCTATATATACCTTGTTATAATTACTAATGCATGATGCATCTTGTCGCCTATAGAAGCCATATCTAAACACCTTAAATCAGCGTCGAGCCCTCCAAGAGCACAAATTTATATATAGACTGGGTCGACTTGGACGTGCACTAGCCTGGGGTTTTGCCTGAATATCTGTTCCCATCAGATGAGTTTATAATTTTATCAGATGGACTTCATCACCAAGAAGACTACCCATCAAATCATGCCACTCTTCAGTACCTTTTGGACGTCAGCACCGGCTAAGTCGGAGGAGGAAAAGGTGGAGGCATCGGAGGCAAAGGACAAAGGCCCTATGATAATCGTCAACGCACCATCTACTGAGAATTATCACGCGGTGGAGGATACCGTTGGAGGAACCGACCGACCTTTATCGACTGCGAGTCTGGACGCCACCGCAATCCCATTACCCATGTCCCCTGCGCCAACTTCACCCGAAATCACAAAGGTTTCATCGAAGAGGAGGAGAAAGACTAGATCGTTCACTCCGAGCAAGGTCTTCCTACTCAAAACGCAAGCAGCGAAACGATCGGACGGGAAGAAGGGCCGGATGGCAGCATCTGATGTGACCATTCACTTTCCTAAGCTGCACATTGATAAGGGTATGCCCGAAGATATGCAGGATAGACTTGTGGAGGCGTCTAATGCCGCTGATGTGGATCTGGATGGGTGAGTGTGATCTATGAAGCTTGTGCGGACGTGGAAAGCCCTCTAACTTTTGCCACTTCTTAGTTACACGCTATCCGCGAACTCGATATCATCATTTTCGCTCTTGTCTGTAGAATCTTCCGCCCAGGTAGCAAACTTTTCGCTCCCACTCCATCCTCACAAAGTCATCACCGTCTTTTTCCCGCCTTCCAGTCCCAATTCCCGGCCTCGTCCACAATCATGCAACTCTTCCATCTCGAACTCTTCTGCAGCGTCTATAGCATCGGCATCCAGGCGGCAGCAACCTAAAAAGATGTCACAAAAAATGTTGACGATGACATCACCTGGGTCAAAATCGAAGGCGTTTATATTCGATGGGTTTAATTACAAGTGGACGATAGAGGAGGATGGGACTCGTGTCTTGCGTCGATATAGTGCCTCTACGGAGTCAAGTTCCAAGGCTGTCGATAGCGAACTATGCGCGAAATATTCCGCTATCAAACGGAAGCACCATTCGGCGTTATTGGTCGACCCCAGTCGGTGTGATGAACGGGTGGCCATTGCAACTTTGTTCATATGTTTGAGGAGAGAAGAGGGGCTGAGAGGACTTTTAGGTGGAATTATCAGGTAAAACCTATGAATGTTAAACTGTTGACGATTTGTGGGAAGTTCAAAGGTGCCTTCCAAGGCGGGCACCTCGACACTGCCTTCCTGCACGCGACGCGACATTGTAGTGTATGCATGCCTAGGTGCTTGCACACACTCATGTTTTGATTTTGATTTCGATTTCAGCCTTTAAAATTTACCTACTGTACATAGACATATCATTCGGACGGGATCCCGGGGCGTTTGGGTTTTCTTCTTTTTCTTCGTTATCTTCTTCCTCTTCTTTCTATTTTTGCGTTTTGGAGTCATACATCATTTTGTACATATAGAAAATTATCAAGTGCTTCTACTCGAGTAAACTCATACTCATCTATCGTCTATGAGGTTCGTATACGTAGAAGACACCAGCCATCACTATTTTTGGTGGCTGGAATGGAGCTTTTAGTCAGGTGTTATCCCGTATTACTAACCTCACTAGCCTCGAATATCGCGGCGCTACTAAGAAGTTGTTACAAACCAAGGCCTGCTTTGGGCAAACCGATCGAGAATCGAGAAAGAACGGATATGGGTAGCTTGAATTGACGTGGCCAAACAGAAAAAGCTTGAAGTTTGTAAAGGGCTCTCCCGTCTACGTACGGGGTATTTGGGTAGTCCCCATTCTTCGTGGCCACGCGCGGTCCTTCAAGCTGACGATAGCACATCGCACATCGCAGAAGGGCGAAGGGTTGGGTAATGGAAGGCAGGTCCAAGCCCTGGCTTACGCCTCGTCGCCTATCTGGGACCGGGAGGCTTGTCTAACGGTTCGCACCCTACGCAAACTATAGCTAGGTATCTCGATATCAAGGGCTTACTTGACGCCAATCGACGATAAGGCTTTCACGATTTCGAGAAAGAATGAATTCATATGAATGGGAAAATCCAGGGAAGACTGTATCAAGATCACGAAACCAGGACCGGGTCTGTCCAACCTGTCAACATTATACCGCGTTTTGTGGGAGACGTCCAGTGCTTATCTTTTTCCCTTGTGGGAAATTCCTAAGCTCTTCTCCACCATCTTGCGGCAGTTCCGCGACCAATTGCTGACCAACGGCGCCAACCCTACACATAAGCTTTGGAACATCGTGACGAGCGGGTCCCTTGGATTCATCGTGAGAAAAAACCTGGCCGAACCTGAACCCACACATATGTATATAATATGGTAAAGTATAGGCAAGCCATGCCCGCTCCGCGTTCCGTCATGAGTTCCTGAGTGGTTTGCGAGGTCCTTGTCTCATGTTGAGATCCATGGAAAGGTCCACTCACACTAAAATTGTAGGCTTTTTCCAACGGAGCGAATGAAGACCTCCCACGGAAAATCGCATCTAGCGATCACAGTCATGCAGGGGCCTTCCCACAGTACATATTATGCCTGCGCATACATATTGGCCGGTGCGCCCAGGTCCTGCTACAACCAGGAGGCAAATCTTCTTTCTGGAGATGGATATGTTTTTTACAATTTACGACAAAAAAAGTACTTGATTCAATACTCGGAATTCGGAATTTGAAGATGCACAAGAGTCGTGTGTTATTCTAAGCAGCATCGATGAGGAATACGCTTCAGAACCGGTGTCGACACCTGGTGATTTGGGAATGGCCATTTCAGGCAAACAGGCAATTGTACGTTCTTCTACGCAATATTAATTATCTCGCAAAAAATGTATTAGTTCATCCATCCTAAAGAAAAGTTCAATATTAGGCCTGCGAATGGGCTTTTTTCGGGCTAGCCGCTTTCTTCGTCTTCTTTCGACTGTTTGTCCGTATATTCATCACTTGCAACCCAGGCTTCAGCGACGGCCTAGTCATTCTAGTCTTGATCTGTTTCCTTTCAACGGCAGTATGCGACACTATCGCAGCCTCGAAAGGGCTTTTCGCCGAAAACCTTACATATGAATCCGATCTCATCGCTGCCTTCAAGGCCCACGGCGGAAGTTATGTCGAAGAACTGGTCGTTGTGTTACAGATTTTATATGCCAGCAGCTTCCCTTACATATGTGAGCTTTGGGGATTGAAAGTTTGCTTTTTACTTCTCTATGGAGGATTAATACCACCATCCATGAAATGGTTGAGGAATTGCCTATATGCTACATGGCTGATTGTTGGGATCGGCTTCATCGCTAGCATGCTCTTGATGGCGCTTTGGTGTCTACCTGTCAGCAGAAATTGGGATGTCACGATGTTGAAGGGAAATGAAGGGAGGTGCTTTGCGTATAGTAGTTACGAGCCTTATTTCACATTAACAGCCTTCCACATTGTCACCGACTTCATGAGTAAGCTGATACCCAAATACTCCAATAATTGAAAATACGGTACCTGGAAAAGCTAATGCGATTTTGACACCGCGTGTAGTCTATGCACTCCCGTTTCCAATTCTGAAATCCCTTTCTCTCAACCGTCGACAACACTGGGGCGTCATATCAATTTTTGCACTCGGGGGTGTCTGCATAGCGAGTACGATCGGCCGAACAGTGTCTATCGGCCTGACCTCTAATATACCCCTGGTCGGCTTCTGGACTTCATTCGAACAGATGACCGGCCTCATCGTTGTTTGTATTCCTGCACTCAAAGTCTTGATCTTGGAACATCGTAGTAGAGATGGGTCTCGTGTCAAAGTTGACTTTACTGATGGGGGTAGTCGACTAAGTCGCTTACAACGGATTAGCGTCAGCGCCGCCACGCGAAGCGATCCGCGGGGCGGGACAGACGAGGAACTTGAGACTGATGAGCGGTGGATTCGGATCGATAGTCCGGTAGAAGGAGATGCACCAAATGAAAACCATAGTGTCGGTAGTATATCGATTCAAGAGCGCGTGCGAGGTAGGACATCGGACATTGAACATGGAGTTTTGAACATGCCTTCGGAGAATGGAGTAAATCCGAGTGGGGAATACCATCAAGACTTCGAGGGGATAGAGTCTCCAGTAACAATGGGACGTATACTACACATGGATACACCCAACCGAGATCCTAGCGAGGGGGCAAGAAAGTAATTGTATCGTTGGGATGTTAGCATTTCAAATATTCCTCAATCTCGAACTGTTGGGGTGCTGGGTTTTCTATAAACGTTTTCCTTACATTATCCTAGTTTCCATATTATAAACTTTATATTCAGCTCACCCTATGGATAAGTGTGTACCACTTTGGCCTCAAATTCAGAGTATTTCAGCTAGAAGTAGAACATCGGGGTCACTTTGCCCAACACAAGACCGGTTCTCTAGGTTCGATCTTAGCCTTCGGGCCCCCATTGCGGAGACAATAGACATGCAGGGGCCATTCTTAAAGGAATTCAAAGACGGGGCGCGAACAAAAATCTTTCGTTACTTTCAAATGTTAAATCAAATTAGAGGGTTTTGAATTTAGTGATAGTTATTTTCACATGATCTAGACTGCTGGTCTTTGATGTCTGATAACCTGGTATAGGGGAAAGGTTGATGTGAAAATAAACAAAAAGTGCCAAATTTTGTATGATAAGTGTAAAGAGATTGGGGTAAGAACATTAGCTTAGATGCCAATGGCAACGAGACCAGCAATGACGAAGCCTAAGCTACCGTTGATAGCGTTCTTTCCAACTCCATTCGGGGACTCGGTAGAAGTAGGAGCTGTGGAGGTCTCGTTGGCACTAGAAGTCTCAGTAGCAGTAGCAGTAGGGATGATTCTTTGGCTGCCAGAGACGCTAGTGATACGCGACGAGACCTCAGAAGCGACGAGGGAGGTAGCCGAAGCAACGATGGACTTGAGAACGTTGGAAATATCGTTACCTCCGTACTCAGCGCAGATAGCCGACGCCGCAGCGATAATACCTAAAGGGTGAATCAGCAACGAAGTCGCATCGCTAGGGGAAAGCCGGTTCTAACGGCGGCCTGAGCTACCTGGAATCTGGGAAGCTTGGCATTTGGCTTTGACGCAGTCCATTACGGTGCCAAGGGCCTCAGTATCAGCACACTGACATTTGAAATCAGTCGGATTGCAGTTGGATGAACCGAGACCGCCTTGGATGCAACCTTCCTATAGCATCAATGTCTAGAGCTTCAGCTATGTATCACCGATAATGCGTATCTATGGCGGGACATCTAGGAAGGTGAACATACCGCACACTCTGGAATTGGAGGAGGGGGCCCTTGTGCGTAGATGGCAACGGTGACAGCACTGATAATGGCGAGAACCTTAGCTAACTTCATTTTGATCAAGATAGTAGGTTCAATGAGATGGTGGAGTGGTTCGGATGATGCTTGTGGGGAGATGAATGTGGTTGATGATATCAGTTGATGAAGTGGAGGATGATTGTTTGGAGAAGAGGATGGAAGGAATTGATGTAAGGCTGTCAAGCTATGTTTTTTTTCTGGTTGCCGTGGATAGCTTGTGTACTAAGTAGTAACTACTAGTAGGTACTTAGTAGGTACCTAAGTAGGTAGGTAGGTAGACGCGACACTGTGAAGATTGCACTCGAATCTACATAGCGTGCACGCTCAGCTGACCGGGCACTGTTGGCTCGCCTCAAAGCACTGAACCGTCGCTTGATATTTAATTTGGGTTGGTAGGAATGTGTTGGTGGAAGTGCGTTGCGTGTGGTATTATGATATGACGTCATTGGTGGGTTCGTGCGATGGCGACTGGGACCCTTCCCAGGTTCTACTGCAGACAACCTCTTCTTGTCGCACTTGCATCCGTTCAAGCCCGAAAGCCCTCTTTATACCTAAACATCTCACTTTTTCAGGAATAAAATTCACAAACTCAAAAACAAAAAAAAAGGTATAAAAGGCATAAATCCTCTTCGCATTGATCGTGCATTACATCATTCAGTATAGACGGTATCGATACTGTACATACATCATGCTACTTCAACCTTTCATTGTTTAATCAGGATGCCTCCTCCTAAGCGACCGTCATGGTTCCTTCAAGCCCAGAAAACGAGTTTACAGGCCGCCATGAGTTTCGGCATGTACTTGGGCAGTTGGGCAGGACCGTGGCCCCCGGAACCATCATTTTATGTCGAAATCCCAGCTACAATATCCCCAACTAAGGGGGCCTTCAACTTGATATTTTATGTCCCCAAGTCCTACTCTCGACGGACTCAGGGCAGTCGATTCCCCGTTCTAGTCAACTTTCATGGTGGCGGAATGTCTATAGGTAGTGGCACAGACGATACGAGGTGGGCAAAGGATGTCATGCAGGAGCTGGGCGCTGTTGTTGTTAGTGTTGAGTACCGGCTCGCCCCGGAACATACCTTCCCGACTGCTGTCCAGGATTCGGTGGATGCGATTCTCTACCTTGTCGACAATGCCGAAGAGTTATACTTGGATAGGGACAGAATTGTACTGAGCGGCTTCTCATCTGGAGGCAATCTGGCTTTCACAGCCCCAATTTTGCTGGAACAGCTTCGCAGACACCAAATGCTGGCAAGCGAGCCTGGTTTTGAGGACCAAGCTACGGATGAATTCGACGTCCCAGTGTCTAAACTACCCGAAGGATACCCATTGCCCGATTTCACAATTAAAGCAATTATTGCATGGTATCCATCTGTGGATTTCACCCAGACTCGACATGAGAGGCGAAACACTAATCCGCACCCTGAAGTATCGATGCCAGGTGCGATGTCCAACATGTTCGACACCGCTTACATTTTCAACTCTCACTTAAACGCTTACGAATCTGCACATCCACTTCTGTCGCCAGGCACAGCACCAACTGAATTGCTAGATGCAGCCCTGCCTTCTCGTGTTGTGATATACACATGCCAGTTCGATGCGCTTCAGAAAGAAGGAGAGCTCTTTGCAACCAGAATACGAGAAGAACTGGGGAGAGAAGTCAAATTTCAAATGGTTGAAGGTGTTGCCCATGCCTGGGATAAAATGCCAAATCCTATATGGCCACCAAGCAGAATCGAAGAGGTCTACAAGGATGCCTGCGACAGCATCAAGGACTACCTCTAGCACCCCTAGCGTGGGCCGTCATTTTAGACCCATCATTTTTCTTCAAAGCACAGGGGCAGTGGAAAGAAGGATACCACATAGAGCTGGGGAACGGCGTCTAAGGTTTTTGCTTATAACTGTTTAGATACATGCACATACAACATATGGGAAATTGCTTCAATGCCCTGTTTATCATTCCAACAAATTGTTTTATATTACCAACTTCCCGGTATTTGCTTTATAATGTCAATTGTAGCTGTCGAGTCCATCGTTCCAGCTTGAGGCCTCTGATGTACCTCTTGGTGGCTGGTATTCCTTTGGTTATATCCCGATTCTTGTTTTGGGGCGAGTTCGCCCGAATCGTGCGTGAACCTCCTCGGTTGCGAGCTATGCATATGGCCTCTGTCGCCCAGACCGCCCGACAGTTGGCTCGGGCAGACACCTTTTGTTGGAGGAGTCGCAACTTGAATATGCTGGAGCTCATCGATGACGGCCTGGGACCATTCATGGGCGTTTAGATCTCTAACGGTTGCTGCTCCGATTCCAGGTATTCCACTCGCGCTGGATGGTTTGGCATTGTTCATGTTGGTTGTTCGAGTGTTGGGTGTTGTTGTTGCGGCTGGGGTTTCTGTGGACATGGTTGAGGTTGGGGCTCGCGATCGTGACTCCAAGTTCGAGTATTTTAAGAACCTTCACGTCGATAGTTTTGCAACTTTTATAATAGAAATTTTATAGGAAAGCTGAAGGGATGGTATGAATTAAATGGAGGTTGCAACCCTAGATCTGCCTCTCCGCGATTTCTTTGTTTGCCGTAGTCTACGCTTGTTGAGAACGAAAATATAAATGAAAAGGGACGAAGTAGAAGTAGATTATTTCCGTGAATTTATACCCAGACCCTGACCCAGATTCCCCCGTCCTAGTATGATGTAGTACTACGTAATGTGCCACCGGGGTTATGGAGGCTGCATGCTGTGTACTCTGCATTCTCATACCGTGCATGAGACCATGAAGATCCCGACGCTAATTAATATTGGTGCCCAAAACCATTTGTTCCCAAATGGCTGAATTCAAGAACAATCCCCAACACCGTGCTTGAACGCCGGAAGGCACGACGGAAACGTATCCTAAAATATACACTAAGAATTCAATCCATGCGAAACCCTTATGAGGGGGAGAAAAAGACAAAACGAGAAAGAAAATAAGGGAAAAAACGCCAAGATAAATGCATTTGCATTCCAATCCCGATAAAACCATATGAAAGACAATAGTACAAGATATATAATGAAGAAAGCGGCGAGAGTATGATCACCCCGCTAAGTCACTCTGAGTCCAATTCGCGAGAGAATTCACAACTATCGTCGTGGCCGGGGAGATAATCCCGTGGTTGCGGATGGGAAGAAAGCCTCACTGGGCTGCAGATGGTCATAAAAATTGTCGTCATCTTCTTCCCACTCATCCAGAAGCGCAAAACTATTTGTTCGTATGGATACCGCCCGTTGAGAACGTGAAACTTGTTGCACCGATGGAACTATTTCGAGATCGGCTTTCGATGTAATGGCGTACAACGACTGCCAGTCTGATCTCGAGTTCCAAGTGTCGATCTCAGAACTCTGCGTATCTACGAAAAACCCTTGTCGGCTCGTTTCCGCTGGTCGGGAGTCTCTTCTTTGTCTTGGAAATGCCTTTTTATTGTAGGCCCATCTGAAGAAGAACTTGGCGGAAGGAAGGCAGCTTGTAACGATGGCAAGCACCACTTCAAAATAGTTAACTAGCTCTAGCAGAGGGACATAATCTAAGAGACTCCATGTTAGCAACGGGACTCGCAACCGAGAACTGGAGCAAAGGGTATATGTATATATATAACTTACAGGTTTGGTCAGAGACAATAACATGTCTGAGACTAATGATCTGCCAAAGCCTTGCAGCGGAAGCTGTGATCGTTCTATAAAGTTGTCGTTTAGAATGTTTCTTTATATCAAACAGATTTTATGTCTGGCGGTGGTCGGAGGGGAGGCCTACAAAAAACCGCATAGAAAAATGATGCAAATTTGCACCTGCCGTGTTCTTTTCAGCTTTTTTAATTTCGGAACAAGAGGCAAAGGTGTCAAGAGGATTAAACAATCCAAGGCGAGGCCTGCGGCACATATCCCGATTGTAGGATTCATCGGCCGGGCCTTATGGATGGTGGATCTCCAGATATCGAAAAGCACTCCTGGATGTCGAGGGACTTGGAATATCAATGCTGCGAAGGCACCGAAACAGTATAACAACTTGCAAACGACAAGGACGTCGCATAGGAGTTGCATCCGTGTACGGAAACCAGAGTAGAGTCGGCGGATCGATAGTAGCAGTGATATCCTGGTGACCGTATAGGTCCAGATAGTGAGGAGATTCACGACCACTATATATACATGGGCAGTTGATTAGCTTTGATTCGTGAAGTTCTGATGCAGCATTCGGCTGCTTTTAGAAACATACTAATAAGCTAGATTAAAGACCTGTCAGTACGTAAAGTTTTGTTTGAATTGATATTTGATGATCTTGGGATCTTGGATATGTCTGGATACCTACCCTGAAGGTCCCTTCCGCGCTCCGAATGTGCACATCCCAGATATGCCACCCAGCCTGGTACAAATACATGGAAGCAAAAGAAACAATCAGAACGGCGTAGCTAGATAACTGGAGAGACAAAGGTGTTAAATTTGGATCATATATAATAGTAAGCATTCCGATTTTGCAAATGATATATCTGCTCACCAAAGCTATAATCAGGAGCCAGTCTTCTATGAAAAGAAGCTTTGTCGTTCGACCTCTCTGTGTTGTTATGATCTTGAATGCTACTAATAGCCCGGTAAATAGCATTCCGAACAAAAACGCAACCGTCAAACCGATTTTCAATCCTTCTTGCCGATGGGGAACATATTCTGGGTCCAAAAGGCCCGGAGGTAACCATCCTTCTGTAATATATGGGTTGCCATCAACTTGGAGTATCTGCCATAGTGCGCGTAACTGGAAGAGGTCGTGTGCTGTTTGCCCCGTCGAATTCACCACGACCGCATCGGTATCGACAATGTCGTTCAACGACATCTGGACGAACGGAGATCGTAGCGGACCGCGCCACAAAAAATATTAAATTAGTCCCCCGCCCAACCACCGCATTGACTTTTGGAGAATGTCGAAAAGATCGGAGACATGAAGGGAAAACAGCTTCACTCTGGATGTTGCGGAAGAAAAGGTGCGGCCGACCTTATATCGCAAATTATCTCCAACCGTCCATCCGGGTTGATTTCTATGCTTGAACAACTCCAACAGGGATCGCTGAGGTTCTTTGAGGAGAAGGTTGGCAAGGATAGAAGGTTGAAACATATTGGCGAGCCCATCCCTGCAACTGGGCAAGACACACTCCTTCCCTTCAGGTGCCTAGCTGCATATGCACCACCAACAAGTGGTATGGGAGCCTGGCCTTGGAGCGTATGCAGGGAGTGCTCCCAGCACCAAAAATTGTATCTTGGCCGCTTTGTTGGAGGCTTTCGATATAGTTGTGCTGATATCTGAAACGGAATCGATGCGCCGTTTGTTCGCTTTTAGACTTGTGGCGGTATTCTTGCAAATAAATTGGAGATGTCCATAGCAGCCCTACAGACATTGCTCATTAAGGAACTCTAAATGAGGTAATCGCATCGTGCGCACGTCCTTGATGCTAAAAGGGGTATATTCCTGGTAGGTAGACCGTTCGGTGCCTGGTAACTATTGAGCAATTTTCTCACGCAAGCTGACTAACATGGCTGGGGGTGTTTGATGTCCACTCGCCTAATAGTTTGGCATGTATAATTATCAGGCCCAGCCGCCTGATTCTTGGCTTATTTGACCGAATTATACATGGTAGAAGCCTATCGAAGACGACCATAAAGTGTATACATAAACACCTGACACCTCTTGGTTCGTGGCGTATTTTATCGTAGCCTGTGACCTGTAACAGTTCGCGTATGCAGGCCGATAAAGCGGGTATACATTGCCGAGAGTGCTATAAAAACAAAGCTACGGATAGAACCCTAGTGATTAGAGGGTCGTCAATCTAACATGCATGCGCGTTTTCGCATGTTTCAGTATTCTAATCGCGTACTGTATTCGAGCTAGAATCATGTTGCCTTCGCCTCTTTATTAGAAATCTTGTACTACTATGGTGGGGCTACTGGTATATTTAGTGGTGCTACTAAGAATGATTAAACACGGTCACAATTCAGTCTATAATTCAAGTCTAGGGGTCTAGGAGCTTTCTAGTCGTAGAATCCGAGCTAGCATTAGCACTTAGGATTAATTTTGAAGTCTGAACTAATGCACACCCTTTTATATTTGGGTAATACAGCGGAATCGAGAACAAAGGTCTCAGAAGTGGTAAACTTTAAATAGCCCCGACTTGAGGTAGTTATTACTGATACATTACAAGATTTGGGCAAATATCTACTGTTTTGTGTAGATATGAAATCGACTGATTCTGGAAGCTCGGATGATGCACGCTGCCCACTCTCTATTGACATAATCAGACGGATAACAACTGCGGGATGAAAAACCGACGTTATTTTGAATACTAGTTTAGCACCCGCTCTCGAGCCGTGGTTTTACTTGTTTGGACGATTGTTGAAACAAGCTAGCCGTCGATGACGGTGAATTTAGGCCAATTTTGGTTCCTGAAAGTCCGTACCAAGATGGTAGCTCGTTGGTAAGCAAGCAACTTGATTTTGAGTTGTTTTATGAGCGCAACCCTGCCGCTCCAGTGTCCGGGCCTTTTAAAAACGTTAGACTCAGGTAATCTACTCGTGACCAAGGGATAAATGATATGGTATTCGCTAGTGGGGGCTTGATTCCCATTAACTAGTTTTATTGCATTGCAATATTGGTTAGGTGCTTTCCCACCAAAAACCATGAACTATAGCTAAAAATGATGATTTATGGAAGATACAACCGATTCAAGTAAGTTTAACTTTATTCACAACTTTTAGAAGTAAAAGGCTTTGTAAAATAGCAATGGAAGCTATATTTCTGGATCATTTTTCCTCTTTCTTTTTCCCCGAAAGCTCAATACTGCATTCGTAGTTTGGCCAGATCCAATTGTAACCATGCGTTCTCCAATATACCCATTATAGTTCGAATCCAAAGCAATTGTATTTCCCGAGTATAATCTGCAGTGGATAATACGCAATAGCCTAATGAAACAAGTCGTAGACCCAGTATGGAAGAAGTCCAGAAAGGATATTGCAATGGGCGTGGTCAATATCAAGGTTTGATGTGCAGCATCCTCATAGGTCGCAAGTTACATTGACCCAAACAGGTTTCGGGTTTGCGTCTACCATGTTATTGAGAATTCAGAATTCTTGTTTCTAGAAGTTGGGTGGTCAGGTTACTCGCACCACGCCAAATCGAATTTGGGCATATTTCGGAGAATAATACGCTAGGATATTTTGATCGTCCATTTCCTCAGGAATTTTTATTTTTCACTTACTTTTCATTTATTTATTTTTGGTTTTTTAAAAAAAATCCGGCTATAGCGGGCATTGCAGCAGGTTTATTTTAAATCCATCTCGACAAATGTGAGGCTTTATGGTGCCGCTGTGGGTCAGGCTCGGCCAAAGAGGCAGTTACCTTCCGTTGCATTAAGCGAGCTAGTTGTTATTGAACGCTGGCCTGCCCAAAGTTGTTTCGTGGATGGCTAACAATGGTTTGGCTTCGCTCTTCGATCAAGGGACGAGGTGCAATTAATTAAATGGTTAGACGACATTCCTCTTCGTTGAGAAAAAGTGCTGCGAACAAGCCTAGGTGTATGAGCTGCGTATATATCGCTTATGTTGCAGCCCACATGTACATGCAAAAATCGAAATCGTCGCGGTCGCGGTTGGCAAGGCATTGTTGCATTTTGGGTGTTGTTTTGACTGGAGATTAAGATCCTCACAGTTTGGATACGAAGCTGTGGAATCCTCATATGCTTATATGACTAAATCTGGGGCTAAATTAAAGGAAAGTGTGGTTATATACACGATTCAGTATAGTGTATAATATTTACATTTTGTTATGGACAAGGATCAAGAACAATAAAATTATATGCAGAATTGGAGGGAGATCTATCGATCTTGGGAGTTCCGAAAAGAGGCTTTGGCGGGAACACTTTCGAATTAAAATAGCTCATCCCAGGTGTGCGCGCGTTGCCCTTAGCTGTTCCGGAATCATTACAACTTTGACAGACTATATGTCACGTTACTACAAGCATTGTGAGTAGTAGGGATTGAGAGATTGGCATGTGGAGCCTGATACACAGGCTGTCGGGCCCGTCCACCCAATTCCACCACATTGACCCCATTTGCTTTGGGTGCCCCCAGATCCCGTCGTTGTTGGGGTCGTTACTGGAGTTGTTGTCCTCGTGGTAGAAGTTGTTGTTCGAACTGAAGTGGTCGAGGAAGTTGTTGGATTATTTCCAGCTCTAGCTTTGATGAGATCGGCGGCCTAAGACTTTTTTGTTAGAAATACTATGAAGGTAACTTTATTTGGGCTGAAGATAATCATACCTTCTCAGCAATTGCATAGACAGTGGCACAGGTATGGGTAGCTGGGATCAGTGGGATAATGGAGATGTCACCAACGCTCAGACCAGTAACACCGTATACTAGGAGCTGGGACGACACAACGCCTCCTTGATCTTGAGGCATCATGGCCGAGGTGCCGCAAGAGTGGGCGGTGCTGGAAATCATTCCTTGGGTGGCATAGTTGATCAATTGTTGGTCAGTCGTTAAACTAGCGCCAGGGGATTGTTCCTGTGGTCCCAGTTGTTGCATAGAGGGAGCTTGCATCCACCGCCTGTAGAATTTGATCATAGCGACAAAGATCTCATTATCGATGGGGTTAATAGAGGTGTTATAGTCGACAATGGGGTCAGCCCATTTGTCGGAGGGATTAATGAGAACGGTTCCTCGACTCAATGGTTTTTCGTGGACAAGAGAGGTGCCTCCACCGCCGGAGAATGGAATCTCGACAATACCGTTCTTAAGTGAGGCGTATGATGCCATTAGAACTCTCCTCTGAGCCTCATAACCACGGATACTAGCTGCGCTGTATGTGCTAGGGAGATACTGGGCAGCATTTTGGCTATTCACACGGCTAATCAGGGACTGGTACGTGGAGAGCATGGTGGGAAGTGGAAGGGTCGCGAGGGCATTGCCCACTAGCATCGACATAGGGCCTATCTTTCGAGTTAACCTATAATTTCCCTGTGATAAGGTGGTGCTGGCACATACCCTTGCGGAATTGTTGCCATTGCTGTTGAGCCCATGCTTGGAACGTTTGGTTGGTATAAAGTGATGCCTGGTTGGGTTGAAGGTCTCGAGTATCTTTTTGGGTTTTATGACAGTGGTCAGAAACTCTCTAGTATCATTGATATTGTAATTAAAGATGTTGATGGCTCACATTGGAAGTTAATTTGAGTTGCAGGGTGGTCTTGGAGATTAGACCCCACACCAGGAAGGTCAACCACAACTGGAATGTTAGCGCGACTTAGAAGGTCTTGTGGACCGATACCACTTCTTTGAAGAACTGCAGGAGTGTTAAGCCAGCCGGCGCAGAGGACAATCTCCTGATTGGCCCTAATAGTAGTGGTTGAGCCTCCATTTGGAGTTCCTCGCTGCTGAATACGAACGCTCTCTGCTTTCTTGGCGGATGAGAATTGAATATCGTTGACTCTGTACCCTGTCAAAAGATGAAGGTTTGAACGAGATGATACTGTGTCAAAATATCGATTCTTGGCATATGAACGACGAGATTGTGCATCAACATTGTTTGGTACCCAGTATGCGTTATAGGCATTGCCATTCTCACCATCACGCATTGTAGGGACACCGACTTCGTTCCATGCCTTCCACTGAACCTCTATGTAAAGAGTTAGTGCCATACACTGCAGACGATGATTGTATAGCCAAATTTTAACTAGAAACTTACTGATGGTTGGCCATTGCCAAGATGGGAATGTGACTTGAATGGGACCGTTTCCGTAGGCAGAAGGCTCCCAGGTAATCCCGTATTCTTGAACGATGGCAGGATCTGGAGTACCAAATGTAGTTGACTATATAGATTGACTGATTTCAGCCAACTGGTTGCACCACGGCAAAGAATAAACACGAGTCCACTTACCTTCTTGAAGTATGGTAGAAGCCCAGCAAAATCCCAGCCAGGATTTCCGAGGGCCGCCCAGTTGTCGTAATCTTCAGCAGCGCCGCGGTCGAAGAGCATACCGTTCACTGTAGATCCACCGCCGACGACGGAAGCAGCGTAAATCGAGACACGCTTGCCACCGATCCCTGTTTGAGGGACTGTCGTGACGTTGAAAAGGTCCCTGGACGGGTAACTTGTAGCTGAACTAGGCTCCAGTTGGCTGGGATTGTTATCGACGTATCCGTATTCAACTACGAGGACATTTTCTATCGGAGCAATGTAAGTTAGAGCGCATCCTAAGCAATTAAAACGTATTGGAGGTTGATTTACTTGTTGAATCTTCACTTAATCTGTTAGCGATAACCAACCCACTTTGCCCTCCACCGACAATAATGTAGTCGTATGACGACCTCAGTGATCCTATATTTATCTGACGGGCTCTGATTTTGTCAACCAGTTCTGGATAAGCTAAGCAGACATTGCTGATAATCAAAATTTGCAGTGCAACTGCGCCTAAACGCGAAAGGAGAGGCATTCTGCGGAGCGGGTAGAATTGATTTGATTGTCCAATATTCGTTGCACCTGCGCCGAACTGCATTCTAAGATATAAAATGCTTTGAGTCTCCAAGTACGATATTTATATAAAACTTATGTTCGGATCTTACGGTAAAAGTTATGTGGAGTTCGCAGCCTAAAACCATTTTTTCCCGTGGCAAACATCATATTATGGATTATTATCGTCACGCCTTTCGATAACCTCCCACGCTACGGCCGACCTCCATTAAACGGATCTTTTACTGATTACTATAGCTAGCTAGTTGTTATCTGATAAAAGGTATCCATGATGGAGTCGCTGAAGTTCCATCGAAGGACTTGACCGAGTGAGTTCAATTCCCCTTTTTGCCGGGGAGAGCGAGCGGAACCTTCGCCTATAATGACCCTGCCACTATCGTGGAAAACGGTCGTTAGTATCCGGGGAAACAGGGTACATTCTTGTCGAGAAACAGGCGATAATAATCAGGATAAATTAACCCGGACTAACTTAAACTCGCGCAGGGCATCGCGTGAATATTCAGGCAAAACGGCTAAACTGCCTGACGAAATTAATTGTCCGATATGGGGTTGTGTTGATTTTGTTGTAGAATCCCGATCGACTCCATGTTTCGAATGTTTCCCAATCTGTATCGTCAGCTTCATACGACGATGTCGACTATCGGGCCAAGATCTTGGCATGAGCTCTGTATGATTCAAGCTGATATATCAGATATATCTGTGTTATAGGTCAGTTGTGTCATTACACAACTTTTCCCGTCCTCCCCGATGATTTCGTTTGTAAAATTTGTCCGTCATTATATAGAGAGCATATACGTACGGCAAAGAGGCTCGGATGGTATGTGGGTTTCCTATATTTCAAGCTGAGGTTTCCAAAGTTTCCTCGAGTAGTCTTGGGTTCGAGGCAATAGTGATAGCCGCCGCAGGTTAAACAGTTTTTATAAGGGTTTATAGTGCCTAAATTTACGATGCAACAGCTGGCGGTCATACGCATTGCGTCAAAATAGCGATATCATGGCTCCGTTATTAATTATTAGTTGTAAGTTAGCACCGAGAACGCTAACCAGGGCTGCTTCGCAAATATGTGTTGTGGGGGTTCGACCCTTCAATTCAGATGAGATGTCGAGACCGAGTCGAAGGGGACGCGGTTCTAGAATTCTCGAAAGCATCGATATATCTGGTGATAATCTACAGAAGCCAATTAAATCCTTTTTCCTTAAGTCCTTATAAGCTTAAGTATTCGGCTTATAGGAAATTAGACCTACGAGGTACTTACTAAATACTGCCCGAGCTTTAATTTGAAGATGCGACGAGGGTGTGGCAATATGCATGCCCCCCAAATTTATTCTCTGGGCCATGGGATATATCGATATCGATCCCGTTAAATTTAGGTGCAATGATGGACAAAAGTTGGGATAACCGCTTGTATGTTCCGGATTCCAGGCCCAGACCATGGTCCGGTTTTGTGAGGTAAGCGAGCATGAGATTCTCGAATTATCTCGATTAACCCCTACAGATGTTCATTCTTTTAAAATCTCGAGTAACCGGCCCTGGTTTCCCGCCTTGTGCACCAAAAATGTGCTCCTGGATCATATCGCATGGAGGCTAGGATTCGGGAATAAATTAAGATGCTCCCGGCTAAAGCTACACGGAGATAGTTTCGCCGACGTTTCAAGCGAGAAATCTAGCGAGACAAGCGATGACACGTGAAGTCTAATTCATATATGTATCTGGAAGATATGGTAAATCTTCAGCTTCGAGCCGATGATCTCGGACTGTAGGAGCCAAAGAAGCCGGAACTCTGTCTTGTGGAGGTGCCTCGACGTAGTCGTAGGTAATATCGGGTTGTAGTATAGGAGGACGATGTAATTCTCATTCGAACAAGAGAAAGGGCAGAGAACAGGAGCTGGATTCACCAAAAATTGCAACAAGGACTACTATAAATACAGTGACTCGAAACCACTGGCCTCGACGTATATCTCAATTCCACGGTCTAAAATCAGGATCAGGCAACATCGTCTTGATATACAATAACATCTTGTATCTCGGAGTCGACCTTTAATATCTGAAATCTTTTTGCAAACATTCGTCATCATGAAATTTCTCTCTTCCGTTGTCCTCGCACTTGCTTCGTCGCTTCTTCCGGGAGTACAAGCATCCTTGAACTGTACTGTTGTCGGGCAGCCTCTGGAATACAGATCATGCGAGTACCCTGACTGCTCGATCGTGGGTGTATACTCCGTTGGGGCTATGATACAAGCTGCCTGTCGGTCTGACTGCAGTTCCAATACGAAGTGAGCACCGGCACACCTCTGGATTCTGCACGCACGATTACTAAATGTAAACAATTCTTAGTGTATGGTTCCAACTCTACAACAAATATTTCCTCCCTGGTGGCGCGAGAGTGACGGGCTGTAATTATTCTGGAATTCCGTTCGCGCAAACCGGTAAGTGTTCGAGCTAGTGAAGACCTTCTGCTATATATATATATATCTACCTATACTAGATTTTGACGAGAAACCTACAAGGTCTACCGTACTGCTATGAGGAACAAGCGCGACCTCGACCAACGACCTGCACTCGGGGTACAAATATACCAACTCTTACGGCAACCACAACAGGGGCTACGACAGCTCGAACTAGTACGACAGGACCGGTGACCACGAGACCAACTACAACAACGACGCCAGCAATAACTACAAGACCGACCACGACTCCTCCACCTGGAAACTGCGGCGGTTTGTACACCCAGTGTGGCGGTACTGGGTGGACCGGTGCGACTTGTTGCTCGGCGGGGACATGTGAGTCTCATACTCTTGAATCTAATATTATAATGCGGTATTTTGCGTAAACCGCGACGATGAATTATATTAAATGACTCTAACCATGATGCGATCACCGCGTTTAACGTTTAGGCAAAGTGTTGAACCCGTATTATTCGCAGTGCTTGAACTGAGAGCCAGAGGGTGCCTCGGGTGGCTATGAATCCCAACTAGTATTAGGTATACCGGTAGTATTGATCAAATGATGTATATAAGTAGTACTTATATTTATCTTTAACGAACGTTCGAACAAAAAGAATTATTTGATTTTGCATTAAGATTTTCCCATTAAGGCTTGACTTCAAAAAAACTGAAGATTTAGATGATTTCAACGAACCAGGGCTGCTGGATCGGAATCAGCTAGTTTGTAGGGTTGGCATTCATCGACAGAGGCACTGCTGCCTCGCCCATAAATCCGATTCTATCCAAACACAACGCACAGTTTTCCCAGTGTGTGTGTTGCAATTTTTAAAGTTAGAAAGACAGCGCGGCCGCGGGCCCTAGTCCGACCGACCATGCCATGATCTAGCCGCAAACGGAGATCTTCAAAAACAACGCCCGGGGCTGATGATATTATATTATATTATACTAGTGCTAATACTAATCCTGTACAGATATCTCTCGGGGGACGGTGGAAAAGCAAAGCGTCGCATGTCGTGCTAGGATAATATAATGTTGGCGCTGGCTGACAAAGTGGTGGGAAGCTTAGTGCCGCTAACTGAAAGGTGCGCTGGGTAAGAAATCAAGCTTTCCTTGGCCGCAGAGGGCTCCGTTTCGCAGGATTTTGTTACCTGAACGGGAAAGTTAATTCTGCCTTTACCCATGAAGAGCCACCTCAGAACTTTGACTTTTACCAGAACAGCGGGAGGGGAGGGCTGTGTCTTGACTCATGGGGTGGGACGGCACCATGAGTGAGGCTGAAATGGAAGATTAGTTACTTAAATGAAACAGGTATGTTTAATACTGATCCTGCCCCCGGACACCCTATAAGTAGAGCGAGTACTTCCTCCGAGTATCTAACATCTAGATCCATATCCATCGATATCTACATACAAATCTCCAGATCTCAGGCATCAAATTTAACCAAAAGCTCTAAGTGCAACGCAGAATTTATACTTCCCTTCCGGCCAAGCTAAAGTGGTCGTGATGCCGTTCGACTTCCAAAAGTACGATGCAAAATGTGCTGCGATGACTCCTGCGGAGCTCCAACTCCAATGGGAACATTACACCCGCCTGATCTCGGGCGCGGCGACATCCACAGCTGTTTCTGGTGTCGCTTTGCCTCTCACGATGGGCGTCTCCGTCGTTGGGGTCGCCCTGGCTGCTCCAGCTATTCATAATGCTCGCAAAAAGCGGGAGATTATCGAAAAACATCTGAATGGCCATGGAACTTCCCATGTCACGAGGAAACGGGATGTCCTGACATCTGTAGCCATTAGCGGTACGGTCGGTGTCGTCACGATGGGTGCCAGCACTCTTGCAGCAGATGCCGTCACAAGCCACGCCGCCAATTACGGAATCCAGCAGGTTGTGGAAAATGAATTGGCCATCAAAGTGGGAACTCATGTTGCCTTTGACGCCGCTGCCATGGCTGGAGAACATGCGCATACCGAACACAAGAGGAAGAAAGAAGCCCAGAAGGCGGAGCAACAGGGTTTGGTGGCTCCAATCCTCGGCCCGCAAGTTAGTTTTGGCCAGGAAGTTCCCCCGGATGGGTTTTACCCGGTGGTTCCCATTCCTCAAGGGCATTCGAATGTTCAATCCAGTGAATTGGTCGCGGCTCCCAGCGGTTCTAGCTACTCCTACCCAGGCCCTATAGTTTCACAAGAAATACCCCCTCCCCCTCCCCAGTATCCAGGCTCACCTCTGGAAGGATCATCATATCAACCCCTTGTAGTAGAAAAGAAGGACATTATTTCAGGGCCGCTATCAACATCAACCTCCGGGTCAGACTCGAAATATAAACTCGTCGTTGTGGAGCAACATGATACGCAAGCGCCAGCACCTCCATTGTATGCTCCTCCGCCCGCTGGAGCTATCCCGGTCATGGAAAAGATGGGCGAACCACAGGTTTATTCGGCCCCACAATCATACCCTCAGCAGCATTACCCACCGCGGCTAGTTCAATCCTCGAATGTATCGAGCTACCCTTCGTATCCTGGAACAATGATGAATTATGAACAACCAGGCCCGTTTAGCCGTGAGAACTCTAGACCGATGGCATCAAATAGCAACCAGGCCCTCCCGCAGCCCTCCAATGGGGGCCCAGCGCAACAGATCGCGGGTCATCTGCATCGAGATTCATCGTCACTCCCTATATATCGAAATCTTACCACAGCCCCGCCGCAAACCATCTCCAACCCTTCATACGCTCATCAGAGCCCAAATCAACCAGGATCGCAGGAGAACAATTTCCAAAGACCACCATTGCAACACCAAAGATCATACTCTAGCCCGACACACCCACCCACTTACCCATATCAATCATATGCCCCGCCTCCACTACAAGCTTACCAGCCTAATGGAACACACTCACAACATCCCACTTTTCCCCCTAGTTCCTTCCCTCCGCCGCCCCCACCTTCCAACTACCCTTTGACGCCTGCCCAGACTCCAGGAGCTTCATACCCGCAGTATATACCGGCTCAACATGCACCGCCTACTGCCTACCCAACAGGGTATCCAACACCCGTCCCTACTCCTTACTCTGAATACATGAACCCCATGGTCCCGAGGCAGTATCTGCCGGAAAAACAAGCTTTCTCTCAATATCAAGAAGTACCGATTCCAGGTCCTCAAATTCTAAGTCAGCAAGGCCAATATTTGGAGCAGCAAGCTGCAGTGCAGCGGCAATACCAGTATCCACCGCAACCTCCAGGGTATCACCCACAGCATAATATATACCAACAATAGTATAATAGATCAAAATATACGCGCAAGTTCAGGGCAGGCCGGCATAATTTTTTCTACAATGTACATATATATATATATATATTCGATATGAGTAACGAATTTTAATAGCACATCTGGAGTATAAAGCTCGGATTTATGTCGCTTCTACTCCCACCATTAGTAGGTATTGAGCTATATTGTGAGCAAGTTTCGTCTTCCCAGAAACAGGTAAAATGACATCGCCGGGGCGGGACCCGGCTGCGAAAATGAATGCAATGCGCTACCAACCGAGAAAGAGGCCCTGAATGAAAGGAAGAAAGAATGCACTTTGTGAGTCTCAAAATCCTAATTTCACTTCTAGGGCTATCTGAAGATGTTTCAGCCTGGTATCAATTAAACGTCTTTAGAGATCGCCAAGAATACTGGCAGAAACCTCTCTCGCTTCGACAATTTGGAAAACCGTCACCGCCGATGACATCAACCGAAGAATGTCGTATGGTCGCGAGAAATAAAGCGAAGGCGCAGCTAGATGCGGTTACGATTTGGAACCGACAGTATCAGAATGTTCAAACCAGAGCAGTCGCATTTTATGCTCATATCGACTGTAACCGCCGTTCACTCGACGCAAAAGTACGGGCTGGTGTTGATCCGCTTCCTCTCCTGATTATCGTTTTGGATCCAAATCAATTGGGTGGCCTTCACATTGCAGCCTTAAGCCAAGTCGGAATCTTCATTAATCCGGTTGCCTTCCAGGCATTTGATATCGAGACTGCGATATCCCCGAAAGGTATTCTACAAGAGTTTGCCGGCAAAGAACTAATAGGATCAATCTTTGTTTGGAACAAAACATTGCAGTCTTATGAAACTTCTACCGCGTACACGATCCAGCACGTGCAACTTGGCCGATGGGAACAACTTGGTGGCGACACTGCCATTTACGCCTACATGAAATTGGAGACTGAAAAGACCCTTTTAGGAGGACCAGCTGATGATCTTATCCTGGCAAAAATACACGAATTCCAATTGCTTGAGCTAGGTCCTTATCTTGGATATCGGGGAGATCTAGATCTCGGGATAGTGGCAACAAACCAGCCTCTGGTATCAGAAAGACTGATCGGGGATTTGGATTTGGGTACCAGACCTTCCCAAGTTACAAGCCCTAGTCACCAGCCTGAAATTATTGCCGTAGAGAATACACCTCCGGATGTGTGGAGGGTCCCTGAGACCATGCTTTTGCCGGATGAATTGGAACAAGACGCCAAACTCTTCGATTTGAATTTTGGCAGTCCTCTAGTATCAGACCTGTTTCGTATTAATAACCAGGCTCTGGATCCATCGAGAGCTAGAGTAATGAGTGCTAGCGGGGAGGCTGACTCTCTTCTCGATTTCTCTGATACGATTTTACAAGAAGCATTATATGAACAAAATCTACCGAACGCCCCAGCCTCTGAAAATGATATTATCCTAGAGGCATTTGAAAACGGATTTTGTTCTAGGTTTGCACTTGATGAAGCTGAGACAACTCTCGAGGTCCACTTCTTCGGCGACTTTTACCGACCTACGATACATCATTTGATAAAGGAAAGTGGTTGGCTGGGATTGTTACTAAATGAATAAAATTATTCAGGCGGCGACGAAAATATACGACACCAATGGGAATCTTGACAACAACTCTCGAAACAGCAGAGATTCGGGTGTTAAGACTAGTCCACAACTGCCGTGTAGTCAAACTATGAGGTTGGATGATATCCTCTTAGATGGTACTTTGAAAATCGAGGGTTTCGGAGTCTCGGTAGCTGATTCTTTAGGATCATATGATCATACGACCCGAGTGTTTTGGAATTATTGCGCGATGTCGATTACAACCACAATGTAGATGATCTCCAAGCCGAGCCACGGAAGCCAGCGCCGCTAGGCGATGTAGTGATGAAGCGACTACATACAGAAGCGGGTACGATACATCCACAGGAAATAGGTGCCGAGATGGAACAAGAGGAGGAAAATTTGTGGTGACTTTGCCTAGACATATAATTTTAAACTGGATAGCTATCGCAAAACACAAGGGACTAAATTCCGGCGACCGTGACCATAGACTAGTCAAAAAGACCGATCTGAAGCTTAATATTCAGTAATTTCTGTAAGATTCCAACCTTAACTAAGCTTACGCACTTTATTACTTTACATGGCTTTAACGGTCAGCCTGAAGGGTATGAGCTAGTGTTCCTGGTATCGACAGACTATAGTACTAAAGAAAACTTCCATGAGAAAACTCTGCATCTAAAAGGTCAATGACACTCTTGTATGTTTCGGGGGGTTCGGGGTCGGCAGAACGTTCGGGTCGGCTCTCTTCAGCAAGTTCAGCGCGGAGACAAGGGGGTTTGTGAGTGCAAATAGTTGAAGATTCCATCCTATGGCAAGGTTGTCGAGAAATGTTTTCTTCGCGGCTTTCGGACGTCAGGTGTTTAGGATTAAAACATGGAGGATTGTTGCAAAGATGTGATATGTGAAGTGGCGGGCAATGAGGACCTACAATCACGATAGTTAGTATTACCACTTTCCTAGCCGTTACAAAGATGCGATATATGAGGCGCTGCGGGGACATCCGGACCTATAATCGCGACATATGATATAATATGCAGGAGGAAGCCGGTTTGGGACTTACGGCCGGTCTCTTTTCGAGCGATGACTCTATTTCTTTGACGCCAGACCTGATAAGATGATATTTAAGCGGGTCTTCATTGAATTAAGCGAGAGAATTTCTTAGAATATACCTGTCGATAACCGTCCGTATTGAGACTCCCGCGTGGAAACCAACAGTCCAAGCTGTTACGTACTATATGATGATGGCTATCTGGATCTAGACGGCGAAAGGATTCCTTGAGGAGAATATCGAGACAACGATTTTGACCCAGCTCGATGCTATAGTTCAATAATTCCGGTTGTGCCATGTTGTATTGACGGCTAAGTTCGTACCTACTAGACAGGTATATCTACCCATACACTACTTTGGGGGGGGATGGTATAGATTATGTACTCCTTTAGTATGAATTGGAGAAGGCCCATATTAATAGGGAAGACATATATAATAAGAGCTTCAGGAGCCCCTCTAACACTGTTCCATTGCAAGCTGGAACTCCGACGCTTTAAATTTCGATTGAGAGGTTCTCGTTCTTAAGATCTTGGCCAATTAGTACAAGAGAGGATAATCTCTTTTGGGAAGCACCCATGGCCAGCCTCATTAGCTGCCTTGATAAATGCAACACCGGCATTTAATTCTCTTAAGCTGCTCGACGTCATAAGTGATGCTCAGAGCAGGAAACATTGAAAATTACCATAGCGCTATCACTAGCATTTCCCTTGAGAAAGCCCTGCTATGCTACTCCAGTGTATAGGTGATATATTACAAGAGCGTGGAGGTTAAACATTATATTATTGTTTGCGAGCTTTTAGATAATCACAGCAAACGGACAAGGTTTGCTGGTCCCCTGATTAGCGTTACTATCCTTTTCCCTTGACTTCAGTAATGGGCCTTTTGTCGTGACCGAGGATTGATCCGTCCCAGTCTCCAATACTAGGAAATCCCGGGGGAAGGCAAGATGCCGAAACGTTGGATGTAGTATTGTTGGTCCTGTAAAAGGCCAGCCGCTGGTTAGCCTCGAACCCAGACGCTCTTGAGGCAGACTCTAGCCGTTGGTGTTTCTTAGCTTTCTAAGGATGGTACATGTATACACTTACCATTGGTGGGAGGATATAATCGCACAGATGGTTGAAACATCCAGTTGGGAAGAGCTGGGATCACCCCTAGGAAGAATTGGAAGTGCATAGTGGCTCTACGAAACTTCTTCATGGAGATCTCTTCAGTTTCGGGAATTCTAGAATTCGTGACTCCATAATGGCCAACATTAGTTTGGTAGCAGTGACCAAACTGCTCAATCAATTTACTTTTCGTTTGCTCTAAGTGTCCGTCAATAATGTCCGCCATCTCTTGGATATGTGTTCGAACAACCGCTGCAATGATCTGCCGGTAGTTACTCAGTTGAAGGGGGAAGTTTATAGCGAGTTCGGTCTCCCGCTTCAAAAAAATTGACATCATGGATGTTTTCCATGAGCGAGAGTCTTTCTCAAAGGGTGTGAAGAGTAATGGTGATGGGCCGTCCTCGCCTTTCGAGCCCGAATTATATTTCGTTAATCGGTGCTGGAAAAGGTCGGCCAATGGCTCCACGTAGAACAAGTAAAGGATGAGTTGTTCACCGATATTTTTTGGTAGAAATCGGTAGATTGGACTTGCGTGTCCTGTAAGGCCCTGAATTTTGTTGTAGGAGCTTAAAATCATGACTTCCCCGTCGACAACAAAGATGTTGCGCCGGCGAGTAGCCGTGTTATATTTCAAGAGTGCTAGAACCTCCGTACCACGAGGTGGAGCGCCTGATGTCAGCAGAATCGCGATCGCAAACCAGAGTTGTATCTCAAGATCGAGTTGTAGGTAGCCGGAAATTGCAATTCGGCAGAGAGTATTGGAGCCATTGGGGTAATATAGATTTCGAAGCTCGGGCGTTTGTATTATACGTGAGAGTAGACAAAAATCCAACCATTGGGAATTCCTAGGTTCAGTTCGAAGGCCGTAGCCGGGGATGTAGTTGGCAGGGTTGTCAAAGAGTTCCTGAAGAGGAATGGTTGGTGGTGTCTTTTCGAAAAACATCTTGAGCAACAGTCCGTTGATCTTTTCGGTGATTGAGCCCGCAAACTGGCGATACTCCAATATGTCAAAGTCTTCTCCATTGTAGGATAATATGGTATCGTCGGTATTCCAATAAATATGGCCGTTAAGCAACGAGTTGTCGGAGATAGCCTTTCCATAAGCATGCTGAGACATCCACTCGCTCATAGGATAATCAAGTCCATCCTTAGTGGCTTCGATCACTTCTCCGAATTCCTCGCGGAACCGGTGTGCAACCATTCTCTGAACACATCTTTCTTGTTCTCTCTCGGGCGTATTAGCTCTATTTGGGTCGCCATGTTCATCTTCTTGGTCATCGTCTTCTTCGTCGTTATCGTTTTGATTCCAGTCACAAACCCCGCTCTCGCTGATAAACCTTCCCACCTCTGTATTTAGCTTTTCAGATGACTTAGCGCTCTCCCAACTCCATGCAAGAATGGAAAGTTTTGTGCAAAATGACATGGCAGCAAGGTACTGCGTTGTATGCCGTGCGTCCCTCCACTTTCCATTTCTCTCGTCGTATCCTTCGACTGCTAAAAAGTTGATGACCGGATGTTGAAATCTGGAGTTGCTGTTCGCGGGTATTTTAGTGGTGAGGCATTGGACAACCAAAGTGAGAATTCTCTTCTCCATTTCGTCATCGGACTGATTCACACTGCAATCTGCAGCATACGAGAGAACGAGCGAGATGCTATCATGAAATTCCTCCAAAGTAGCCTCAGATTTCCGAATGACGCATTTTTTTTGTTGAGAGAGGCTACAAATATAAAGCACCATCCGCACAAAGGTATCAATATACCATATCTGAGTTTTCTCCTGCTGACATCCGAATAAATCCTTTGCGTATCTATGGGGGCCAGGCGTTTCCAATTGCCGTAGGTAGTAGTCGGATGTTTCGCCGATATATCGCAGGGATTTCTTGAGCAAAGATCTAGTAGCAGCGCCGATGCGTCCTAACTTGGGGCAACGACCGCGTGCTGCAGTCAAAGGGCAAAGTATTTTCGCCACAAAGGACGAATCCCCCCCACAGAATGCTAACCACCCGGTCCTTGCCAACCACGGATCTTTTTTGTTTGACGGGTCGGAATTCATGGCGCTGGCATTCACCGTTGCGGCTCGCCGGTCTCGAAGGAAATTCAATTCCTCCGAACCAACATCCACAGCAGGACGCTCACCAACACGTGGGTAGACTCTGATCAGCATCCCGTGCTTATGGCCAAAAATTCTCTGGCACTGTACTGGGGTTTTAAGTAGAACATTGGGGGTTTTGGCCTCGTTCAATTGCTCCGAGCAACTTTTAGAGGTGTGTCGATGAGTGTTTAGTGACTCCTTTGATTTGTAGCATTTAAAGCAGACCGGGCACTGCCACCCTGGGAGAATTTGGAAAGGCTCGAGGGGTCTCGGCTGGTTTTGGATCAGAAAAGTTATAAGTCTTTGTATTTGCTCAGCAGAGGCCCACTCGCGACTTTTGACATGGATTAAGAGCCCAGCCCGCTTGAGCTTAGCACGTTCGAACATATGGTTCTTCTTCAAATGACCGAGCACATGGTCTGGAAGGCAAATGACACGGCATGCCATGCAGACAATCGTTTTGGTCTTTCCATAGGTGTATTCAGCAAGGCCGAATCGTTCGAGTAGGTCGTTGGCTCGTTTTTCCGTAGCCTATGACCAACAAGGACGGATTTTCTTCGGTGAGTGAAAGGTTAACTTCTAAATGGCTGGTAAAAACTTACAACGGCGGAAAAGGTCACCTTGTTGGAGCTAACACTAGCCATTTTATTTGTTAATTTTGTCGAGGGAATAAGAGCTGCTTAGGGATTTTGGTTCTTACTGATGTGATCTGTACTTTATAGATAGCCCCTATATTGAAACCGGCCTATCCATATCTATTCATCCTTACATCTTTGGGCCCTTTCTAGTCCTCCCAAATATAATAGAAACACTCTCTCGATTTAAAATGAGAAGAAACATTGTTCACAAATTTCAACTCTCGTTGCTTTCACAGGCATCACTGCCCTGAATGATGACGCTACCGGCGGGGATGCTATTTAGACGTATTAGTATTCCGTATACGCGTAAGAGTAAAGAGTCCCTGGGGCCGTTAGAGCGCTGGTTTGGACCGATTGAGAAGAAGTACTGCGCTGAAGGGACCCGAAAGAGCTCCACGAACGCACGGATAGAGGGCTATTGATAACCCGGCTCGTGTCCGATGATAATATGCGCTAGCTAAAATGGGTCGTGCACCCCGCCCAGGCGCTAACTGTGTCGGGGGATCCGGGGTTAAGCATAATGATCAGAGGGCTCGCCTCTCGACTTTTGCATGGCCATCTTCCAGTCAACATCGGGTATTAATTTCACAGCGCATAATGCAAGCCATCAATATGTGTCGCGCCGCCATGACTGAAAGGGCAAAGAGCGTATAGACATGAAAGCTTTGTTGGCATCAAAGCCCAGCCTTCTCAATTGATCAAAAAGTTGAATTTCCTAGATATATAAAGTTGGTTGGGGAGCAATCACGCCTTTCAAGTATCTTTTCCCTCGATCTCCTCAATTAGCAAAAACAGGCAGGAGGGTTGATCAGACTTGGGCTTTTTGTTACATACTTACTTTATTGGGAAACATTCCATATAATTTCCCCTTTATTCTTGATTGTAGATTATTATTGAGGGCATCGAAATGAAGTCATTTGCTAGCCCCCTTATTCTCGGGTAAGATTTAACCCGATAGTTAACGAATGCGCAAAATGCGAACAATGGCATGATATCATGATGCATCTAGGTATCTGTTAATATGATGAAATGGAGCACTAACCTGGTTTCTATTGCGATTGATACAGCGTGGCCGCTTTTAGCGCTGCCGCCCAGGCCAATGGCTATGACGACTATAACCCTGTTCCGGCCCCGTCATCCACAGTCGTCACCTATGTTACAGAAGGCGTGGTCGTTACCGTCACTGTACCATGCACCACATCGACAGTACCGGAACCTACGCCGGTTTACACGCCGCCAGCCGCCGTTTGCCCGCCTAAGTATAAAGTTGATTGTGCCTGGCTCTGTTCTGAGGGCGGCGGTCAGGTCTGCGCGACGGCTCCCCGCGATGACGGGAAATGTACAGCCTGTCCAAGCGAGTTCTGTCCTGCCGCCGATGCTTACAATGCAGATTGTGCATTCCTATGTGCTACTGCACACGGCGGGCCTAAGTTCTGCTCTGCTGCCGGCGGGGAGAATTGCGAAGCGTGCCCTAGCCCGCCTCCTCCAACTCCCCCACCAGCTGATAGCTGCCCACCCAAGTATAATGCCGATTGTGGTTGGATTTGTAGCGAGCAGGGAGGTACGCTTTGTGCGAAGGCTCCAGTCGATGGGAAGTGCAAAGCATGTCCTGATGAGTCCTGTCCTGCTGCTGAGGCCTATAACGCGGAATGCGCGTTCTTGTGTGCTACCGCTCATGGCGGGCCCAAGTTCTGTTCTGCTACTGGAGGGGAAACCTGTGCAGCATGCCCCGTTCCACCTCCCCCAACGACTTACGCTCCGCCACCACCCACGACTATGTATACTGTTCCGGCAACATCTTCGTCGGCACCACCATCCCCACCTCCAGTTGACGCGACCTGCCCTGCTAAGTACACCCCAGGTTGTGCATGGCTGTGTCCTTCTACTGCAGGTGCCAAAGTCTGTGCCGCCGAACCAGACTCTGAAAAGTGTGCTGCGTGCCCTGATGAGACTTGCCCAGCATACTATGATGCTTCCTGCGGGTATACCTGCTCTACTCCGCACGGAGGACCTAAATATTGCTCCGATGCTGGTGGAGAAAATTGTTCAGAATGTCCCGGGAAACCAACAACCCCAACATATGCCCCACCACCAGTTTACCCAGTTACCAATACAACCATTCCACCAATAGCTGAACCAACTACATATACTCCCATCCCAACCCCACCGCCTGCTCCAGTCGACGCAGTTTGCCCAACCAAGTACGCTCCTGGCTGTGCATGGTTATGCCCCAATTCCAGCGGTGTTAAAACTTGCCTTGCCGTTCCTGACAGTCAGAAATGCGAAGCTTGTCCAGATGAATCTTGCCCGATTACCTCTGATGCTAGTTGCGCGTATATTTGTTCTACTGCTCATGGAGGTCCAAAGTTTTGTTCCGCTACCAGTGGGGATGCTTGTGCTCCTTGTGGTAATAAAACAACTCCTACGACCTCTCTCCCACAGCCAACCTATAGCTCTAGTGCCTCAATTTTGCAGCTTGGCACATCATTCTTCGGCCTTGTCGCCTTCTTCCTCGCCTTTTAAATATGCTTTATTCGATGGCATACATGCATCATACGATTGTTCAATCTTCTAGTTGTAATGAAATCATGTAATACTAATGTTAAATGTTCAATATTTATCCTCAAATAAGGGGTAGTTGTTTTATTGCCTTAAGGTGATAATTATGTGTGTCTTAACGGGGTTTTCCAGATGTGCTCAAAACGGAACAACTTACCAAAACGGAACAACCTATAAGTTTCAAATTCCAACATCAGGTTTCAGTATTGTTTCCGCCGCATATTCAAGTCAACTGAGAAATTCCATGATCGGCAGGTTGAGACGTAAATCATGTAGGCCGGAATGAAATCCGCCACATTCGCAATTGCCGCAATTAATGCGCTATGCTGTGCAATAAATTCCTTTTTAAAAAAGGATTGGCATAAAAGAGATTACTTCGTTTAAATATCCAGACGTGTCCACGTTATATGTACATATTCGCTTCCTTCATATACCATGTCATCGCAATGCTTCAAGCTCTTCTCCTTACCGCCGGCGCTGCTGCCGCCTACTCCTTACCGAACTCCAACGGTGCTCCACCTCTCGCGCAAAAATGCGGCCCTTCCTCCTCCAAGATCGTCTGCATGCACAAATACGCGTCCGTCATGCCATACCACTTTTATCGTGAACCTTCAAATGGCAAAGACCCTGGTAGTGGCAACTTTGCTTCAACCAACGTGTCAGACCCATCATTTGCACAGGTAGCCGATGCGGATATAATAGTCTACGATGAAGCCGCTTTCAAAATCCTCGGTGATAAACCATCTGTGAAGAAAATGTTTGAGATTGAAAAGAAAGGCCACGAAGCTCCAGTATACGTGCCCAGTATGGGGAAGATTTTCTTTGGAGAGCCTGCAGCGCCAGCTCCGCTACACCAATTCGTGATTGACCTAAACAAGGAGCCACCGACGTTGAAGCCGTATACCTTTGACCCGCCAATCTATGCGCCTAATGGGGCGACAATCAGTAAGGGAAAGCTCTACTGGGCCCAAAGTGGGGGTAGCAAGAACCTTGAAGGTGGTCACCTTGAAGCTCGACCAGGCATTGTCGCCGCAGATCCAAAAACGGGAAAGTCTGAAACGATCCTCAACAACTTTTATGGTTATTATTTTAACCAGATCAACGACTTGGTTGTGGACTCCAAAGGCGACATCTGGTTCACGGACCCACAGTATGCGTGGTTCAGTAACCTCAGCGACACGCCACCAAGGCTGCAGCCATCGACATATCGCTTCAGACCGTCCACAGGGGCCGTGTCCATCGTTGATGACACCTGCCGCCAGCCAAACGGAATAGCCATATCAGCAGACGAAAAGACCATGTACATTGCCGACAGTGGCAGTGTCAATGGCGATGTGTCAGACTCGGTACAGGCAATGAGTGGGACAACGTTCAATGGTACCACAGTTGGGAGGACGATATACGCGTATGACATTCTCAAAGGAAAGTTTCTTGCCAACAAGCGACCAATTTATGTTGCACAAGACTGGATTCCAGATGGTATAAAGGTGGCCACTAACGGCTATTTGGTCACTGGTGCTGGTTTGGGTGTAGACGTTATCGACCCAGAGGAAGGCACAGTGGTGATGCGCATTCAAACAGATTATCCAGTGCAGAACCTCGCCTTTGCGGGTAAAGATAGGAAACAGCTATGGATGGTCGGTGTAGGTGGTGTCACGAGAGTCAATTGGGAGTTGGAAGGGGTCAAATTGGAGTAGATTCAAATAGTAGGTATAGTTAAATAAATTAATGTGACGTTGAATTCATTTGCGTTTTTGTTTTCTTATTGTCTACAAAATTTAATGTAAGCGGAGTTAAAATATTAGAACTCAGTCGGCTCTTTCGAGCTTTCTATTCAGCAAACCGGACTTGCGAGTTTCCAAGCATCCTACGAGATATGACTCGGAGTTGGCTGGAACCAGCACTGATTCTGTAGTTTTGTATTATATATTCTAGATTATAGTAAGATTTTTATACCGAAGACAGATTAAAGTTAATAAAATGAGTAATTAAATTTTATTTATATTTTTATTATACTGTTATTATATAATATTATTAAGGAGTTTTAAAACATATATTAACACCAGCAAAAAGAAAGTGTGGATTCTATGCCGTCCGACGGCAGGAAGGCAATAAGGCACTGGCTTCCTAGAAAGGCATTTTTGACCAAACGCAAAAAAAGGCAGCCTAGTAGTAGCCAAGTAGCTACTGCTGAACTTTGCTTTCAGAAGAATTTACAGAACGTCTATAATAGGATTTATGGAACGCCTATAGTAAGCAGCATGCTGGGTAAGTAGGAAGTAAACTTACTGTTAGAAGTCTTCAAAGATCTACCCTTTATCTAGTACAAACGGTGTGAATCCGGCAGATTGGATTTATATGCGGAGTTTTTGACCTGTAACAGTGCTTTTCACCGTTTTGCATTATAACACTTACAGAATGCCTACATCTATAGTAGGCAGTATGCTAGGTAGGTAGGAAGTGAAATTATAGAATGCGTATTATAAGCAGCATGCTAAGTAGGTAGGTAGGCAGATAAATAGGTAGGTAGGCAGGTAGATATGTAAAAAGGTAGGTAAGTAGTATGCTAGGGAAATAGAAACTAAATTTACAGAATATAGTTGTCTTATATCCAAATATAAATAAAAATTAATTTATAGAATATAAATAAGAATTAAACTTATAAAACACTCAGGGTGCCAGGTAGTATATTAGATGGATAGATGGTTAGCTGGGCGGGTGGGTTGGTAGGAAGTGTTATTGAATTAATATATATCTCCTAATTAGGTTAGTCAATATGACTGAGCTGTAACAATTTTAAAAATCCCTATTACTATAATATTTTTAAATTCCTATTATCTTTTTATTATTTATAAAATTATTTTTTAAAAATTAAATTTATTTAAAATATTAATAAAAATATATAAATAATTAATAAAAATATTTAAAATAAAATTTTATAATTTTATAAAATATATTATAAATTTAAAAATAAAATATTTGAATTAAAAATATAATATAAAATAATTAATATATTAAGAAATAAAAATATTTAATTAAAAAAAAAAAATTTATTTGAATATTTTTAA